GGGCACGAGGCGGTGGTTCGGCTGCTGGTCGAACGGGACGACGTCGAAGCGGACTCGAGGGATGAAGACGGTCGCACGCCGCTATGGTGGGCGGCGGCAAGAGGGCACGAGGCGGTGGTTTGGCTGCTGGTCGAATGGGACGACGTCGAAGCGGACTCGAGGGATAAATACGGTCGGATGCCACTGTCGATAGCGGCAGCAAGCGGGCAAGAGGCGGTGGTTCGGCTGCTGGTCGAACGGGACGACGTCGAAGCGGACTCGACGAATAAATACGGTCAGACGCCGCTGTCGATGGCGGCAGAGAATGGGCACGAGGCGGTGGTTCGGCTGCTGGTCGAACGGGACGACGTCGAAGCGGACTCGACGGATAAAGACGGTCAGACGCCGCTGTCGATGGCGGCAGCAAGAGGGCACGGGGCGGTGGTTCGGCTGCTGGTCGAACGGGACGACGTCGAAGCGGACTCGAGGGACAATTACAGTCGGACACCGCTCACTTGGGCTTCAAGGATGGGACATACACTGGCCATGGAGATCCTGCTCGCAAGGAAGGATGTCGATCCTAATTCTAAGGACCTGTTCGGTCGGGCCCCGTTATCAGCAGCTGCGGTGAATGGGTACGAGGGGGCTGTCGCGCTGCTGCTTACGAAGAAGAGCATCGAGCCTGGATCCCAGGATATGTTCGGTCGCACGCCGCTGTCGGACGCTGTCAAGAGAGGATATCTCCCTATTGTAGAGCTTCTTCTTCAGAGGCTTAAGGGGCAGGGCAATCCCGTTACCAAACAAGAACTACCTGCGGTAAGGCGCCCTACAGTGGACCCCAAATGTCGTATTTTCTGCTCGATCTGTTTGGCACCCATACCAGATTTCGACTCTCACCACCACTGCGGAATCTGTGATCACGGCGATTTCGATATGTGCGAAGACTGTCTTGCCAGCGGAGCTGTTTGTACTGATCTATCCCATACGCTGGCTAAGCGCACGGTTAGAGAGGGTGTTCTAGTTAATGTTACTAATTAAAGCTGCGAAGCCGGAGCAAAGTAATTTCCTAATAGTGACAACTGTAGCACGCTAGCCAACGCAAATATTCTACTCAAAGATATGACACGAGTGCCAGTTAAGAAGGACTGTATGAGTAACAATCTAATATTTACTAGCTAGAACAGTGTGAAAATGAAATCTGAAGGAGTAGTTTTGGTCTCTGTGTGAGAGACATAAACATTCTGCTGGTGAACTTCCTCCCTTGCCACGTGGCTTGTGTTTGCTCCCCCGAGATTGCAAGTCTACACAGAGCCGCTCGTCGGCCATCAAGGCAGACATTCTAGAACATGTCAACTTACACTCGTTACAAGATGTTAAACTTCCTAGGTAGCCAGCTAGCGAGCCCAGAGCCAGTACAAGGCACTCACTCATATATATAGCGCTACTAAGCTGCCCACTCGGCGGTAATCTAGCCTTTGCCGCGAGAAGCTTTTGCTGAGCTTGGGGGCTCACCTTTTCAGCAAGATTCATGTTCGGCTCGATTGTGATGAGTTGCCAGCCACTCACGCCACTTGGACAGTGTTGCCGAAGGTCATCCCCCGGATCCCAGTGCTTCGAGTTCTAGTAACGGCCGAGGACCGATGTCTCAGTTTCTGGAGAGAACCCAGGGTCTGATGTTGACTTCGCCGACGTCAGCGAGAGCTTAAATGGTACGGAAGCATAGAGTGGCTTGGTTACTGCCTGGAAGGCCTGTTATTCCAAGTGATCAGATTCGGACCCTTTCGGATGCCCAATACCCGGATTCTCACATCTAGCAGCGGATATCCTGCTACCAGCGCCGCACCTGGGAGTGGGGACCTTGGCTTTGCAATCGGGAGGCTGGAAATTGACGTGTGATCCTCCGCCGGGCCAATCGGGAAACCCCAAATTTGATGGTCTCGAATCGTGGTGGACCCAGGACGCATTGGAAGAATTCAAAGATTTGTGAGGACGATGGTACATTTTGGCCGGTCCCATATACAGGCGTGTGGAAGAAGTGGTGATGAAGTATAACGGCAAGCCTTTCCACCTCGGTCATATCGACCTGGGGGAGCGGCTGAGCGAATGGAGATTGATAGATATCTGGGGCGACGTCTTTCTGAGCAAGGAATTCAAGATCAGTCCCGGGAACAGGTCGTGTTTCGTGACGTTACAAGCATCCAAAGACGGTACCAGACGTGGAAAACTCTATCATACATGATAAGAAAGCAGTTTGGCTGGAAGAGCTGGGAACGTGAAGATGAGGAGCACACGCAGAATATCAGAGACCTAGCATTGGTGGACCTGTGGTAGGCGGACTACTATGTAGAAGTATTAACTGGATGGAGGTCTACTTTCGGCTGGATGCCAACGGAATTCGGGAATCCTTCTGTGGGAGGGTAATCTGTGGAAGGCGGACGCCAATTTCGCAGCAATGGGAATATCTTATGAAAAGCACCATGGAATACGGGACAAGGAGGCATTACACTGTTGCCAGAAAGACCAAGACGATTGACTTTGATCGAAAGATGCTCAAGCGGGATGGAGCGAAGAGAGGTACCCTGGGGATGGGTTCGATGGAACTTGCGCAATACTGTGTAGAGCTGAAGCATCACCTACTGAGCTACTCCTCATGACGTGCAACCTTAGAGACAATGCAAACGTTCGGAATCTCTATCACGTCGTACATTGTGTATTGCTTGAGAATCCACCATCAACGACTGGACGGACGTCTCCTTAAGCGTGGGGTCAGCACGGGCTACTGCAGAAAATGCCGGTCGGCGCGGGGGTGGGAACCGCGTCAAATGCGCGTGGAAAAGTGGAGGGCACAGTGGAGGGCACGAATCAGGTGCGATCCGCCGCATACGAGTCTCGCATCATACTATTCTGTAATACATACATTCATCCTGCATCTTCCATTCTCCAAGCTGCATACAGGACTGAGTTGGCCCACATTCGACACTTTCGGACCAGAGGTGAACGGAAAATCCAGGGCTATATAACCAGCCTCGAGGGAGGAGATCATCGATTTTTAAAGAAATAATCCTCCCCGGGGCAGTTGCATTACGGTTCTTTGTTCCATCGGCTTTCATCACCATCCGGATTACCATCTAATCCTCCACATTCGATCAATCTTCCGAACACACTTTTTCACCACATCAGAGCTAGCTCAGTCGCTTCACTCCATCTTGTCGAAATGGCTAACTCCAATCCCCGAGTTAAACGACCCTTTCAACCCACCATCGACTCCTACTTCACGCAACCCAAGTCTTCCCCCAACGCCAACCACAAGCTCTCCCCTCCCATACCTAATAATGTCCAATCCTCCCTCCTCTCTGTCGGCATGCGCGTCCGCAAAGCCGTGCCCGAAGGCTACAAAACACACAAAACCCTAACCGACGTCCCCGACATTCCTCCTACCACCACCCATATTGCGACGTCATTCTCGACCCTACACCCCGAAGCCTCCCAACCCGACCATCCACCACCAATCCCCCAACAACGGCCCGCGGAACTCCTCCCCTTCTGCGGCCTCCTCAAGACCGGAAATTTCGCCACGCAAGACCCCTCCTACCCCGTCAACGCGTACGCCCTCCCCGGCGACCTGGGGATCGCATCCGATGGCACGACGTCCTTCTCATCCCAAGAATCCAACGTCTCGCACATGTCGAGCGATTCCGTGCCGGCAGGGAGGCCCGGGAACACGCGGAAGCGTGTTCTGCGTGAGTATGAGGAGGAAGACGCGGAGATGGACGCAGGGCTGGGAGACGTTGCAGGGATGCGCCAGTTTGCGGTGGCGAAGAGCGGAGGACGGAAGTCGCTGGGTGGTGCAAGGATGGTCCCGGGGGATTTTGAGGAGGCGGAGTTTTTGCAGCCGCGGGAGTGGGTGGATGAGGACGTGGAGATGGAGGTGGAAATGGGGCTGTGATGGATTGGCGAATACGGTTATGATATCGTGGAGGAACAAAGGAATTGTCGCGAGACAGGTATCACTCGGTTGGGGTAATAGACTGAGCGCCTTTCAAGGCGCGGGTTTTGGCGATGGATTTTTTTGGATATGTTTTTGCGGATGGCTGTTTCGATAGATGTTTTCTCTCGCTCGGACGAGCGGCAATCGGTGTATCAATCCCACGGGCATGTCAACGGCCTAAATGAATTCATGGCGGTCATCGAATATCTTCTTTCTTGCCGAGTTCTATGTATGTACAATGCTTCCCGCCCGAAATGGTCGGCACATCCAGGGATATTCATCGTTCTTGCAGCACGGCAAACCCCAAACTCCAAGCCATATGAGAACGACTCAAGATATCGTCTATAAGCCGTGCTTATATTCCTCACCCCTCTCCATCCCTCGCTCAGAACTCGGAAACCGTATCCCCCTTCCGCTTCCCTCTCATATCCCATTTTCCCTACCGAATCCAGATTAGCCTCAGTCCAGCAATCCGATCCGATCGATAGACCTACATCGGTCTTGTACGCAACATATCCGATACCGAACGGGATGATCGCCACGTAAAGAAGGGTGAGCCCGAATGTTCGTGGGGTCCATCGGAAGTATTTATATCGGTTGACGCTCATGCCTGTCGCATGTCAGTGGCTATCGCGCGATCGTTCCATCGGTGAGGGGTTACGTACTGGCATATTTGACCAGCGCCGGGTCCAGGAGTATAGCTAGAGGGCTGTTAGATGTCGCAACAAGCCGCGGTGTGCGACGGATAGCTTACTGGGAGGGTTGTGTCCGGCCATGATGATGGTTGTGGTCCGACTCTCGGTCGATTACTCCGATGTGGTGGATGGTATAATCAAGGCAGAGACGCTCCCTCAGCTGTTTAAGACGTCTTTGATCGCCCTAGGAAATCGAATGGACAATGGGATGGCCTTCAATTGCTTGACACCGTCGAGTGGGGAGCTCGTTCGAGAAGATGAGGTTGAGGATCGTAACGCAAGAATATTAGTCAGCGAAACTTACGGAACAACAAGGATCTGTCATTGGTCTGGCTGAACTGCCTGCAGCATCATATATGGAACCCCCCAGTGTCTTTCGTTCAAGCTTCGTCTGCCTTAATTAGGCGTCAGGGAGATAATGCATTGAATTAAAGGTCCCCTGGTTGATGCATGATCTGGATCGTCTGGAATGATAATCCGATCCTAATTCCCAATAGATATAATGAAGAACCTCGGCAAATGTATTCGCGAGCGCCACCGACCGCCCATCATGGTTCGGGAGCGATGCACCCCAGGATCGCCAGCGAATCGGGCGATCGAAGATAAGTTGCTCCGACCCTGCTCGTAAAGGCCGTAACGTCATTGAAGTCCATGGCAATTCGGATCACAAGCATCCTTCGTTTAGCCTTGTTCCAGCTCTACCTCCATTATCTATAAGAACAACTGAACAAGTCACGCCTTTGTAGGAGCTCATCGTACTCGAGACAATTTGAGAAATCAAGTCAAAGTCTAGTTTTGTACTTGTGAGCAACGTTTATACACAGATATTTGTAGGCGACAGCTTTAGTAGACATCGATACCTCAACCACCAAGTCGAGACATTCAATTGCGGGACACACCATCCTATAAATTCATCGAAAAGGACAAACCTACGAAAAAAGCAACGATGGCTTCCACGGAGACTCCAAAGATCACCATTCACTGGTACGTCATCCTAGTAACTGCAGAAAATGAGCCTCCGCTGAAGGAAGCACAGGTTGAACTATTCCCGCTCCCATCGCATTGTCTGGCTCCTCGAAGAACTTAACCTCGAGTATGAAATCAAGCTCTACAAACGCGGCGAAGACAGGCTCGCCCCAAAAGAGCTCCGCGACCTCCATCCGCTTGGAAAGAGCCCCCTGCTCGAGATCCAGACACCGGGTCGGGAGAAGCCTCTGATCATCGCCGAATCGGCGTTCATCGTGGAGTATTTGACCGAGAGTTTCGGGAAGCAGATGATCCCGGCGCGGTTCCCCGAGGGCAAGGAGACGATCGGGTTCGAGTCGGAGGAGTGGCTGCGCTATCGGCACTTGCTTCATTTCGCCGAAGGGAGCTTCATGCCTCCTCTTTTGATCGCGCTCATGGTCGGCAGTACGTCGCCATCGACCTTCTCCATTTCTGTTGATCGTTACTGACCAGCGCCATAGCGATCCGTGATGCGCCCGTGCCCTTCTTCATCAAGCCCGTGACCAAGAGCATCGCCCAAAAAATCAACGACGGCTTCCTCAGTAACCAGCTCAAGCAGAACTTCGCCTTCGTGGAGAGCCAGGTAGCCAGCAGCCCGGACGCCGGGGAGTTCCTCTGCGGGAAGAGCCTCACGGGGGCGGACATCATGATGATCTTCCCGCTCCAAGGCGCGATGAGCCGAGGGGGACTCAACGCAGAAGAGCACCCCAAGACGGTTGCGTACGTCAAGCGGCTCGAGGAACGGGACGCGTACAAACGGGGCGTGCAGAAGATCGTCGATTTGACGGGAGAACCGTTCAGCCCGGTGTTCCAGTGATGTGGTAACCTCAGTCGAGCGGCGTCTTTGAATTTAAAATACCATATTCCTGATAGACAATAGCATCAACCGTGGCATCGTACCACAGATAAGCATTTGAAAGCAAAGAGTGTCAAGTCGGATGCAATCTTAGTCAGATGCAAAGCAAAATGATCATTCGAGCCCACGAGATGGGAGTCATCGTATTCATGCCGTGGAGGCGGAATAATTAAACGAGGAGCTGGATCGATATACGTCCCGTAACCAGAACTAAAGGAGTACAAAACTTACAACTCTTTATCTCCCGAAAGGCGAAGTCAGACTCAATCGGGGTGTGTACATTATCGTCGTCATCGTCCATCCTGGATACAGGCTCTAACGGGAGCGTCCGTATGGACCCAAGAGGCAGGCTCTATGGATCCGGTTTCAAATCAAATATTCTAAGCCGCAATGCCTCTCGTTATTGATCTGGTATCCAATCGCATCGGCTGACGGGCAGAGTCTTCGGTGCCCGTCTCGGGTACGGGGAATGCCGAAGAGTGAGATGAGAAAATAAGGACACCATCCCAAATTGGTAGATTTGATTTCCTCTTTCCGGCATCAGGGGGCGTAAAACTGGAAGGTATTCGACGCACGTAAGCCCAAGCCGAAGCAACGTTGCTCTGTGCTTTGTTATGCTTGTGAAATGTGAATGGATGAGAGGATGGAGTCAAGACCTCACCTCACCTCTAGCCGACATCCTTATGACACGACATCCCCAGGGAACTAGAAATAAAATTCCGGTCAGATTTTCGGCACCGGACAGTTTCATTTCGAAGAATTTTTCTGCTGAACCGTCCTTTTCAAAGGTTCAAGGTAGCTTTGATGTTAGGTTTCGATCCTATGGGCGCGAATCAGGGGAGGTCCTTGCACGTTCGACCAACAGGCGTAAGCCGTACACGTACCATACCCCCGAAGTCGTTGACCTTTCAACTTCGTTTCGCTTCGACCTGGCCTTTCGAGGCGCTGTCGGCTCAAGAAGAGCGAATTGAAAGAGAGCTGTCTGCCAATGACCGATCGTCCCCGTCCATTTTCCAGTGCGAAGCCTTTCCAAACGCCTGCCGAATCGAACTCGTCGCAACGGAGGAGTACCCCCCGAGCAGGAGACGAGACGCATGCGATACTTCCGAGCCAAAGCATAAATACCACCTGCGATGACCCAACACGAAGTAATATCCCGAATCCTCCGTTCTTGTCGTCACCCGGTATAACCAATCTGGGCGGGCCAGGCCACCAGCGCCAGCCCGCACAATACCATCACCATCTGGCGGTGCAATCCCAATACGGCGTGGGAGTAGGACTCGGAATCAACACATATGGACAGACTCCCTCCCCCGGGCCTCTGATGTGGGACTGGGACAACTCGACGGCGGGGTTTGGCGATTTCGCGCACTTCTACGAGCCGCAGGGGGAGCTCGTGGTGGAAGAGTTGCACAATCAGCGGTCCTCCCAACCGGACTTCACGCTGTCCCAATACCTTGGCCCTGGGGCTGCCCCGTTCCAGTCGATCCCCCCGCAAGTAGGCGAATCCTCCCGCCGGTCGACCCCTCCCAAAAACGCCGCCGCCAACGCGAGTGAACCGACATCGCGATCGCATCCGCCGCCCACGTCCCCTGCCCCTGAACCCTCCCTCCACGCCCAACCACCCGCGCCACCCCAGGCCACATCGCCGCGGCCGCCTCCCCGACCTGCGATCCAAACCGGGATGAAAAGGAAGGCCGTCTCCGAACCGTCGTCCGCCAATTCGCAAACCGCCCCCGCCGCCGCCAAGCCCCTGTTCCCACCCTCCAAAAGATCAGCAACGTCGCGAACCGCGTCGGGTGCAACCGAGCGACGGTCTTCGGCGGGTCAATATGGCGTGGAGGTCGACTGGTCACCGGTCAACACTGGTGCTGGGGCGTCAGGGGAAGGGGAAGCAAGACAGGAGGAAGCCGTTGCAGCAGCAAGGAAGACGTCTACAGAGAGAGGCACGGCAAACGCGAATGGAGATCATTCGGTGGAGAAGTCGGTACCCAATGTCCGAGTCCGGCAGATCCCGGACGTCCCGAGCATTTCATCGGTCTTGCCGGCTGGGAAAGTGTTCCCCATCCAGATCGGCTCGAAACTCTTCCGTCTTTCAGGGGCGTCGATTTCGTCGGATTGTGAGTATGCGCGCTGGGCAGCAGTGCCACTCCCTTCGTGTACAGAAGGTTCTCCGGCTGACAGTGCATAGCACCGTCGTACTTCTCGCACTTCTTTGGCCAGCAATTGCTGAGCGCAGATGGTCGATCGGGAAATATTCACACGTTGTATATTGACCGCGATCCCAACACGTTTCGGGACATTTCAATGCATTTGCAAGGTATGTGGTAATAGTGTGGCTATCTAGTGTACACTAACATTCTCCAGGGTATCACATCAAACCTCGAGATGGACTGCACTACGTACGACTCTACGCCGATGCGCAATTCTACAGCTGTGAGTGCACCACCAATGTACGATGCACCCGCCACTAAACTCTCGTCAACAGTACCTCGCTTGACGCAGCAACTCTTCAAGTCCGAAATCTTTGTTCGCGTTGGCGACCGTGACTTCCAGATACCAAGAGAGCTGTTCTCCGGGCCCGGAAACACTCCGAATTTCTTCTCTCTCGGATTCGCCCACTTCCTCGGCACTCCAAGCGACACCTTCCCAGGCCTGGATCGCCAGACGCTCCTCCGACCTCCCTCCATCCTCCCGCCCGCCGTCCCCAATCGATCGGCAGAGATCTTCGCCGATCTCCTCCGACTCCTGAAGGGGTATCCCGTGAATGTGAGAGATGACGCACACCGCGAGGACCTGCTTCGGGATGCGCGGTACTTCAATCTCAAAGGCGTGGAGCAGCGCTTGCTGCCGTGCGAAATCGGCTACAATCTGGCACGAAGCGAGTCGGAAATCACCATCCGACTGGAAGATGTACGGCAGTCGGGCGTTTCTTTCACCCCTGCTCGACTTGCAGACCTTGGGTGGGGGGTGGAGTCTCGGATCAATCCTGCTACTGTTCCAGACACACCCCCAAGTGCTTCCGGAGCTCCGGCGCCAGGAGCGGGAATCCCGCCGCATCGCGGACACATCTGTTACGCACGGCCATATACCGACGAGGCCTCGAGCGCGTTGATCGTAGAGATTGGTTCCCCCGAAGCGACCCGGTTGGATCTCACCTCCATGCGCGCCACCTTCTACGGCCTGACCAAGTCCCGCATCTCGAGTCTCTTCCAAGTCATCGCCGCGAAGATGAACCTGCCCCTGATGCATCTTCCCCTCGGGATCATGATGATGAAAGGCCGCGCAGAACGCGAGCGCGAAGGAGCGCCGACCCCCAAACCCGTCGCGGAGGGCCTGTCCGCGCTGCCGGTCAGCCCGGCAAACTCGGGTGTCAGTGGCGATCGGGTGCGCGTCCGCTTCGATACGGACTCCGCGGTGACGCTGGACGGCGGACTGATCGAGTGGGAGGCGGTCGGCGATATGACGAGTCAGCCTCCCAACCTGCTGCCGCGAATTCGCCGCTGGTCGGTGAACAGGCACGACAGGGTGCTCGATGTGACGAAGCAATGGATTGTGAAGCGGGCGCTGTGGCGCGTGCTTGTGGAGCCGGCGGAGGATGAGCCGGATAATGGGAAGGTAGAGGTGGTTATGGTTTGTGTTAAGATGGTGGCGTTTACGGATCAGTGGGCGAGGAATTCGAAGAGGAGGTTCCTTTCGTCTTGATGATACCCATTTGAATGATTGTTTAGATTATGTACAATAAGAACTCTGTACGATAGATATGGCATGGTAAACTGCTATCACAATTTGTATGTATTCCAAACCCCCTTTTTCCTGGTCTCAAAGAAAGCTTGATGCCTTAGGGGGGGATAATTGATGCCTTACGCTACGTCTCATCTGGTCTGTCATGCTTGATTGATCATCAATACTCCGCACCAGCAGATTGATTCCAGAGTACAGCCATGACGTTGTGTCATACTATACAAATCGCTCATCATTCCAAGTTTGAATTCGGCTACGGTCAGTATCCTTGTGACTGTGTTGTGAATTTATGGCCGAGAAAGGAAAGTTGCTTCCAATTGGTCGACTCTCCACGGAGGACGGAGATCCCCGGTTTTCGCAGTATCGATCTACCTCGATCCGTATCCGCCACTCCGATTCATAGCACGCCCTTCTGTGATTACGCTTTCTTAATAATGTGCCCCGCGTCCTAATATTTCGTTCGAAATCTGCGGGGAAAGATGTTTGGTTCTTCTTTTCTATTTTCTTGATACCCTGATCTTCGTATTCTGCCGCCGCAACTATGGCAGAAAGACTCCTGGCGAGGTCAAGATGCCGCATCCAAAGCGCATACCGCGGAGCTAGCTTTGCTTCGAGTTCGACTTCTTTGAAAAGAGGGATCGGGAGAAGATACTCTTCCGCTGCGGCGGCGGTAGAACCACATGAAGCCCCTTTGGAAGCTCCGCACCCTTATCCGGCCCGATCAGAACCCCCGCGCCAGCAATCAGGACGAACCTTAGGCGACGTGAAGCCATTCTCCGAGTTCCTGACTGATACCTTCAATCGCCAGCATGACTATTTACGGATAAGCATTACGGAGCGATGCAATTTGCGGTGTCTGTATTGCATGCCCGAAGGTACGTCTCATCATCCGCTGTGAGGAATAATACTGATAGATATGGAACTCAGAGGGCGTGCCACTTTCTCCGCAATCACACATGCTTACCAGCCCCGAGATCTACTACCTAGCCTCCCTTTTCGTCTCTCAAGGCGTCACGAAGATTCGACTTACCGGCGGCGAACCCACGATCCGGAAAGATATTATACCCCTAATGCAATCGATCGGATCTCTGCGCTCGAAGGGACTACGGGAGTTGGCCTTGACAACGAATGCTATATCATTACACCGAAAACTGGATAGCATGGTAGAGGCAGGATTGACAGGCGTCAATATCAGCCTAGACACGTTGGACCCATTTCAATTCCAGCTGATGACAAGGCGAAATGGTTTTGAAGCGGTCAAGAAATCCATCGACAAGATTCTTGAGATGAACCGACTCGGAGCGAACATCAGGTTGAAGATCAATTGCGTTGTCATGCGGGGCCTCAATGATCGAGAAATCCTTCCCTTTGTCGAACTCGGTCGCGAACAGGATATCGAGGTCCGGTTTATCGAATACATGCCTTTCGACGGCAACAAATGGAGCAAAGGAAAGATGTTCCCCTATCAAGAAATGCTCGACCGCATTCGATCGAAGTATCCGACGCTGGAGAAAGTTCAAGATCATAAGAATGACACCAGCAAGACGTACCGCGTGCCGGGCTTTGTCGGCAAGATGGGATTTATCACGAGCATGACCCATAACTTCTGCGGAACATGTAACCGACTCCGGATCACCGGCGATGGCAATCTCAAAGTCTGTCTGTTTGGCAATTCCGAAGTCTCGCTCCGAGATATTCTCCGCGAAGGGAACGATGGCCTACCGATCGATGAAGAAGCATTCCAAACGATCAAGCAAGCGGAGATGAATCGGCTCGGCGAAAGCTTCAATGATGATACACCACTGGGGTGGGGGAAAAGGGAAGAGGGTCTTCTCGATATCATTGGTCACGCTGTGAAGCGGAAGAAGGAAAAGCACGCTGGAATTGGCGAGCTGGAGAAGATGAAGAATAGGCCTATGATTCTGATCGGTGGGTAGGTTCTGTGCTTTCACTCAATGTTGGCTGAGGAGAGATGGTTTATTTGAAAACATAGTCATAGATTCTGACTGGTGATCAATGCAGATGACGTACTAGACACATTGAGACCAACGGCATCGTTTTGGCCCACTGGTTTCGATACAGTGAAGCGCTCTGGACCATCCCCTCATTCAGGCGATCGAGAAGCCTCCCCACTGTTCACCCAAAAGAAACGCTGGGCGAACCCTGTACTTTGGCAACAATCTGTCCCACGCGTTGGCCAGTGGCAAACGACAGCTCTTCTTTACACTACCCACTCTAGACCATTCTCCACTACCGACTCTTTGAACGAAGAGGATGTGAAGCCAACGAAAGTTCGTTACACCAGCCGAAAACAGGCGGGTTCGGAAATGAACTATGCGGAAAAGGAGGGAATACGTAATCAGATTTTCAAAGAAGAGAGCGCCGAACGATTCAAACTGGCTCACGCTGGGAGGTCACCGAGCGAGGCCGAGAGTACCGATACATCGACGGCGAACCCTACGCTATCCTGGCCACCTACCATTGAAGCAGCCAAGGAGAGGTGGGCGGAAGAAAGACAACGCAAAGCTGCGGCAGCGAAAGCCATGATGGAGGGAAAACACAACGAAATGCTGTCATTGGGGCTGTCATTGGGACAGCCACCCGTTCCTTATCCATCACCACAGGAAGCCGTTCCGGAACAACCTCCCTCGAGAGTATTCCGCCATGTCGCCCAGGACCGATGGGGAAAAGGACTGGCAGTAGAGCCTGGCGCCAACCCAACGAGTCGACAAAAGCTGACACACCTAAACGAGCAAGGCGTCCCCCACATGGTGTCCGTGAGCGGCAAATCTAGCACCCGCCGCGTCGCCATCGCCGTCGGCCAAGTGCACTTCAGCGAGAACCACGGCGCCGCCGCCGTCGCCAGCCTCAAACACAACGCGAAAGGTGACCCTTTGTCCGTCGCACGGATCGCGGGAATCATGGCGGCCAAGGCGACGCCGTCGATCATCCCGCTGTGCCACCCGATCAGCTTGACGCACGTGGACATCCAGCTGGAGCTGAAGGTCAAGAAGGCCGCGTGGCCGACGGAGAAGCGGAAGAAGCGGGAGAATTCCCCAGCCAGTATCCTGGTGCGGGCGCGGTGCGAGACGGTGGGGGTCACGGGGGTGGAGATGGAGGCATTGAGCGCGGTGACGGGTGCGTGTTTGGGGATCATCGACATGCTGAAGGCGGTGGATAAGGAGATGTCAATGCGGAATATCCATCTAGTTGCAAAGGATGGGGGGAAAAGTGGGAGCTGGCGGAAGGCGGGATGGGAGGAGTTTGATGTCGACCGTGATTGGGAGCAGGATTCCACTTTTAACACGAATGAGTATGGGAGGCCCGCGTGATGACGTTCTGGATGTAGTAGATATGTACTATACAAGAAGCAAATCAAACCCTTCATTTCAATTCGTTCACATCGTTCGACCGTGCTTTTCATACGCAGTTCCCTTGGGGAAGTTCCAGCGGATATTCCCCATCACCTTCCACCACATCGGGGCCTGGATTCGGATACTTCAGCTCTGCATTCTCCCTGGGGCTGGTGCATCCATTGCCGACATTGACAGCAAGCATCTCGGGTCGGTTACTAAACGCCACAGTGGTTCCGGCCCGCTTCCAATGGTGCTTGGTCCTTGGGCGCGTCCGCGGTTCACGTCCCCGCACTGGTGGCATCTCGGAGCAGTAACAATAGCACGAGGAGAGCAGGATTCCTCCGTCGGACGTATCGGACGTACCGCCTTCGCAGTTGCAGGTGCATCCATCCATTTCGTAATGTGGACCTTCTCCCTCCGAGGTTGGTGGCTCTGAGGTCGGTGGCTGCGAGGCCAGTGGCTTCGACGGGAGTGACTGTGCCGGCGGGTCTTCAGGTTGCGAAAGAACGGGGGACGCGGGTGCGGTTGGTTGAGGTTCCAGTGCTTGGGAGGTACTTGGTAGTGGAGCGCCTTCTCCACTATCACTCTCGATGCTGATAGCTGCGCAATTCATATTGAGCTGGTCGCTTTAGTATCTTCGTTCAATAAGGCCACATCATGCTTACCTCTTGTTCGCGGTTCGTCCAACTCCAAGCGAACAGGACGTCCCCCGCTGGAAGATCCGTTGGAACCACAAAGTCAAAATTCTGATCGTCGTCTTCGTTCCGATGCGGACAACTGCCTTCATAGCTCTTGACAACACGGAATGTCTTCCCCTTATCGACCGAAAATCCGATTTGGCCTGTAACAGTGAGACGATGGACATCACATTATGGGTTGATGGGCACCCACAGCTTCCTCCATAATGATTTGCTGGTCTGTATATTAGCACCTCTTCAACATATCATGATCGACGCAGGGCGTTCATCCTACGTACATTGTCCGGTCATGTTCCAGTGCTGGGTGGACCCTGGTTTCCACGTGGCGACGGCCCGGCCTGCCGGGGTACCGAGGAGTTTCAACTGTCCTTTACATGGATACTCATGTTTCATGCCACAGCAGTTGTAAGGATAGTCTGGGTGTGGATCACCAGCACCTTCTGTGAAAGGATTGTTGGCCGCATTCAAAGACGGAGGATACTATAGAAGTCAGTGGATTCGGCTCAGCGCCGGATGAAAGATCCTACATCGAGGTGCATGTGTGCTTCCACATATGCCAGTAAGGAAGGAAGTAGAATGAGAAGGTTCTTCATCATGACTGCGTACTCCAGGTACAGTGTATAATGGTGCAAAGGAGGGAATGTTTTGGCTCGGTTCGATTCTTAAATCGAGAACAAATCCTAACACGGAGACAAAGGAATGACTGATGAAGAAAAAAAGTCTCGAGAGCAAAAAGAGTGTATATATAATTGGCGTGGTGTCAACAGGTGAGTGAAGAGAGGAATATTCGCCACTTGTCGGAAATCATCACTGCACAAAGGAGCGACTCATCAAAAAATCTCGAGAATAAAGAAAGGGAGAGCACTTATTTCCCATCCCTTACAGGATATCAAGGAGTATTTCTACGAACGATGGTCTCATTCCGGAAGTTTGGAAGTGTCCTGTGGGAATGGGAGGATTGGTGTTTGGAGTAGATTCCGGATTGTTTCAAAACATCCTGGAGAGCGCTTCAACCAACCAACGGAGCCGTCAAGGTCACCATCTGCATCCGACGCGACGGTCGTACCAGAGCGCTTAACAAAGAGTCCGGCGTTGAAAATTTTGCGCTCGTAAGTGTGACTGAGTTCTTTGTGTAACATTCAGCTGCCTAGCAAATGTTTCAGCCAACCCAGCCGGACTGGATCCAGCTGTGGCGGTTTCTGTGATCCATCAAGGGAGGTCGTTTAGCGGCCACCATATTCTGGTTTGAAAGTTTGAACCCCATACGCTTTCATCAGTTCGCGCAGCGCCATTGTTGCGTACTGGCTAGAACCAAGCTGCAGCTTCAAAATCACTGCGATATTGTCTCCCGAGCCTGACCCTTCCTTCGCCTCCTCCGCTTGGCTGCCGGCCGCACCCTTCTTTTGCAGCCTCTCCCAATCCGTTTCCACGAGTTGCTCGTCCGGATGGCTGTATCGTTTCACCGAATGTTCTGCGACCCCTGGACGACTCAGCAGCTTGCGATAACTGCCACTCAAACTAATATCTTTCCACTTCCTTCGCATGTCGTAGGGATCAATTCCACCGCCCTTCTCGCTTCCCATGAACTCCTTGTAGTAGTCGCCAATTTCGTTCGCGGGGTAAAGGATGTCGAATCCCGGTAAAGGAAGGACGACATCAAACACAGAGAATTTGCCGCTCTCGGCTTCCTCCTTGCTTAACGGGCGGGCACGCGTGTGCTGGTCCTCTTCGTCCGCTGCGCGATCAGTCATATCAGGTTGGACGACGACTTCGCCAGCGTCGTCTAGCGTACCCTTCTCCATTTGAGCCGCCTTCTCGACCAGCACCAGGTCGCCTTCTACGACGCCGTCTTGGAATCGCTCCCATCGGCGCGTAGCGACATGGTTCCACACAAGGCTCTGATACGCATGGACGTACATAAGTCGCAAACCCCTACTGATGGATCCGAGAGCCCCCTGATAATCGGCCAAGCGATCCTGCTTGCCGGACCGTCTGTCCTTGAACCCAAGATGCCTGATGATATTGGACTCTGCCGCAAACTTGCGAGGCATGATTCGAATCGCCTCGTCCGCTGATTGCGTAGTTTCCCAAACGTAGATCGCTCGAGCTCTGGCTACATCATCCGAAGACACCAGGGGCGCTTTTGTGGCCCCAGTATTTGACTCGTCGGCTGGCTGCTCGGTCTCGGATTCCTTCGGGAGTATATCATGATTGTACGTGAGGATTAGATCAATAGCCCCTTTCAAATCCTCCTGAAGGAGCTTCAACCCCACTTCGTCGGTACGCACAGCGAACGAACCAAAGCGCTGCAAGCCGTAGTAATTGAGAAATCCTTTCCCTTTGAACGCTGCGACAGCCTCAGAGACGACCTCATTGGCATATTCCAACCGTTTCTCCGGTGTGAGATCATCTTCGCCTGGGAAATGAGAATCGCGTAGCGTGATCACGAACTCATTCCCTTGAAGATCGCCGAGGTTCAGTTGATGTGGGTGATATTCAAAACCCCCGACTTTCGCATTGCGGAGTCGTTTCCCAATGCCCGCCAATCGCTCCGCTTGAACTCGGTACACGCTGACTCTTTGGACGGAGACGGCTCGGCGGTCCTTCGTCCCCGCGAATCCAAAGCTTTTGACTTGCATCTTCATTTGACTGGCCAGGAAATACAATGACTCCATTGTGTCCTTGTTTTCCTTGTACAGCGTGAAGTGCAGAAATTGACCCCCAAGCTCTTCCCAGTCTAGTTTTCCGGACCGTTTCCTGCCCGCCTGCCCGTTTCCTTGGGTGGAGCGCGCATCGTTTCCGCGATTCGAAGGGCCCGCCGATATTTTGATCGTATTGGAGTCCGTAGTTACGGTATTGAGTTTCGAGTGGAGGATGCGACGGACGGCTTGGTGGGCGCAAGTACGCTTCTCTTTGTCCTCGATGGAGGGCGAAGTGAACGATTTGAAGTCGCGGGCTTTCTTTGTGGGATTCTGGAGAACGTTTTGGTAAAGCTCCAACATACTATCCACACAAGATTTGCCGAAGATGTTCTCTAGGGTCGCAACATCCTCCGCCGTGACCTTCTTTTGTCAGTATTCAGAGCCAATTGACAGACAGATCACCACATACCTGACCATCGGCGCCAGAGGCACCCGCATCGTCCACAGGTTGTTCCTTCGGGGCTTGCTGGATCGGGTCCTCAGGTGTTTCCTCCTCCTTGGCTACTTCTTGACCTGAATTCTCACCATTCTTTGCATGAGGAATCGGTGCATCTGTTGCAGGAGGTGGCACATTCGATTTAGGACGGGAGTAATCGACGCTATCCAAATGCAGAACCTCTCCAGATAACTGAATCTCATTCACTAAGAAGTCCGTATACCTTAGAATCCGTAAGCATTAACAAAGCTATCTGGACACTTCCCATACCTTTGCTTGAGAATCCCAGAGAATCCTCGTCGATCAGGGCTAACATAGGCTGTTATGCCCGATCGCATCTCATCCGTCACTTGCGCATTGGCATCGAATTTGGGGGCGGGCGCATTCCCATTGCCATCCTGAGTATCGAGCCGCGCTCTTTTACTCGGACGTTCTTCGGAAGATTCCATATCGAAATGGTAGCGGGAGAAAATGTTTCAGATGCTAAAAGTGTATGAAATTTTTCGGAGTTTAGAAGAGATGGGATGGGAGCTGGAGGGACGAGGTCTTGGCATTCATCTTGCCCCTGATGACGGCTTGACCAGAATCGCATCACTCCCTGCAGTGATGTACAGGTTCAGATTTCAATTCAACGTCTGGATGGGAAGTTTCGAACCAAAAACTCATCAATCTGCATTTTAGTCCTAGTCAACAGTGCCGGAATAACTTCGCGTCGTCCCTTGCAGGTTCGATTTGTACGCAAGATTTTGGATCTTCAAACGTTGATAGTCCATTGTTCACCACTTCGTTCACTATCCACACTATCGTACAGTGTATATACAGTCAAGATCTGTCAAGATGATACAAACTGCCTTCTTCCCTGCCCATCAACCTCCCCCTCGATCCCTCCCGTGTCAGAACCACGACCCAGTCCCTCATGCGCTACCAGAGACCAAAAATCCTGCATCCCGTGTCCCCGATCCGGAACGCCCGACCCCCGGTTCCCCCTCTCCCCGACGTCCGCCACGATCTCCTGCGCTCGCTGGGTATCCCCCACTCTCAGCAACGCCTCCACGATGGCCGTGAGCGCCTTCCAGCTCGGCTGCAGCCCATCCTTCGACATGCGGGTCAGGAACGTCATCATCTTGCCCACGTGGTCGGCGCGGGAATAGCCCTCGATCATGCGGTCGTAGAAGAAGCCGTCGACGACGACGTTGTCGGAGAGCATGGTGCGCCAGAGGGCGTCGATCGCCTCGAGGTCGGGTGGGTGTTGTTGGAAGTGGTAGGTCATGAGCATCGTGCAGATGTGGACGGAGGGTTTCATTCCTTTGGCGCGCATGTGGGTGAGGACGCCTTGGGCTACCGCCGTGTCGGCGTTGCGGTGGATGATCCCGTCGATGATGGTGCCGTACATATGAGAGTTGGGAGCGATGCCTCGACTTTCAACTTCCCACAGGAATCGGAGGATGAATGCTAGCTGTTCCTCAGGAGGGAGATCGATAGTTCCGGAACGACCGAAGATGATGTTGGAAAGCATGCTGAAGGTGACGACGTTCGGTTGGATGTCGTTGTCCTGCATGTTCCGCAAAACTTTCATAGCGTTTTCCATATCGCTTTGCTCGAGGTGCATTTGGAGCATCACGTTGAACGTGTCAATGGTCAGGGGGATCCCCAGTGCTTGAGCCCAGGCGAAGACTTTCGCGATATCGTGGTGTCTTCTTTGCTTGCCTTTGCTGAGCGCGGTGATCACCGTGTTCAAGGTCCCAGTCGTAGGCTTGGGTGCCCCAGGCAGGTCGCCAATGGATTTTACATCCACCTTGGAGAGCGGTTTCCCATGAATGCGCTGGACCGCACGAGTCCACTTGTCGCTCATTTCATGAAGGAGCCGAAAGCCATGGTCATCATGGCCGCACCATAGAAATCCGAAGATGGCCTCGGTATAGGCTCGAGCATCCGGCTCAATCGCAGCACGATGCATGCGATCCCAGACTTCCTCAATGGCATCTCCCCGTTTCGCGATACGACAACCGACGATCATTGCCGTCCATGATGCCACCGTCGGAATGATGCCATTTTTCCGTAGGTACTGCCAAATCTGGATGGCGAGATCTTGTCTCCTCAAAGCCATAAACGTGGTCAAGGCGGTGTCGTACACAGACGACGGAATGGTAACCTTGACGGAGTCACCAATGCGAGTCGTATAGGCATCCTCGATCAGTTTCCACGTGTTTTGGGCCGCCCTTAAGCTCTTGTGTTCCTGTGCTCCGTAGAGAGCACCGACAAAGAAGTCGGCTAGGGATCGCCAAGATTCCGCTTTCTTCTTGCTTGACTTGAGGAGAGACGTCCATTCCGAGCCCCCTCCAAATACAATGCTTGCATACGACCTTGTTTTCTTAAGGTTCGCCAATAACTGCTGGTGGGTGACTGATGGTTCGCTGTGCCGCAGATGTTGACTCAGCCGATGGACCACCAGCTCTTGAGTGTTGAAAGTATCAGCGTGATGCAGAAGATGAGAAGCAAAGTTCAGAAACGGTTCAATATCTGCATCGACGGCATCAACCGTGTGTATCGAGTCTGTGGTGTGATTGATGACGAGAAGGTGGAAGGTGACGAGAAGGGCAATCTGCAATTCATCGATCGCCGTACCTGGGAAACCTGAGACGGTGTGGAGAAGGCGGTCCGAGAACTTCCTGAATTGGAAATCATCCCCTCCTATGCGTCGATCTTTGGTTTTAAGCATGGTCTGGACGGCGGTAGGAGCAGGTAGACACGACCAGTTTATTGAGCTTGTGCTCTTCCTTGGCTGATCCCGGGAAAGGGGATGAGCATGAGCATCGAAGAACAATGCCCATATTGTAAGGATTTCCCGAAGAGCACTATTCGACGGATTGATGTATTTCGGGTCGTTGGAGAGAAGCTCAAGCAAGAGGGTCCAGATTGCTTGAGCATAAAACTGTGGAAGCATTACGCCAACTCGCTGGAAGTGAGCGATGCATGACGACGGACTCGGGAGGTCAGCCATGGGATCCTTCTTCCACCCCCTCAGCATGACATTATAAAGCAGCATGAACACATTGGAAGTCCCGCGTTTGATCTTTGGCACGTCACTCAATGCTGGAGAAACCAACGCTGGACATCCAGGCCAGAATTCCTGCGTGAACAAGCGCCAGGCCTCTCCTGCGTCAGAACCGCGCGCTACCAAATTCTCCAGCGTTGTGACCGGACCTGTCCCTGCTCTTGGTGTGCGGTCTTTATGTTCCGTCACAGCTTGTCCCCTACCCTCAGCAGGATGTCCACTGTAGTTCGTCTGCACCCAGTCCATAAGAGGCACTCCTTTCATACTTGAGTCGTGCTCTGAAGGTCGATTTCTGGCCGCGCTGGGGCGAAACGATTCTCCGCGACGCCTCTGTTTGTTCCCATCCTCTCGAAGGGGCCATCGCAACTTATAAGGTACTCCTGGGATATGTTTTCTCTCCGTCTTTGATTCGTCCTGGGCTTTGGTTTCGCTATCGGGACGTTCGGGAGATGATGCGAATGCGGTGGAATATGCTCTCCGGTATGAATTAAGAGCATTTATGCTCCCAACAGCTTGGAGCTTGGAGCGGCAGCTTCGGCATATATACCCATTGCTGGTCATTGGGACTTCGGTGTTGTAAAGCTCCTTCAATCCCCCGAGCAGTCCAGCGACAGGTTCGGAAGGGAGTCTTCTTGATCAACGCAATCGCGCTATGTCGGTCTCCTTCAACTGGAAAGGGGTATACCACGTTCCATGTTTAATATATCATATTAGCCATCAACATCCCATGGAGTCCCCTTTGCACGATACAACAGTACGATCCATCATCCAACATCTAGTAAAGCACGCCTGAACTGATGAACTCTGAAGGGTTTGGTGAATGTTGATCGGCTAATGCTCGGCAAGTCGGCACAAGGACATGGATGTGGAGACTAATACGTTCGGGTTCCACATTATTCGACCGACTCACTCTCTCCCTCCGGATAGCCATCACTCCCTTGCTTATTTGGAGTGCTAAATGTCAACACTTCACATTCCACAAAGAAGTTGCCATGACTCATGGTGACAATCCTAAAGTATTTGAACCCCCCGAACCCTTTCTTCGTTCATTGTTGCCAGCCTGTCAAATCGGCGATCTTACCGATATCAAATATCCATTCCTCTGGCCTCTCACAACCTACGGAATACAGTGCCGAGTGCTTACCCCTGCTTCCTGATCACCCAAAGGTCAAAGGCCCAAGATTTCCCGGGTCTGATACTACCACGCAACAGGGTTGAGAGTACCGCAAGATGACCTCGCTGGTTCCAAGAGAACCGTACACCGCGGATGAGCTGCGAAGCTTATACCCAGAAGGGCTTGAGCTTCAATTAGTCCAAGTGGTGAGTCAGAAATGTTTGCTCGACATCCCAAGTACCTTAACTAACATGGATGATTCCATTAGCTGTTGCGACATGGAGAGAGAACTCCAGTATCAGCTCGGTTCCAGAATGTAAGGATTCTCTATCAAATTTAATGAATATTGGACTAATAAACAAATAGACCGGACTGCACGGACGTATGACTTCCATGAAGGATAACTTCGAATGAACAGGCACTTACATCTGCATAGATTGGCCGTACTGCAATGCGGCTCGAACACTGACAAGCGCTGTCCTGTCAACAAGCGACTTCTCAAAATGGGGCTCGCTAAAGTACCAGAGAAGCCTTGAGACATTTGGCCCTGATGACGGACCAGTGCTTACTGCTGGGCCGAAGCAAGAATCCGACGCCATCTGCCTGCCAGGAGAACTCACGGACTTGGGTCGAAAGACCACCTTAGAACTTGGACACCGCTTACGACGTCTATATGTTGATCAACTCGGGTTCATGCCCAAAGTCATTTCGAACACTGACATGATCTATCTTCGATCGACACCGATACCACGTGCCCTCGAGTCAATGCAGCAAGCATTTTCGGGCATGTACCCTTCCAGTGCGCTAACCGCTGATTGTCCACCACCCACGATATACCAAAGGACACCAGCCAATGAAACCTTGTATCCCAACGATAGTGGTTGCCGTCGCTTTGCGCATCTGAATCGTGCATTTGCGGAGAGGACCGCCGCTCGTTGGAATGGTTCTCCGGAGATGCGGTATGTTAATAAAAAAATAGGGAAGTGGATGCCCGACGGCCTAGTTGCCGTTGACTCGCGTCCGAGGTTGTCGGGAATCATGGACAGTGTGAACGCAACGTTCGCACATGGAGCACCGACCAAGCTGCCCGCAGAATTCTACGACCCGAAATTGCGGGAGATCCTTGACAAGGTGGCAGTTGAAGAATGGTTCGCGGGGTACACTGAGTCTCGAGAATATCGAATGCTGGGGATCGGAGCTCTTGCCGGTGACATTGTGTCTCGAATGGTCGGAAATGCCGAGCAAGCCGCCGTCGATGCATCAGCCCAGGGTGGCGGGGATGATGACGACGTCAGAGCCGGAAAAGAACGTGAAACCGGCATCAAGTTTGCTTTGTCCGGATGCCACGACACCACGCTTGCCGCCTTGCTCACGGGACTGGGAGCGTTCAAGGGCGAGAAATGGCCTCCGTTCACCAGCCATATCGCTGTGGAGCTGTTCAAGAAGACGGAATCAAAGGTGGAATCTGAGGCGGAAGGGTCTGAGGACGCGGCAACGTTGGCCAAGAAACCAAAGGGGTTTTGGAACAAGAAATCCGCAGGGAAGCTGGAAGGAATCGCGCGAAGGCCGATGCAGGAACTGACGGAGGACGAGAAGCAAAGACTCGAGGGATATTTCGTGCGTCTGCGGTACAATGACAAAGTCATGCAAGTCCCTGGGTGCAAACTTCCGGGCAACCATCTTGAAGGAGACGAGAGCTTTTGCACTCTGGTAAGTACTTTCCGCACCCCATCAACGACCATGACTTACGATGACCCAGACGGCCTTCAAAACCCTGGTGGACAAGTTCACGCCTCCCAACTGGAAAAAGGCCTGCGGATCCAACCTGGATTCTCCGAAATTCCCCCCCGAGATCGAGCCTGCGGGAGAGCTCTAAGATGCGAATCGAAGATAGCGAATGTCGTGTTGCGTGTTGCGTGTTGCGTGTTGCATGTTGCGGTTGAAAAATGGAATTCGTGGTGGCGTCAAGACTTGGTTGTCGAGGACAACGGACTCAAATGTCGATATGAGGATTGAAGGAGGGATCAAAAACGGTGCATTGACAAGGAAGTCAATAGAATAGTAGTCGGGAATACCTACCTGTGTATCTTAACTGGGGATCAGTGACAAAGGTGTCATGAATCCATGCACAAAATACTGAAATGCTGCAGAGCATCAAGTTCTGATACCAACCGAGTGCCGTTGAGATAGGATGTGCCCCTAGGATCTACGCAATCCAGTGACGTCCCCCCAGGGAATCGAGAATGTCTGTTTTCCCGTAGCTCATATCCGACTCTGCATGCCGTGTTATCATTCCCGTTCACTCCACCAACCCGAATTACGGTACATGTTTAAATCTTCGATTTGATATTCAGCGGCAATGGTCACGTTGGTTTTACCACCGACACGGGCCAAGTACAGCTGAAAAACCAAGTCTAGTCCGACAAAGTAGATCATCCACGCACAACGTGTGTCGAATGGAACAACCACGGGGCCTGCGAGATAGTGGCGGTTCTCTACTCACTTCAGTGAGTTAGAGTTTTGCACCTTGGACTTCTGAGGGAGGTCATTGGCCGTGGGACGGCGGAGGGGAGGTACCTACTGTGTACTTACAGTGAGATCAGGTGATGAGCCTTGCCATTTAGGGGCGGTAGAAGGTCACCGGTTCGGTCCACGCTCTTGCTGTTCTGTTTTTCTTGCTTGCTTCAGAAGGGAAGCAAACCAAACTTCTAGCCACTAGATTCTTCAATTCAGCTCATAGTCTTATCATAACTATGTATTGTGTCCTTTTCAGTGATTGAACGATGCTTGCAGAGACTTAACGATGGCAAAATTCATGTACTATGGCAGAAAAATAATGAATGTCATGATTTAACAGGACAGGAGCCCCTTCTGCCTAACAAAGGTCAAAATCCTAAATTGATTTCAATTCGTATACTCATATCGATACGGTGTATTTAACACTGATCTGACTGATTTCAGCACGCTCATTTTGGTAGTGACCTTGTACTGGGGAATCCCCGATCTGATGCTTCTCATTGAAGTCAAAGAATGAATTTCGGGAGCTACCGCGATATCCCGAAGTGCCATTGTTGGTGGATATCGGATATTTAGGCGCTTTTCCCGACCGCTTTCTCCAGGTCCGCTAGTAAGGCAGTTAGCACCATTAAATCGTCATTCTGGTAGAATTGACATACCCAATGCTTCTCGTCGCTTATACTTCGCATCCTCGATGACGCCTGTGAACCTCGTTAGTGTACTGATATTAGTGAGAGACGAGGGAACATACCCACGGATGCATCGCTGGAGAATTGCCCAGACCTTAATGTATGTTAACATCACATCGCTATTTGTTCAGCGATGTACTTCTTACCATTGAACGAACGTATGTCCCCTATGCTCTCCAGAGGTGATTGGGAACAGTCGTACCGTGCTAAGGACGGAAGTATAGTCGAGTGCCGGCTTAGCGGTGATGACGCTGTACGTGATGAAGTGCTCGATCGTCTACAGGGAGCCTGTCAGCAAACACGCAATCAAGGAAATCCACAGAGAAGCGATGGCATATACTATAGCCGCCTCATCTGCGGACCCGGTACGAAGAGCACCCTACTGAATGTTCCTCCTGCTTGACCTCCAGCACCGTGCCGTCCTGGAACGTCCACTTGATCACATCGGTGTCCGGGGAAACTCCCTTTGTAATTTCACTCTTAGATAGATTCGTCCAGAACGTCGCAAAGTCCTGCAGTTTGATCAAGTGCCAGACCTTGCTGAGCGGGGCGGAGATGACGGCGCTTTCGACCACGCGGGCGGCAGTGGGGATCGTGGATGCCATGTTGTACCGGGATTTGGTTGGTCGATGATCTGCAGAAAACTGGCGGTCGAGATACTTTTCGTGGATGTCAAGGAAGCAGGTTGGAGAAGATAGTTCGCGGTCCATTAAATTTGCTGGCGGGTCGGGGAATTATAAACGACTGGAGGATTTCCGGGCGTAATAGTGAAGTCAGGCTTCCGCGCTCCCGCCGATCGTGTGTTGACCGTTAGTTGAAGCTGGTTGCCTGTTCCGGAGATGCAGCGCACTGCGTCATCGGCTTGGAGCTCCCTTGCTTTCATCATGCGCGAAGACGCGACGACGTGTGAGGGTTCGGGAACACGCCTGTCAAAGCCATCAAATATCTAATTTGATCGGTGCCTCTTCCCCGTTTGCCAAAAGAGAGGTAATATACTGGTAGGTACCGTAACAAAGGCGGATGGATGGATTTACGGTGCAATGGCCTGGGTTGGTCAAGTTTCACGAGCGGCTGCCATAGAAGGCAGTAGATCCATCTAGCATTGCTATCTTACACACCTAGGCATGATTGCTACGACTCTCCGGGCGTAGGCTAGAGGAAGATGTCTAAGGTGGCGATGCAATGGGAGGGAAAGGTCACTGTCATCAAGAGACTACCGGAGTGGATCGTTTAGAGGAGTGGTATCTATGGCAGCTTCATCAATAAACGAGAGGAGAGTATACATCCTAACACCGAGGAGGATACTAGCACGGTGACGCCTTGAAACTGCAATCACCCTTTCGGAAAACTTTGTGGGTGATCATCCATTGTCGAAAAACGCGAAATCATTCTCATCTTGACGCTATGCAGAACTTCACTCATGGAAATACAAACATGAATAATGAGGAGAATTCGGAACTGGTGAAAAGAAACCATCGCTATCAAGTCTCGCTCCGGAGCAAGGAACGCTCAGGTGTAGCTCCGCATCGCATCCTCGTATCCGGTCCCGCCCTTCAGATCGCGGTTGAAGCTCTCAGTAACCTCGAGAACACCCTTGATATGTTCCATGGAGAGGAGGCTCCCCTCGTTGACCGCGATGGCTTGCGCAGCACGGACAGCATTCTTGATCTGTTGAAACTCAGTTAGCATCGCCACTCATGAACAAGCAAAATAGGGGGATCTTACCTGTCGACCATTCAAAGTATGCCGAGAGAGGGCATCGAAGTCCGGCTCGGAGAACGGAGTCGTCTTGATACCTTCCATGACCCGCACCTTCTCCAAGAACGTCCTCCACACCTCCTTGCGCGCCGCCGGCTTGAGCTCGTTGTATCGCAGCGCGACGTGAATCCGACTCTGGAATGCATCGTCGAACGTCTCCACACGATTAGTGGTCAGGAAGAGGATGCCCTGGAAATACTCGAGCAGACGGAGGAAGATGGACACGAGCGCGTTGCGATGGATGTCGTGGATCTCCCGCTTCTCCAGGAACACGTCCGCTTCGTCGAGGAGGAGGACCGCGCCCCAGCTGTGTGCGATGTCCATGATCCGTTGCAGTTCGGATTCCAGCCGCGCCGGGTCAGTGCCGAGTTCACCGGCAGAGACCGCATACAGCGGGCATTTGAGGAACTCCGCGATCCCCTCGGCCGTCAACGTCTTCCCGACGCCGGGCGAGCCGTGCAGGACGATGACAAGTCCTTTGCCCTTGCCTTGCACGACGTCGTCGATGGTCTCAGCAGCATGGAACTTATGGGCGGACACAAGCGATTTGACGATCGATTTCTGCTTTGCAGGTAGAACCAGCGACTCGAAAGCGCCGTCGTTCCATTCGATGTCGTGGACGCCGCTGAGGGTGAATTCCAACCAGAGCTTCTCTGAAAACGAGAACCCCAAAACCACAGGGCTCGCAATGAGTAGCTCCGCTTCCGAGAACTCGGTTTTCTTGGCCCCAATTTCACCGTTGAGCTTGTCAATGTTCTCACGAGGGAGCTCATCGCCATCCGCATCGACGGGGACGTCGACGATATGCGGGTGGTCCTTGTCATCAAAGATGATCTTGCGCTTCGTCTTCTCTTCGTCCCCGCCCTCGTCACCGCCCAAGGCCTCAATATGAGCATGCCCCTCATCGTCGTCATCATCCGAGCCGCAACATCCGGAGCAATCGTCGCTATCGGAAAAATCCTCTTCATTATCTTTGGGTCGCGTGACCGTGATGGCGTAATTGGGATTAATACGGCGGAAGATCGCAGGGTCGACCATGATGCGGCCGTTGATGTGAATCCGAGCGATCTGATTCTTCTTCTTCTTCTGGAACGCGAGGCCCTTATGGAAGCGGTAATTCATACCCTGGAAAGACACGAACTTCCTTCCCCGTTCGACGAGCTGCTTGCGAACAGCTTCGGGATCCTTGTGATACTTCAGAGGGAAGCATGGAAGGTTGTTGATCTTCTGAGGTCCTTTGAACGACTGGATGGGGACATTGAACTCTCCCATGCCGAAACTTTTGCCATCGTACTCGAGATAGCGTCCATCAACATCATACCATTCGCCTCGCAGAATGGAGCTGTTCTTGTACGCATGGTCGACTTTGAAGCAACGAGGTTCGTCGGCTGCACCATACGTGCTAGTGTATGCAACGGTATTCGGCTTGAAAAGCGCCCAGAGGAGTTCAAACGTGATGGTGCCAACCTCCAGCATCGGGTATAGCTTCTTCTTGGTCGCATCGTAGTCCTCGTCCAGGTATGCCACCATGAGTTTGCAATGCGAAATCTGGAGTTTGAGCTTCTTCTTCAGCTTCCGCTTTTTCTCCGCCTTGACTCGTGCCTTCAAGGTTTTCTTGTAGTGTTCGCGGAAGTCTTCAAGGTAGAGGAAAAGGGAGTTGGGGTCAACCTGGCCAAGGTTAGCTACATAACACAGTTCGGATGGAGGTGACTTACACTTGGTCGATCCTCAACCAGAGAAACGGACTTGACCTCCTTCATCACCTCGGCGAGTGCGTCTCGGAGAAGCTTCGACTTAATATCGACGCTCGTGTTGAGATACTTGTTTTCCCAGTCGAAGGTGCGGCGAACGGTGAACACGTATTCATCGTATTCGTCCATATGCTCCTCGACGGACTCCTTAAGCTTGTAGTTGTGTATCGTGTCTGAGGCCAGTCAGCAGTGATCGCGGAATCAACGGACATACATACTATCCCACAGCTCATCGAGCCGCTTGAACTCGAGAGTAGATCCGCGCTTCGCCTTCTTCCGCTTCGAAAGTTTACTCTTCTTTGACGACTTGCCAACCTTTCGGGAGCGCCCACCGCCGTTCTGACCTTTCTGTTGCTGCTGAGTCATGAGGACTTCCAACTGGCTTTGGGCATCCTGTAGCTGTCGCTGTAGCTCGGTCATGGCCGTTGTAGCAGCATTGTCCGATCCCTCTGGCGAATCCTCCCCTCGCTTGTCCTCCTCCGCTCCAGCCTCCGCATCCGACTCTGACTCTGAATGTGACGTTTCGCGATCATGACGGGATGACTTCTTCGAACGGCGATTTCGAGAGCGGCGATGGTCGTCCTCCGATGAGGAATCCGATGACGATGATGAATCCGACGAATCCGACGACGACGAAACCCGTTTCGACTTCTTATGTTTCTTGGACTTCGCCTTGCGTAGCTGTGCTTTCCGCCGTCTCCGGGCCTTGAGCTTCTTCTTGAGCTTCTCTTCAGCCTCCGAATCTGAGTCCGAGGAACTGCTGGAATCGGAGTCGGAGTCGGAGTCGTCGGAGGATATCTCGGTCGAGTCGTCGATCTGTACCTTCTTCTTCCCTTTAGTAGCCTTCTTCTTATGCCTCGGACATTTCTTGATCTGCTTCACCGTGGTACCGGTCATAGCCTCCGTTGCACCAACACTTGGGGATGTCTTTGTAGCGGCGGGAGTGTCATCTTGCTTGATTTCGATCTCCTCCCCCGCCTTATTGTCCCGAGCAGTGTCCATGTTTGTGACTGCCACGGTGTCGGTATTAGGAATCATCAAAACGAAGGAGAACCGTTTCTTAAGGGGTTACACCTTGAAGTGAAAGAAAAGGATTCGTCGGCGTACTGCGAAGAAGGCACTGCGAAGAAGTGGGTGGGCTGGTGAAGTACGGAATACACATGCAACATACACCGGATTCACAAGCACCATGCAGGGATGTGAGCTCAAGTGAGGCGGTCTACGTGGTACTCGGTCAGTGGAAGAACACGTTCAAGCATGTGGAACAACGCAGAGGTGGAAATGGGCGGATGTGGTGCCTTAAATATCTGAAGAGTGAAGACTGGTGAGTGATGAACCGATGATATTATAACAAGCTGACCGGCTCGTTGCCTCGTGACCCTTGCACAATGCAAGGAGGTGAGGATATCCACCACGGTGTCTGGCAGTTACTAATAACTAAGGAAGTTGGCTCGAGTGTTAACCTTCAGCCTCAGATCATCAGAGCGCTAATATGAATGTAATGAACGCTATTGGGACTCGGGAGTTGGGAGGGAGTGGGCGAAGTGAGTATTCACATCTGATACAGTTCACCAATAGTGTAGTGGTGGTGGTGATTGGCAAGGCTACAGTACATGAATGATGGGTCCGGTAATCCCGATATGGCTTAACATCCTTGCTTCAGCCTTGAACTATCATCGGATTCCCTGTGACTCGAATTGAATATCTCCTTTCATTCACCACACTGACCGGCTTCTCATTAGCACGTTCAATGCGGTTTGAGGATCCATATATCTGACATACTTGGCTAGGATTCCTCCTCGCAGCTAATGCGGCTTGAAGTTTCGACATTAAAAGGCCCCATAACTCGCTGCGGCGACGCCCAGGCACTGCCACATTATGGGGATTTGGAGCATCGCCAGGTCACTCCGCTTAATGCGGTAACGGTTCGAATGTGACTCACAAATGAGATATGGATTTCAAGTTGCAGGTCCTGTTCACTCTAGGTAATCGATTGACGCCACTCGCGACACCACATTTGTCACGATGATTCCAGACAACAAAGCTAAAGAGAGTGCCCAGGGGAATATATCGATGGAGAATTATGAATACTTTGTAGACTATGTTTAACGCTCATTCGTCACGCCCATCCAAGTCATCTTGCTCGTCTTCTTCATTATCATCAATCGTCTATGAAATCATCTCCCGACCCAGACGGATTGGAATCGTCCTCGGGGTACGCTTCATACGTCGAGGAGATGGCACTCGTTGCCCGTTCCCGCGCACCCCGTCGCGACAACGATCTCGGAGTTACAACTTGACTCGTTGCCTCCAGCATTGATTCGTCGCTGTCCGAGTTAAGGTCACCGGATCCTTGCTCGATGCTGGGCAGGACTCTCTCTTCAGTCACGCTTGTCGACACTCTTCTCCTTCTTCTTCTTGGCGTAACGACAGTCGAGGATGCTGACCTAGCCCATCCCGAAGGGGTCGAAGGAGCGGATGAAAGCTCCGCTGCCTTATTCCTCCTCCGCAACCCCCTCTCTTCACTCGTATCTCTCTCATGAACCGACGGACCCGTGTCGGACGTTGAACCAAGCCGCCTTCCCCGCCATCGTCGCTCCCACTCGGCCTTGTAGGCAGTGCGATGGTACCAGTCATCCAAACGAAAATCTTCCTCTGTCTTCTCGGTGATTATCGGTTCCGATGGCGGGTGGAACTCCTGTGGCGAGGGATGCAGCTCCGGGCGGATTTGCAGTAGTTCCAGGAGGTGTTGCTGTTCTCGGTGAGACTCCTCGTTGTCGTGGATGTTGGCTTGGGTATCCGAGTTCATGTCGGATGGTTCGGACGCATGAGTCTCCTCGATGTCAGACATCGTGTCCGGATCCGGATCTCCCGGCAAGAATGGAGGGCCAGAAAACCCGTACTGTGGCGCGGGTGGCGCCCCCGACGGCGCAGCTGGATGGACTCGAACGTCGTTCTCGTCAGGATACAAGTCGTGCAATCGTTGGATTGTCCCAGGGACAATGAATTCGGTGTAATGGTCTGGGGTATCTCGCCGTCGAACTCTTGAGCTTCGTCGTTTTTTCTTCGGGAGTTGATTTCGGTAGTCCAGCCGTGGATCGGGGATTCTTTTCCTGGTACTGCGCAAAGCCACCGCGACCTGATCGTCTGTCAATGGCTTGCTGAGGGACTTGCTGTGCATGTCGGCAGTCCGCCAGTACACCACCAACCCGCAGCGGCGAGGTAAGTTGAGCCAGTATTTATTGCGATATTTGTCCTGCCAGTCCCGCTTTGCATCCATGCCGACCAGGTCGAGAGCATCCCACACGTCTTCCTTGCGGATGCATGGTTTGTAGCTCTTGGTGTCCGCCGGTCTGAACTGAGCTATGCGCTCCCGAGCTCTGTATATCGCCGCCTGAACCACTCGTTTGGTGATCATGAGGACCACCCGGGAAAAGTCTTCAAAGGCCGAATACAAGATCGACGGTTCTTCATCTCCTTGTGCAACTTCCCGCCAATTGCAGATTTCTATCTCCCTTCTCGGGTTCATGAAGACGTTCCGGGACAATTCTAGAAATCGTTGAAGGTTAAGTACTCTCGCGGCAGGAATCTTATCCAACAATGTTCGCCCTTCCTGAGCGTAGGACTTCGCCTGTTCCAAGGTTTGCGGGAGCCAGTATTCTCCACGAGCCCATGAAGCTGCACCCAGAACACCGTCTTCGCCAACTTCCTCCTCATTCATCTCCGCTCGCATCCGTGCATTCTCGCTCGGCATCAAACCCTCGATCTCTGCCGCAATGTCGGATGTCAAAACAGCAACATCGCCATACTTCTTGATCTCGTCCTTTCGCTCTTTATGCCAAACACGGACCTGCAGACTCTCCGCGGCACGGTCTAAGGCATCTTCGGCAATCCCGTTCATCTCGAACGCCGCTGGAAGATCACGATATGGAAGCAGGATGTCGTCGACCTCCTCCCAAAGTGGTTTGAGATCATCCGCAAGTGGGTCCACATGTACGGTCCGAAGCCAGGATTCTAGAAACTGTGCGTAGCTCTCGCACTCGAAAGGGTTTTTGCCTGTTGCTTCTCCAACACCGTCGTTGTATAATTTCCAACTCTCATCCGAGGAAGAGACATCGGTTGCTGGGTATGTTGCCCAATAACCCTCCGTGTCGGCGTCGTAGGAATGTTCTTCGTCGGTGCGGGTTTCATTGCCCTGATTCGCATCCTTCTCGGTCCCGGTGTGTTGTTGCAGCTGATGAACCCAAGAGTTTAGGCGAGACCTGTCTTTTTCAATTCCGCGTTGGTTCCCCCCGTCTTTGATGGTATCCCCTAGCTCGCTATCACGCCCGTCCACGTTCGAACCATCTCCTTCTCGTGAGCGCTCTTTCCTCTTCCCTTTGCCGGTGTTATTGAGCCCGATATCAGGATGGGTGGAATGTTCGTCGGTAGACTGGCCGCTCGCATAATCATCCTGCCCTCCCGTAGACTCATCTCGAACATTAAGAGAAATATTTTGCGGGGGCACCCGTTGGCCGTTGGATTCGGATGGGGGAGTCGTGGAGTCGGAGTCCGAATACTCTTCGAAATCTTGCTGTTGTTTGACGAGATTCACAATCTTAACAATCTCGGGCAAATTTCTTCGGCCTTTCAACTCCAGAGCCTTGAAGAAGGCCGCCTTTTCTGCCGCAGACCATGTAGTTGCGCCAATTCGAGATGGTTTCAGCCCACGGATATCGAAATCTGCGAACGGATTTGCGGCACGCGTGATCTCCTGGTTCAGCAGATGACGGTATTGGTCGGAATAATAGCCTTTTGAAGGGAGCAACCGAATCCGCCGTTTATAGGTCGAGAGCGGTCGAGAAGGCGAGGGCGACTGTTCGTCATCCGCATATCTCGCGGAACTCGGTCGATTGTCTTCGTCTCCTAATAGACTCTCCGAATTCCATTGCGCTGAATCACTGTTGGTAGCTGGCGGAGCAGTTTTTCGTCGCTTCAGTGGACTGGAAAGGGGCTCTCTCGCCAGGTGCGATGACGGAATCCGGCGTTTTCGACCTGGCAGACTCGATTTATGCGCAGGCGCCAGTGAAACATAGGTGTCGTAGATAACATCTTGCTGACCTGGGGATTGCGGCGACTCCTTCCATGCTGCGAGCCCTGGCGACCTTATACGAGATGCCGATGAAAGTAAAGGGAATTTCTCTTCGGTATCGTGGTACAAATGATTGGAAAACTTGGCCCGAGGCAAACCAGGCTCTGAAGATCCCGCCGATGCTTCAGAGTGGCCTTCGCTTGACATGATCTGAGGAATGTTTGATGAGGGGGAGATCGTTGGAAAAAGTTGATATCAGATGCGATCAGCTGTGATTGGTTCGCTGACACGCGTTGCGCGAATAAGTGGAGAACGAATCGACCGTCTTCAATTGTTCAGATCAGATTGATCATCAGGACATGAACAATAAGAACAGGTACTTTTGAACAGCAAAGTCATAAATGTACAGTTTAAAGACGGGATGAGTCTGATGCTCGTAATGTTAATGGTTAGGTGATGGTCTCACATATTCCGTTTGAAGGTGTCCTATGAATATCCTCACTCGAGCGTTTGGCGTTGGCAGAAAGCAACTGCCACATTTTCCGCACTGGCAATACGTTCGAACCACTCGAACGATTTCCGGAGCTCAAGTGTCTTCATCGTTGTTAAAATCACCTGGACCGGCTATCAAACTTAGGGACTACCAGGAAGAATGCATTCAATCAGTCCTCTCTTACCTGAGGAAAGGACACCAGCGCCTCGGTGTCTCCTTGGCCACGGGAAGTGGAAAGACAGTTGGTTTCTACGATCTAATAGTGCTAGCTACATACTGATGTTGCGCGGCAGGTTATTTTCACCCAACTCATTGAACGGATCCCCTCCAAAGATGTCGCATCCCAGACTCTCATCCTGGCGCATCGCCGGGAGTTGGTGGAGCAAGCGGCTCGCCACTGCACAGGACAGTACCCTGACAGGACCATCGAAATAGAGATGGGATCAAACCATGCTACAGGGCATGCGGACATCACTATTGCTTCAGTGCAAAGCATAACGTCTGGCGACCGGTTAGAGAAATATGATCCTTCCCGATTCAAATTGATCCTCGTCGACGAGGCGCATCATATCGTGGCCCCGAAATATTTGGAAGTCTTGGACCACTTTGATCTCCGTTCAGATCAGGAGGTTAAGCCAGCACTGGTGGGAGTGTCCGCAACGTTCTCCCGCTTCGACGGCATACGTCTAGGGGAGGTCATCGATCATATCGTTTACCACAAGTATGCACCACGCTCCCATGTGAGATTCCAGCTGACAGCTCAGGGATTACGTTGACATGATCGAGGACAAGTGGTTATCGAATGTCATATTCACCACCGTCGAGACGCACGTCGATCTCTCCCACGTCAAGTCATCCAAGAGTGGAGACTTCCTTACATCGTCCCTCTCCCCAGCGGTGAACACCCCCGAGGCGAACGAAATCACCGTCAAGTCCTGGCTTGCCAAAGCCACAAATCGGCGGTCCACTTTGGTGTTCTGCGTCGACGTAAAGCATGTCTCACAGACCACGGCGACGTTCCGCGACCATGGCATCGATGCCAGGTTTATCACGGGCGACACACGAGCGGGTGTCCGGAGTGAGCGGCTGGATGGTTTCAAACGAGGAGAGTTTCCGGTTCTTGTGAATTGCGGTGTGTTCACCGAAGGGACGGACATCCCAAATATCGATTGCATCATATTAGCACGGCCGACCAAATCACGGAATCTGCTGGTCCAAATGATCGGGCGGGGAATGCGACTACATCCTGGGAAGGAAAACTGCCATATCCTCGACATGGTTGGGTCTCTGAAGACGGGGATCGTGACCGTTCCGACCTTGTTTGGTCTTGATCCGAATATCCTGCTCGAAAGTGCAGATATGGATCAAATTAAGGACATACGGGAGAAAAAAGAGCGAGAGTTTGAACAGGAGCTAAAGACCGAGTCTGCGCCAAACATTGTCAGCTCCGCTACTCCCAAATCAGTTAGATTTATTGACTACGATTCCGTGAGCGACCTGATTGAGGATACTTCTGGGGAGAGACACATTCGCGCAATCAGTCAACATGCTTGGGTAGATGTGGGTGAATATCGATATGTCCTTGCCTCCCAGAACGGGGATTACATCACGATCGAAAAGTCTCCGCCATCCAGCGGTTTCATCGTCAAGCACACGCTCAAGATTCCTTTCCGACCCGGTCAGAAGGCGACATCGCCGTACGCTCGACCTCGGGAGATCGCTCGCGCAGACACCTTCGAAGACGCCGTCCATGCCGCCGACACGTTTGCATTAGAAACCTTCACGCGACAGTTCATCGGCAAATCCCAACCGTGGCGGCGCGCGCCCGCCAGTACCGCGCAGATCGACTTCCTGAACAAGTTTCGCGGTAAAGATGATCAGTTGAAGGAAGGCAGCATGACGAAGGGGACGGCCACGGATATGATCACGAAGATCAAGTTTGGCGCGCGCGGGCGGTTTGGTCGAATGGTGGGGGAGAAGCGCAAACACGCGCGTGTGCGGGCGAAGGAGGAGGGTTGGAAGGAGTTGCAGGCGCGGGAAAAGGTGCAGGTTGGCCCGTTGAATATGTCAGCAAGCTAGATAAATGGAGTGGAAGGTCTCCCTGTCATTATTCAATTATGATCTATCTTGGTATAATGCGTGATGCCATTACGCCCTGAAACCAATGCCATATGCGACCATCGTCGCTAAATCTTCCCAGTCGTTCATCCGTGAGCCATACATCGTATCTCCGAGGAGCCCATCCATGTGCATGGAGATTGTTCCACGTCAGCAAGTTTGCTATGTAAATTCCATGCATCGTCCCGTTGTAGAAAACACCGATCGTCCGATCATTTAAACGACAGCGCGCTGGCCCCTCCAAACAACGCCTTGAGGTTCTTCAACCGTTGCTCCATCACCTCCGTCTTGTCCAGCTTCGCGTTTTTGCTCATCGAGAGGTCTGCCAGATCGCGTTTCGTCTCCGCCAGCTTCAGGATGTTCTCCTCGATGCTGCCTTTGATGATGAAGTGGGTGATGACCACCTCTCGGGTCTGCCCGAGGCGGTGGACGCGCTCGACGGCTTGGGTTTCGGCCGCGGGGTTGAATTGGGGCTCCATCACGTACACGCGACAGGCGGCTGTGAGGTTGAGACCGACGCCGCCCGCGGAGATGGAGATGAGGAACACTTCGATGGACGGATCGTCTTGGAATTCTTGGATGGCGTCGCCACGCTTCTTCCGAGACATACTGCCATCGAGGCGAACGAACGGAATGCCTTTATCTTGGAGTGCAAATGAGATGAGGTCCATATGAGATGTCCAGTAAGTGAAGACCACACTGCAAGACATGTTAGCTGACGGTTCCAATTCGATCAAAGCCCCCTACCTCTTGATGGGACCCTCGTCAGGACGTGCCTTGCTCCGCTCCTGATTCTCCTGGAGCGAGGCAAGCAGAGCCTTGGTCTTCGTGTGCGGGCCCTTATATTTCTCCTTCAGTCTGGCGAGCTTCGCACTGGCTCGGTTATCCCTCGACGGATAGCGATACTCGTGGAAACCACTCCGCGACAGTTTGAAGAGCTTGAGCTCAATATCACGATCGCACACATGGCATGTTTTTATATCCTCCTGTCCGCCCTGCGCAAACATCCTTTGCATGTAAGGATTGGCGCAATCGCAGCAGATGATATGGTAGCACGGTGTCATGTATCCCATGAGGTCGTTGTCCTTGGTTCCACGTTCTTCATCCTCTGTCTCGTCCTCTTCGTCATCGCTAACTCGCTTTCTGCAGATATCGCATCTGTCGTTGGCCACTTCCGTGAGCATCTGGAACATCTCGTAGGCTTGCACCGGGACAAGACCTTTCATGTATTCGTCGATGGTGATCGCATTCTCGGCGGAATGTCCATCGGTAAGTTTCAAGTCTTGCTCCGATAGGAGATCGGTCCCATGGACACAGAGAAGTCGAAGCTGCAGAATGGCCCTCAAGACATGCGAATAGTTCCTTCCACCTAAGGCCTTCGCCGTGTCTCGTGTCGCGATGTGCGAAAGTCTTGCGGACGCCTCGTATCTGAATTTCTCATAGATTAATCGCTCGTCATCGGCGAGATGAAGGTAGACCTTGTTCTCGTGCCTAGGTGGCAGATTAATCCGGTCTTTGAGTCGTCGAATGGTGATTGCGTTGACCAAGGCCCTCAAACGGGGTACAATTTCCGGATCCGCATTTTTAAACGGCGCCACGAGATACGTGTTGAAGGCACCAGGATTCTGAAACGGCTCGACTCGCAGAAACTTGAGGAGTGAGCCCAAGTCCTCCAGACGATTTTGGATCGGCGTTCCGGTCACTGCCCATCGTCGTTCAGCGAGAAGAGCACACGCTGCTTGGGCCTGTTTGGTGGTTGCTTGACGGATCGTGTGGGCTTCATCCAGCGCCACCCGAAACCAGTCGATCGCCAACAGGGGGCTCATCGCCTTCGCCTTACGAGATGTTTCCGTCCCAAGCGTTCCATACGTGGTGATGATGACATCGTAGTCTGCGAGTCTCGGGACATTTGTTTCCCTGCTCGGTCCGTGATACAGGCAGTATGTCAATGTGCCATCAGCGAGATGGGACTTGATCTGCATCTCCCAGGTGGCAATCGTACTCAGCGGCACGACGAGAAGAGTAGCCCTGGACCTGCACGAGACGGGTCTTTCTAAGGTTCGTAACGGAGGACTGTGAGAGAATAGCTTCGCATCGTTCAAAGTCGCTGCAATTAATGCGAGGACAGTCAACGATTTACCCAAGCCCATGACATCGGCAAGGACCCCTCCCCGCTCAGGGATAGGTTTCGTATACGTTTGGAAGCCTGCAGGATATGTTAGTGATTATCACCAACACGAATTCTACACTTACCGGTGATGGGGTGATGATACACCGCTTGCCCATTTGCGGCATAGGTGTATTGCCAAAGGCCAAGTCCGTTCTGTGACCCATCGGTTCCATTGCTCTCTCTGCGAAGCATGAACGTCAATGCCTGCTTTTGATGCTTAAGGAGTGGGGTCATGACAGCGGCCACTTGCTCGGTCTCGGGGAGTTCGTCGGTGGACGGAAGTTTGTCGAAGATGTCGAACACATCACTTCGAGCTTCCTCCGCGGTACGATATCCGCTTCGGTATTCCGTAGCTCCAGAAGATCCAGTTGCTCCATACACGCCTCCTAAATTCGCTGCCTCGTGGGGATTTAAAATGTCAATATTCGGATTTCGAAGGTCGGAGAGTGTCGGATTCTTCAATTGGATTCCTCTCTGCTTGAACGACTTCCCGATAGCACTAGCATATTTTCGAGGCGCAAACACTTGAACCTTGATTTTCAAGGTCATTGAAGTGTGACTTCCCCGTTGCTCACCCGGCACACGCTTCCGATCGGCAAGCTTGCCGCTCAGTTTCATTCCGACCGATGACCGCAATGCGGGTGTGAGTGCGGACGCCGTCCGATGATCTAGTCGCCCAAAAACATTCTTTGCGTGATCCTTCACGAGGATCACGGAGTCGTTGGCTTGCTGTGTCGTATTTTGGAGGACTAGTTCACACCGAATGCTAGGCCAATGGGTTGGATGGTCGAAACCCGGTTTTGGAGCAGGAATTTGGTGGGCGTTGACCTGAGCCTCGACCTCACCGAGACAGGCCTCAACATTGCCACTATCTCTCACAAAAATCACGTCGTCGTCATCCGGTTCTAGGTGAAGTCAGCATGGCGATTTCGTCGATTTCGAAATACCTACCTGCTGTCAAGTCCACGATGCCTTGGGCGGATCTCGCTTCAATATCTTTCTTAGCTAAATGATCTGCCACAATCCCCGAGCTGGCGCCATTGGTCCGAATTGACGTCGTTTCAGCGGCTTCGTCGTCGTTGAACTTTCGTTTCTTGGCAATCGGCTCGGTTCGAGCTTCGACATTGTGCATGCGTTCAATCAATGAGCCGAACTTCGCATCCTGACTCGGGGTGGCGGATGCCTGCACTGGAGCATCGGAATTGCCGGTAGGTGCTCCAAGTGATTTCTTGGGGTTGAGGAGTCGGCTAGGATCGATTCTCAGCGGTACATGTCTAGGCGACCCTTCAGTGGAAGCCGAAGACGGGGTGGAAGCTTTGGATTCAGAAGTCAACAGTGATTCTTCTTCCGGAACGTGTGACCACCGCCTTGCGTCCGTCAAAGGGAGATCCATGACCACCGGGAATTGCATCAGGTTGAAGGGCAGCTGCTTTAATAAGATCTCAGGGAATTAAAAGGGAACCGGTAGGTACTTGAATGATGTATGCGAAAAGAAGTGAGACCTGCAGTAGAAGAAAACGAAGGTGACTGTCTTGCGTGGATCTCCTTCACTGGCGTAGCAGTCATTCAGGTGAAAGGATATTTCACTCACTCTTTTTACGAAAAGCAGCAGGATTAAGCAGCTGAGCAGGATTCATGCTGCCTAGTCTACGTTAACACATTCCAATCCGTCTATCTTGCATGCCGCTCTTCACGAGATAATGAGATAGCTCCGATCACTCGTCAGACATCCTCACTTCGCTGATGCGCCGGCTCTCAATAAAATCTGAATAGGCTCACTTTGATGAGTGTGGATGAAATTGATGTACACTCGATGCGACACGTCAAGATGGTGGAATTTGACTATGTATACTTTGCTACAATCTTTGGCACCCTTCTATGTATTCCTGTTCCTTGCAGTCCATGGATTCCAGTCGAGTTGACTATTGTGTCATGTGCCACCAAGGAGAGAGGCGAGACGGCAATCTGATTGGTCTAGCAGATAGCTGAGTCAGACGACCATAGATTCAGCCACGTGACAGCCTGGGAGCCTAGCACGTGCACATAGTGGAAAAATGGCAATCGCCAAACCGCCCCGAAAAGGCTAAAACTAACCTCACGGAATCAAGATCGTGATATGTTTGTCCAAGCCTACCCAAGTAGCGGAAACAAAGGTTTTATGTCGTGTCACATGTATAGGTGTTCTAGGCCTCGAACCCGATTTTCTGGATATTGGCTTTCGAAACTTAATACGCTGAAGTGGGACCTTTAACACGAGATCTCGCCTTTGACCATGCTCAGAGCTTTCAGCTTCATGAGACTGAAGACGGTACTTTCCCTAGTGCCGAGAAGGGTACATCTTGGTATCCCCCCCATTCTTCACGCGCCCGTCAGCCTGCAACAACCAGAGCCATTCCCACTGTGTGTCATCACTAACTGCCTTGAGGATCCTTGGTACTCAGTGACCGAAGCCGCTCCAGGTCATGCTCATGCACAGCTAACTCCACGGTTTTATCCTTGAGAATCGACCCGCTCCGCCAAATCACGGCCTGGAGGCGCTTCGACTCTTCGTAAAGACGCTGCTACTCCTCGGTCTGCTCGATTATATCTGCTTTAATGCGAGACATGTCAGAATCCAATTTACCGACCCGTTTGCAATCGTTCCATCTCATGCATATTGCCGGCTACCACCCCTATGAGGAACTCTATCTCTTTCCGGGACCTGTCGTTCTCGTCGCGAAGACTGATACCATTATCCAAGGTGAGTGTAGATTGTCCATATGGCCACCCACCGCTTTATCTTATCTTCGGTTGTCTGAACTGTGCGCGCCAACGTGCCGTCAAGGCTACCCTGCATGTCGAGTTCAGGGTTTGGGGATCCTTTTGTGAAACCATTAGTCATAAGCTTAACCGTTCACTCTGTCGGCTCCTATCTGATTGCTCCTCAGAACTCGGTTTGTCTGCCTTTGTGTGCGGTTAGCGAGGTTGGTATCTCGCCTGATATGATCGCAAATTGACCATAAGACACTATTGAGAGGAGAAGTGTACGGTTTGATGTAAGGTTGGCGTGAGAGGGGCGAATGAGAGAATGGGAAAGGTAATTTACAGTGAGTGGTGGGAGTGTCAAAAGTGATTGGATAGGGGATAGTGAGTAGTGGAAGCATCAAGAGTGATTGGGAAATGGAAAATATTCGCCCATCCTTCGTAGTGAAAATTGGTGACCGCGAATTCACTTCTGATCTCCTTCTTCTACGGCCCAAGACCTGGCGCGCGAAACAAGTGGGTGAGATGTGAACCATCAGAGTTTATTTGAAGGACATTGATAGATGCTTGAATTTGCACAAGGACAAAGACGCAAATCGAAGGGGTTGATCTTTGAATCTAGATCTCGGAGATATTGCTCTAAGACACACCAATCCATAGCCTGGACGTGCATTGAATTCATGACTGATGCTCCACGCTCAAGCTAGTCGAACCACGAGACGCCATACAATCCGGTTGCCCAAGAGGCGATACAGTTCCGATACAGGTATCCGTTACATCTTGCCATTTAACACCATTTGAATACAGGGTTCTTGCTCTTCACCGTCTCTAGCCTCTCCACAATCACCTGCTTGTGATGACTTTCGAGGTCTTCATTGGCCGCATAGCCCAAATCGCCTTCCAGGTCGTCCTGGTTCGCAAATTCCGGAACGCCGCCGCGCTTGCTGAATGAGAATTTCCGCCGTCCCTTGTCTTGGCTATGTCGTGACCGACGAGGGCCTTCGTAGCTCAGACGAGGACGGAATGGAGCGGAGCGTGAAGTCCAACCGTAGTCCCCATTCTGTTCTCTGGTTTGAGAACCACCAACCATTACATTGACCGATGCAGGGGATAGGGGCCCGTCGCTGTTCTCCATGCTCTCTCGAACATCCATCGAGCTAGAATGACGGGATACGTTGAATCGATTTGAACTCTCTCCATTTCTAACAGGCGACGAGAATGCGAGAAGGTCTGGTTGCGGTTCGGACGCATAGGCGGCGCTAATATCGATCTCTTCGGTCGAACGAGGCCGAGGAACCTGTCGGACTCTACGGCTTTGCTCTGGAGACGGCGGGCGCATCGGCATGGCCACGGGGACATCGACAAGGTCGTCCCAAACACAGACTCGCGCTCTCCGTGTTAGCTCAAGAGGACCGTGATCCGGGGTTTTGAGAGTCTCCACGACGTTCCAAGCCTGTCCTTTCATGACCGCGATCTGACGAGCGTACATTCTCTCCTTGAAGTCCGAATCTTGCATGAAACATTTACGCAATTCTAATTGTGTTTCGGCCCACCACTGCTTCGAGGTAAGCAATGGCAGGAAATGCTTGCGGGTTGCCTCCGAAAAAGGCTGTCCGATGAGCGACACGGGGAGGAAAAGCCACCCAAACGGATAGCTGCGCCACTGAATACTGGGTTAGATTTGGACAAAGCGTTGTCAATGGCTGTCAAACTTACAGCATCAGGATGCTTCCAAGGCCAGGAAAGGCTGTTGTCGATCGCCCCTATTGATACCGAGACCTTCTCGTCGGGTGTTTCGGAATCTGTCGTAATTCCGTTCACCGACATAGGTTCCTCCCTCTTGTACGGCTCATCATCATCAAAGAGACCACTGAGTCGAGTCGCGCCATTCTCTTTCGGTGGCTCGGCTACTATACTAGCGGTTTGAGACTCGCGATCCACTCTGATCATCCAATTGTCCAATCCCCTATCAGTGTTTCGCATAATGTAGTCGAGGATAACGAGTTTCTCTAGTTGCTCGCGGAAAGATTGCTGTAGCTCTTCACTCCAAAATATCTCGCGGTTGTTCCGTTCGTGGCCATTCGGTACGACGTTGTCTTCGTCATCGGAGTCTGGCCGACCACCTGGCCGGCAATCGTCCGTCCATCTGATCCGCTTCCTCTCCTTCTTCCTTACCGCTGTCCCGGAGCGTAACATGGAGTTGTTTTGGTCGGGCCAGGGGTTCTCCTTCAGGAAGCGTGTCGCGTCCTTGTATCCGGTCAAGAAGTATTGAAAGCTACCCACTTTATGCGGCAAGGCCTTCCTTCTCCTATAGAAAGCTCTTCGGTCCCAATAGTCGTAATGGAATGATTTCGAAGAAAGTGAGACGATGTCCGTGTATGGTACGATGTTCGTGTGTAACCGCATATCCAAGACGTATGCTGCCGCTTCGGATACGTAGCTAAGGTTGGGGATGAGGCATGCTCGGCCGAAGAAGAAAGGGAAAAGGTTTCGGTGGATCCATTTGGTCCATTTGGGATTCTTTGAAGCGTACGGTTCTTCGTCTTTGGGTTTAAAGACTCCAACAATCTCCCCTTCCGCCGTTCTTGCGAAGTAACTTCCAGAGCTTCCCTGTGAAATCAACTTCGGATGTACCCCCTGCTCGATAGCAATCTGCACGCTTTCAACCGCCCCATCGAAGACCTCTTTGCTCACGCGAGTATTCGAATCATCGTACTGCGTTTCAAGCGTCTCCGCATCTGCCGGTCGAATCCAGTCTGGAGCCTGGAACACCGAATGTTGGATTTCAAGCGGTTCTTCGTTCAATGTCCCCCGATCTTTCCGGATCTTGAATTTGGAAGCAATTTCATCCGCCCATCGTTCTAACCTCGCGTTTATTGCCTTGATATCCACGCCTGAGCTACGTCTATGTCTATGTCCTGGTCGATGTCCGCTTCTTGGGCCATCGGATGACATTCGTGCATGGCGACGTGGTTGAATTGGGGTGTATTGGCGGTTCGATTGTGAGATGGTTTTTTGGGATCGGAAAGGATCATCGTCTTCGGAATCTCCAACGATGTCGGATTCTTCTTCTGCTTGATTCAATCTGGCATAGCCAGACGTTGCAGGCCTCGACTTGCGCATGGTCTGAAGGTTAACCCACTATCGCAGGTTACTTGGTCGGTTTGTCGGCGGCAAAGCATGCGGTGCTTGGATGGTGGGATTTGACGCCTCAATAATTATAACGACCGTTGATGTCGCCCTGGATTGTTGGATGTAGTAACAGCTTCCAGAGTATGGAAGTACACAGTATCAAGATATTTGGATGACCGCAAGCTGCATGGGAGAATGAGCAGTTAACTGGAAACGGCAAAGCGCGAACAGCGCGAACCCTTTAATTATTACTATGAGCGTGAGATATCCCTGAACGCGACTTTTCAGCCCTAAGAAATTTCCCGGTCCCTCGATATAATTCTTTGATACAACGACACTTCGTTGCGGATCCCAAATGTCGCTCTATTACGAGGCCGCTGATATTCTATCGGCGTCTTTGTCTGGCAAGGGCTCCATACAATCACTGGTGTATAGTAACAAGACGCTGAAAAACAAGCCGGGTCACTTGTTTGCGTTGCTAAGTGAAGCGTCAAAATGGTCCCCTGTGCTCAAGGATATCATTAATCAGAGTGGAGTTCTAGCGATCGAGAAGAAGGTAAGACCTTTGTGGTCAATCTTTGCATTTTTGTGGCAGCTATACTGACGCGTGGAATTAGCTTACACCTACCCTCGCACTGCTACTCTGTCATGACCTTTTACTCTCGAAATCCGGTATCGCTGCGCCCTCGGCCCATCCGCTTCGACTCTCCATATCACGTCATAAAGCTAGACTCTCGGCTGAGTTGACGAAGATCCGTATCAAGCGTGGATATGGCTCTCTAGACGAGCTCAAAGCTTCGATCGAGAGCCTGTCCTCTGAAGGCAACAAGCGGATACGGTGGGTTAGGGTCAATACCCTCAAAATCAGTCTGGATGATTTATCTGCAACATTACTGCATGGATACAAGCATACCACTTCATTGCAAGAGATATCCGATGCTTCGTCAGATGACAAGCTGTACTATGTGGACGCTCATATTCCAAATCTGCTCGCATTGCCTTCTACAGCGAATCTCTTGAAGTCTACTGCTTACGCACAGGGACAAATCATATTGCAAGACAAAGCTTCATGCTTCCCAGCAGTACTAATGGGGGTGCGCCCTGGCGAAACAATCGTAGATGCGTGTGCTGCTCCAGGAAACAAAACGACGCAGCTCGCCGCTTCTTGTGGAGACAGCTCGGCTCGAGTGATTGCATTTGAGAAGGACAAACTGCGAGCATTGACTTTACGGAAGATGGTGGAGCGGGCTGGAGCTCAGCATATAGTCTCAATAAATGGGGGCCAAGACTTTCTTGCATGCGATCCCGAATCCGACCAGCTTCGAACAGTCACTGGTCTGTTGCTAGATCCCAGTTGTTCCGGAAGTGGCATTATTGGACGAGATGATATTGCAACCGTCGAATTGCCCGGGTCTCCCACGGCAGTAGACCAGACACATATTGCACCCTCTCGCAAACGAAAGCGAGGACCAAGCAAAGACACGGCATCGATTCCCTCCCAAATACAGATCCAGGACTCTCCTGACGCCAGCTTGGTTGAGGCAGAGCCAATAATGGCGGACGATCTCAAATCCAGATTACAGGGACTCGCGAAGTTTCAGTTGGAAATTATAAAACACGCGATGAGCTTTCCGGCTGCAACAAAGATCACATACTCCACCTGCTCCATTCATGCTACAGAAAACGAAGAGGTGGTGTTCGGGGCACTTGCATCAGGCATTGCTCGCGAGCGAGGCTGGAGAATCTGGACTCGAGAGGAACAGGTATCGGGAATTGCTACTTGGCCTAGGCGAGGGTCTCAAGAGGCGGTTGAGGCTAGCATTAAGGCGCACCAGGGTTATGACCAAGATCCGATCGAATTAGCTGAAGCATGCATTCGATGTTGCAAAGGCACAGACGAGGGAACTATGGGATTCTTTCTCGTGGGATTCCTCAGGGATGGCGGAGAATCACCAGAAGAAGAGCAGGATGAATGGAACGGTTTTTCTGATGACGAGGTATAAAGGTAAGTTCACGTTACAAACCTGTTATGAATTTTCTACTCGCTTTCCGATCCCTTTGCTAATTCTTCGTTCAATAGGCCCAGAACTGCTTCCCCGGCCCAACTCGACGCGAACGCACTCACTCGACTTCCGTGCTACGTTGTACGGTTAGAGGCTGTATTCAAGTCACATAGGAATACTTACTTGATCGAAATGGTCTTCACTTCCACGTACGCCATCAAGCCATGACGGCCCGATTCCCTACCGATGCCTGACATTTTGTACCCGCCAAATGGAACCTCTATGGAGGGAACGAAGGCGTTGTTGATAGCCACTGTGCCTGCCTCAAGCTTACCCGCGACACGGAGTGCCTTGGCAATATTCGTGGTGTAGACGCAAGCTATGAAGGTCAGTGGTCGGTCCTAAAATGCATCATTTGGCGCATTGCTCACCAGACAAGCCGTAGGTCGTGTCGTTGGCAAGCTCGATTGCTTCTTCTTCCGTCTTGAACGTCCGGATGGCAGCAACCGGGCCGAAAATCTCCTTCTTGTAGATGTCGGAGTCGAGGTCCGGATTCAGGAAAATCGCGGGGGAAACGAAGAATCCTTTCTCTCCGACCTTGTTTCCGCCCACCAGAAGCTCCCCTCCGCTCTTCGACTTGCCGCTCTCGATAAACGACATCACCGACTCGAATTGGGCTTTATCCGCCAGGGGACCGAAGAGGGTCTCGGGCTTGAGAGGGTCGGCTCCCAGGGTGCTCCCAGCACCCACGAATTGCTGCTTAAGCAATTCAATGAACTTGGGGGCAATTTCTTCTTGTACCAGAGGCCGGGTAGCGGCGCTGCACACTTGACCAGAATTCATGAGGACACCCAACGCGCATTTCTCGACGGCATTCTGTAGGTTGCAGTCGTTGAACACGAGGGCAGGAGACTTGCCGCCAAGCTCAAGCGTGCAACGTTTGAGGTTGCTCTTCGTCGCTGCTTCTTGGACTTTACGGCCAGCGTTGATCGATCCGGTGAAGCTGATCTTGTTTATCTTCATATGACTTGCAAGCAGTCCCCCCGTCTCTCCAGCGCCATTGACAATTTGAATGACTCCTGGAGGGAAACCCGCTTCTTTGATCAGGTCTCCCAGGGCGACAATTCCAAGCGGGGACTTTTCTGACGCCTTGAAAATGAACACGTTCCCGGCAGCAAGAGCAGGTGCACATTTCCAGGCAAACAACATGGAGCTCCCATTCCATGCACCGATACCCGCGCAGACACCTAGGGGCTCATATCGGACCATTCGGTATTCCCCATTTTCCGGAGGATAGACTTCGCCGGCCAGTTTATCGGTCCACCCAGCATAATATCGAAAACATCGCGCAGCCAAACCCCAGGCGTAAGATTGCACGCCGTAGGAACCGCCCATGGCCAAGGTTTCCAGTCGCACAAACTCGGCCACCCTGCTTTCAATGAGATCCGCGAATTTATTCATGACAGCCGACCGCTGCACTGCAGTGTAGGTGTTCCATGGTCCTTTCTTGAACGCCGCGACTGCTGCGTCAACCGCTGCGTCGACATCTGCTTCACCGGCAATATGGACCCCTTTACAGACCAGGGATTCATCAGTGGGGTTGTAGACATCAAGGGTCTTTCCGGATTTTGCGTCGACATACTAGGACAATGTTAGCAGGCATAGTTTCCGTACATCCTATCCGTATACCTCGTTGTTGATGAACAGCTGCGTCCTGTACGAAGAAATGCCGTCTGTCGCCATGTTTTATCTCTATTCCTGAAATTGGATGTTGATGGTGTTCTAGCTCTGTCCTACGAATACTGTACGTGTAAGGTCCGATAAATGATAGCAACAGCACAACTTGGTCATATTTATACTAAAACCGTCTTTCACAAATCCCATGCAGTATAACACGGCTAAGCCGCTAAGGTATTCAGCTGCACTGATCCTTTCCATATGAAAATGGCCCCTTTGTCATCCTTAAGCCTACCTACTATTATGTATTTGTAATGATGCACAAGGCAGTCTTTGTATGTATTTGCCTGCTGGGTATTTCAAGGTTTATGGTCTTTGCTCCATTCATACCCTAGGTTATAGCCTACTCAAATCTCAAGTGGCATGGATTTGCTGCAACTGTGAGCGGCGAGTCTGACGAGGTGTAAGCCGACCATTCCGGTTGGTTCACACAATCCGGGGGTACTATCTAATTTGGGCTGTGGCAGCACGCTTTTTGGTTCCCGACGACTCTGACGTAAGACAACATAAATCAAGCATTTCTGGCTTAGGCGGAGCCTTGACAAGTGATGTCGGATAGTTTGGATGTAACGCGACCCCAAATATTATTCATTGTTTTGTGAGAGGCGTACCTCGTCTTGTAAACGCCAATACCCTTCCTGATTCGCATCCATAGTGACAGACACTGCCTCTATGTATTTAGCTCCTAAAACCCTTCAATCGAGAGAGCAGAGATACGCTGGGCCCTTGTGGAGACATCGATTTCCACTTTCGCACATACCGCCAGGGCTGTATATAATCCCCAGGAGCATTTACTCGTCCCGCATTGCCCGCTGGGACTCGAAGGTCTTATGTTCATCGCCACCCGTAGTAGAACCCCTTCCGTACCACTGGGGGCGTCTTCGATCCTCTCTATTTCTATGGCTCCTTAGCTCTTCCTCGGCCATAACACCCCAACTGCCTTATCATAGGGTCCCTATACATGAAGAGGCAGAAACTACCAAGGCAGACTGTGAAAGTTCCAACAACATTGCCACAACGGTTGAGAGTTGTACCTGGCCTTCTATCTGCTGAGTGGTTTATCATTGAATAGCTTCAGCAGTATCAAAGTGATGGTAACTCCTCAAGACTCGGGTAGCCAGGCGGTGAGCTCCCGACTCTATTAGATTAAGGAGGATCCCGGTCCCGTTAGGGGCTTCAGTGAAGGGGGATGCGCTTTGCCAGATTGTACGGGAGGGGATCGGGAATTGCTACTCGGCTGTGATATTGAATATAGTCTGCGATTGATCACAACTAGATTTGTAGCAACAGTAACGTTCTCCCCAAGAATACGGTGCCGCTCTGTCGAGGATTTCAAATCTGTTGCCGGCAGATTTAAATATTGAGTGCCTGTGTCATTTTCGGTCTGCTTGAATTCGTTCGCGTTCATTTCTTCCATGACACTGCCGTAGTTAGACAATCCTCCAGACAAACTACCCCATTGATCCAAGTTCTAACTTTGAACTGACCTTCAGATTTCAAATGCAGAACATTTTCAGCCACAAACGTTTCCATTGTCCTTCATTTTGTGGGGTGCGGTGCTGGGATTGACGTGACATAAACTGGAAGATCATTGGCTTGGTAGGCGGATATGTGGTACCGACTCAATCTATTGCCACTAAATCGTCCTTATTTCAGCCACATTTACAAGGGCTACTGCAGATCTCAATGTTATGCCAGTCAAACTCGAATTTCTCAAAAATGTAATGAGTGCTTGCCCAGCATGCAATCTGTTGTGTAGTATCCGTACTCCGTACCGGAGCAAACAAATCCTCAACATTGGCTGGGAGATGGAATCCAACTGGGTATTCATGACTCGGCCGATGATGTATTATTATTTGGTCTATTTAACGCCTGATAGGTCCTATCTAGTCCATGCAGGCTGTATCGCTACTATGGAGGACAAAAAACCCCGTAGGGAAAACCTTTTAGAAAACCACGCTAGCGCTACGGTGGATTGCCCGCTTTAGCCTTATTTTTATCCTCAATTGTTGTTCACTACGAGGAACCACTGCTTCCGCTCTCGCGGATATCTTGCGAACCGCTCGGCCGATGATGTATGCATGATTTAACAGCCATATTCCGTCTCATAAGATTTCAAGGCTCTCGCTGCATATTTGGTTGAGTATATGTTTCGCGAAATCAGTGATCCGGTGTCCAGGTTGCTGCCTGCTGCTTGACGGCAGCGGGGCGATCGAGTTGACCACGACACAGTGCGCCACCAATACCAAACTGCATAGACCCGCTGAAATTCATTTGCCACCGAGTTGGCCCATCTGCTGAGTACCAGCAGTGCCTAACACAACAGGACTCATTCTACAGGATTCTACCGAGTTCCCGTTACATAATTATTCTACGGTCCAAGCGCCCGCCCTCGAGTATATAAACTTCCTCTTCCCGCCTTGAACGTAGAATTTTTTTCTTTATCTCTGTTTGTACCCCCGCACCCTACTATATGGTTTCAGGCTTGCTAACGACCCTAACGTCTTTGCCTTTTGGCTTAGATCAAGTGTAGTATCTGTTCTCAATCGCTTTACAACGATTGGCTCGCTACGGCGAGCAACAAATGTAAAGACAGTCTTTGGAACCCGCAATGGGACCGCTGAGCTTGCTCATGTCCTGTTGCACCGTGTCGCTGGTATCACACTGCCTCCAGCTGACGCGAACATCTTTCATCATCTGCCTTAGCCTTGAGCAAGGTTTTGAGGAAGGATTTGGGGTTTGGATCGTTTGTGGGCCTTGGTTTTGACCCCTCGTCAATTATATTGGTTACTTAACCTGGTGTATAGACCCACCACGATCTGAAACGCGATCCTGCGGCTTCTTGATAATATGGATGAACTGGGCGATGAAATTATTTGGAATTCATTTGAGCAGGAAAGCCGTTGGACGGATGGATTTTGACTGCTGTGGTGGCCGGCGACTCCATTTCTCCACGAGTTGAAGCGCTGCTTTGAGGGACAAAGTTATGGCTCAAGCAGAAGGACATGGAGATGTCCTTTTAACGCTGCCATCGCCTTGGGCGAAGTTTGGGCAAATGGTTCGGTCCCTATGGGCGATGACCTTCGGATGCGGGACGACTTCAAAATTGAACCAAGCTAATCATCTACATGCCTCTTCAGTTTCTCGGGACACTACTAATCGTCCATCGCAGGAATCGCTTCAAACCAAGATCTTGGGAGGAGATTGCTCTGGTCTGTGGTGGCGGAGAGCCAATTCTGATGAGGTCGGAGGTCAAGTGTTTGTCGTGCGAAAGAAGCCGCTCGACTACCCCATTTCTAGATACAATTCTTGAAGGATGGGGAAGTATGTCAAGCAAATTAAATTAAATCCGCAGTAACAACATGAAGTGGGCTCCGGATGAGAGTTTCTATCGATTTTGTTTGTAAAAGACCCTTCTTTTGTAGTACTAATGGACACTCGTTTGTCTACTGAAGGCATGGCCGAAGAATCAAAGTACTATATTAGGAGCACACGAGAACACCGCAAGAACACCGCAAGAACACCCAGCTTCAAGATTGCAAGTCATTCATTCAGTTCAACATGCCAGGAGAAACAAACTCCTCTCAGAGCAGGCCCACGGTCTTCGTCCTCAATCTTGATGAAAACGAGATATATCAAGGGCTCTTTGATGCGATCTACTCTGATCTGATCGAATCACTCGCCTCGAAATACCGAGTCCAGCGTGCACGCAAGCAAGATGCCGCCTAACGATACTTTGCGAACTCTGAGAACCGTCCCATCGCTGTTCTGGCGGTCGACCCCGGGGTTCTGAAAAGGGCGAACTCATCGGTCTTTGACCAACTGAAGGCGTACGTCTCAAAAGGCGGTGTTGCATTGTTCATGGCGTCTTTCAGCAGCTTCGTTACGCTCGATGAAATGAACAACTTTTGGGGGAAATGGGAGCTTGGCTGGAAGAGGGGTGACTATCTCCGCACTGACGTACATCTCAATAGGTAACTCATCGCACCATCTCACTGCTTGTTCGGCTTGGTCCCGATCAGCTTTTTACTAGGATATGCTAACAAGAACTCCTCATAGGGGTATGGCATCCATTTCCCTGGCGAACTTGCCTGGCTCCTACAGCCAGAAGAGTCTCTTCTTGAAAAACGTCGTTCCAGGGGACTCCATGTACAAACCCGGGGCTGACTCCCAACTCCAGTCTCGTGTCTTGCCACCGGAACCCGTTCGCCAGGGGCAGGCTGCGGTTGCTTTCACCAAGGTCTCCCAGGGTTGGGTGGGATACATCGGGGATGTCAATAACGAGGACGGGTCACAGAAGGTGGTTATGGAGGTGTGCAGGTTCGCGGCGGACAGGGCAGGCTCGATGTAGTGCATCTACAGACGGACTGAACCGCTAAAAGCACGTATCCCAGGTCAGCGTTATCAGATGAATGAAGCTGCACGTATTGCGAATCGGAACAAACAAGAAGCATGCCAGACGACTGAAAACAGATGGGTCTGATTTCTCACGCTATGGATGGTGCGTAGACGCGGAGCTGGGGTGGCTGGGGTGGCTGGGAATGGATCATCGAATACTTCATGAATGTAGTTTCCTAACCAAACAAGAATAACGAGCCTCAACTTCCATAGAGCAGGACCAAGGAGATTGGGTTGTGATCCGACACGGAATCGATTGTAAGTTGAGGCGGCATCGAATTGCACCCACGGCCTCTGTAGTGTCACGGGGCCCTGGCATCCAGCCCAACTCCTCACATGGCCCAGTCAGCTGTTATCCACTTTGGCAGCAGCTCTTCAAATATATCCGATGCCGGTATCTTGATCGGAACTCTATGAATAAAGCCTCACTGCATCTCGGCCATCGTAAAGAAGCCAGGGACTGGATACTGGTGTCGTTCAATGATATTGAGATACAATGCTAACTGACCATGGTAGCCCGACCTTAACCCAAGTCCACACGAAGGAACCACGACGACCAGAGTCCCTACACTATGCCGTAGACAACTGACTTGCCCTTGGATAGATGCGGCTGCTGTCTCAGTCACCTGCGCTTGCACGCGACCACCTCGCCCTCTCCATCCTCTTCGCCGAGCCTAAAATGTCTCACCAGATAAAGGGCGTCATGCAGCGACATATTCTCTATTTGGAGATCACCTCTATCACTCCTGTGATCCCTATGATCCCTATGAAATCGCATGCCATAATTTGGATGCCTGACCAATATCCTCCTGACATGATACAGACCGAACCCCATTTATAATGTCGCTCATGGAACGCCTCAACGCGATGGTCTGCGCGGGCAAGCCCAAGCAGAAATGGCAAGAAACCAGAAGAGAGTCCGACACCCGTCGCAGAGGTAGTTACCCTGAAGTCGAGAATATGATGCCGTCGTGCGCGTCTCGATTCGACTGCAACCCCTTCGACCTCGTCACGTCGCGTCTTGGGAAACGAAACCCGTTCGGCTCGAAGGCGAACCCCCGGACGCATGAGATTTGGCTCTTCGACAACATCGCGTGGGAGAAGAACGGGAAATGGAATGCCGAATACAACGCCGCGTTTTTTTTGAAAGACAGTGGGAACCCGTCGAGCGATATCATTGCTGCTATTGCTGCGGCTGCTGGTGTTGGCCAGTCCGATGTTATCGACCAGCGCATCGAACCGTTCTTGAAGACTATCCAACCCGCCCGGTACACACGTACCATGATCGACAACCGGATTTTCAAGTTAGGACCCAGTTCCCGCGATGGCATCAGTACGAACGTCGTTTCCGTACCAGACGCACACTCGAATGGCGATGTCGGCCGGTGGCATACTGCAGAGTCTGGATTTAAAGCGGAGGCGAAGACCATGTTTGCGTCGAAAAAGGGTTGGGCCATTATCAGCGACATAGATGATACCATCAAAGTCACCCAGACTGACGATGCCGTTGGAGTCGTCAGGAAGACTTTTGCCGAGAGGTTTCAGGCAATTAAAGGGATGGGTCCGCTCTACGAAGACATGAGATGGCGTCTCAACGATCCTCCTTTCTGGTATTTGTCCGCCTCGCCATACAATCTGTATCCGGTTCTGCGCGAGTTCCGAGAGCGAAACTTTCCTTTCGGCGAACTCATCCTGCGAGAAGCCTCCTGGCTGACCCTAGCGGGCATTCTCGGCAATCTGACCGAAGGTACCCAGCCCTACAAAGTCAGCCGCATAGACCAGATCCATGCTCAGTTTCCGGAACGTACTTTCATCCTCATTGGAGATAGTACTCAAGGCGATCCAGAGGCCTATGGCGAAGTCTACCGAAAGTACCCCGGCTGGGTACGAATGATCTTCATCCGCAAAGTCACGGGCATTGCTCATATGGACGAAGACGACAAGAACAGAGATCGGCGGTTTGAGGATGCGTTCAAGAATATCCCGAGGGCACACTGGCATGTATTCACGGATCCAGAGGAGATCCACCAGATCGTAAAGACGTTCCCCCGAACCCCATTGTGAACAGGATGTCTTGATCATTTCTCTACCTGACGCTCGAGCACTCGTTTATAATTCCTTCTGTCTGTCATGCAAACTTCATTCCAGTATATGTCCCTTGAGATACCCCTTTCACGGCGCATATTCTTATTTAAATATACGGTCTCTAGTCACTCATTTGAACACTTCCCTCTGTTTGAGCGATTGGCGGACACATCACATAATGTATAATGGTCCATGTATTCCTATCATAGAAACCACTTAGGCAGAATGCAATACTGGTTGAACGCGGTCAGCTTCCAAAGCGTCGTCGAGTGGCGTGGGTGATGCACTTCTGAATGCTTGAATCGTCTTCCCATGAGCATTACGTGGAACCCTCACGGCATGTAGTTTGGCCGGGGCTGCAACCTCCTCAAAAAGCTTTCGACACTGCATGCTCATTTGAGAGGGTGGAACAAAAGTGGTGATATCGAATTTTGGTGGAGCGCACGTGACTGTCCAAGTTCGCTTCACATTTGCTGACTAAACCATCCCACCTGTCGCCATTTTCAACCTCAACCTGACCACAAGTCAAGCATCCATTTACAGCCTTCGTCAACATACATTCCGTCCAACTTGCAATCATGGTATGTTTTCTAGTCGAAGGGAATACGGATATTCGATACTAACAAATTCATCAGGCTCCAGCTGCTGGCGGAAAGAAGCAAAAGAAGAAGTGGTCGAAGGGCAAAGGTACGAACTGAGATGCGACACATCACGATCCCAAGCATATCGACACCGACCCTCTCCCTGATAACCCTCCCTGATAATTCGAAAGGAGTAAATCCGTTGCGTTGTGGAGTTCTACCCGAATAATGCTAACTCATATCCCCTCATAGTCAAGGACAAGGCCAACCACGCCGTCATCCTCGATAAATCCACCAACGAGAAACTCCAGAAGGATGTCCAGTCATACCGCCTCATCACCGTTGCTACCCTCGTCGATCGTCTGAAGATCAATGGCTCCCTCGCACGGGCAGCGTTGAAAGATTTGGAGGACAAGGGAATCATCAAGCCAATCGTCACCCACAGCAAGATGAAGGTCTACAGTACGTCACCCGAGCCGAACTTCTCCGAATATTCTGGAAAGGTGATTTCATTTGTTCCATGCTGACTATCGTTTGTAGCTCGGGCAGTTGGCGCTACGGAGTAATCGGTCGTCGAGACGTTACGGAGCCGAAGCACAGGTCTGATCCATATGATGGCGGACCAGCATCAAAATTCGGCGTCGCCGATATTCGAGCGATAGCCACGAATCAGCATTGCAATGGACACACAAATGGGATACTGGAGTTATGACACGTTGTGCGGAATATTCAATGGAATGGTTCAATCAGACATGTCGAACTGAACATCGCTCAAAATTGCTGAAATGAACCCTATGATACCCTTCGTTTATGACGAGTTTTCATCCTTCACCTTCGGTCTCGATTTTTTCGCCGACTCACACAGCGCCCTCTTCGGCAATGCATCCAACCATCCCTCCTCCCGCTTGACCTTTCCCACTTCGAAGTAAGGCTTATCGCCCCGTTCTCCACGAAACAATGCCGCCCAATGATCTATCGTCTCGCGGATTTGCTTGTTTGCATTACGCCTATCCCTCTCCCTGCGCAGCTTGACCTGCGTTTTCGACGCCTTTGACGCACTATCCTGCTGCCGTGACGTTTCGTCTGACGAAAGTTCTTCGTCCGGGTAGATCGGCATGAACATTTCCTCCACCCCGCGGGTATCTGGCGTCAGGTCTTCGGCGAAGCAGCCGGTAATGAACGCTCGGGTAGCATCTCGGCCTGCGAATATGTTGTAGGAACCACCTGGGCCGTATCTACTCCGTTTGATTAATTTCATGGTGGGGATGCCAACAAACGCTGTTTTTGACGTACATTCTCCTCCCTCCGGTCACGTCGTAGATAGTGCCATTCAAAGCAACATATATCGGCGTGTTTGGATCCGAGCCATCGTACTGCTTCAGCTCGGCATCCGTTAAGATGACAGGGCCATTCTGCAGTTATCGATCAGTATATGCCCTCATGCTTATCATAGCACGTAAATTAGCAGGAAATCAATCGCTGAACTGACCAGCCACGCGCCCAGCGCATCGCCTCTTGACCACCACGGCCGCCATCCCCACAGCACGCTATCCCCGGTGACGAACCAGCTCAGCGCACTGCTCAGCAGCAAGATTCCGCCCAGCACTCTGATAACATCCAACACGCCCAATTTGACATAATCCTTGCTCTTTAAATCCACCACCGCGTTGTCATTTTTCGAGCCGTCCGTCCGCAGATGTTTGGAACCTCGAAGGTCGTGCTGGAACCGAGACGGTGGAGTTGGCGTGCTCGGGGAAGTCGAGGTGTTCGGATTGCGATGTCGTAAGGAAGGCGAATCGGTTGTCATTTTTGAAATATCAATAGACTGCGCATAAACGTTCGTATATTGAGGTGAGAATCGTGATTCTTCGAAGGTAAATCAGGATGATGATGGGCATTCGTGGGACCCTAGTAAAATCGTCCACGACACATCATCCGATTGATAGACAGCCTTGTGAACAACGGAATTCTTTCCGTTTCCATTAGATACATCGGCTCAAAATTGGCAAGGTCCTCCCAACTTTTGCAAAACGCCATACAGAGCCCATCTCCAAAATTTAAACCGTGCAATAATAGCAATTCCGCCCTTTCTATTAGTATATCCCTACGTATACCAAGTTTTGAAATAAATAATGTGTAATTGGTGTTGTTCGGGGCGGGGGTCACCTTGTTGCTGGGGTAGTTTTTGTGTTTGGAGTATTATGGACGATTAGGTGGTCCCTCGCGCATATATACTTTCCGCTGCGCCTTCTTTCCCTGCTTATTCTAGTTTCCAGTTGTGTATTTTTGTCCTGTTTTATTTTTCGTTTATCTTTCTGCTGGTAGAGGTCTCTTGGTTTCCAGTCGCGTATTCCTTTTTATGGTTTGTTGTGTCTCTTTTTTTTTGTTTCTTTTGGTGGTAATTTTCGTTGTTGCTCCCCGCTCCGGAGTTGGGTTGTTGCGGCTTTGGTTGCCGCCCGTCGGTCCACCAATTACGCATTGTTTATTTCAAAACTTGGTATACGTAGGGATATACTAATAGAAAGGGCGGAATTGCTATTATTGCACGGTTTAAATTTTGGAGATGGGCTCTGTATGGCGTTTTGCAAAAGTTGGGAGGACTTTGCCAATTTTGAGCCGATGTATCTAATGGGCCGCCATGGTAGAGTGGGGGATGGAGTGGTCCAAAATCAAGTAGCAGACCTGTGACTTGGACAGGAAGAGAAATAGGTACTTTCAAGACAGTTCAAGGCAGCCGTAGAAAGTTCAAATTCGGCACTCTGAACATGATTTTGCCTGCCATATGGCTGGGTCGCAAAGGGTATTGATATGAAAGCCCTCATCGAAAGTACTCCACCTTATATCGTACATCATCAGCCCATGATCCCTCTCAAGCGCCAGCACAGCCCTCGACAACTTGAATATGAGCAGTATGCAATAGGTTTGTTGATGCTGGAATCCAACGCAACTTCAAACCAGTAGTCTATTCGCTGGCCGTTGGAATGCTTGTGCAAGAATATCATCTCGGAAACACCTGCTTCAAAGCATCCTGAAAGACGCTGACATTGTGGTCAATGAGCGGCTTCCTCCCTGCTGGAGAGTCTTCACCCATTAGGCATATCAATGCCAGGTACCTAAGCGAGCAGACTGTCAGCACATTTAGGATAGTCGAAGGATTGGCATACTTATTGATCTCCTTCAAATACAGGTAGTTGTGGGCTTTCCTGTCCATGGTGATGACGCTATCAGCGTCTTGGTTTCCCGTCTCTTCAAGCCCAACTTCCCCCGCAGTAGTAGACCCTATCTGCATGAATCGATCCCAACCGTAGATCTCCGAAACGTCGATAACGACGTCGATGTAGTCGGAGCAGATCGCATAGCTGCCGATATCGGTGGGAGAAGTGTCGGTAGCGATGTAAATCTTGCTGAGGACGTCAAACAAGTACGCTTTCTCGATGCGGCTATTCGAACACAAAGAGTTCAGAAGTGCCTCGAGTGTCGGGAGTTGAGGGATGAGTTTTTGAATGACCTTGGAGAAGGCCTCGAAAATGGAATGATCGTAGATGCTCGTCTGGTAGAAGCTGACCGGTGGATTTTCGTAGTTGTTGTCGCTGAGCTCGTCCTGAACTCGCTGAATGATGTCACGGAAAGTATCTCCCCGATAGTCATCCGATAATCCATCTACTTTGTGGACGAACACCTCAATGTTGATAGCGGGATAACTGCTTTGGAGGTAGATGATCATTCGATTCAGGCGGTGAATGGCCTCCAGGTATTCGTCTTGTGCATCGATAACCCAGATTAATGCGCCGATCTCGTCGAAAAGATTCTCAGGATCGAATTCCGGTCCAGTATAATCAAGGTGACCTGGGAAATCCCAAACTTGGAAATCCATGAATGAGCTAGGAGGTGTGAGTTTTGATGCCATGTACAACGGGAGCAGAACTTACTGCATAGCTTCCTTCTTGATCTTTGTGGTAGTCTCAAGGTACAGTGTCTCACTCGGAGGGAGCTTATGAAACACCACGCTGGATATGGATGACTTTCCACTCCTATGAAATTAAATATCACGATTATTTATGTGCCCTTCCTACGATACATGACTGCGGACGCACCTTCTTTGCCCCATCAACATTAACCGTGGCTTTCCATCACCGGTCTTGCTATTCGGAAGCTTTCCGGTATGATATCTCGGTTCAAGCGGACTCGCTGGAGTCTCGGCATCGTTTAGATCCTGTAGATAGCGCATCAAAGTTAACCTCGATCCTGGAGGAGCGCGCTCAAGCTCTTTGAGCGGTGGTTGGCCATGGCGTTCAGCCTCTACTGATGGTGGAGCTGACGAATGAGGAGAGGACATAGTGAAAGCAAGACAGGGAGCAAAGTGGTGTGGCGCTATCGTGTATTCCTGGCGTTTGCAATGCACGTCAACAGTACATGCAAACGGCAGCAGGAACTGAAATCGAGAGCGCTTGGGGACGTTCACCCACTCAGATCGCTGAGGACAGTGATGAACGTGCGCATGCGATGTATCAACTCAACGAATAGGGTATTGCTGAAGATAGGGGTAGCAGGAATCGCACTGGAACAATTGATAGATTCCGCTCAAGGCGGACACATGAATTATAGAGCGGTGCAAGACACGAACGCCAACGAAGAAGATTTCCTAAAAGAACGGTGAAGATGATCGGGGAGGGCAGAGTAGACACGCCGAGAGCTCGCAGGTTCTGGGATAGAAATACAAACAAAGCACAGGACTTCCAGGACTTGAGTCGCAACGACTGCGATGTGGTACAACTTCTGGTATCGCCAAAATACCTGTCAGTTTCACATGGGTGGGCAACCCAGTCGCCTCCAGGTTCGCCTTACAACCACCATATCTCACGCATGATGTTCGATGCGTTTGATGCCGGCAGTCGAGTTGTTCTCCTCGCAGGATGAGGCGAATGTTGCAAGTTATTTGTTTCGATTCCCGTCAACAACGTGGGCCACTCAGCACGCTCGAACGCCGGCACTTGAGATCTCCCTACGGTAGTGAGGCGAACCCGCTCGACTCTTTCCTCTTGCGACGACAAATGGACGAATCGCGGCCTGCGCAAGTAATAATCCGGCGACGAAGGAAATTTCAAATCCACAGGACTTAATAACTTTTTCCGTCTATGGTTCTGAATGCGACAACGTCAAGTTTGACGGCTAGCCACCTTCCGCACCACACCTTGGCTCGAAGATAAGGGGAAAAGCAAGAATGGATGAGCGAGAATTCAGAGGCAAACCCAAGAAAGTTTAAGAGCTGTGGAAGGATGATAAAAAACGGTTTGGACTTACCATCGAGCCGAAAGGTTTTGTCTTCTCGATCCAGCCGAGAAGTATAAGATACCTTTCAAGCTGGGGAATACTTGCGGTCACCTTGAACAGGACCTTCTCCGAACCTGCCCCTGCGCATTCGATTCTTTCTTGTCCCGGACGTTCAGCGGCTCGAATCGCGGCCCAATAAGAACCCTAATAATATTGGACCGCCGATAGGAACGTAGGGAAGTTCAGCCGAGAGACCGCAGGCGGAACTAGGATGGCCACTGTTGTCGGGATGTATCGGTAAGCGCAAGCGCAAGAAGCCAATGATGACGATGGTCCTTTGAGGGAATAAGACAGGAAACAGGGATGAGCAGCAGAGTAGATAAACGATGAGCAATTGGTTGGATGGAGGAAGGTGGAATTGCGTGGTGATGGGAAAGGTAAACGGCGGTCGACGAGGTTGGACCGTTTCACGAACCAGTCTCGGGCCGGGGCGCCCGTCATCAACCACCCTGGAGCTGGAACTTTGAATCGTCGTGGCGATGAGTTCATCATTGTTCCTCACTCGGCGTATTCCAACAGGTACTCATACTTTATAATACTGAAATCCGGGGTCATTCAAGTTGTGTCCAGTCGAGCTTCGATTTCGATTATTCCACCCTATACGTTCGCTCCGAAATCACGAAGACTCTGCCTTTCAACAACTCCAGGGACATGATGACCCGGAGCGAGAGAGAGAAGAGTAATACGGGAATGTGTCGTGCAACGGCCTGGGGTGGTACCATTGTTGATATCAAGCACTCATATTATTATTCCCAGTTCCTCGGGCGTCATACATAGGTAGGTAAGGATAGGTTGCGGCGTTATGAATACTGCTGCACATGCATTCTCCAAGAAGGCAGGTCGTGGATCCGTTCGGTGACTATCCAAATGATGTACGACATTAGAGACAAGCTCTCGGGGTTGATATCTTTGCAATTTGTGCCCTTCTTGTCCCATTGGGTGCATGTTCCCGAGTTCCGCATCCTCCAAAGATTTTGAAAGTTAAAATTTGTCTGATCCTCGGGAACCGTGTCTGTAGTCCAGAGAAGAGTATATAGATGATGCAACATGCATTAACCCACGTTTTTCATCAGACGATGCCATTCCTATTCCGGCGATCGGGCTAAACCGTCCCGCTATCTCGGCTTTTGATCATCCTCGTTTTCGTGATGCAACAAGATTGATGCTGCCCTAATTCCATCCTCGCATAGTTTAGGAAAGCTTCTAGAATGTCAGCTGCTTCCAGGCTCCCTCCAGGCTCCGATGAGCATCGTGTGCTCCTCCCCAGCGACCTCGACAGTATTCTCTGATTGAAATCTGTTGGCTAGTCTTAATTTCTGGTTGTTGCAATACTGAGCCGACAGGGTTGAATTCTGCATGGTTATGGACTTGGAAAGAATACTGGTACGAGGAAGAGATTGACGGCTCTGAAGCATATCTCCAGGGAATCGAGTGGTCTCAACCGTTGCTCATATATAGTAGGTACCTTCCAAAGGTACCGAGTTCAGTAGGCTGGAGGTAGACGCTGAAGAGGAAGGGCCATTAATTTCCTGCACCCCGGATGTAGGTACTATTTCTCTACCTTTTAATGAGTATCCTCCTTTTTCTGAGCTGCTGCACTTCATTTCCGGCCATGATAGATGCAGATATCCAGTTCTGGTTGGATGCAGATTGAATTGAGATGGCAATTAAGAACGGAAGTCTTCAACCAGACCTGGTAGCAATGGGCAATGACGCTAAGCTGCGCTAAACCACATGTGGGGTTGGATGGATCAATGGATATCAGATTCGATTCAGGTGTCTCTATGCAAGGATCACAATAGGAACAAGCTCAACTTCTCTGTTCACGCCGCTGTTTTCTGAAATGTCTTTGTGATGCCTACTTTACGCAGTGGAAACTGTTACTGACTGCTATGTGCCATCGTTAGCCCTTTCTTGAATCCTTTCACTCAGAATTGTTCGATCGGGATCCATGGCTGGCATGCGCCGGGTATTCTCACGATGTATCACTTGATGAAAGGCCTGTATATGTATGCGACCAGCAAAGAAGGTATGTAAAAACACACTCTCCCCCTGCAACAGATGGGATCACTAATGCAGAACCGCGCAGAATTCTCCGTCTTACTATTAGGCCTTGACAATGCGGGCAAAACCACTCTTCTCGAACAAATCAAAGCCGCTCATTCTACCACCCAACATCCGAACCTAAAGACTGTCCCTACCGTCGGTCAAAATGTCTCGACCATCTCCCTTCCCGATATGTATTTGAAGATTTGGGATATCGGGGGACAGCACAGCCTACGAGGACTATGGCAAAGCTATTACTCAAGCTGTCATGCGATCGTCTTCGTGATCGATAGCACGGACATCGGCGACGCGGAGCTGGCGAAACTATCGAGCCCCGACGGCCACAACGAAGATGATTTTGGGCGGTTGGAGGAATGCAAACTCGTCCTCGAGGACGTTCTACTGAATCAAGACACGGAGGGCGTCCCAGTCCTGGTTCTGGCGAACAAGCAAGACAGGGAAGACTGTGTGGAGGTCGTCAGGATCAAGGAGGGACTGGTGAGGAAGGTATTCGAAGGAGAGAAAGGTGGGAGCGTTAGAGACAGCCGCGTCCTGCCATGTAGTGCATTGACTGGCACCGGAGTCACAGAGGCGGTCGAATGGCTATGCAGTCGGGTCAAATGGAATAAAGAGGCGCGACCGCCAACGATGCGATGATATGATGGATATGATACCCTTAACTCTGGAATTTCTCATTTCGAATGAACGTTAGGATTCGTTACGCCGTCCGAATCATTATGCGTCTCTGCCAAACACCAGATCCAATCCATATACACCGGGACGCTTAGAATCAAAGCCTTTGTCCGCCGTCATTACTCATATCTTGATCTTAATATCACAGACAACCTCAATCCACCATGCTATCCTGCATCCCTTCTCCTCGACTTTCGAAATTGCCGATCCTCCCGTGCAACCGCTTCGTAGCTCGGTAGTGCTTCGTCTTCGCTATTGAGATTCGAGTCTCTTGACCCTCGCCTCTCACCATTGTGCCGCAATCTCCCTGCCCTTTCGCTTTCTTCCAGCTGCTCGAGCCTCTGCCGTTCCTTTTCTTTCCGTTTGTGCTTGATCTTCAGGACGCTGTGGGTGACGAAGCCTGCGATGCCGAGAATGAGGGCAGCCATGCTGGCGATGATTTCGAGCTTCGGGTACGCGGCGACCGGAATTGGGATGCGGGGAGTAGAAGACTTAGGTCAAGAAGCTGCGCATTGCACTTCACATTACCTGATGCGGCCTGATGCGCTCCAGCTCCTGAATTCCTCAACCACTGGTCCTCGTGGATCAGAACGGACTCGCTCTGGCTAACGTTAAACACCACACACGCTGATATTGGTCGAGGGATCAAGGGGGCTGGGAAGGATAATCTGGTCTGATATTGCTGATAATCAATTCCTCTGCTCGAATTCGCAAATAAACATGGAATGTTGACATCCTGAAGCGAAATAGGCAGCTTTGCCTCATCTTTCGTTTGGCGGAGAGACATCACGGAAACGCGATCTCAAAAACTAGTCCAATCGCTGGACGTCTAGCAATGCATAGAATGACGATTCCTAAACCTTGAAGCATATCTCTAGGATTCGAAAAAACTAGATCGTGCATATTCATTTGCCTGAGATAGGTAGATGCAGAGAAAGAGTTATTTTTAGTTGTTCAGTTGTTCAAATGAGACATGGCAGACGTTCATCCCCGGGGAAGAGAACCCCTGAGCTGGTCAGAGATGCCCGGTGGACAGAATTGACGGCATAGCACGATTGAAGCACATCCCCAGACCATGTAGGCGGAAGCACACGGTAAAAGGTTATTTAATTACGGAAAATTAACAGATGATAGCTCTAATATCCTGCCGATTTACACTGGCTGGAGCCGTATGTCCAAGTCACTGAGTCGTCAATTTGGTCTACTCCAAGTGGATTGGAAAAGTGAGCATATGATAAGAGACAAGAGTAGACGAATGTTGTGTATCGTGTGACCGCTATCAGTTGAATTCAGCGTTCTATAAATTTTAGTTCAAACCCAAGAGACTTGGTTGTTTCTTTTCGTTTGTCAACATCCACGCTTCTCTCAACGCTCATACCCACACTTACACACATCATCATCGAAATTCGCGACCTACCGCCATCAACAGCATCACAGTTTCCAGCAAGAAAATGGATTCCAATAACCCATACCATTCGAGTTCCCAGAATCCAGGGGGCCGCGAACGTCCGTCCATGCCTTAGTTCAATAAACCCACCGTTCGCGGCATGGGTGAGTCTATGGATATCGATCAGTCTGGCTTTTAGGCCATGAGCCGGTACAAACTTCTGATGGAGGCCACCTAAGGAGCACACTCCAGGGATCAACTTATGGTAGTCACCCGGGGCGTCCGGACCAGGGATCAGCTTAGGAAAGCCACCCAGGAAGCACATACGGCGGGAAGTCTCTTATAAGAGCCCCTGAATCTAACCTTAAGTCGTGGGCTTCCTTTGGAAGATTTCCGCGATTTTCACCTAGCGAGGGCCATTCTTCCTGCGGAAAAGTGCCCCGATTGTTTAGCGAGGACTATCCTTATTTTGGAAGGATACCTCAATATTTGCCTTACGAAAGCGACGCTTCTTCTGGGAGCGGCTCTCCAGAAATTTCAGGTTCCGAACCACGCGGTCACTTGTACCATCACTGGGGTCGTTGTGGATCGAGGCCCCCCGAAAGGCCCGGCCAAGGGCACGGCCGGAATTCATAAAGCAGACAAGCTTCTGTTCACGGGCAGCACCTCTTCTCCAGAGATGCTTCGGCGCGGAGAATGCAGTCATTAGCCAGGTAAGCGTCGGGACCGGCCAGCAATCTTTTTCTCGAGAAGCCCAGGATCCGACCACGCAATCATTTTCCGACCCTCATGCCCCCCCTTCAGTTGGGTCACTGGCAGCAGATGCTGGAACGGTTAGAGAAGAGCACAGGTTTGTCAAAGTCGTCTGAACATTCGGTACAGGTCAGCATACTTTGTCTGGGAGCTCGAGACACTAGGAGCCAACAGGGCCAGAAGCCCAGTTCCCACCACCTCTATGTTCATCCGTTACAAGAGGGTGATTTGATGGGGATGGAGGAGAGGAGCAAAAGCAAACGACTTCCATTCAGATTTCGAGTCTACACCTTCAGCCTCTAATTCTGTTGGAGCACTGCTAACTGTTTCTTCAAATTCCGCCGTGAAAACGATGAAATCAACACCTAGTGGCACCATGAACAGCTTCTCCCGGTAGTACGTGCCTTGAATGGAGTGCTGCCGGTTTCTCTCCATCGGTAAGTTTAATCTGACATGTTCTTAAAGCCGTTTACTAATCTTCACATATTACAGGAACTTCAAACACGGATCGAGTCCTCCCACGCCTTGGTCAAAGAAGAGATGAGGGGCGGAAAGCTAACGGTGGAGGAGTAAGCGGAGGACCTTGAGAAATTGCACACAATGAATCAGTTCTCCTCAGTTGGCTGGCGCCTATCCTTTGATGACGTAAGTTAGAAGTTATTCGGCCAAAATTCTTTGAACTCAAGATGGTTTAGTGGATGGACACGATGCCAATGGGAATCGAGGGCACGAATATCGACCTGATCACCATAAACGACGACTGCGCTCCTGTAACTGGACGGACGCCCTGGATCGATCAATTCAGCCAGCCCTCATCCCGGGCCTAGAATTTCCGAGTATACCATTGACACCATTCGACCGACTGAATCCCCGCCGAGGGCCTTTCCGGTATGGTGCAGTACCGACATGCGATATGATTCTAGTGGACATTTTCTAATCGGATAGCGGCTATGTCAGAAGTAAGCACCGAACATGCAGACCGTAATCCGAGCCGATCAGACTGCCTTTCTCGAAAACTCGGGATCGACCCCCATTCCCAAGACAGTTGGAAAGGTTTTGCCCACCATGCATCGGAATCTATGGGGTCAAGGATACGCCACTGGGCTATTCGGACTCCTACGGAACTCACAAAATGGAACGTTCCTGAGGACCGAACGCCTACAGGCACTCATGAAAAGACAATTCAACAAGCGAGAAAAAGCTAAATTGGGGATTCTTTTAGACGCCGCGACCTCCGCACAGCGCCGTTATATGCCCTCTCCGGCATGTCCCACCCTCAAGGCATTCTCTCGAGAATATCCTTATCGAACTCCTCTTCATCGAATGTCTCCTCAACTCCTCCACGAAATTCCTCTCTCCCTCGAACAACCACTTGAAATTTGTGGCACAAGGATACAATAGGAAGGGCGGACGAAAGGAGATGAGAAAATGTTTCGGAGAGCTGCAGGGAAGGCGACTGCAACACAAGACGTGTAGCTGGTGCTTGGGGGTCTGATGGCGGGGATTTAAATCGTTAGAATGAGAATGGTACATGGGAGCACTGCAATGGCACCGGCTGTTCATGGCTGCAGACATCTCGATTTCCAAAGCCACTGATTGGGAGGGAAGCAAATGGTCAATATGACGGGACCCGGTCATCGAATTGAGTTATGGGCCTCCCTGTGACTACCAGCGTGCTGTTCTGGCAACGGATATTGGAAGGAAATAGGGTGAAGATACGGTCACGGAGTGGACAGGTTTGAACTATAAAGCTTGAGGCTCTGTTGGACCTTCCAATACATCTCGATCGCCACAAGGTCTGTTGCCGTACAATTATCTCCCTTCTACCTGACTTCCGATCAAACTTGGCTACAGGCACTGTTCTTTCATCTGCCTGACTCACGATCGTTGACACCGAAATCGTGACCCGAAGGGAGGATCATTCGGCTCACTGCCCTTTTACCGCAGAGTTCATGACCAGCACTGGCGGATCCTGGGGAAATCAGTTCATTGTCCAAGCAATATCAGATTTCCGGATGAAACCTCCATTCACGGTGGCCGCTCACTCTAAATGGTTCCGCTGGACATAGTCTTTCAGTCATCCGTGTCTCGTAGCCGAACCATCTACCACTCGAGTATAGAGGAGATGGTCGAGGCAACATAGTTCCGACATATCTTTGGGAATGAGACTTTTGTGGCAAAGTCATCCAAATGAACCAATAAAGAAAGAGTCAGAGCAAGACGACTAAAACAGGTATTGGACCAAGTGTCGCATGTATTTTAGCTTCGTGGCTCTAAAATCACGAAGATCCTAGACATGTTGCAACGTATTTGCCCCTTTCATGCTACAAGTGCGCAGATGGTAGCTGGTTTTTCAACTGGGAAAATGAAGACTGATCTAGTTCTCATCCTGTGGTTGACCAACGTACGGGATAGAGGGAATCGGGATGGCCGAGTTCAACCACTATATAAGTTCCCAGATGCCGGATTTCATTTGTTCTGAACCATTTCTATCCTGTGGCTAAATAACTCTGTTGGAGCAATTACTCCCTCATTGTTGAAAGCATATCTTCATCTTGCCTGTCATGATTCTCACTCGGAGTCTCGTACCTTCTCTTCTGTTCCTATTCTTTTCCATTCCAGGAAGTTCAGCTAGGAACCGGCCCATCTCAGCGAGGACTGTATACCAAGCTCCGGACAATGGCTCTTGGTACGAGAACCTAGTCGTGGAGCCCTCCGGACAATTGCTTGTCACCCGCCTCGATGAAACCGAAGCGAACATATATCGTGTTAATCCCTGGAAAGGAACTGCTGAGATTGCGTATACAATCCCCGATGCGACCGGTTTACTGGGCATCACTCGAGTTGAGGACCATAAATACCTTGTTGTGGCCGGGCAATTCGAAGGCACCCCCCCCGGTTACCATCCCCGACACTTTATCGGTCTGGAAAATAGACTTCCAGGGGAGACCAAAGGCTAGGCAGCTGGCTTCCTTTTCAGATACCCTATTGAATGGCATAACGATGCTCGAACCGGAGAGTCATATTGCTCTCATTGCCGAGAGCTCACAGGGTCTCATATATGCCCTCGATATACGCACTGGCGAATACCGTCTTTTCTTGGACGATCCCGCTTTGAAATCGCCTTTTCTCCCGGACTTCGCACCGATCGGCATAAATGGCATCCACATGCGGGGACAGTATGCCTATTTCACGAACTCCTATGCGGAAACGTTCAATAAAGTCAAGGTGGACTTGAGGAAGGGGCAACCAGTCGGTTCAGTCGAAATGATACCAATCGCAACCGTCGCAGACGGCTTTGATTTGGCTGGCGATGGCAATGCTTACCTTTGCGGCTCTCACTTCCAACCATGTCCTCAAGATTGATCAAAGTGGGCAATCGGAGGTCGTTTATGGCGCCCCTGGCAGCATTGAGCTCGTGGGCCCAACGTCAGCCCAATTCGATGCAAGAGGGGAGGTTCTATATGTTGTTACGAGCGGAGGAGGGGCGATGCCTGTAAATGGAACATATACCGAGCCCGGAAAAATCATTGCAATCACCGGTTTGACATGAGGCTTTATGGGGATTTCATGTTATGGTCCCAGGCCTGTGGCCTGGGCACTTGGGTGTGGCTGATTGCCACAGAAATGTGGCTGGTGAATTACATGGAGGACTATCAAGGAGACAGTCATGTGGGAGCTGTGTATTAGGAGAGCAGAGAGGAGAATCGATATCTCGGGCGTAGAGGCCCTGGGAGGTTTCTTCCTTTCCTCTCTCTTCAGTTTAGATTAATAAAACTTAGTAATCGCAGACCTCACGCATCCAGACCATGTCATGTCATACAGGCTCTACTGGTCGCATCAAGAAGTATGTGCGAGGTCTCACTCCGCCACGGTTCAGGCGAGGCTAGTTGGGGGAATTTGCTAGAAAACTGGAATTAACGCTAGCGAAATTTATTTTCCTCTTATGAGAAGTCGGAATGCATCCAGCCATCAGTGAATGTATGTCGACCAGTTGGTTCCCTCTCCTTAAAGCGGATGCCTATGGCGATTCCACGTAGCCGAAGCATCGCATTGATCAGCAAATGAAAGTCGACGGGGGGAGGTAGTACCGCATAAGGCAAACGCATGCGCAACAGGCCCGAACCAAACTTACAACGTAGCACTGGTGGTGAGCGTGGCTGCAAGGACTACATTTGGCTTGTATACTACTGTAGAGTACACCACGTCGGGCGGCAGCACGCCTACCCCACGGCCCCCCTCGCGAACTTCGAAGACGTATCGAAGACATCGCTCGCAGGTGCCTTGGGCCTTGTTTGATACTTGATAGCAACGCTAGGGGCTTCGGTTCACTTGCAGATCGGCGACTAGGTAGTCGTGTCAGTAACGCATGCGCTGGAGAGTTCCAGGAAGTCCGTACTAACATCCTGATAATAAATGCCAGGTTGCTGCATGATAGAAGCCATTTAATTTAAAAGACACTTGTGACTCACCGAGCCAGCCAGCTTGCGCAGAAGGGTCCGGTGGGCACTTTGTAGATAGGTCAGCTAGTGCAAGACCAACGATGCTGTTAAGTGAACATCTATGTAAATCTGAGCCAGAAGACATGGAAAGTTGCTTTTTTATACAGTCCCGGTGGGGGAACTTTGATTGAAAGATGTGCATGATCTCAAGGAGTGCTTCTCTTCTTGAATTCATTGGGCCGCTTGTTGTTGCAATGACCGGAAAATGAGCTCCTCTGTCGAAGAGTAAGTAATTTGAGCAAGACTTGTTCCATATTTTTCAATTCTGGGGTGGGTCAGAATTCATTACCACATTCTCTTTGAATCTGGTAAATGGAGTCTCCGAACAACGTGAATGACCAACCTTAACATTCAATAATAGGGAAAGACCTTGGTAAGACTGTGACAGTGGTACGGATAGAGGAGAGGCATATTAGCACTAACGGTCTCTATGGTGTGACGGAGAACTAGCATCCAAATTTCGATCACCGATTCTCCCACTGGATTCGAAGCTCCCACTACGATCGGGTTAAACCGGCGCCGCAGTTTCCTTACCGGTAACTAGGAGGACAATGTTTCTGAGAGATTCTGTTAAGCAGATCGGCTAAAATCTTGCTTCACCGGTTTTCAACGGGCCCTTGGTCTTTGTGGTTCTGTATCCTGTGAAAAAGCGCAAGACCAAAGACTATGGGGGGATTAGGCGGGCGGAATGTTTTAGGGCTGTGCGCATCGAAGGGCTGGTGATCGTAGCTTTGGCCGAAGTCGCTATCTCTCGGTTTCGAAGGATGGTATCTGTAATCAAACAGCTTAATAATTCAAAAAGGACTTGAATAATACTCCGAGATATGATGATTCATCTGAGCCTATCCGTGGAGAATCCTCAGGTGCCATTCACGACGGACACGACCGGACCTACTGAATCTGCATGTTAGCTCCCCCACAGCTTTCTAGAATTGCGCCATCAGAGTGTCATTGGGGATGTGAGGAGATGTGAGGCCTGGTCCATTTTGTCTCCGGGCCATCCTCGCCCCTCCTGTGAATCCTACAAGTATGAATAGGTCCATTCGCGTCCTTCAGGCCTTCAATGGCTTCCACACCGCCCGAAGTCGATACTGCCATAATTGGTGAGACCTTGCCCATCCTTGTTCGTGCGTGTGCCAGTTGCCGAATGCTAAGACATGACCCCAAGGTAACGGTCCGGCGGCCCTCCTCCTGAGTTACCTACTGCATGGCCATCTTCCAGTTTATGCGGGCGGACACCATGATTCCGTTTTGGACTCCAAGCTGTGTGACAAGCCGGATTTGCGCTGCCTGACGCCGGACCTCTACGCGCATTTCCACTCCTCCCTCCGCTATTCGACCCAGGCGCTCCCGATCAACACCTTGTTGGATACGCTAATCCGACCGAATGCCGACACGACGATTGATTCGAGAACATGTGTGGATTGGATATTTCGGCCGGATGTCGCCGTCACGCACGCGATCTTAGGGAACGCACCGGCTCCTGGGGGGCAGTGGACGGAGGATCCCGTCTCCGCCAGTGCCTCGATCGGGACACTGAGTTACGCGGAGATGTTGTCGCTTCCTGGATACTCCTTCGCAGACCATCACCAGCGTGTCCACGGCGAACCACTTCCTGATTTCCTTAGACCATCAAGGGAAGAAGTCGCGTCGTACTTCGCAGCATACCCCTCCGCGGTCGGCATATCTGACGTCATTCATAACAACTGCTATGTCGAGAGGATATCTCGTACCAAGGATGGGTTCTTCATCGAGCCGCAGCGATTGCAGTGCAAGCACCTGGTGCTCGCGACGGGCATATTTTCGATCAACATCCCTCCTCCTGCAGTCCTCCGGCCATTGGCACCCCTCCACTCCGACTCCAAGCCACTTCTTGTCGTTGGATCCGGTTTCTCGGCCGCCGATGTTATCATCTCTGCCCCACCGTCTCAGAAGATCATCCACCTCTATAACTGGGCTCCGGAGGAGCGACCTTCGCCACTACGAGGATGTCATCCGCAAGCATATCCGGAGTATGCTATGGTGTACAGGCAGATGAAACAGGCCGCCGCGGAGGACGAAAGGCATGCCTCGACACCGGGAGTTAAGAGAAAGGTCAATCCGTTCGCCGCGAACCGCGACTGGGCCGACGTATACGAGGGTCTTCCGAATGCCGAGATCGTTTCCGTTCATCAGAGCGACGCTGAACGAGATCACGATGTGGCGCACGTTCAAATTCGGACATGCAAGGGACAGATCAAAGAATTCGTGATCGGCAGTTTCGCGTATGTCGTTGGACGGCGCGGCACATTGGATTACCTTCACGAGGATTTGCGGGGAGAAGTCTTGAAAGACCTTCGCGTCAATGACAGTTCTCTGATTTCCGGACGCACTCTACGACCCAAATTCGAAGAAAACAACTTCGAAGTGACCCAGGATGTTTTCGTTATTGGTAGCCTTGCCGGCGATAGTTTGATTCGACATGCGTACGGGAGCTGCGTGTTTGTTGGGGGTAAGATCATGAGTGGCAACACACGCCGATGTTGCGAGAGCAATGGGGACGAGAGGGAGAGGGCCACGCCGAGTCCTTCATCGACGTCGTCAACGGAGAGACTACCACGGGTTAGAGGTGGCATGGCGCATAATGACTTGCATATAGATAGACGGCAGTTCGTTAGAGGCGAGACCTAGCTGCTGTTTTATGAAGCCGGTCAAGCGCAGATAGAGGTAGAAGACTACATACGATACCATGATCATTATTCATTCATCATCGTGTACATCTGGTTCATCTTGTGCCTCTTCTGTCGCCATCTGACTCGCCAGAAAGTCCAGATCAAGAATTCGATACTGGCGAAGATCCTCCCCAACAACGCATAGGACTCGACGGTTCTTACGTCCATTGACCTCCATCTTAAGCGGCCTGAAACGCTCATTCTCGTTGAATTTGTGCTTGATGAACCGCTCGGTTTGCTCCAGTGATAACCGGATTGCAGGCGCTACCGTCCTGGGTTGACCGTTGGGTAGTTCGAAATCCATCAATGACGGTTTCGTCTCTGAGATACGCCAGTCTTTGAAATTCCTCTCAACTTCATGGCTATCATCCGTGGGGCGCAGGTCGAAGGATAGGATAAAAGACGAACCTGATCATTAGCAATTGAAGGAATTATGAGAGGGACAGACATACTTCCATTCCCAATAAGGACAAGGAGGTGCGTTTCGTCCGCAAATTTTACATCCAAACAATCGAACCCTTCGAAAGCAATGGTGAAGGACTTTGCCGACTTGATGGATCGAGAATCATCAATAAAGCTTTCATGATAGAGTCGATGTAACCGAACTGGGACGTCAGCATCATAAACCGGATAATGTATGAGGACACTACCTTCGTCGGGTTTGGTTTTTGGAACATAAGCGATGTAACTGAACATGCTCGACACATCCTTAGGTCCCTGTAGGCATTAGACATGAGGATGTATGTACATGGAGGTCTTACCGGGTGGACCATCTTCATGTCCAGTGATGATACCTCTCCATCATCCAGGAATATACCACACGCCACATCTGTACCCGCCACTTGTGAGAATGTGATCTTTTTGACAAGGCTTAAGCAGCTACTTTGAAGCTCTTTCAGATGAATCCACAAGGACAGACACGGGAATTTCGTTCCCATCCCATTATTATGCTGCTTCAGTTGTTTTTGCAGGGTCTCGTAAGAGAGATGATCAAGGTCATCCACTGCTGATAGCTCAACATCCTCCATAAACTTTGGCATCCTGCTAGCCTTCAGGGGTCCTCGGATATATGCGAGGAGTTGAGCATAATCAATGCCTATATCACGGTCGAGGACTTCGTCTGCAGCAGCTGAGGTGGGTTCTGTGGCTTGAACCTCAATCTCATGCCGCATCCATCTCGAAAACGCAAGGAACTGCCGTCTTTCTTCGCTCGCGATTATCAGGATTTGATGAGAGAGGAAACGAAGACATCGGACTCGCTCGATGATGACTCGGAATTGTGGGATTGGAACATCCAGGATCTGGCTCTCCTGATAATGCAGTGCCAGCCCTCTTAGTGCCGATATCAACATCGTGCATCGGTCCAAAGCTGGGAGAAGATTCTCATGGGTCAAATCAAGGATCCGTTGGTAGCCGTTGCTAACACTATGATCCCAACGTTTGTGTCCCTGCAAATATTAGCGACTGACCAGAAATTTATATCCAGGATCACGAACACGCTCCGCTACTTGGTCGGCAAGCCACTCCTTCACTGGTAGCGGACAGTCTCCACTCATTGCAAGATGATACAAGTTTTGAACCAGCGTGCCGTTTTCTTCCTCAGCCAATGTCTCTTCGATGTTCGCCATGGATTTAGAAGGAAATTCATGACTCGTGTTCCAAAGGTACGTGACCGACTCAACGCAACGCAGAATATACTGTAAAATGTTTTGCAGTTGAGCAGTTTTCGAGGCAATGATATGCAGGATGATGCCAGAAGACTTGATAAATCGAAGTGTGAGTGGAATCAGAGCAAGTCTAGTTTGCTGCCCTGCTGTGTCTGTCTCTTCTGGAACATGCGTTCGTCTTGTACTCTTCCGTGGAGTTCGTGTACCATACGAAAGTCTGGATGATGGAATAACTTTTGTCTCAACAAGGATCATGTGAGTATAAGAGAAGGGATGAGAAACGTGCAGCAGAGGAGCAATCTCGAGAGATGCCCAGCGTTCAGGATATCGAAAAGATCCAACATTGAGAGAATCATACACGATGATCGTCCCCGTTCGGTTGGCATTATGTACAATCAGTGTCTCGACCGAGTTATGATCTCGAGTGTGTTTCTGAAGGAGGAGATCAAGAGCAGGTTGAGAAGCGAAAATTTCCGGGTTAATGGTCGATAAACCGGTTGCCGTCAGTAGTGGCACTATCGGAAGTTTTGGTAAAACGCTCTCAACATCTAGTAGAGCGAGCTCCTCGGGAAGGTTTGGATGGATGCTTAGAGTCTCATGATCTGGTTGTCGGTCCAGGAAATCGTCTAGAGAGACATAGTCACGAAGACTTTCAATCAGATCCTTCCGTCCGGGCTTTCCATTCGAAGACAATAGGTCATCGATATTGACGCGGTCGCTGACGGCTTTCACCTTGATCAGGTTGAGAGACCAGCCAATGCAGAGAGTTGGTTCAGGTGTTGGATTTGATACTGCCGCGGCAGTGACATGTTTGAAGTGCTGCAACACCTTTCCACTCTCAGCCGAGACCACGTCCACAGTACCATCCCGCCATCCGACCGCAATATATTGACCTGTATTGGACTTCAGATTCCGTATCAAGCTCACAGGGGAGGGGACGAGTGCTCACCGTTGAATTTCCAGCATATCGACTGTACTGTGGTATCGGGGTTTCTTCGATGCAGTCCAAATGCTTTTTGCCCGTTGAATCGATATACTTCGAGCTGTTCATCTTGCGTGACGACCGCTACGAGATCCATCGTTGGACAACATGACACGAGGTTTGCCCGCAATTGACGGGCGAGGGTCTTCTCCGCTTGGAGAAGCAGAACCGGTTCTCCCATGGTGCATGGTTCGAGATAGATTCATGGATTCTCCAACTCTAGATCCCTACGCGTTCGTACAAAAATATTTCATGGCTGCCGATGGAGTTCAAAATAGGAAGTCGCGTTGTTCGCGTCTCAATGCCTGACTCAAATTTTTACGCCTTGGCGCCTGAAAAGGGAGACACCATCAGAACTGAGGCTCTGATATTACACACGAGAGACACAGCGTTGCACTCATTCGTAAGTTATCCCCTGCATAGCATTTGATATTATATCAGAAGTCACGTAATGAAGTCGGGTAACATGGAGGAAATGACCTATCGAGTGCTCATTTTAAAGGTAGGACTACAGCGCATAGGCCTCCATAACCGCCACCTCTCATTCTATCAAGTAATACTACCCAAACGCCTTGAACTTGGCCATTGTCATTATAGGTAGGACCATATCACCCAATCAGATACTTGTCCGCGACCGACTTCACCTCTTTCGTGAAAGGAACTTCTTCGTTCATACCCAACAGTGTGACGGATGAGACCTGTTGGTGTTAGCTGTGCTTGTAGAATATCAACAATAAACTTACATCGACCTCCACGAAGGGTTTTGTCTTCGTAAAGCTAACACTCATTGGGAAGAACTCCGAATCACTCTCGGCTTGTGCCTCGAACTCGAAGGAACCGTTGGGGTTGGCATTGTCAATACCTCCAATGGTCCAGTCAATGCTATCCCCTGAAACTTCATAGATGGAATCGAAACTGGAGATCGATGGCTCGCTCGTGCTGTATGGAATGGACACGATAACATCTTTGAGTGGATCACTTCCCGTCCATTCGTATTCCACCGTGACATTCCAGGTATCTGGCCCAGCATCGTTGACCCAGACTGTAAAAGTGATGGGAGGATCATCGATGTCGGCTACTTTTGGTGAAAGAGTCCATCGCATCACTCCGATAGATTGTCTGACCGGGAAGCCTCCCTTGGAAGGGTCGGCGAGTTGAATGACCTTGGAGGTTCGGAAGAGGTTCTTGTCCACTTTCGGATGGGAGAAGAGTTGAGCACCTCGACTGTTGCCCACAGCCAAGTCCAACTTCACAGATGTGAATGACGGATCGGTTATTCTGAGTTGCAGAGTACCCTTTACATCGAGTGATTCCAACGTGCCCTCTCGGCTGACTTTGGCGTTGATGGATTCGGCAAGGGTGATATGAACTGGGTCTTCCCCTGATAGCGAAGTTCGTGCTGGTGTAGCTGCAGCTTGGGGGGTATAGGCTGGAGACACCAATGGTGCGGATTCTTCCGGACCGAGTTCCTCGCGAACTTGATCGTACATATTGCTGGTTTTGGACTTCTTGCCCAACTGCAAGCCTTTGCTACGGAGAGGCATGGACTTGGTGGGCTTGTTCCTTTCCGAATTGTAGCTATCGTATGTGTCCGGTACCGATGCTTGAACAGGCGGGGTATATGTTGGATATGACGGAACTCGAGGGGGCATGCCTTGACGAGCGTTCCGGGTCATCTCCTTTCGCTGCATATCCAGTTGCTTCGCCTTCTTCTTGCGCTCTTCGCTCGCCTCCATTTCTTTGTTGCGGGCAATGATTTCTTGGATACGCTCCTCATGACTCTCCATATCGAGGAACGTCTTGATCTGGGCCATAGTGAGATTCTCTCGGTATCCCAGGGTCACTAGCTCATCGAAAGCGCCTAGCAACTCAAAGGCGTTGCGCAGGATCTCCTTCTCATCAAGACTCTTGCATATACTGCTGACCACTTGAGCAAAGAGATGTAACGAGTCGATATCTTGAAGGATGTTCGATTGTCGGTTGGTGATCAAGACCATATAGAGCTCGTCCAATGGCTGATATACGAAACGGACATTGTCCTGCTCGACGGTTGTATGTTGGGTTCCGGAATCGGCGAGTTTGGGGAACGAGGCAAGCAAACCCTCAATTCGAGATCTTTGCATTTCCCGAAACTGTCTCGAGATGACAGCCTTCCCCCCTCGGGTGCATATTGAAGCCGCAAGGACAACCTACACCAATATTAGCGCAAGGAGGTGCTGAGATGAGGAAGCATACCATTGCGATTTTGTATCAGGGACTGATAGTTCCTCAGCGCATACAATAGGGATGGCGTCCTCCTAGCTAAGAGAGAAAAGACCTCGTGGTGGTGATCGAAGGGAATAATGGTATTTACACTCTGGCATCAACTCTCATCTCCCACAATTCGAGCTATCGTCTGGGAGTTGTGGCCTTGGTGCCTTGGTGCCTTGTAGAGAAGGAGTTGGTCACATGATAGAGAGCTAAACTGCATCCGGATAGCGCATCCATCTCCTCCCTCCGACGGGAATGTGAATAGATCATCCATCAACGACAACGTTCTCCAAATTATTCTCACTCGCTCGACTGTCAACATCCAGAATCCTTTCATCCTTTAATACCTGTACTCACCGTTCTCATTGCGTGAAGTTCATCCTCCTCCCTATCAAACCCGAGAGTTGATGCGACCGACTCCCCAAAATCACGTCTGACATTCCTTCGTGTCACCCCGATTCTTGCCACCTCCGAACCCAATGTCCCTCAGACTCTACGACAGAACCTCACAAGACTCAAACCATCCGTGTGAACCTTGAACGGCGTGATAAGAAGTTAACCAGAAAGCGCGAAAATACGCGCGAAAATACGCGACCCCTTCGCCGACACGGCATCCAACCCATCATGGCTGCGTCGATATCCCACCCAGTGCCTAAGCTGGAAATAACTGACGTGGACGATGATATGGAAATCTCATCCGATGTTGGTCGCGCCGATAATGATGATATTGATATCGACATCGATGTTGGTGGCGACCATGACTTTGACTATATGCTCGAAGACACATTCTCAGAAACTGGAAATACCAGGGATCAACCCCCGCCATCCCCAAGCAAGGACGATGTCATGGTAGATGAGTCGTACTCTGGAGCCGAGCGTGGTAACACGACCGATATCGAGATCACAGATGGGCCCGACGAACACCTTTTCGATGTTGGGGACTATGGTGTAGACCCCATGGGCTCGACCAGTCTCACATCTGGAGTACAGGAGCAAGATGTTGATATCCAAGAAGCCTCAACACCCAACGAAGTCGACCATATAACCCATGGAACTGATACTCAGTTGGCTCATGATGATCTTGAATTCGATGACAACTTAGATGACGAACAAATCCATGACACAACGAACGATGAGATACATGTGGATACCGAAGGCACTGGAGATCCTCAGCAAGAAGTCGACACTACCGATAGTGCTCAAAATATTTTGGCGCTTGCGAATGATGGGAGTACTGTGCATACAGGCCAGCCTCACGCCGATGACCAGACTGTGGATACTCATCCCAGGCAGGGTAATTCTCCGCAACATGAAGAGCCAGCTGGCACCTCTCAGATTCTAGCACCAACGTCCGGCGAGCCGCAAGTTTCGACTCATTCGCAGTCGGAATCATTGGATCCTGCAGTTGGACAACCGAGTGCCACTGACACTGTCAACGACGTTTCCCACCCCGCACCGGAATCCGAGACTTTTGATTCGCGGATAGAATCCGGCGAGAAGTCTGCTGAGACAGCATTGGCTGAGGATCTGAACAGTGTCCTCAGGTCTACTCTCACTCATCATCCTGTCATTGTGATATATGACCACAGTGAAATATCCTTGTTCCCTCCCGCAGAAGGCGAGTCATCAGAGACTTACTTCCTTCATGACGAGAGCCTTATGAATGCTTGTATCCGTGACCTTCTCCAAGAGTGCAGGCATGTATTAGGTGAAACCATTGGTAACGAGGAAGAGTTGGAAATCGAGGTTGAGGAACTTGGCTTGCGACTCAATGAGGTAAGCATCCTACACCCTATGTCTGGTATCATGCTAACCAAGAACTAGGATTCAATCCACTGTGCAAACGTGACCCTTGCAGAGGTTCTTACTGTGTACCTCCAATTACAACGACATGATGGAGCCGCGAGCCCTTATCCGCTTTACATGACATTAACCTCACACCTTAGATTCTCATCACAACTTGCTTCACTTAAAGATGCCGCTGCGCAAGGGAAAGGATTGTCTCAATGTGTTCAGCATACCCCTGCGGAAGAGCCTCATGAAGAGTATGATGCAGGCCAAAGTGAGCACGATGAACATGAGGGCGAGGAAACTGGCCAAACTGAATTGGATGACTCCCATCAACTTGAGGTTGCCAACAGTCAGGATGAGCCCACTCAACCTCAAGTTCAACAACCTGAAGAGCACGCCGAAGCGCCGCTTGAAGAAGTCGGCCAGGAATTCGAGTCGGGAGATATAGAATATCATGATAATGATTTTGATGAGGAAGCGGGTGCGGAAGACGAGCCTGTTGAGGAGCAGGAGACTCTACCTGCTGATGATTACGAACCGGCCGAGGAAATCGCAGAAGACGACCAACCTGCCAAGAAGCAGGAGGAGACTCTACCTGCTGACGAGTACGAACCGACCGAGGAAGTCGCTGAAACGAGTGTGGCCGAGCCCAAAGGGAGCACTAGTATAACCGATGAAGGTAAACCGGAACATCCGAATGAGCCCGCTGTACAAGACAACGAAGAACAAGGCGAGACAGTGGAAATCGAGCACCCCGAATTTGCTGATGACTTGATTGATTACTTCGATGATGAGGAAGGCCACGATGAAGGCTCATCTGGATCTTTGACTGTCCAAGGGGATATCGCTGAGGCTCAGGAACCAGAATGTGCCTTGAAGAATGGACAGCCTGCCCAGGCTAGTCAAATTGAAGGAGCGGAGCCTGCACCTGAAGAACCCGGTCCAAATGATGAAGACAATACGGCCGATGAGTATGACGATTTCCTCGAGGAGCCCGAAGAGACGAAGGAAGAAGACCAGCCTGCGGATACTCGTTTAGATGTCCCCAAAGCCGATGCTACCCAGGACACCATCTTGGAACCTGGAGAAGGGGCACAGAGCAATGAGCAAAATGAGGGAGAGGGTCCCAGCACCGTCGAGAACCTCGATCGAACCGGTGTTGAGGATTTCGATTTCGCCACTGGCGAAGCGGACGACACCCACTTTGACGCCGGCAATGACGAGAACGGCCAAGCTTGGAATAATGTTTTCGACGATGGTGACGAGAGCGAGGCGGTCGAGGCAACTGTGGGACAGCCGTTCACAGTGCCCGAGGGATCCACGGGGGACGACGAGTTCGATTTCGTCGATGATCTCGATGGCGATGAAGAGGACGACGCTGTAGACTTGGAGGTAGCGGAACAAGACCCGAAGCATGGACACGACTCACCACTTGGGAAGAGGTCGTGGTCGGAGCACAATGAGGGTGCAGCTGGCCAAGTCGATGATCAAGGTATGTTTCGTCGTGTAAATCGAGGCGTATACGTGTCTAACCGCCGAACAGATATGAAACGGGCTCGCCCGTCCTAATCGACTTGGTCATGCGCTTTCTTGTCGACCATCGCACCATATCCAACACGAGCGTGAACCGGAGCCTGGACACTGTTCCCTACATCCTCGGTTTTCGCACGGCCAACGTTCCCCGACGAGCGACCTCTTAACCTTCTCCATTCCTTTTTCGTTTCTCCGCAAGCGCTTTTCCTGCCTTCTGATCCTTTCGCCCCTTCACAGTCACCCGCACAACTGACACGGTACTGATCCACAGCAGCAGAGATACCCCCGATAGCATCCGGGCTTCGCGCAGGAAGCGTTCGGAAGCACCCGCGCGGTTGGGTGCATTACAGGTAAGTCTGTACCCACGGTTTTCCACAGGCGAATGGTTATTGTTTTCATCCCCGTTTCATCCCTGTTTTGTATTCGCATCCTGTACGGTGTATGGGGTGATTGGGATGGCATTGTCGGAGTATAAATAGGGGCATAGGGTTTTAAACGGTGGTAGGGACTTGCACGTCCTCGTTTTCGGTACTGGCAGGATCGATTTGGGCGTCTCCAACGAGAGATGCGCCGGTTGGAAGATGGAATAGGCAGTGGCTTGCATTATCGTTTGTTTTCGACGATATCAAGTGTCTTCACGCGAATAGGTGTCGGACAGTCGAAGGATACTCTACCGTACCGATACTGTATCACCGCAGATGTCGTGTACAAGTAGCTACCCGCAATTCAAAACAATTCAAAACTTCAATAACTCTATTATATCTACACACCTTCGTAAATAACAAATATCCATGGTATGATTCGTATCCCCGGGCAAACATCAAAGGGATTCTCGACTTAGCGGAATTAGTGTCAACCGAGGCGGAGAATATTCCCGATTCCTGTTGGTGCGACAAGGAGATCGGCCACGCCATAGGCCACTCCGCCGAACGGATCAACAGAATCAAAACAACCATCGCACGTGCAATGTAAGATAAAGGAAGTGGAGTTCCAGATGCCTATTAATCAAGATTCTCTAAAGAACCGATGGGGAACCCGGTGTGGAACCGACTCCTTAACCACGCGTCCTTACCTCCAAATCCCATACACATAATTTGGAGGATCCTTTAACCAAAGCTGCGATTACAACGAAACACTTGTTAGCACATGAAGAATACCTCTGCCCTCCTCAATCTCCCAAAAATAGGTAGGGCCTTGAACCCTGAATCCCTCCTCTGTCCTCGCCTTCGTCGAACGTCCGAAACCCTAACGCCTCAGTACGTACCCTGTCCGTCCTGCGAACCAACCACCATTGATCTCCTCCCCCAGGGTCTATCAAGGATCGTATCCACGGTACTTGAAACGTGTAAGTCCACATGTAATTCCATCGCCGCCTCCAGTCCAGCCTCATCCTTGGAGTTTCGACATCGCGACATTCGCGGCACCACTCCAAACCGAGTTCACGACCTCAAGAGCCAAGACTCAAGACCATTCCATTTCCCGCCGTGGGGCTAGCCTAACTACCACCTAGCGGAACCTTGAGGATCAGTTCCTACCGGTTTCCCTCGTCCACGTCCTCTCGTTAATACCTACATACCACCACTTCACTCGTTACTTCCTTCGATTCCTACGGTTTTCTGCGCCGGAACAGATCCGCCCCCGGAGATACCGATCAAACGAATTTCACACGGCGGTCTGGGGTCGGCCTCGATCGGGCGATGAAAAATGGTTGAGGACAAGTATGTGCTACGCATTTAGTCGCGCCATGGTGCTACCCCGACGGTTGCTGATGCGCGATTAGATACATCGGCCTTACATTGGCGGTCTTGTCGACGTTAGCCATCGGTGAGTCCGATCTACATTGATACCCTCGGGATGGAATGGAAGGCTGACGCTGCTTCTTGTAGGCTCGAGTTTCGTTATCACAAAGAAGGTCCGTCGATAGCTGCGCCTCGAACATCCGCGGCGCGCATACCTGATCGATATACGTTACTGACTAGACCCCAGGGCCTAAATGAGGCCAGCGAACGCCATGGGTTCGCAGGCGAGGGGTTCTCATATTTCAAGAGCCCGATGTGGTGGGGTGGGATCATAACAAGTATGGAACAGATACACTCGAGGAGCGACATGCTGACAACATCTAGTGGTTGTCGGAGAAGTCGCGAATTTCGCTGCATATGCGTTCGCGCCGGCCATATTGGTCACTCCGCTGGGAGCGCTGAGTGTGCTCATCGGGTACGTTCCATTGACGAATGGCGACGACATAGGCTAATCTTGTGCAGCGCCGTATTGGGATCATACTTTCTGGATGAGAGATTAGGCACGTTGGGAAAGATCGGATGCGCTGAATGTCTCATCGGCTCGGTCATCATCGTTTTACATGCGCCCCCGGATGAAGAGATTGACCGTATAGATGTGCTTCTCCAATACGCTTTGCGGCCAGGTAAGGGAGCGAGAGATGCGTTGTGAGCCACGCTGACCGATGATCAGGATTCATGTTCTATTGCGCGATTGTCCTGACGTTTTCCGTTGTGATGATTTACAGGATTGCGCCGAGATACGGCCGCAGTAATCCGATGATTTATATTTCCATTTGCTCGGCCGTCGGTTCGGTTTCCATCATGGCTGTCAAAGCCTTCGGCATCGCGCTCAAGCTCACCTTAAGCGGGCACAATCAATTCGGATACCCCTCGACATACGTGTTTGCGATAGTGGTGGTGGTCTGCATCCTGACCCAAATGAACTACTTCAACAAAGCGTTGAGCCAATTCTCCACTTCAATGTAAGCCTCCAACCCTTCTATCTGCTCTCTCTAATCACCCCCCCCAGAGTTAACCCCCTCTACTACGTCACCTTCACCACCGCCACCCTCTGCGCCTCCTTCATCCTCTTCCGCGGCTTCAACACCACCGACGCCATCAACACCGTCTCCCTCCTCTGCGGCTTCCTCGTCATCTTCTCCGGCGTCTACCTCCTCAACCTCTCCCGCTCCGACCCCGACGGTCTCACTATCCTCCGCGGGGAACCCACCGCCGACGCCATCCCCACCGACGCCATCGCCGGCTTCACCACCCGCCGGTCCATGCAGCTCCGCCGCAGCATCGACCTCGAGAACCAACGCCACGGCCATCGCCGCCTCGGTAGCGGCCATCACCGCCGTCGCAGCAGCTCGGGGAGCTTGGGGATCGGCTTGGGCGACCGTGAAGGGCTGCTGATGCGGGATTACGAGGGCGAATTACACCCCGACCGGGTGAATGGCCATGCTGCGCAGAGTCCGTCGCAGAACACCTTCGGGCTGGATGACCTGACGGAGGACAGCGAGGAGGAGCGGGTGGCGGAGACGAACGTGCGGAAAGAAGGGCAGGAGGTGCTGAAGGGGGAGGATGGAGCGCATACGGTGGTACGGACGGGGACGCCGACGCGGTTGAGTGGAAGTGGGAGGGCGAGACATCCGGGGGATAAGTAACAGAGGAGGGTTTATGTATGAATGCTGTACGAGGGAATTGTCGGGATGGCATTAGTTTTTCATTGGGTTGGGGTGATACCGCATGCGGCCGGCCGTCGCCGGTTCTCCGCACGTCTGCGAGGGCCCGGCAGCGGATGGAGATGGCGTTCGGTAGGGGATCTCGCTGGGACGTTTGAGTGTCCCACGTTTTGCATTTGTAGGGCATGTCGCATCGGCCTGCTTGGGCGATGGTCGCTAAGGTACACTATGCTGTATCATTTACAATGGAGGCATTGCATGAAAGTGAACCGAATCCATCGAAGCGCTATCATCTGAGAAAAGACTCCCTGTAGAACTCGCTAGCACCAAGCTACCGGAATTGAAGCTCCATTATGGTGCTCGCTCGCCGTGACATCCTTTGTTCAACGCACGCAAAACTTTGCCCACTAAACCGGAGTATTCCCCCGAACCAGATGTACCAGACGATATACCCCCAACATCGATATCTGCACAAAACTCCCCATCAACCCCTAATACCGATACGTCACCCGCTCCTCCACAGGGCTCACCTTCTCCCGACTCTCCCTGACCGCACCACCCCCCCCATTCGTCCCCCTCTCTTTCTCCGTGCGCCGCTCCTCCTCCCCCTCATCCTCCTCCGGCACCGACGGCACCGCCCCCCGCATCTGCTCACCGCCCATCGCGTTCTCTTGCCGCCGAGTATAGCTCGACGGTGTCGCCGCGAACCCCGGTCGCGTCGGCGGCTGATGCTCCGCCGCGTGCTCGTCGCTGAACGGGTTGTCGGTCGGCTGCGGCGAGAGGTCGAGGTTGCCGTGCGCGGCGGGTGCGCCAGGTGGTGCGTATGGGCTGGTGGTCGGGTCGTAGGGGTTCGGGGGTGCGGTCGGTGAGGTGGTTTGGGGGTTCCGTCGCGGGATGCCTGCCTGCAGGGTCGTTGGGATCGGGGGAAGAGGGCTCTCGAGTGGTGAGAGGGGCGACGGCGTCGTTGTGGATGACGGCGCTGGAGGGGCGTTGTCTCGTGGCGGCAGACTCGGCGGAGGCGAGGCTGTCGGTGCTGCCGCGCGCCGGGCAGCCAGCAGTGCGCGGTGATGTTTGCTCGCAGCCAAGCTCAGCTGCTCGCTCGTCTCGATCATCGTCTGCATGGTGGCGTCGTCCGGAACTGGGTCGTCGCAGTTCATGTAGCCCTGCAGGCTGCGTTGGGCAGTCTGGCAGCGATCGGCGAACTCCTTGATCAGGTCGTTGGCTTGCATCTCGTCTGGCGTGGAGGACTGGCAGAGCTGCAGAAGAAGCTTCGCAGACGTGCGAGCTTCTTCGATGCGCGCGGCAAGCTCGGGGGGTGGGGGGAGGGCGCGGGAAGAGTGGTGGTAACGGGGGGAACCACGGGAGTAAGCCTCTTGTTGTGGCCAGGCGGTCATTTGGGGGGCACCGAACGGGCTGACGGATGTAGCGCCGTTCGGTGGGGGGACGTAGGGGCCGAGTTCTTTGGTCCACATGGAGTTGAGGAGGGAGAGGTTGGTGTCGTATGCTTTCTCGTAGTAGAAGGCGTTGAGAGTCTCGTGGAGGATTTGGCGGACGCTGGGATCCTTCCCGTTTCGTAGCAGGTCTTTCACCGCGCCCGTAAACTTGCTGTCCAGATACTTTGTGAAGGTCGGACCAGGGTTGTCGACGAGGATCCGGATGAGCATGATGGCGTTGTATTGGACATGTGGTCGTGAGGAGTAGTCTTTGCTGAGAAACTTGCGGATCTGGGCTGCGGCGACACCGGCTGCTGCAGGGCTGGATTCGGCGGCTTCGACGATAGTGGGAAGGTGGAGGACTTCTTCGCCCTGGTATGGACTGTTAAATTATCTGCTTTGGTGGTGGTGGTGAACTTTACTTACCGCCGTGTTTGGTCCGCCGGACTCACAGAAGAGCTTCTATAGACACGTTCAGTATGCGTATTAACCGACCAAAGGATAATTCATACCACTCCCCGCGCGGCGTTCGCCTCTGGCGTGTCGCCTTCCGGTAGAGGCTCATCGTCGTGATCTATTAAAGCGCATCGTCAGAACAGATAGTTGGTCAAGCGCGAGGGAATCGTACTGGATTGGGTCTTCCTCTGTATTATACTCGTAAACCGTTTCAGAACCATTTTGACGGATTTTTGGGTATATTCGAAGTGAAAGACTCGCAAGGCGCTTCCGAGGCAGGATGCTGAAAAGGTCAGTAGTCAGTACAGTATGTTCGTTTCATGGTCGTAGGTATAAGGGAGTGGTGATGAGACGCTTGACCGGAAGCCCTGTTGTCTGTGGAGCCTAGATGTGTACCCCCGTCCCGGGGAAATTAATCTCAGGGAACCTCCCCTCTTCTAGGCTCGAATCCAGCTCGCAGGGGTCCAATGCTATGGTTGGGGATGGTTGAAACTTGCCTGTGTAGCAGAGTCCACGGTTCAGAGATGGGATGTGTATTTGTGCACGAGGAGCAAAGCGTAAATATGAGCGACGATGCTGTACAGTTGTAGGCGCACGGATTAAGTTACCGGTATGCTGAATCCACAATCCAAGTGATATGCGGGGTGGGGGAATATATCAAATTATCAATGGTGGAAAGTGAAGCGGAGATTGCGATATTCAGAAGACAGAAACCCTTCCTCCTTAGCACTTTACACTCTCCACTCTCTGAATATCTGGCTCGCCGCGTCAACGCATTTCGCTTATCCCACAGCCAAGAATGAAGAGCCTCTTGCAAGATGAACCAGGACATCATCAATGCACTGCCTCACCTGTTGCGCAACCCCCTCTCTCCCTTCTTGTCTCCCTATTCGCTAAATAGTGTACGTCAATACCTAGTCACGTCTACTGTCCGCGCTGGTAGTCGTCTCCTGACGCGTGGATGGGCAGGTTTTGCGAATGGTGATAGGTGTGTTTCATTTGTCGCTAGGTAAACGAATGCGGGATTGTCTAGTGAACTGGAGGCCAGATGGGGATGTGGTTATTGTGGTATAATTGGAAGAGATAATTACGCATTTAGTGCTTTTGCTGCTGCTTCTCCTCCCGTTCCCGCTTCCTCCCCCTCATCCACTCCTCTCTCTCCGCTCTCTCCTCCGCCCGTCACGCGGTGGCCAGCTAGGTCAACATGATAAGGACGGCAAATACGACCGTCATATATAGGATGCTGGTGCTGGTGGCGCACTCGTCCGCCATTTCGTGACTGCCAAACGTCAGCTGCTGCGGTATATTTTCTATTCCAGTTCTGTCCGAGCCTTGAACTAATTGAGACTAGTCCTCCACTTCAAGAGGAATATTGAATTCTATGTTACATAAGGCCCATCCCGAGGCCAGGCGAGCCGATGGGAATTAAGAGACTCGTGATTTGGGGGAGGTTTCAGTCTCCGGTTATTGTATCAAAGGACCAGCCTTGCATATGCCGGCCGACTTGATATATGTAGGGTATGAGCCATGCCTGGTCCCCTTCCTCATCATGCCTAATGAAATGTCCTCTGAGTCCTCCCCATGATAGCGTTCCGGCAGTAAGGTTCTGGCCCACAGTCGCGGTATGTGCCTTGTGCAAAAAGATATGGCCAAGAGCACCAAAAACAAAAAAACATACAGCAATGGGAGTTCCCCTATGGTCTCCCAGCGGTATAAACGAGGTCGAAAACAGAGGGTAAATACCGCCGAAAGACGAGGGCCCGTCGAAAATACACTCTGGTAAGGATAGTAAAGATGCCCTTTCTCCCTAGTTTTCCAGTCTCGCTCTCAGTCAGGTGTCCTGTTCGCAGTTTTTACAGTCTCGCCCTCAGTCCGGAGCTCCGTTCGCAGCTCTACAGTACTCTTCTTCAGTTCCAGTTCCATCGGGTTCGGAGGTAGTCGACGCTATCAACGCTCCACGCAGCCAAAATTCTCGGCGTCTATTCCAAGATATGTCTTTGACTATGGCGCCACGACGCACTATTCGAAAGGGCGAAGCCGGAGAACATGAGGCAAAGGAGCTTCTAGCTGGCTTCCAGAGCAAGCCAGTCGACGATACGGTCCCAGTGTCGGACAGAACTACCTACAAGCGCGGCTACGCCATGTGGCTCTTCAAGGAGTACGAAACACCTGGACTTATCATGCCTATGACCTACACTCACATCCACTAGATAAGTTCGCGATGTCTCGTAGACCTTGATGCATGTGTCTCGTAGACCTGGATGCCTTGTGGCCTTGTGGCCCGTTTGGTTTGCTCTGCAGCACCAGGACATAACGCCTCGCTGTCACGTGCTGATCTTTCAGCCCTTTTGTTAGACCAAAGCCGGGAGAACATCGGAGGTTATGAGGCACGTGATTGATACTCTGTATATAATACTCTCATTTGTTAAGTTTCTTAATAAGACACGTTTCGATCCAACACTTTCTATGCCGTGCACCTGGCGGGAGAGTGATAGCAGACCTTTGAGCATCGTAATTCAGAGCTCCAGTGACAGATCATTCCTGCGATTACTTAGTTCCTCTGGTATTCCTTAGTTTTGCCCAAGTTGTTTTAAAAGTTAACTCATTCTTAGATTGTTGACGTGAAGTATTTCCGTACGGGTATGACGCAAAAGCATATGTTGGATTACCATGACGTCATACACACAGTACTCAACAAAGGTTGCCTTCACAATCAGTACTTAGTAGTTGCGACTACATTTTAAGATACCAATTCTGTATTGTTCCCTACCTAGCACCGATTGCGTAAAAACAAAGTACGCTGAAATACTGTCCCAAAGAAACCAAGTTCGTCGACACCTCACTTCAACATGCCTGAAATCAAATCCAAGCAGGGCGAGCCGATCCATAAAGGTGATCATGTTTACACAAAGATCAGAGGCGGTCGACATGAGGGCGATGTAAGTCAATTAAGTTCACTTTAACAATCCACTAGGTCTAATGTTGTTGCCCAGGTTGAGAAAGTCGTGACCACCGAGGAAGAGGCAAAGAAAGAGGGCGTGAAGAATCCGCCCAAGGTAGGCGAGAGCCCAGGGCCAAATTTGGTCTATCCAACATCGATGCTGATTTTACTTGCTTCTAGGTGTTGTTTACAGATCAGAAGGGGAAGTTGGTCGCACACAACCCTGGAACACTTGAAAAAGTGGATTAGGAGGACTGTTTCGTGCGTCTGCAGCAAGAGGCTTAGAAGCCCTTCAGCCTTCCCTCACGAACAAATTCCTTTTATATCATCTCGACCTCTTATGCCTTGTTCCATGGCTTCAGAACATGTTCCCTTGCCTAGCTTGTCCTCAATTATCCGGGTGCTCAAGTCCACAGCGAAGCCTCCAAATTCGAGTCTGATGGCTGGGAGGTCTCCTTCCTGGGTTTACCCTGTTCGATATATTAGCTACGGTCTAATGACAATCTTCCGCACGCGATTCCGTTGATCTCAGACTTACCGGGTCATTAAAGTAGAATCCGTTCATGTTCTTCTCCTCGATTTCAGGGCTGGTAGCTATATATCTATGACTATGTATTAATTACCAGTTGCGACTGGTAGAAGTACAGGTATACTTGACTTATTATGCACTATATGCGCCCTACTTTGGATCGCGCCCTAAGAATTGCATGGCAGCTATGACAAGCTTCCCAGTGAGACCAGTATATATATCTAAGGTGTGTTAGCAACTCTACCGGAGAACGTTTCATGTAAAGACGACTCATTCTGCCATGGTTTTTGCATATCGCATGAAGGATGTCAGTAGTAGCATCTTGAACACGGTATCCGTTACTTATGTGTTGACCTAAGACATGTCAATAATGGTTTTGCAAATGATAAACCATACTTACAGTTCCTGGATACACAGACAATGTGAGGTCTTTGTCTCCAATCGGTTCAATAACTTTAGGAACTATACCTTTGGCACCAAGGATCAATGCCAGCTTGGATCGGCCATAGAGATGGGTCCCATCCATGACTTATTATTGGTCTCTTCAAATGAAGCGAAATGCACGTTGGACGGTGCCATACGGTGCATTTCGGACGCTTCGAAGACAATGGGCGGCGGAGGTATATCAGGGAACTGCGAGGTTTTACGGAGAAGCGGATAAAGGAGGTTCATGGCGTAGGAGTGGCCTAGCTAATAGAGGTCAGACATACATTAAGCGGTCGGATATATCATCTTTTACCCAGTTGACACCGAAATATCTATCAATGCTATCTATATCTAAGCCGAAGGGGTTAACGTTGATTCTAGCGGGGAAGATCAATAAATCCAGGCGTGCTTCCTTGTTAGTCATGCGACCGATGATCTCGTGACCCCCTTAAGTTGACGCAGCTTACGGTCGTGCGGAGTAAGGGGATGTGGGGCTGGAAGCGTGCGAGAGTATGCGTGTGGCTAAGTGCCTGCCATCAAATACCGTGTGGTAAGAAAAACACGCAAAGAAGAGTGTGGAGAAAGCTGTGCCGGCCATCTTTGGCTGCGAAGCAATGCGTATGGTTGCTAAGCACGTGCCCTAAGAAACGTCCGAACCCGAATTGCATGTGACGGGTTGCGTTCGCTAGAGCGCCATTTCGTTTTCGGCTAACGCATAGGCGAAGAGTCTAAGCATTCGATATCCTGCAGAGGGTGGAATCCTGGCTCGATCACGGTGGGTACGAGAGGCCGATGGAGAAGTGCGTGGTAGTGAGGCAAGGGAAACCAGACGACCTGCAATTGTCAATTCTAACAGAGGGACCTTTCAGTTTTCTCTCTCGTCACCAAGACGCGGCAATTAGCAGACCCCTCGAGTGTCTTTATGCGTCACTTCCATCATGTTCCTTAGGTCTCATCATTTCCTCGCCGCTCTCGACGCTTGGGCAGTCATGCTCAGGGCCAGTTCCTTCGAACCCAAATCCAGGGTGTCCGATGAAGAGAGAAATGACGGAAACATAAATTAAGCTATATCACAATCAGCGCGTCTTTTCATGCAGTTCAATAAAACTGAGATGGAACTTACACCCCCTCCAATCCGATAAACAATTGCTCATCCGTGATTTTGGTAGAGTCGCTGTACCCCTGACTGAGCTCATCAACACGATAGGCGCACCTCGCTAGAATCAGGATAATGGCCGACGCAAGCCCTCCAAAGAAAAGGCGCTGGCGCGTGGCGATGGTGTTCTTCTTACTTCTCATGCGGGACCTCTGCAATTTGACGTAGCGAATCATGTAGTCGACGAAGAAGCCGCAGAAGATGACCAGGATAATGACCTGCAGGATGAGGCCGGCCATGGCGATGTCGACCCCTATTTGGGAGGAACCGCTGGAGGTCGATGTGAGGGCGCCTCCGATGGCTTGAAGGGCCAGACACAATATATCGGCAGAGATGAACAGCCAGTAGAAGAGCCGCGGCGGGAGACGGGAGATTTCGAGGGCAAAGAAGCGAATGCTGGTGTATTGTTAGTTTCAATCTCATAAGTGGAAGTATGGTGTCTCTGAAGAGAGTAGTAGAGAGAACGAGGCGTACGCTCTGGATAGTGTCACGTAGATGGTAGCCGTAAAAAATACCGGTGTCCCAGTGATGCAGACCATCTGGATCATGAAACCGGCAAACGACCATGGGTTTGTCCAAAGAATGACTCGACCGCCATAGCCGATGATGGCGTATAGGCAGCCAATGACCATGAAGGTCATGAAACCCCAGCTGCGCCAGCGGAGGCCGAGGTAGATATGGATGATCAGGGCAATGGCATAGAGAGCCATGAAGACAATGCTGACGGGCAAGTTCGGGCGATACTGGTAGACGGTCCATTCAATGGGGCAGAGATCAAGGGTACAGTTCGCGCCAGGACCGAAGGAGTTGAACATGCCGCGGTGAACGTAGGTCCCGTTGGGAAGTTGGTGAAGATTTTCCGGAGGTATGCCAGATGATGTTGCCGTTTCAGCGTCCATGGTGAGCTGGAACCAATTCGTCGAGTTGGATCAACTGAGTAGTGAACTAGTGTCGATGTTAAGAGATTCGTATATCTCCTCGTCTCTATTGTATACCCTTCGACAACACCAAATCCTTGGACATGTAGCAACAAGGTAGAAACGCCAACGCCGCAGAGATGTTGGCACCAAGATGAGGAGATACGCTTCGTAATTAAGCATAACCAAGATCATGGGAACGAAGCATACCGTATCTCTTATATATCAATGGTCAGATCGGAACAAGACCAAGCAATGATCTGAGCGCCATGTTGTCGATAGACAGCAACCACAGACTCCAAGGTCCTCGCCTACGACTTCGCACTCACTTTCCAATCTCTGACTGGAGCGCAACTTGTAGCCCTTTCTCACTCGCCTACCACTTACAAGAGTGTTCCGACATTCGACACGACAACCCTAGTATGTGTCACGCACAAAAGAGCCGGTGACTGTAGGGTTGCGAAACTCGCTCGTATTAACTCTCGCATTTGATGCGCATTGTGGCAGTATCGTTGGGCATAGAAGTTGAAATAGTCATTAGTGGAGACTACCTAGTTCAGGCCTCAGGGTACTCGTCCGAACTGCGCAGGCATCGCTGGTACTTGTTCCGATTGGCCCCAAGCTTCGCATCTGCGGTTAAGCGAGTGCGAAGGGCCCCTGTATGCGATCTGGACAGGGACCGGGCGTTGCGAATGCGGGAGACAGGAGACTTCAGATACTTGATAATTACAGGCCGCATGCTAAAGCAAAACATGTGTCTTATTATGCCGTCCAACGAAATTGTTAACAGATGATCGCAACGACGTATACGGATACAGGATGATAACTCTCGTGGAAGCTACCGAGCAGACCACACTCCCCGATGAGAAGCCCTTCTACCCCAAAAGGCCTCATAGAAAGTCACGGACGGGATGCAAAGCCTGCAAATCCCGCAAGGTCAAGTGCGATGAGTCTCGTCCGACTTGTCGCAGATGCATCTTGCGCAACACTGCCTGTGTCTACCACGGTTCCTCACCATCTCAGCAAGAATCAACGTCTTGGTCTTCTTCGGCCGCATCCAGCTCACCAGGAATCAGCGACCATGAAATTCTTACCACCCTAACTTACGAACCACTTTTCATGCCTTCGTCTGAGAGGGATGCCGTTGACATGAAGCTGCTGTGGTTCTACACCACTACCACCTATAGGTACTGTTTTGCCATCCAAGATGGGAGGGCAAAGCGGATCGACGACATCTTGAAAGTCAAGATACCTCGCCATGCCTTTGAATTTCCTTTCTTGATGGATTGCCTGCTGGCCACCTCGGCACTACAACTCCAGTTACTGAATCAGGACATCCAGCCCTCCCGCGCTGTCCGCTATCGTGTCCGTGCCCTCGAGGGTTACCGGATGGCCATCAACAAGGCCAGGCCCGAGACATTCCCGGCTCTCATAGCGTGCTCCTTGCTTATCACAAATCTGTCATCCCAAATGTTTCGCGAAGAGAGCACCAGCGAACTGCACATCGTGGACTGGATGGTCGTCTGGAGAGGTATCAGTCTCATGATAGACATGGTGAGTCCTCGGAGACTCTGGGAGTTGGGCATGGCCGAACTGTTCCTCAGACCCTCCATCGACCTGAATGAAGCCGCCTTCCATATCCCCAGCGACTTGCTCTCCGTCATTTCCTCCATTAAGATGGACGATCCAGAGTATTCCGACATTGGCACATACTACACCACTCTTAAGTATCTCGGATCCCTCTATTCTGCGCTTTCAGAAGGTCTTAGCCCCATCGTGACCCTCCGCATCCTCACCTGGTCCACTTTCATCCCCGAGGCCTTTGTCGAACTTGGCCGCCAACGTCAGCCCCGCGCCCTCATCATCCTCGCCCACTACCTGATATTCATGAAGACGATAGATGACCTCTGGTGGGTCAAGGGAATTGGGGACCGTGAGATTGGCGGCATTCTTCACTATCTTGGGGACGCCTGGTCTCAACAGCTGGCCATGCCTCGCTTAGCCCTGTCTATGGATAATCGGCTCGACGTTGCAAGGCTGCTCCTCAACAACGAGAATTGGGAATCGCCGACGGGCTACAAGCGGGACTATGAGAGCCGAGATTCTCCCACCCAAACTTTTCCCTTGGTCGACAACCAGGGCAAGCGCACGACCTCTATCCCGACTCATCCTGGTGCCTTGTATCCGTCCGTTTCCTCTTCGCCGCCTCCGTGGGACACTCGAGGATATCAACGAGACAAGCTCACTCTTGTCGCTTCATCGACTCACAGCCCTAGCGTTACGCTGGGGCCGATTAACCTGGATGGACCCAATGACGATGAAGTGTGAGGCTCAAGCTGATTCCCCAGCACTGCTAGGTGTAGCCTACACATATGCTCAGACGTTGTCTTCCGTGATGGCCCGTCGGGCACACAGACGGTAGCTCTATAAGAGGAGTGTATGTTTCCTCATTAATGGTCGCATAGACCAGGTCACAGTATTCGCCTCACACTTCGTACCCTCCGCCATAGTCATCGGCGTCGCGAATCCCCAGGCACACTGCCCAAAGGTCGTACCATCGATGCAGTAAAATCCGGTCTCCGAGCATGGGACCTGGCCGGCTGCGCACGAACATTGCGGATTAGCGACAGGGGCGGCAGGAACAGGCTTGGCCGGAGCAAGTGGCGGTTGGGCTGCCGCGGGCGAAGGTTTTGAAGAGACCGGCGCAGTAGTGGGGACTGCGGGTTGCTGCTCGGGGGCAGCGTTAAGAGGGAGAGGCCGAGGGTGCGGCGGAAGAGGCACCGGGAGCGAAGACGCCACCAGGGGGATTGTTACCAGCGGGAGCCTTAGCAGCGCCGCAGTTCGATGGGACCGTGATTGGGAACTGGATTGAGCGGGACCAGCGGGCTTCTTTGTAGTGACGTACTTGCCTGGGTTGGGGAAGTCGACGTTCACGGATTGAGTGGTCCCGCAAGATCCGGAAATCTCGCCGATGTTCGCGACGAACAGAAGCGGAAGCTCATTGAGCTTGTCTTGACCACCGGTGATTGTCACGGCAGCACAGTTCATATACATTTCGCGCTCACCGAGGTTCTTGAACTTGGTCCAGGCGAAAATCGCATCGCCATTCTTGACCCCTGGGGGAATCGTAAAGTTGAATGCGTTGACGCACTTGATGTCGCCGGAACCCGGGACGCACCTCTTAGCGGTGTCAAGATTCCACCAGTAGTTAGTTGGGCAGCCCTCAACGATGGAATAGATGACCTTCCAAGAGGCAGGGGACCCTAGCGCAGCCTCACGTAACACGATATGACAGTCCTGAATGGGAAGCGCACCGTTTTTGTTAAACCAGATAAAAGAGCTCTGCTAGAGGACAAGCGGATGAGAGAGCATACCCTATCGCACAGCTGTGGGCTTCTGCAATTTCGATGGGGTTATCGGCATGCAGCGATGGTCGAGGTCGAGGTCGCATGGTGGAACTGGCACCGGGCTCCGTAAGCGTTTGCGGCCGCGGTGGTACGGAACCGATTCGTCAGCGTCGTAGAGTTGGTGCTCTTTGTCCTCCTTCAAGTCGTTTCTTGTTTCGTCAGCGTCCTCGTCACCGGCCTCATAACTCCAACCCAGCTCCACATCGACGATAACGCCGCCATCCTCTTCAAGCGCCTGCAATCGCGGCCGCTTCGTTGGGCTCGGGTTCTTCGATCACGAGCGCGAAAACTGCTTGAACACTTCAGGCGCCATCTCCTTCAGCTCCCCATCTTTCATCCGCACCAACAGGTTGTCGCTCGCTAGTCGCCGGATGGCGAGAAACTCTTGATGCAGTGACAGTACCGCCCACGCGACACGTGCGAACAGGCAACGCCGGTCGACACCCACCAGGTTTTGCATCTCGATGTTATGCCACAGCGCGGCGAACTGGTTCGACACGTCGACTGTTCGCACCACGTATACAACTAGCCGGCCCCCCTCCCTTACCATCGGTACCCATGTGCCGGCGTCAAACGACCGGTGGAGGTCGGCTCGCAATAGTATTCCGTTCAGCGCCGATTGAATCTCCAGGTCGCTGCTCTCGCCCATATTGGAGTCCCACCACTCCCTCTCACCCGCCGGAACCAGGTGCGCTTGTTCACAGAAGTCAATGATGCCCGACACCCGGCACGACTGGTCGCGGCCCTTGAGGTCCTCCACGTAGCCGCTGTTGCGGAGTGAGGGCGGTGAGGGATCAATCGCGAGGGTGGAGAAAGCGGAGGGGAGGTCCGCGTCGGTACCAGGGAGACGCCAGTGATCCCACGAAACATATACGGGGTATTTGTCTGCAGAAAGCTATTGTTAGAGGCGCCTGGCCATGGCAAATGAATCATCGCTGTGACTTACAGTTCCAATCGCTGACAAAGTAGAAGACGTCACCATCGGAGGCAACTAACGGCACACCTGGCTTGCACACCTTGCTGCCATCGGCAGAGCGAGCGAACCAGCCGGTGCTCCAGCTATTGTCGGAGATGATGCCGCAGATAATGAGGGCTACATCGTAGTCGACTGTGTCGCCGTCATCTAGGGCGGGTAGCTTAACAAGCGTGTTGCAGTCCGGGTAGTGAGGATGGCGCACGATAAGCTTTGGAACGCGGCCTCCGTGACCAAGCGGTGGGGTAAGGCGAGCTTTGATAGCGGGCATAAGAGAGGTTGTGACGGTTTTCGACGGAAACTTGAATGACGATAGGATGCTCTTAGGTTTTCGGCGGGGATATGACGCCACAAGAGGTCGAATATGCCAGAGGGTTGTTGCTAACGTTGGGACTTCGACGCTGGAATGCCATACTCCACGATTTAAATGCTGGAGAAACGTGGACTGGAGAGTTGCTGCTGGAATGCTCTATTGCTGCGGTGCGTGGGAATGTTTGGGGAGAACGACCGCGGAGCCTAATACTGCTAGGCAAGTGCACTAGGCAAGTGCACTAGGCAACCTAAGACGGTCTTTCCCATTCGATAGACCAGGATAACCAGAGGTCGGCAATAGATGATATCATTCAAGGATGGAGATAGTAGGAAAGAATTCGTAAGTGCAAAGTAGGCATATTCTAAGCATGGGGATCAGCATTTGAGATTTGTCCACCATTGTTATGGGCATAGGATTGTTCCATGGCATTGAAATCAACAGGGGCACCTTGCTACATATTGCCTGGGAGCCTGGGTCTATTTCGTGAGGCTAGTTCTAGACTAGGATGGAAGGCTAGTTGGGTTAAGGAGCCGGATTGGGCTCGGTCAGCATGGGGAGCGGAGCCCATTTAGGCCAGAGGCCTATTTGGGACGACGACCAGATTGACCCGACCACAACTTCTCAGCAAGCAAGCTCAGACGGTATCTTCAGACGCTGCAAGTGACTATAGTGTGGCGGTGCAGGCAAGGCATCTTTAGATGCCGTCTGAGGTCCATTTGTAAGATTTGTGTGGACGCGTAGTTGAAGTTTTCAGAGTTCCCAGCCGTTTCAGTCAACCATTTTAACTTTCAGTACTCGAAAGTTTACGCGAGGCTAGGTAAAGGGTAAAAGAACCCACTCTTTTATAGTATGTTAAAAAATATATCGAAATAAGCCTACAATAAAGGATTAGCATCGGCGGTTTCGAAGGGCACGCGTAGTTGAACTTTTGGAGAGACTCTGGTCGTGAATTTTGGTGGGGTTTAGTGCACTGTAGGGGCCAAATTCGCTCTTTGACCTACGCGCCCACCAAAATGCTTGCAAAAGGCCCTCAGACGGCATCTGAAAGATGCCTGCACCGCCACAAGCATCTTGCAGATCCTGTCTGAGTCCCAACTGAGATAAACGCTAGGAGCCTAATGTCCATACAGGTCCCGTCTATCTACTCACCCCTACACCCTATTCACACTCCTTCCCGTCCCTATCGTTTGAGAGTAGAAGCGGCTAATTTTGCAGGGGCAAAGCAGTTTTCGTAGGGTCTTGCCCTCACGAAATGGATGGATTTGCTCCGTCGTCCTCGTTTTGTTCAGGTTGATATGGCCGTATGTATTAGGAAGTGAAGCCTTTCACTACATAAGCCTAGCAATCTGCAAATATAAACAAAACAATTGTTATGGTCCCAGGCCTGCGGCCTGTTCCCTTGGTTGTGGCTGAAGACGTGGCTGGTGGATTATATCAGAGAAGCAAACAAACATGGTAACACAGCATTAGGGCATTGGAGAGGAGAGTCGCTATCTCGCGCACAAAGGTGCCGGGAGATTTCTTCTCTCTCTCTCTCTCTCTTCAGTTTAGATTAATGGAACTTGGTAATCGCAGACCTTGCGCATCCAGACCGTGTCAACAAAAACAAAAACAAAAACATACAGCAATGGGAGTTCCCACGTGGTCACCCACCGTAGTACTATTCCATCTCTAACCTGCTTGAGTACGGCAGAGCGGACGGGATGCCCTATATTCAGGTTGATGTGGCCGTATGTACTATAAGTTGAAGCTTTTCGCATCATAAACGACCATAAATCCATTCCGCCCACTGAAAAACTTGACATAATGGTCATTAAAAAAAAACATACAGCAATAGGAGTTCCCACGTGGTCACCCACCGTAGTACTATTCTATCTCTAACCTGCTTGAGTACGGCAGAGCGGACGGGATGCCCTATATTCAAGTTGATGTGGCCGTATGTACCCGAATTGATACTTTTAGAAATATGTAGACCGCTCCCGTATCGTCGGTGGAAATGCGTATATGCTGCGAGTAGTAAAAAGTGGATCTAAGGATGACATGGAGCTTTTGTTTAACTCGTCGGATTCCAACCGGATTCACAAGCGCTCGATGACGTTCTCTCCCATCAGATTCCTGTCATTTTGGGGCATAGGTAACAGGGCAACTGCCACATCTAAGATGCCCGCAAGACGAGCACGAAATAGCAACCACGTTTGGTCCATCCTCACAGGCGCACTTTAACATTACCTGGAGTGGTGATTAATTATGGCTGTCTAGAGATACACATGTCCACAATCCTACCAGCTCTGGTGCATGTTTTGGGTGTATCGGTTCGAGCGGTTATGGGGAAGCCGGACTAATATAGGTTGATTTAGACTGCGGGTGAACAATCATAGTGATCGCCGGTGCAGCGAGGAAGTCTTTCTGACCTTGAATCCCATGTCCGCATCGATCGGAATATGCACCAAATATTCAGGTACAGGAAAATGATGATGGCTGAAAGGAAACTTGAGGGGCAGATTCAACATTCATCGAAATCAGACTACAGTAGTGCTTCGGAGAGCATAGAATGAGTGCAGACTTCGTCCGGTTGCCAAGTAATCGGTTTAAGTTCTGTTAAAACTTAATTGAGCTTTCCTAAAATCCAGTATTTCAGGTGGTTCAGATTCCCACTCGGCCACCCCTGTTATCTAACGGGTGGGTCGCCAAATCTCTATATATAATCCTCTCTCCGTGTCCAAATTCTAGATCGCTTTTCTTCTGTTACATGGACTGGTACTAGAACCCTGCGAAAACAGGTGTGTTTTTTTGTGTAACAATTTCGGTATAATACCTAAAAAGGCATGTTTGCTAAGATTACTAGTTAAATATAAGGCAAGGCCATCAATTTATTGACGAAAGGTTTGTCACTGCCCATATTCATTGAAATCTCTAGCCTAGATAAGCGAGGTTTGTCTAAACTCCAAACCCCGGCCTTTTTTGTCTGAGACGATAGGTAGTGATTAGGTACATACCCATACGCAACTCTGAAGCTGGAAGTCGATCAAGGTCAACACGATTGCGGACAAGGCTGAGATAAAGTAGAGAAGACGTTGGAGTTCAAACCCCTCAAGTTTCATTCATCGCCCTGGTCACTAGCAGGGTACATATATACCTACTACGTATACTTGTACAGTGAGGAGTTCTTCCACATCTTGTACTAGTGGTGCATCCTCGTATGCAACAGCACAAGGCTGGGAGAGCCTTATGAATTGTGGGAGGTAAGGAAGAACTTTAATCTTTTCCATTTCTCTGTAACTTAACAGTCTTGGGCTTGTTGCCCAGACTGATGGTTGTTGGCCTAGTGGCCTTGGGAAGGTGCCTTGCTGCCTCATGGGCCTTCCCATCCTGTTCGCCCACGGCATGTAGATAATTCTGACTTCGGAAGAAGCTTCTCTTCTCTTTTTCTCGTTCTCCAAGCAATTCGACAAAGTTCTAAGGAATCAATCCTTTTCCTCAATTGATCCGTTACATTTAGAGTCTTCTTCACTTAGAGCTTAGCACCTCTTAATCACTCACGCTAGGTTCTTTGAGCACGTACGAAAACAGTCTTCGCTCCCATGCACGGATGCACCATGGATACTGTCAGCGCTACAGCGAGCGGAGTGATTGGCCAGAGGGAGTAGGAAATCTCTCACCCACATAATTACCTACCCAGTACAGAAGGAATAACCCAACCGTCACTCTGCGCGAACGGCCAGAGCCCTAACCTCATTTTGCACATAATTATGCCTCACAGCCTTGTGGGCCACACTGACATTATGCATGTCTCTGCTGCCTGAATTCTCCATTGGCGTGCTGCCAATGCTGAGAGCGGACGCATATTAACTCGACATGTGAGCATATTAATTCTATTTCTTCATTGCCTAATGCCTTTTGCCATCTCATTAAACCGAAAAGTATTTCTGAATCCATCAATGAACAAAAATGGTACGAATCAGTCATCTATATCCGCTAAATAATTGAGACAGCTGACGAAGCTAGGTCCAATCGACATTACCGGATATACTCGAAGGCGTCCTTAATGCTCTTCCCCAAGACCCAGTAGGCGTTTTAGAACTCATTCAATTTGATTCAGCTGCCTGGAAGGATGAGCTCAAAATTTGCAAATTTCTATGTGACGACATCAATAGTATCGGACCGTCTCGGGCGAATCTGATGAATGCGCTGGTAGAAGACCACAAGTTCGCAAGCGGATCTCCACAAGAAATCCAAGATTGGAAAGATGAACGGATAAGAGTCCAACAAAAACTATGGTTGCTTGCGCAAAGTGTGCTTCGTGATCAACATAGCCGCAGCCTTCTCGACAGACATACATTTATTAAGTGCCGGAATCGCATTCTCCGGAATTTGTGGCGTTTACATTGTCATCGAAGGGCCTTAGCGAATAAGAATAGGACCGAAGGACGAATGGGTAATGCTCTCCTAACAGCATACTCATATCCGACTGCGAGCAACACACTGGATCACGGGGTGACTAAGAAGTCAGGACGGAAAACCAGACCAGGACAAGCAACATTCAGCATAGACGTTTCACAATTCTATGCTTGCCGCAATGAAGATAAATATTGGTGCCCAGTAACTCAGCACTGGCTACCACGCAAGAGCGTGACGGCAGCACATATTGTTCCTTATTCGTTTGGAGAAAAAAATTTCAAAGCGGTCTTTGGCAAGGCCACAAAAATGAGTCTCATGGACGTCACCAATGGGCTGTTCCTACACAGGGACGTTGAACAGGCATTTGATCGGAAAGAGTTGGTAATCGTACCGCTGTATCAGGGTTGCCAGCCAACAATCTTCAGAGCTTGCGTTCTGGACCCCAAAAAGCTGGAGGGCACTAACGACGAGCGTACATATGGCTCTGGCACATACCGGTGGGCTGATATTGACGGAAAGGAACTTAAATTCCAGAACGACAATCGTCCTGCGAGACGTTTCCTCTACTTGCACATCCTCCTAACGCTCATCACGAGAAGCATACACGAAACAGAAGACTGGGCGTTCAGGCTCAGTTCGCTTGCTGTAACCGGCGTTCAGTTAACTGATGACCAGAGTATGAGCACTGCAGTGTTCTGGGATCTTGTCAACTTTATTGCGGACCCTGCGGTCGTGTTTGTGGCAAAAGACATAATTCACACGCTCAGTCATCAAACTTGGGATATTCATGCGGAAGTATCTGCAGATATGATGGGATGGGTTGCAAATTTCGAATTCAGTAGTGACAGCGATGATGGAACCAGCGCCGAAGAATGGAACTGAGTCTTCATAAAGGAAACTATTTTGCAACAAGAGCGGTGTCTCACAAACCGCAATCAGGAAGCTTTTAGAAAGTTAAAGCTGAAATTATCGCCAACGTATTCCACAAGCGAGCGGCGCACCGCAACCAAAGCAAACCACTTCACAAGCAGATATCTCTACAACGCCAAATAAAATCAATTATTTCTAATATCCAGTCTATTCTACAGTATCTTGCCGATCTAGAGGACATGTTTCAATGCGATGTCCTACCTCACGGCAGCGTCCATATCGCCTTCGACGCAGCGCAGCCCCATCCTGCAAGGTACGACTTTGACGTATTTCTTGAGAAATTTGGGATTTAACGGCAGAATGATTAATTAAATCCTGCCCCTCCTCAATAGTTCAAGACGCTCACTCCTAAATTCGCTTTTTTTTACGTTATCTTCGTTGTATTGCGAGCTTGTTTGCCTTTCGAAGGCTCTCATTTTCACCCTTTAGAATCGTTAGGGAATGGATCATCGCCTGGGCGCCCTTAACGAATTGATCAAGAGCCTCATTGATTGGCGTAGGCAAGTTATTTTGATGGTTCTTACAGTCAACACAGTCACGTGACTACTACTTCAGGGGCCTGGAACCATAACACCCGGCGCGACTTGTTCCCCCTTCCCATTACGATGGTCTCGGCGATCGATGTAGGGAGCGGCCCCGTAGGAGAGTAAAGGGGAATTTACCAAATGCTGCCGGATAATAGAGAGCGATCTCGACGTACGAAATACTGCGAGCGTTCGAGAGGAGAATAGAGAAACGGGAATGACGGAGCGATCCATCGAGCGACGGGCCTCGACATTGTTTATATATGTGAGAAAACAGAGGGAGACTTCGCAGCGGAGCCATAGTGTTTGACACCATCATGTATCCAAAATTAGCGTGGAGGCATGGAAGTTGTGAAGGTCGAAAAAACCGAGAGTTGGAAGTCCAAAATCGTTCACCCCCTAAGTGTTTGAGGAGGACTGTATGGAGCAAGGATCCCGCGCTGTAAGTGGGTGCGAGGCCTTGGCACTACGGCAGGGAGTTTGGGGCACCGCCGGTAACGAAATGAGAGCTATTCGACTAAGCGGAAAACCCGCCAAAAACGGCGTCAGAAACCGCCATTTTGGGAGGCAACTTTGGTTGCACACAGATTACTCCGTAGTTATACATTATCTGACATGTATTATCTCGGCTGCTTTGTTTCCAGACAACGGACATACCTAACTACCTAGGTCTTGCGTACCCTTTCCGGCAGATCCACCCTACACTTTAACATGAACTCGTGAGGAGCGGAGAGTTCAGAAAAACATGAAGCGGATACCTCAATAGCCTACCACTGACGTACTCCACGGTTTCCGAAAATCTCACGAGGCGCGTCAAAAGGTTTCGCTAAATACCATGGTCACTCGCACCGTACGTAGACCGAGGGAGCACGTCAATGATGAAGAACCCTCAATTTCTTCTATCCCAGATGGTCGCATTCCATAACCTAGCATGGGTAGAAATCTGGTGTCTGATCCCCTATCCTACCTCTTGACTCGTCGGGTTTCATCATAGACCAGCTCATTTTTCCAATGGATATCGATCCCCAGCCTCCATCCCAGAATCCCCCATATTACCATCAACCAGTAACTCCGTATATTTACACAAAATACAGCATCATCCACTCGGCCTAAACATACCAACCCTACAGCAGCGCCCCTCCCAAATACTCAAACTCGCTCATCAGCTCCTCCATCGCCGTCATCGCGCGCCTCTCCATCCCCCCCAATCCATTTTCCCCCTTCAAACCTCCCTCCTTCCCCACACCCACAAACGGCTGCGGCGGCCCCAACCCCCCAACTGTCGTGGGTGTCCCCGACCGCGCTTCCACGGCCCGTTCGTCATACGCGCGGAGCAGGTCCACGAGCGAGCTATTCGCCGTGGGGTGCGGGTAGTCGGTGAGCTGCCGGTATGCCATTTCGCGGTGCGCTTGATCTTCAGCGCTGCGTTGGGTATCCTCGGAAAGTGGCGAGGGGAAGCGATTGTCGCTGGCGTTGAATTCCTCGAGCGAGACGGCGTCGGAGAGGCGGCGGGGGGTGTTGCGGCCGTCGGTGGAGAAGCCGTGTATGGAGCTGAAGGTGGGGGAGGAGAGGCTCTGGGGGGTGTGAGGGGCGGAGGAGGGGGATTCGTGGTAGGCGTGGGAGGAGGTGGGGGAGGAGGGGAGAGACGGAAGGGGGGAGGAAGGGGATGGGGGGAAGGAGGAGGTGGAGACGGTCCAGGCGGAGAAGCGACTGGTAGGGCCGAGAGAATCGAGGGGGAGGTCTGCGAGATCGGTAGGGAGGGAGCTGAAAGATTGGTTGATGCGAAGGGGGGAGGGGTAGAGGTAGGACGGAAGGGCGGGGAGGTCTTTGTCGAGAGGGGAGGATGGGAATTGAGTAGGGATGCAGTCGGAAGTATGTGGACGCAGAAGAGGGTCTTCAGGGATCGGAACCTGCAAACTGCTCGCCATTGTGTCCGGTGGTAGAACCATTGGAGTTCGGAGACTCTCATCATCCACCTCCTGAATGTCCTCGGGAACATGGACCACGCTTGCATCGCTGTTCACGTCAATCGACATCGATTTGCGTAGCGGAGAGGGCTCTCTCATCCGCCCCGTCGATATCGACCGTCTACGAGCGATACTTTCGGCACTCCTGCAGATCGGACATGTCTTGGCGCATGACCCAGATCCATCTCGCGAAGAACACGACGAGCGCCCCTCACTATCTTGTCCCTCCGAGTTCTGCCTCGAGTGGCTAGCCAACTGCACCCTCCGTTGCTTGGGAACACGGAACTGAGATAGCTCCTCAGCCATGACTGGATGTGAGCCGAGAGGCGACAGGGGAGGGGACCCCGAGTTATGCTTGACCGGGAGTAAGGTAGTCGAGTCTTTGAGCGCTTGGACGATGGGAAGACATTTAAGTCGCTCCTGATCGGGCCCAACGATCAGGATTGGAGAGCTTATCTTCAACTCCCGCTGACTTGGCGAATGAGTACGAGTCGCTCGCTCATGGCTCGGAGGTAAAGTCCTGCTCCGCCCGCGACCACCTTGGCTAGGAGTCATCGCACTCGGCGGACTCTTCAGTGTCGACAGGGCCGATTTGAGCAGGGATGGTGCAGGCGACACGTCTGATTTGACTTCCCGCCCATCGACGGAAGATTTCTGCTGATACAGGTATGAATCTGCCGACATCGGGTACCGGATGTTCTCTGATGGTCCTCGAGCGATTTTGGACTTGGAAAGCCCGGAAGGGTCGGTGATGAGGTGAGGAAGAGCGGGCTTCGGTGCGGGTCGTGGCTCCAGGTAGCGGTCATCAGGGTTCCATGTATGCGAGGTCGACGGATTCATGTGCCCTTTCCGAAACTCATGGGTATGCTCATGTGGCACATCTAGTACGTTCATTCGTTGACCAGGAAGAAGTGGACAAGCCGACGTAGCGGGGATGGTTGGATCGTAATATTCGGAGTCTCCATCCACCCGATACTACTCAATCAGCACTTGTCTACTAGGCGAAATCCACCATGACTTACATAGTACCAGTACGTGCCGCCCTGCTTAAAGGCACCGTTACGCTTCTGATATGGCTGTGAGAGATCTCCGTCGCAAATGATGTTCTCGAAACTCCAGCAACCGGTCCAATGGCCATGACCTCGGCGCCGGTCTCTTTGCATGCGGTATGATCTGGAAAAATTGTCCCAGGATCCGAGCAACTCAACTGAAGTTGCATAAGGGTGATGTCTGTATCCATCAGCGAAGCTCCAAGTCTTAGGCTGCGTCTGACTTACAAGAGGAAAGTAAAGAGAGTCGTAGAATCCATAATGACCGTAATCTTCGTGACAATTATAATTACCTGACTGACAGATGAAAGTTTGAAGTTTGAAGTCTAAAGTCTCCAGGACCAGCTGAATTGAATTTGAATAAAGTCAAGGGCACAATAGTATGCCTGGATTGAGGTCAGTATCAATGGTTGATATAGCGTAGTATTGTTCCAACTTACAGAAAACCAACGAAAAACAGGAAGGAAAAGTAGGAAAGACAATTGACCACAGAACCTTCAATGGCACCACGGAATCCGAGTCCTCTTGACTGAATAAATACGTGTATCAAATGAAAGGACGCTCAGACAAAGGGGTATATTTGAGGCCCTCGGCCTGATCCACAACAACAAAGTGAGTGTATCAAAATCTCCAGCGTGCGGCGTAACCACCGAACATAGACGATGATCCAGACCCCTAACAGGCCATAACAAGCTACCAACGCAGTGGAACAACGTAGCAGGAACCTCAATCTAACTCGTCCGGTTCGATAGAGACCAACTGAAGCAATTCAGGACCCACGCAATGCCGTGCGGCGGCGTACCTGTAGCAAAGTCGCTCCACGAGTCCACCGTGCGCGTTGGATATATGTCTAACAACGTCTCCAGACTCGCTGGTAAGGCTCTCAAGCAGGTGACGGGCCAGCACAGTGAGCGGTCCGTGAAGGATGGGGGCCAATGGCAGCAGGAAGCAGGTCACGAAGGCTGTCACAGCAAGCGCCGGATGATGAGGCGAAGGAAGAACGCCTGCAGACGAGAGGCGGATGGGCACGGTTAGAGTAGATTGAAGGAGAGGAGGAAGATAGGAGGGGCGGCAGGCGAGCGGCTGCTGGTGCACGAGTGGCGGAAGGAGCGAATATGCAGAATTCAGGCCTGACAGTGGATGGGAGTCAATCTACCTAGTCCAAGGTGAAGTCGGGAGAGGATCGCATGAAGTGGGGAGATGAAGGAGGGTAATGAAGGGCAGTGAGGGTTAAGGAGCGAATGAAAGAATCGATATGCGATCCAAGTATTCCACAGAACCTGACGACGAACGAGAAAACAAACACACTGGGGAAAGAATAGATTATTGGTTGGCTTATGGCTAGCATGGTCAGTGGTCACAGAGTGAAAAGGTAAACCGTAAACCCCAAATGAGGCGATGGTTTCGTGACATGATTCGAGGACGATCCCGCCGCTAATCGAACCAACATCGCGACCACTGGAACAAGCGAAGCTACCCCCTACGGCTGACGCCATTCGCCGACTTTCTACCTTCGGTGGCTGACGGGTGACGGCCTAGCAGTGGTGAGTTGACGCCTGACGGGCCCCGGAGTTAGGAGTTGGGAATGTGATGGTTTCAACGATGAAATTGCGGCGGGCCCGAAAAGTGGACGCCACTATATTGGATGGATTCATAGGGCGGGGCTGGACGAAGTGGGTGAAACTGGAGGGATGGAGCCACGACGAACATCGACACTCGACACGAGGTGACTGCGGGCTGGAAAATGCCCTCCCCCATTTCCTAGTTCCCAATCCAGGCTGCTGGGTTACCAACTACGTATGCAATGAGCATTGGATCAATAAGAGACGATTGTTAGACCTGAATGATTTTGCACTGCATACTGATTGTCATGGGTGACGGAGGCAAGGCGGACATTGATTGTTGGTTCCAGTTGACAGGAGACACCGATTGCTAATAGAAATACCGAAACCTCAAGGAAAAGGCAGAAAGGATCCTCAGCTCAACATTGACCATATTGGTGAAATCCAAGGGCCCCTTAAGCGCCGAATTAGCGCCGATCCGCGCAAGGTCGGAGTATCGGCGACATGCAGCCATCCAATCATCCAAGAGCCGCCTCTCGTAATTTAGTCACAAATCACAACGTGTTCCCGAGTTGGTCCCGAGTTGGTCTAGAAACAGAGGACAAACCTCCGACAAACGGGACAACGTGACGACAGGAGAACTTGGAGGTTTCAGATCCTGAATCACGGTTCCCAGAAATCCGCCTTGCAAAGATGAATGGATGACGGGGTCGCATCACAAAGTACAACATTCCACACCCCTTCCAATTCCCAGTGGACAAAAACACCCCGAGCGCACAGCCGTCACACCGGACATCCGTATCATGATAAATGATAATGAATGGGTTGAGTGTAGACCCGAGATTATGGACTATGGACTATGGAGCCTGCTCCCGAAACATCCTCATTACATCGAACATCAAGATCAATACTGCGATTCGGGATCCCTCGGTCCGTTCGACTCCTTCCGGACCGGCACTGCATGCGGCCATGTCCTTTCCTCCACGATTATGCCACGGGCTGAGCGGGCGAGACGGAAAAGCCCGTGTTGTACAGAATATTACGCCCCCTGCCGACGCCTCCCCGTGTTTCCGTCAATGCTGATTTCCTGTGATGACGCCGTGTTCTTTCAAACCTTCCAAGACACCGAAGAGTCGGAGCGCGATTCGCGACTCTGGTGGAATGCAAAATAAAATTAAACAAACAAATGATATGCCGATGCTGCAAGGGTGCCCCCAAAAAGTCGGCCGGTATAGCCGATGAGAATGGAAGAACTGGTACTTCTGCTGGGGAGTGGGACAGGGAGATGACGCTGTCCCTCGCTCTGTAAATATAGCAGACATGATAAGAAAGGAAGGCGGAGGGAATGAGAGCATCCAAATGTTTCGCTCATCATTCATAGTGGAATAGTGGATAGCAAATAAGCCACCATCATGGATCCGTCTGCAGGAGAGCCAATAAGCCAACCTTATCTCGACCCCTCCATATCCAGCAAACCACTACCCCTCCCGTGTATTCCGCCTCCGACCCGCTCCCGAAGCCCTTTAAGCCCCGCATCGGCCGTCTGGCGTTTCCGAGGACTTCGTCGACCGACCGGTTGATTTTCTTTCCCTTCCGATAGGGCCCTAGAATCGTCCGTAACCTCTTCGGAAGCATTGAAATCAGAATCCTGCTCGACAAGCACGATCGGAATGCTACTGTCGGAAGATTCCCCAGATTCTGCCTTCCGTTTCCACTCCGCGATCTTCTTCTCCGCTACCGCACGGTCTCGCTCATATCGCAGCTTCACGTCTCCGTTCCACCGGGTTCCCATCCACCGGTCCCAGAAGATGAAGAATGGTTGGCTGAAGTTGGTTTTGATGCCCCAGCTCTGGTGATGGATGTCGTGGTAGGCGGCGTTGTTCGAGGTGATGTGCTGGAGAGGATCCCACGGCAGTGCGTAGCCGCAGTGGTCGTCGACCGTCTTGATCGTGCTGAAGGTGAAGAACCAGAAAGTCTGTCGGGTCGTCATCCCGGTGAGGAGATACCCGACACCGGCGCCACAGGTATCCAGCAGAAAGCCTTCAAACCAGTGGTTGTAGAGCGCACCGTATGCATAGGGGACGTATAGACGATGGTGGTGGGAATGGAAGGTTGCTGGAAAGGTCGTCAGAATTGTCGATGCGCTACGTGCCCGAAATACTTACCATACAGCCATTTGTTCAGATGCATGGCACGATGCCAGAAGTACTCCCACGCATCCATGATGAGGAGCGCAGCAACGAACTGAATAGAAGGAATGATGGCCCAATAAATCGCCTTGGCTAGGCCCATCTCCCAGCCCGTGAAAGCCGGCACAATCTGAGAAATGCCGTCGCTCTCGATCAATTGCGTGACCCAGGGATATTTTCCACCCGCAAGAACCCCCGAGAGCATGGGCTGCGTCTTCAGGTACTTGCTCGCGAGACCGTTCGCGTTCAACCCAACGATTCCGAGCACTGCCGGCACGGCTCGTTGGGCGAGTCGGATGCGTTGCGCCCACACCGCGACATCGTAATCTTCCTTGCCGTACATAGCCGGGGGGTCGGTCCAGGAAAACATAAGCCCCACAACGGTCTGGATGACCTGCTGAATAATGACGGCGCGGAAAACCTCCCATCGTCCAACTTTGTTTCGGGAGGTGATTTCGGCGGGGGTATGGAGTCGGTATTGGGGAAAGAGGTCGTAGATGTCGATGAAATGGAAGATTCCCGAGACGACCCAGTAGCCGATCACGGGTAAGGCGAGCGCTATGTATGCGTCGGGAACTCCAGGAATTAGAGGTGGAAGCGGGTTTATGGTATATGATGGAAGCGGCGGGAGCTCGGAAGCGAGGGGATTCGACGAGATGTTGGCCGTAGCCATGATTATCGGATGAGCCGGTCCTGAGACCTCCAATCTATAAGAAGCAGCAATGTTCGGACGAAGTTTGGTCGAGTCGGTCTCTTCCACTCCGATGGACTCGATACAGAGATGGGACCAGGCTGGAACGACAAGCAATTGATTTCTGAAGGAGCGACTGAGGTGGAAGATTGGAAAATCGAGGCTGGCAGTACCAGCGCTATACTACGACACAAGCGGGAATGAATTCGCAAGGGAGACCGGAAGAAGAAGTAGTTGAGAGATTGGACAATCGGATGGATGAATAATTACCGTATGGGAGGCAAAACGACGTCTTCGAGTTGAAAACCCCCTGGTCGTTTCATTCGGTTTGATTGGTTGCACGTGATCCAGGCCAGTTCCTACATGTGTGCTGACGCTAGGGAGACCCACAGGTGGATGTCAGGTGACCATCAACCTCAGTTCAATCTTATCCCAGCCAGCCTGACAAACAATCTGACCAACAATCTGGGATTGTGAGATCCGATGTCTTGGATAACCGGCAGTAATAAGACCATATCGCATTAGTTCCGGTATTCAAGCATTGTTCCCTCAATTCCTGGCATCATACTAGGACCATCATGATCTCGGCCATACTGCCCAAACTCCATTCCTCCGGATTTGTGTAAGATTGATTCACAGGAGTGCGAGTGGATTGTCAGGGCGCGAGTACAAGCCTATATCGGTACTAAAGCGACACCCAAGCCTGAATTTACTGTCCGCCTTGCTGCGTGAGTCTTAAAAGCGATTCCGATCTGATAACTTGGCATAAAAATTGTAGCTGCTTGAGTTTAATATTACTCTAGCTGTGAAATAAACCCTTCGTTTTAAAGCCTGTCTCTCCGCCAATCTTCGAGCATTTGTATTAGGTCAAGGATGAGTTAGAAAATAGTTCTTCTCTGCGCATCCACACAGACAAAATTGAAAAAGGAAACCTCGTCGTTATAAATCGTTTATGAATATTTCAAGTCTGATTTGCTTTCATTGGTAGAGAACTATCTAGTTCTTCCGATTACAGCAGAGAAGACAATCCTAAATGAGGTTAGGCTAGCATTGAACGAAATTCATACGAAGAATTGGATACAGCTGGGGAAGATACTTTCGCGTTTGCTCTACTTGGATACTTGTTGAACCTATTCTTCTCCAGACCTGAAGCCTAACAATGTCTTCGTCAACTGGCACGTGGACTTAAAGGATGAATTTCATCTGAAAAAAGTGGTCTTGGGCAATATGGACTACGCCTTGAAATTAAATGGTGAAAGGTTCCTAAATCACAGGATCGGGAATGCCATTGTGACGTACTCCGAAAGGACAACTTAGGGGCGTAGGTAAACCTTCCAAATATTCTCTTTTGCACCCATAGTGAGTCCTAGATTCAATTTAGCTGGCACATACCTGCTGATTCGTCCATTCCAGTGCCTCTATGTTATCACGGAAATGCAATATTTCCACGTGTAGTATGAGAAGCTCGAGCCTGAGCCTGAGCCGGTGGTTTTGTTCAAATTCCTCACTGCCTTCGGCTCCTTACCAGATATACCCTCGCGAAGCATGTTGACTGCAAGCAAACTAGTTTGCTCTCAACCGAGCTCTGAAAGACGATCATCGAAAATGGGTTGAATGAGGATTTCGCACACTAGTCGGAGGATGTGTTTCTTAACCTCTACGAAGCAAAGTGGTTAATCCTGCGGATGACAGATTTTGATTCAGCCAAAAGAGTGTCAATACTGGTCATCATTGCCGATCCCTATAGGAACAGGGTCGAATCAATTTAAAACTCGTCAGGTCGATATGATCATCGGAAAGGAGAAATCTTGCCATATGACCTGGAGGCTAGAGAGGTAGCCCTAGAGCATCGAAAGCTCTCGATCGTTGCCTGCTTTCCCCTCATATTGAATTTCTAGAAAATAGTTATAGGGACTCATTTTCCATAGGCTGAACCCTGAAGGACGTCAGTCGTCAATCATACAGGATATGGATTTCTTGAACCCCTGATAGCCCCTGATATAGTACCTGACATGGTCTTTCGTTTTTCCACCCCTGCCCAAGGGTCAGATTTCAATTCGGTTCAATTTCTGGAGTGCAAAATATGCCTTGGTGCCTTGCGGCCTTCCGCCACCATTGCTTGGCGATCAAATTCCTGCCTCGCCCCGCAACTGGAGACAGACACTCCAATTTTACATCCCACTCCGACTTTTGTAGGTTCCGACGATTTCCTGTTTATCACTTCTCTCCTTCCGCCCTTCAACCCCTCCACCGATCTTTGACTGTCGTGTTTATACCTAAGCACTCAAACCGCCGCAAGTCAATCCGTCAACATGATCATCTACAAGGTACGTCCTTGAAATTGCCCGCAACCGACGCACTGTGGTCCTCGAGCCTCAATCCCAATCTTGCGTCTTCCCTCACTCCAATGCGCTGTATAGCTGACACACTCTGTTCAGGACCTCATCACCGGTGACGAGATCATCTCCGACTCATATAACCTGAAGGAGATCGACGGTGTCGCGTATGAGGCCGACTGCACGAGGATCTCGGTCGGCAACGACAACGTCGACATTGGCGCCAACCCGTCGGCTGAGGAGGCTGATGAGGGCACCGAGGACGCCGCCCAAACGGTCATCGATGTCGTCCACTCTTTCCGTCTGAACGAGACGCAATTCGACAAGAAGTCATACCTCTCACACCTCAAGGGTAAGCAACTTCGGCCTGTTCATTTGGAACAGGAAGACTGACAGGATGCGTCGAACAGGCTATATGAAGAAGGTCAAGGAGGCTTTGAAGGAGAAGGATGCCAGTGATGAGGAAGTCAAAGACTTCGAGACCAAAGCCTCTGGCTTCGCAAAGAAGATCGTGTCCAACTTCAAGGATTACGAATTCTTAATCGGCGAATCCATGGACCCCGATGGAATGTGAGTCTTGTCTTCCCTCATCATGCCATATCAAGCGCGCTGACATCTTCAAGGGTTATTCTGCTCAACTACCGCGAGGACGGCGTCACCCCATTCATTACCGTTTGGAAGCATGGGCTCACTGAGATGAAGGTTTAAGGGTTGGATACCAGAAAAGGTTGGTGGAAGAAGACGGGATGGAGCTGGAACGGAGAAAGGTCGGAGCATAGCACATACTAAGGGATGGGAGCATTGCATTCCCTTAACACAGCACTTCGAATCATAATTCCGTGTTGTACTAGACTACCGCGTGTTGTAGAGAGTCTACATGAAGTCATGACTCAGCCCCTGGAGCACGAACTTATCATCGTCCGATGTGATAGCACTTGCTTGTGGAGTTCGCATGGCCTCGAGCTTTCAATTCACTCCAAATTCCCACTAGTTTTCCATCGTTGACGTTACTCCCTGGCCCTCTCCCAGAAATATCACGGCATTGCTCCAACCGTAACCGGGCTCTCACTGTCTCGATTCGATTTCTTAACTCATCAAGCCGGGGATGCCAATCAATCGTTAAGGTGTGTAAGTTTCCTTCATCATTAAGATTTTATGAACAAAGCCTTTAATACATCATTTTAGCTGTCTTAAAACTATTTCTGGTTTGCTCGGCAGGACCTCCAATTACCCGCAGATGTCATCTTTGACATCGCCGTACAAAAATGGATCACTGGCGAAGATCGCGAGGCCCGCGAACTCTCCTGCAATCTCATCCAACACCACGATCTGACGTCTATACAGCTTACCGTATGCCACATGATTCACATATCCGGCGGTGATGAGCTTGATAGGACGTTCCACGCTGAAGAAACACTTTACTGTGCCACCAAGGCATATGCGGAGGAGCCGGACAGTGAGCACCGCTTCCTGAAGGAGGTAGCCGAAAAGTTGTTTCATGGCCTGGAACAGCAGGATGGGGGGCTTGGATTATGGGAACAAACCGTCATGACCAAGCGGATCACTGTAAATAAGGCTCAAGCCTTAGGATGGGCACCTCATAACCATCGACAGCGATTGCTACTGAAGGAGCTCTAAAAAGGCCTGGCCAACGGGGTTGCGAAGACGGAGAGGTTTTTGAGGGCCGTGAACGATATGGGCAAGATACTGGAGCGCGAGCATTACAAGATGGTGTTTGAGGAGCATCGCTCATCCGAAGAGGCGCTGGAATGGCTGAAGGAGACGGACCGGCAATTTGACATCGCGGTGACCCATGTACTCGAACTGAACCTGGTAGAACGCCCATTTTGGGTACGCTTCCTTAACATGACAATGCCTGTCCTTAGTTTCGCTCTACTGGTTGTGGCGTCCTTGATGCGTTAGTTCGCAGTCATAACTAAGATATCAATGACAGGCCAGTTTGAGGTAATTGATCGATGGAAGAATGCACTTGATATATAGCCCAAGACTGCTGTAGGAGCTGCCACCACTGACTTGACTGTCGAGGCAACCCTTGGCCAAGGAGTCTCTGGGTGTATCCAACGTCCTCCCACCCTCTACTACAGTTTTCACTGTGGACAGTGCAGATACACCAATTGATTTCGATCGATGGAGTTCCTAGAAAGTAGGACTCAAAGCATATCTTGTCTCAGCATCGTACACAGGGCGTATTCCTACCCGTGACGCAGCGAACAGTCTGCTCTTCTCTCTTATAAATGATGACGAGTGAGACAACATTGTACCTGAAGTCGCAAGTGATATGGAATGGGTGGAAGGATGCTCGAGACAACAAATGCAGATTAGGTTTGTCATAGTCCGAGTCTGAGGAGAACAGCGAAGTGCATCAAATGCGGGGACTTCAAATTATCCGTTGTTACTCTACCTAGGCCATTCTATGACCGTATTCAACTTCAGTAATATACCTGTCGAAGTGCCTAACCATTGGAGCAATGTCCTCTAGGAGATGCGCAACTAACGTGTGCGCGAGCTCTTCAATGAGAAGACTGGCAGATAAATAAAACATAAACTGAGAGCGACGAGTAATCGAATCTATACCGCCCCTCCACTTTCCTTTTTCTCCTAAAAAGTTATTCTAGAGATGGCACTACTCTCGTCCTCGATCGGAGCGAAGCGCAGTGGCACCAGTTCGTAGCATGGCCTTCTCTTCCATATTGCTGCATTTCTCTGACGCTGGATAGATACTGTACCTATACCGGAAAAGACCCTAAGAAGATGTACCAGGCCATATCAATCAAAGTATTGCACAACTTTTTCCACTGGCTGCTCAGCCAGCGCCGCGGGAAGGAAGGACGGCGACTTCGAGGGACCAAACTGGCCAGTTCTTGGGGCACATACTGGAAAATCTATCGGCTTGTGTACAAGCGAGCCACTGGCGACAAGATCAACGGTCCATTTTAACACTCTTTCGGGTGCTGAGCAAGCTATCGAAGAGACGGATTAAAAAAGGAAGCCAGGGAAAAGCCGTGCATGTATGTCGAGGATCTGAAAGAAGCGCTGCGGACAAATTTGTACGCAGTCAAAAGTAGATATTCGCATAAGAGAATCCGGATCGAGGTACAGCGTTTCATGTACGTTGAGTTTTACGTTGCGTTTCCTTACACTTGCTCCCTTACAGCTACTCTTCCTTTTATATAACCTACTTACTAGTGCACAGAAACACGCTTCCAACCCCAGAGATCATATATGATCCGTCTTTGATTTACAGCCCGCACGTGCTCCTGCTGGGTCTGATTTTCGATGATCAAGCTTTCGTAGCACCAAGTCTTACCTCTCCAACGCTGTTCAGCAGGCTGGATATCGAGCCAGATCATCAACAACTACCACTTCCGCTACGATCTGACCTAGACGATGCTCCGATTTTCCGAAAAGCTATTAAAACGCCAGAGGGATGGGAGATATCTAAGGAAGAGCCTCTAGAGTACTCAACCATCCAGTATGCGATGGAAGGTCGGCGAGCTCACTAGGTTTAAGCTGCTTCTGCGCCCATACGCACTCCGATATGGTGTTGGAAAGGCTTTCCATGAAATCTGTATGTGGCCTACCCTTAATGCTATATTTGGGTGATGCGAGTGGTGTTCTTCTGTAGGCAACGTCAGCGAGGCGCTCCAGAACCTGATGATGCAATACGATTATCCACGGACGTTCTTAAACACTACCTCCATCGACGAGTGACAGTAGATGCTGCCGCAATTTTGCGGTGACCCCAGCCCCAAGACTCAGTCATGCAAGCTGCTTGTAACATGATCCGATGAATAGTCCCGAATCGACCCTAGGCCTTACCGCAGAGCAGGAGATTCGGTGAACCAAAGCCCTCTTATTCGTTCTCTTCTGCAGGATCGGGACTGACTAAAACGCCGCTACAGTCCGAAGCATATCAAGTATATTGAACACAACAAGACGATAATAAGTAAGAAGCAACGCCTTCGGACATCACGTCTTGTGGAGATTTAAGAGAAATAGGGGAAGGAAGACCCGGTACGAGCGATTGAACGACAGCTGTCCGGTGTGAAGGTCAGCCAAAAGCCAATAGTTGCGTCTTACCTCGCGGACGAGACTTGTCCGGAACAGAAGCGATTGATCGAGGCGCTCATACTTGTCCCACCAGGGAACACTCTCGCAGAGGAGTTCCGGCAGCGGAACGAGGCCATCATCGCCGTCACAGAGTATTGCAAAATCGAAGAAGGCGACATACCCAAAAGCCGAACGCGCTCTCGAGGTCAGACGAAGCACCTGTCGATCAAAAAGGAGGATAACGACTGATCAGCAGCTTCCGTTAAGCCAATATAAAAGGAAATAGAGGCCGCTTTGTTGCCGGTCTTTAAGGAAAAGCGACCGACGATATGTTTTCTTTGTCGTGGTAACGTCACTTTGCCGCTTGCTACACGAGTCTATTCCTTCAGCACACCCTCTAACCTTAGCAAGCACTTTCGGCGGAAACACCTGTCCAATATTAGGGACAGCGAGAGGGTCCACTGCAAGGTTTGCAAGATGTCACTCAACAGTAAGATGCACTTGCTGCTGTTGCTCGCTCGTAAAAGTTTGTTGCGCATTTATCGGGGCTTGCTGTGTTTGATTATATCGCTGTTGCTCATCCGTAATAGACTGTCGAGTTCTATTATGTGGCTGCTGCTCGTTTATAAGGGCTGAGGAAGAACGAAAGCATTGCGAGAAAGAGCTTTTGGACCGTTACGGGAGAGGTGAGCTTTGGAACGTTTCGGGAGAGATCCCCGTACCATTGCAGCTCGTAACATTCCAAAGCTCATCTTTTATCACTGTGCTAATAAGGAGGGACCTTGGATGGGTCTCAAAGGTTTACTAGCTAGTTTCTGACGAAACGAAAGGTAAAGAAAAAGGAAAATAAAAACAGGAACGGCGGAAGGAGAGGTATAAGATACACAGGCGTGGTATTCCCTAGGACCACGTGAACCCCCTTTCCTAACTTAAGTCCATAACGCAACAAGGCACCTGTCACTCAGACAGCAGTTGTGCCTCCTGTCTTTATGGCATGATTACTACGTAGTAGTCAATATTTAGTAGCAAATGCTAAAGATGAGGCTAGGCTTCATTGGGTATAGTGGAAGGCTGGCCAGGGGGTACCATTGACGGGTGAGCCCCAGCTAAGATAAAAAAGACATCTTCACTAATTAAGGATGTCACTGTGGAGTTGATGCTAGACTGTCCGTGGGTTGATCTCCAAGCATATAGATATTCTGCTTCGGAACCATACCATGACTGCTGCTTAGCGACCATACGAGACTTCTGCTGAGCAACCATTGCTGCTTAGCAACCATACGATAACTGATCAAACATTATGAACCTGGGCAGCAGCGATGGAATTGATAATATAAGTAGCGATATATAATTAGGAATGGAATCATTATCCTCACTTATCATATTCACTCAATACCTCTCTTAGCATCTCACTCAATACCTCTCTTAGCATCTCACTCAATATCGCTCTTAGCATCTCACTCAATATCGCTCTTAGCATCTTCACTCAATATCACTCTTAGCATCTTCACTCGTCACCTTCACATATACACCCACACTTCTATCTCATCATGTTAAACCTCTCCCCTAGTGACACTGCTTTCCCCGCTGGCTCGCTTGTCCTTGTGACCGGCGCTAGTGGCTACATGGCAACCCACATTGTTGACCAACTGCTCCTTGCTGGTTACCACGTCAGGGGTACAGTTCGCGACGAGAAAAAAGCAGCATGGACTACAGAATTCTTTTCAGCCCGATATGGCGCTGGCAAATTCTCCGCTATTATTGTACCAGAGATGTCGGCCATCGGGGCGTTTGACGAGGCGGTAAAGGGTAATTGGAAACTCCCTTGTACCTTGAGCTTAACTATTTCTAACTTCTACTTCTACCACCTAGGCGTCCAAGGAGTCATCCATAACGCTTCAAACGTGTCCTTCAGCCCGGACCCCAATGAAGTAATTTTACCGACTGTAGCCGGTGTGACGACTCTACTCCAGTCAGCAGCCGAAGAGCCATCAGTCAAGAGCTTCGTGTACACGTCTAGCAGCGTGGCCGCCTCTGGTTCCAATCTGCCTGTGATCATCGACACGTCAACCTGGAACGATGCCCAAATCAAGGAGGCATGGAGTGTCACATCGGCGCCGTTCCCTGCTGCGCACGCGAATGCCGTATACGGCGCCAGCAAAGCAGAGGGTGAGAAGGCCTTTTGGAAGTACGTGAAGGAAGAGAAGCCTCACTTCCGAGCCAACGCCATCCTGCCTGACGCGACCATTGGCGAGGTGTTAAGTACGCAGGGGAGTTTGAGCACGGGCGGTTGGATCACGATGGTTTATAAGAACGGGGTTGATTTTGTCAAGCAGTTACCTCCGCGTAAGTCTTTCTATTCCGAAACAATATCCGGCATATGTTAACCGAACTAATACGACTACAGAGTGGTACGTGAACGTCAAAGACGTCGGGCGTCTCCACGTGGCTGCGCTGCTCTCCGAGTCGGTGAAAAACGAGCGGGTCTTTGCGTCTGCCGGCCCTTATACATGGAATCAAATCCTAGCTGCCCTGCGGATGCTATATCCATCCAAGAAGTTCGCCGATGATATCGAGGGTGCGAAACTCAGTATTTTAACATTCCCGACTAAACGAGGAGAGCAACTGCTACAGGAAACTTTTGGACGTGAAGGTTGGACCAGCCTTGAGGAAACAGTTGCTGAAAATGTCAAGGATTTGGCTTAACGTAATCCACCCGCGAGTCGCCCATACCACCGACTCGCTCATCTCATCCCCATAACAGCGATTATCATCGTTTTCTCGCAATGTCTCAACAATAGTACCCTCAATCACCTTCAAATGAAGCTAGAATCAACTTAGCTATCCTGGCTATCGAACAAGACTAAATTCAAACAATTCGAGAAACCATAAAGCCTACAAAGTCCCGTGGACTACCTTACATGACCCCCAAAACGGAATATCTCCACGAAGCGATTGCGTCCCGAATTCAAAAAGGCTCTTAAATATACAACACTTGGAACGGCGACAAGGAGGTGTGGGGCTGCAGGGGAATGCAGCGAAAGCAGAGAAACAGGGTGGAGCTAAGGTGAGCGAAGGATGATGAGTGGTCGTGATCTCTCAGTCGCCGCAGTAGTTAAGGGGGTTCGTGAAGGAGAGGGGAAGGCGGAGCGATGAAATAAAACGGTAGAAGAAGGGATGGTGGGATGCCCATTTTATATGTGAGGTCGAAGTAGGCGGACCGAGCAGAGCAGACATCCTGACATCGACCAATGAGCGTGCACGGGTAGCTGGCGGTTGCAAAATGTGAGAGCAGAACGCTTGGCGTTTCTTGAGTGTGTGTGTCCCGCTGGCAACTCCTCCAGAAAACGCGATATCACCCATTTTATGACCAAAACGCGCTGAAATCGGGCCTCAATTGTCTAAAATGTATATATTCCTAGAGAAGTAATATAGTTTAAATTACTGACGCGATTTGAGTTAGCCTTTGGTGCTTCAATATGACTACCATGGCGTAGAAGACACGAAACGCGCTCAATAATGCATAAGATACTTCCTCCTAGGTTGGTCACCACCAGCCATTGCAGCGGCAACCGGCCGAGGAGTTTCTACTATCTACCGGCAGACTACCGCTATCGTGCACATCTTGTTCGATATAGCTCTTTTCGTACCCCATACCGCCGGAAACGGGGCCGTCCTTGTTCGTTGTCGCAAGCAGACGAAGAAGCGCTCTTCGAGAAGCTACTTCAGGAAGGGTGGCTATATCTTGATAAAATTGTATTCTGGTTAGATATAGAAAGGGGCGTACACGTTAGCGAGTCTATGGTATGCCGCGTGGTTAAGCGGAGACATTGGTCACGAAAAAGAATCAGGTGGATCTCGCGGAATCGGCCCCAAGAGATGCGGGAAGCGTATTAAGTAGAGCTTCGTTAGTTTGACGCCGATGATATGGTCTTTCTTGACGAGTCGATCTTCAATGAGAAGACGGACTGGAGATACCGTTGTTATTCGCCCATTGGGCATGAATCCCGCGGTTTCAGGAACATTGCATCGGGGCAAGACTTTGGGCTGCTATCCGGGCGTATACGATCAGAGGCTTAGTTGCCTAAGGTATACACCAAGGCTACTGTAGTCGAGAGCATTTGATTGAGTGGCTACGGGACGTCCTACTTCCTTCTTTGGCTAGAAACTCTGGTCCACGCGTTATCGTACTTGATAACTATTCGACGCATGTTTCAGAGGATGTTATAAGGCTTCTCGAGGGAGCAGGACATCTTGTACGTTTTACGCCGCCGTACTCTCTAGACTATAGCCCCATCTAGATGGTCTGGTTAGTCCTTAAAGCTTCAACCAGACGTAATCACGTCTATACGCGCCATCTAAATGGCAACTTCGGCGAGTTCCTCGACTTTGCCATTACGCGCAGTCAATGTGACCGTTTTGGGCTCGAGCATTTTGCAAGCGCAGCTCACAGAATCTATGTCTCTGATCAGCAGTATTATGAGCTTCGTGTACAACTCTGTGGGTTTGAAAATGTGAGGGTAGGTCATCCGGATAATTGGTACGCGAACGGTAACAACAATCTTCTCGTATCTTTAGTTTTCGTCCCTTAGAGGGCTACCTAGGTTCGCTAGTACCTCGTTCTCTACGTCTGTGATCTCAGAATCGTTACGCCTCACCGTATCCAGGGTGGCATCGAAGTGACGCCTGCCGTTATCATGGACGCAAAGCTGGATGTGAATCTTGTAACCGGGAATCTTCTCGGCTTGAAATGTGTTTATGGCTGTATAAAGCCGTTGCCGTGTAGTTGGCTACGTTAGAGAATTCCTGGTTCTAGGAGATGGCTTATAGATGATGTTCCCATGTACGTCCTTCTTAATGAGCCTTCCATATTCGTCAATCTTACCTAATCTACGGTCACGGTTAACAGCTCGTCGTTCCTGGGAGGCAAGAGTTTCTGGACTGGTCTCTAGGAGTAGACTACTCTATCTTCTTAGAGGATCATATGTCTTCGAACCGGTCATCGTAGGTGGTGTCCGTATCGGTATCTGATCGGTTTGAAATCGACTCCGTTTACGGCTCGGTTTCGGAGTAACCGTATCTTCTTCCTGCTCTTCCTCTCCTAGCTCTTCCTCATCGTCTGCAAGGTCCTTTTGCAGATCTAGCTGAATAGGTGTTGTCTTGCTAGCAGTCTTGGGTATACTAGTCGACGATGCCTTCGTCAATATCTTATTTGGAGCTGGCTGGGCTTTCTTTTTTTGGCCCGCCGTCTTTGGAGCCGCCTTCTTTGTGTTCTTTTTCTTCGTAGCTGTTTGTTCTCTCACAAGTTCAGCAGTGCTTTCAATCTCGTCTTCAAATCGGACGCGCGTTCGCGTACTGCGCGTACCAATTCCACGTAGTTGAGGCGCCATTTCCTAATAAAAAATGAAAATCTTGATATAAAACTCAATCTAATAGTTTCCTTTTAATTTCACAACTTGAAGGTCCGAATTTAGCACGTTTTGGTCATAAATTGGGTGATATCGCGTTTTCTGGCGGGACACTCTCTCTCGAAAAAAAGGCAAGCGTTCTCTCACATTTTGCAACCGCCAGAGGCAAGCCGGCCATTCTGGCGGTCGACCTGCGGACGTCTCTTTTACTGAAATTAACTACCGGTGGCGCTGGATCTTGACTTTACTCATCCTTGACAATCATCTACCAAAAAAGGACAGATGAAACACAAATGCATCAATCATGAACCAATTAGCAAAGATCCCAGGAAAAGCTCTCTAGAAATGGAATCCCGTCAGTCTATCTGATATCAACGATATTAAGAATCAGGATCGATGCCGCCGCTGAGATCGCAACGTTGCACAACAGCTGGGTTGTCCTGCACGAAGAACCATTGGCAAGGTAGGGAGGGATGGGGAGCCGGAACCGCAACGTCTACGCGTCCATCCACCACCTCACCTTAGAAACGTCGCGTGAACAGCGATGAGAAAGCACGATAATGCTCTTGTGTGTGGCTGCGTCCCGGGACGCGTAGGCGACACGCGATGCAACGCATCTTGCGGCAGCACGACTGGACATTTTCAGAATCCAGACCAGCGGAAGAGCAAGCTTACGTCAACTCAGTGCAAAAGTTGCGGATCACGAATGGAAGTCGCTTGTACTCGGATGTAGGCAAGGCCAACCAGCGCGTCAGAGCATACCGTGCTGTACTCGTTGGAGGCCAGCCACCGGGTAGCCACGTCCACATGACGAAGCCGGCGCTGCAAGTGTCCGTGTACAGCTCCGTTGCATGAGACCGCGATGCTGTTGAGGAAGCCTGTGCAGGGCTCGGCGGTTTCCGATTTTTCACGATATCAGCTTTGTAAATGCGAATGTCTGGGCGGCTGAGCGTCGGCGTCTGTCGTGTCGCCATCTCTTTGGTAAGCGGATCGGCACGTTCGGGGCAACTTTTTTGAAGATGTAACATGTAGTGAAGGTATTGTGGAAGATCGTCACTTAGCTTCCGATGCATAGTGAGGCTGTGGAGAAGAGCATCGAGCAACCATCGAGCATACGCCGCCCTCTTGTCGAGCGGTTCAATCATATTGCGGCTCTTAACTCATTCCAAACGTAAATCAAAGACCGCCAAGCAGAAGTGCCCAAGCAGAAAGGTCAGTCCACATCAACAAAGGTCGAAGCTGTGAATGGAGAGCAGAGATCTCCGGGGCGTACACTAGTAACCGACTAAGATCGGGGTGGTTATAATAGTGGCTCTGTGATATAGATCTGTGATGCAGTGGTCTATTCGACATTTCGACATTGAATGTGTCGAAGGATGATCATCACAATATCCATCTAGGATGAACCCCGTAAAATGAATAAAGCAGCATGGACAGGGACGAGACAAAGCCTGGATCAGCCAGGGACAAAGATTGGATTTCCTCAGAGCATCGGACGATTACCATTGAGGCCTTGAAGATACGCCCGGCGAAATGAAGAGCCCTAAAACGGCCAATGAGGGGAGATTTGATGGCATATAAAACTCATTACTTAGGGCACAAAAGGAGATTTTTTGGCAGCCTACCGAGCCGGACGAATGAAGATCTGCTGTGGAAATGCGCATTTCGCCAGTGCATTATTCGTCTGGAATCTGGATGTACGTCAGGTACACAGCATGATGCATATGCCCGAGGACGAACCACAGCATCGGAGTTCATTGGACATCCTCGCGATCCTGGGCGGTCTGGAAAGGCGCCAACGCAGTACCCAGAAGCCCGATGCAAGACATGTTTCGAGAACGAGAGGGAACGCGCTGAATGGTTGGGAGCACTTCGTGTAGCATGTCCTACGATGGTATTGAGTACAGAAATCGGTCGGAGTAGAGAGGATTGAGAACGGATGACATCGCGATGAATCTGTGGGGTCGAGTTCGATCTCGTCTTCCCCCCACAGGATTTTGCCAAGCGGAAGATTAAAGAATCGGATTAAATTGACTGGGATCGAACGGTGCATGAGCGACGTGAGCTGGTGGCATGTCGAGATCTACAACCCAGCTTTTTGTGCCATCGAACGGCAACGAAGGACAAAGTGTATGGTTATGCACGTGAGTAAGCCGAGCACAAAGTCGACACTCGACACCGAACAAGCAGTAGTATAGTCATGAGGAGAGGAATCGACATGTTCGCTGGTTGATTTAACAACCCAGCGTTTCAAGTTGAAGCCCTCGCTACCGACAGGAAGGTTAGACACTCCTGAATCGGAATTAAGGTCGTCTTCTAATCATCGATTCCTTATTTCCTATCGTCCTGAACGCCATCAGAGCACGAGATGGCTGTCCAGTGTCAGCATGATGATATCAAGGTGCTTACAAAGTTCAAATCCTCAGTTCGCCTCATCTTCTCCACGTCTCGCTTCTTTTTACTTGTAAGTTGTACGACAGATCTGATACGGAGTATAATTGTGGGAACTATAAACCCAAGCAGCCGCGCAGGGAATTTCCCAAATTTAAACCGACAGATTAAGATCGTTCCCGGAGAACCAGGATTGGGTTCATTGATGAATAAAGAGGCCAAGAGGGAGGGTTGCTCCCAGGCCAGTTGGTGGTCTGGTCGTGACCAGGTGTTTCGATTAATCGAACTACGGGACCCGACCATTCCAAATGTTGCAGTGACAACTGACAAGTCAGGAGACTGCGGGGTAAACCGTGCGGTTCGCCGCAAATCTGCAAAGTAGAGGGCCAAGCTTTGTTCGTATATCGGTGCGGCTTTTTTGGAGTTAGTGATGAGGGATGGCAGGGGATGAGGAGAGAGGGCGGTAAGCGGTGAATGATGCTGGTATTGTCAATTGTGGTGTGCATAAACTATAAAGCAAAGGACGAGCGTTCGCAATTGCGTGATTCTGCAGTTCATGATAGAGTTCCTCGAGTCTCGATACTGCCTGTGTTCTGAATGGTAATTCTTGTAAGCTTCGGGAGGATTACCGAAGATCGCATGGCCTGTCGAAAATCCCAACTGTTAGCTTACGAGGCTAGATATTCTTCCGTGTTCGAGAAGGCGACTTTTTTTATTTTAAATAAATGGCGCTTAGACTTGAGGATGTGTCCAGTGCTTTGTAGCTCGTACGATATCGTCCTGCCCCGTCGTCGGCCTCCACTGATATCAAACGATAATGATCTGACATCCGAGGAAGTTGGGCTGGATTCTATATCGAAGCTTTTCTCCGAGAACAGTCTCCACGCCGCGGACGCCGGTCGTCGTCAGTTCGCTGCAAGCGGTAAGGAAGGGGACTGGCGGACTGTGGACGGGATATCTTGCTAGGGAATCCGTATTCCTTCACTACTGCGATGCAACTCATGCAAGCCGGACAGCTAGTGTTCCAGAGTTTGGGCGTGGGTAGTACACTAGCATCGCCCAATGATGAGCGTCTTTTGTTCTGGCCGATTCCCGCTGCGGTGTAGCCGCATTTTGGAGGGGCATCCTCATGGGAGGGGTCTAGCACTCCAGCGTCGAACTCGTTCGAATTATTCTTACGATTCTTCGGCCGCTCGTTGGCCTTCGGAGTTCTGATATCAGAAAAAAAGGTCCATTAAAAGGCGGGCAGTTATGGATCGATCTGCCCAAGCGGATGGTCGTGACTCTCGTGAGATGCACCGATTCGGACGCCTGAAACATGAACAAAATTCTATCTGGGATTGGTTGGGTGTTGTCCTGTTGTCATCATCGGGTCGCCCGCTTTAGATTTTTTCCAAGTAGAATGCAGTTTCGTGGGCGACGGCGGACATGCTGGGCGGCTCACTGCTGGCACGTAAATTGTAAGAGGAACCCACTCGGCAAGAAAACAAAAATGGCCCTGAACATATCGGCATCAGGCAAGGCATGTAATCCCAGAATTCCATGGGCCTCATGTGCGGTGATCCTGGAAATGGACCACACCATACCACGGTGCGGGCGATGGAGTTGACCAGAGATCCCGGAGATCAAAAGTCACGATACCAAGTTAGCCTCTATGCGTCGTCCCGCAGTTTGCGCGCCGGAAAAAGATATCTAGTGGCTGGAACGGTGCGATCTCCGTTGCGATGTGGGGCTAGTTATCATATTGATGGCTCGCAAATCTGTCTAATTGACTGATTGAACCTTTGTTACGGAAGTACATCATCTGCAGATGGTCTTTGTTTTCGACTTTTGGAATCAATAGTTCAAGAACACTTAATGGGGGAATACAAGGGTTAGGACATCGGGTCGGACAGGCAGAGAACCAGGACAAGAGACAGGACAGGACAGGATGAAATACCAACATCTTCGTTAATGGTGAATCGTGACTCTCCGAGTTCCCTTCTGGTTCAATAGTTGGAACTTGGAAGGGATATAACACCATGAATACACCACTCTGGAGTGATTGCAACTATTGATGCAATATCAAGGGTGGTGTGCTGTAGTGTGGGATGGAGGCACACCGATGACCGAAGCCCCTACTACCCCTGGCCACCTTTTTGCCGCATGCAGTGCAGGCAGTCGACTTGGCTGCTGTCCCCGTCTGCAGGAGAAGGGCTGCAGCAGGCTTAATCCTGGTCGAATCTCGGGGCGGGTTGAGTCTTCTTCGAGCGTTTTCAGTGGACAGCGAGAGTTGAAAATACTGCTGTCTGTTAACCAGTTGAACAGTCGCCTAATATGTGTTTCCCTTCAACCTGCACAGCATCAGACCTTGAACTGTGAACACCTTGAGAATTGAGACAATTCAATCGATGATTAACAGACACCTGCACTGTGCCGTGTCAAACTGAACTATATGTGTGCCTGACTGCCTGATTTCCTAGCTCTTATCAAGTATCCCCCCCCTGCACTATCCGCAGCTCCCGTACCCAGCCCAGCGCCTTCATCCATCGCTCCTTCCCTCTCCTCCACCTCCTCAATCCTCATTGTCGAATCTTCCATTCGCTTCTCCCTTCAGTCCTCATACACATTATACTACACTACACTACACTACACTACACTCTCCATACAGTATCTTTTTTCTTCTTCGTTTTCTTTCTCTCCCGTCCCCTTCTTCCTCTTCTCCCTCTTCTTCCTCTTCTCCATCGGGGTCAGCTTCCTTCCCTTTGTCCCTAGCCTGCCATCCCTGTGTGTGGCAGCGCCCCCTCCAAGTAGCGACCTGCTCGGACGTCGACAACCCGTCTCATCATCTCAGCTCCCCTTCTCCTGATCAACATCCATTCTGGACTTCTGGTTCTCTCTCTTCACTTCTGCGAGCAAGATCTCTCTTGTTCAATCGTGACGAGGCAATTCCACTGCCTCCGATTCCATTTCGTGGACCTCAATGCTTTGTTGACACGCCTCGTCAACGTCCGCCCTCCGGCTGGACAGACCCTGGAAACCCTATCGACCCGCTCTCAGCCTCTCACCACCTACCCACGCCTTGCCTTCGCTCCACCACATTGGCTGCGTTAATTCCCCTTCGACGATACTCACTACTGTTCCATTGCAGTATTTGTCCTTCGTTTCACCATCATTGTAATAATTCACGACCATCAGCTTTCGCTTTTCCCTCCCGGCGTGTGTGTGGTGTTTGACAGCATCCCGTTCTGTTCCATAATTGCTGATCGTTCCCAACGTGAGGGTAAAGGGGTACGTGACTTAACCCACTCTTTTGACCTGCAACACATCTCCCGTTTCCCTCCCATTCCATGTTCCTCCTCCTCAACTCTGCCCGATTTTCCTGTTGGCAGTGTGACATTGCCTGTTATCTTCTTCTCTTTGCTCTGCTATCGATTTTCTTCCACTCGTTGAGATGAAAGAAATGGTTTTCTAATGACGATTATGTTCTGAGCAGGTCTCATTTCATCTTTCCTCTCCCGGACCTAAGCGTCCAAGACAGTGGTTTACGCCCAACAAACCCATCACTGGGTCTTGAAACACCACCTGTGTTCGATTCCATCTCATTCGCTGCTCCGATGGCTGAAGTACTTGCTCCTATCGTTCAACCTGCCACGACGATGCTCCACTCCTCCCCAGACGCTTTCAAGAGCGTCTCACAGTCTCATCAATCCTCTCGACCACACCCGATGCCATCGAGCCATATCTACAATGCACAACGTGGTGGGATCCCTTATCGGGGAACGTCGGCTTCTCCAGTCGCTCCGTACGCGTTTCAGACCACTCCTCATTTGAGATTGGACAACCGGACCTCATCTGCTCCAGCCCCGTCTTCTGGTCTCCAGCAAAACTTTCAGCCCGGTCACCACTCAAGCCGTTCGGGACCTGCGTCCACTTCGTCGGCCTCGACGGCCTCGACGGCTTCGTCGTCCAGCGCATCGATGACCGGCAGGCAAGTCTCAAAGGATGATTCGATGGTTCCTGTGGGGTCAAGTGCAATGTCGAGAATCGATGGTCGGCCAGCGTCATCGTTCATTCACTCGACGTCTGTTCCAGACTTGTCTCTTCAATTGACAGACAGTCAATCCAAGACTTCTGCGGATAGGTACCGTCGTACTCTGCGTCGTCCTGAAACTGCTCTCTTGGGTGAGACCAATCACACCGACCAGAGTGCAGTCGACGCTCAATCCAAGGACCAACTTTTGCTGCCATCAGTGTTCAAGCCAAATCTAGGATCTACGAACTCTCCTACTGCAAAGCACATTAGGTCTGGTAGTGCTGATGATACCACCCAGAATAATCGTCAATCGGGATCAGAGTTGGCCAAGAGGTATAGACGCCGAAGCTTGGGAAACCTGGGAAACCTTGAACCGGCCTTGAACTCAGAACCACTAGTGAAGCCTACATCGGAAGTTATGTCAACTGCATCCGCCCCGCGCCCGAATATCACTACTGCAACAGTTTCTCTCCGTCCAGCCTCGTCACGAGAGAGGACTGCCAGCAGCGAGAGCCGTGCTTCCGTTCACTCTCAGATTCAACGACCAGCATCCGCTCGTAATGACTCTTACAACTCTTCTAAACCTTCCATGTTCGCAATCACACCTCCACAGCATCAACCAAGATCTGGTCATCGCGTCCCTTCTGATGGAGGCAAGCGCCTTGCTGCTTCCCCTCTGGCAAAACCCATTTTGGCAGATGACGAATCCTCCTCTCCGTCCTCATCCCGACCGAAAACTCCCGAGCCGTCGATTGCCACACAAACCCCGGCCATGAGACAGCTCAGCGCGTTGAACGAGAAGGAACTCAACAAGGGGATGAAATCTCGACTGCGGAGAGCACTGTCTTTCAGCAGTGCTGCGGAATTGCGAAAGGCTGCTGAAACGAATGCGGCTATGGCTGCGGCTGCAGACAGGAACAAGTTACGAAAGGACAACAGGGAGGCTGAACAAGAGCGTGAAGATGCCATCGTTGCTCAACAGGAAGCGGCAGGCATTGGTTCTTCGATCTACTCGGGACAAGGCAATGTGTTCACTGGATCGACGGACAATCTTTCCATATCTTCGACGGCATCGTCCGCATCGATGATGCTTCGGAAAGTGGGAAGGGGCATGAAGAAGTCTACTCGGTCACTAAAGGCCATCTTCCGACCGAAGTCTATGGTTGGAGGACCCACTGAAGATGCCGGAGCCGCTGGAACCGCTGGGCCAAGCGTCGCTGAAGTCTCCATGGTCACGGTCGAGGCAGAACGTGAGCAGGTGAATGTCCATGTCGATTCTTATGACCACCCTGTTGGCGGCTCTGGCCTCCTGAAGTTGGATACGAGCTCGGTGGATTCTTCGTCTATCGATCCACCTAGTTCCTCTCACGGGTCGGTGACTGGGGGAGACTCCCGGAAGACCATCCTTGGAGGGGATCGTGAGAGACAGCAGATTCTCGCTGCGGTTGCGAAAAAAGGAATCCTAAAGCGTAAGTCGCCCCCTTCCCTCATTAACCTTGCCAACCATTGACTGTATCCCCAGGGCCTGGCTCCACCAACTCCTCTCCTGTCGTTAGTCCCGCCGATCAAAAAACGGCCGGCTTCGCCCTTCCACCCGTGCCGTATGTTGGCGACTCCCCTGCGTCCAGCGCCCCCGGCACTCCGGTTGAGGAAAGGATTCGGCTTGACGGGACCGACTACTTCATGGCGGCCTCTCGCTTCGCTACTGCTAGCTCCAAGAGCTTGCCCAACACACCAGGTGGCAGCATCCGCAACATCACCTTCAGCCCCCGTATCCAGTTCCACGATGTTTGGTCTCCTACCGACTATGACCGCCGTGGCGACATTGCGACCTGTAACAAGCTCACTCCCATGCTGGCTCAGCAGATCAAGGAGGAGCTTAATACATTTAAAATGGTAAGCAGGATTTCACCAGTCCCATCGTACATCGTACTGACTCGAACCCGCCCGCAGGAAATGGAAGTTCACGAACTCTCGAAGCCTCACACGCATTTCTTCTGAATCACGATAGCGCGCATATGCATGCAATTGTTTGACACACGCACTTCACTTTCCATCCTTCAACGTCTCCTCACTCATAACTTTCCACGTTCGTGCTTTCCGGCATAGCTTACTCATGGCGGGCGAATGACGGCGTTTCTTCCAACCACCGATCCAAGATTTTCTTTTTTTGCGCTGTATGGCGTTCTCAAGGCTTTGCTCATTGTTTGCTGTTCGGCGGGGAAAGGAGACCGATGAAGCTTAATAACAGTTATTGGTGCTGCTGCTGCCGGCGCGGGTTCTACATCGTTGAATCTTGGGGCCCATGCTAGATGTCGAGGGGTCTTCTGCTGCGCCGCGATTCGTTTCGTTACTTTTCCACACATTGTATTCTTCCATCGCGTCCGTTCAGCGCGTCGGTTCAGGTGCGACGAGCGAGCACTTAAAACGGGGGGCAGAGCCAGGCGGGTCAAGGCGGACTCGGTGCTGGAACTGAAAGGGGGGCTGAAAGCCGGAAAACGGAAGGGACAGGGAAGGATGATGGGACGGACCTTGTATGTCAGGGGTAGACATGCATCACTGTGATGAACCGCAGACAGACATCACAACACACTCCATTTCTTCCTTTCGCAAACGCGGAAAACCACGTTTGCTTGCTGCATTTACGAAACTCTGGGATGGGGTCTTATTAGCGAAAATGGGAATTTTGCGTTTTTTCGTCTTGCAACGCTCTACTGGCGCCTCTGAATTGTCCAAGTCCATTCGTCCTCTGTGAAATGGATCGCGCTTCGCTGTTCGATATGCTCCTCTGGTTCATGCAAACGAAGTATCGTATCCACCTACGGTTCTTCTATTCCCTTGAAGCGGTATACGATGGCTTCAGATTCAAAGTTAATTCAGCTCAACAGAAGGCAAACACCGTACTGGCAATTGCCGTGATGTTTTCTGGCGATTCCCATTGTATTGTCCGCCGCAGATATCTGCCCGGTCTATCTGCTCAATTGCGAATTCCCACATTTTCGTCGCCATCAGATTGCTCAGTATACGTTAGGGGGCCATGCAAGTATTTGACGAAGATTGAATTATATGTTCTTGCAAGGCATCCGATTACGCACTGGTTCAGACCCATTGGTAACGAGTGTACCTTATTTGGAGGCTGGGGAGATACGTCTGCGTTTTTCCAACCATAGGACTAGGTACCGGTATTCCCCGCCGATAACCCGGGTCCAACATTTACGAAGTACTTCAATAGCAAGTTCACGGGCACGGTAAAAGACCTTGCTCCTGTGATATCTCGTCCTTCGCGTTGATATGGAATAGGTGACGGCCGCCCTCACCGGCACCGCTGCCACCTCTTCTTACCGAACCAATGCATCTTCAGATTCTCTGGCTCAAATGGTGGGAGCAGCAGAGCTTCTATCCACAGCCCGGCAGGTACGCCAGTTGCTCGTAAACAATCATGCCAGATGCATTGGTAAGGTACTTACCGGTGCCCCGGCCGCACCTGATGCATTTCCAATTCCTTCACCTACGTCTCGCTTCATTCTATGTTTTGGATTATACTTGTTTTCATAGTTGTATGTAGCCTATGCTACTTCGAACCTCTTACTTTTCCTTTTCAAATGAGCAAACATGTGTACATAGTCAGTCTACCACTGCGTATCCGCCACGCAGTCCTTACCTCCACGCATCTTTTTACACCCACTAACGTTTGCTAACTAATACAATATTAGCAAAGCAACACCACCACCAACACCGCTGCCGCCGAGATGGCCGAGCAGAAGAAGTAGCCGGACATGGGGATGATAACCACAACGGCCACAAAAACGGTGACCGAAACGGTCATGGGCCTCCCGAGCCCCATCATCATAGTCCCCTCTCCCTCTCTCTCCCTCCTCCATCTGGACCCTTCCGGACACCGTCTGGGGTTGGATCTTGCTGGTTACCGTCACCGTTGTGGGCGCGATTAAGCTACCACCCTTCTTTACAAGGGGAGAAAGAAGGGGAAGTGCTGGCTCCAACGCAAGGGATAGTTGAAGGGGAGAGGGGGGTGTAGAGGGGGGAATACCGGAGGGGACATTACCCCTAGACGACGTGCCCGCTTCCGATGCCGCCGCACCAGCCTCCGTGACCGACGCCCGCGCCGCCAAGATAGGCCGGGCAATATCCACCCTCGTTGGATAGCACTCCCGCCCTTCGGCCCGCCCTCAGACCGCTCTTTTCCTTTTCGTTAAGAAACCACACTTTGAAAGGTAAGTCCACCCCTCTGTATCTAATGTACATCTGCTATCATTCATCTTACACCAGCTAACATGCATCTATGGTTGCAGGAACCACTGCAGTAGCACGAACACCGCTACCATCACTATGCCCGCGCTGTCAACTACGGCCTCCGCTACAGCCACGGCCTTCTGCCCCGGCCCGGGCAAATGGCAAACATCATGGGCATAATCGGGGGGCAATTTGTGATTCTAGTCTCAATCGTCAAGGGAACAATGTTCTTGTGGGAAGCGTGGCAGAAAGCGAAAAGGGGTGGAGCCTCAAATCATCATCCCTCCTGAGCGAATGGGCCCCTCGAACTGCACGGAGGGCCTCCCCCGGTACCACGCGACGGGTCTCTTCCTCTCCGCAGACCTAGCCCGTGCCCACTGGCGGCCCCCTGAGACGCCGCCTACCAGACTTTCGCGGACGCCGTCCCCGTTACCTCCTCCGCCCCAAGTAGCTACCTTAATCAATACCAGTAAATTAAAGGTGTTGATTTTATGATGTGCACATTGATCGAGTTTAAGTTGACGAAGTTGATGTGGTTCTTCGTTTTGAATAGGCCGGAAGAGAGTATCAAAGGCGCAGTGCTATCAGTTCCATCCGGTCATGGGCTCTCCGTTGGCGTAGGCCGGGAGAGTGCATCAAGGGCACAGTCCCATCTGTTTACTCTAGTCATACTTCTTCAAGTTAGTAGAGTTGGTATGGCTCATCGTTTTGCTTTGCATCGGCTGGGGGAACGGCAACGGCGAAGTGCCATCAATTCTTCCACTAAACGAAGCTGGTCACAGTGCATCCTTGACGTACACCTCCGGCCTACGTGATAGGGAATTGTATTGACCTCTTTAGTCAAGAGGAGCATGAGTGATGAGACATCAACTAGGGGTATAGATAGGTAGTTAAAGCAAAGTATTAATTGAGATGTTTCGAAGCCATGAAGACTTGAGAACCATCAATTTCGTCCGCCCCTGACAGGTTTGAACAAGCAAAATGGCGGTTAGAAAACACGTGAGGACCTAGTTAACCAAGAGAAGATGACAAAAAAAATAGCTTAGGTTTCTGATAAAAGATCAAAAAAAGAAAAAAAGAAATGCTCACTACCAGGGTCGAACTGGCGACCTTCGCATACCATATTGTAGGAATATTAGTACGACGCTCTAACCAACTGAGCTAAGCGAGCTGATTTATGTTGAAATTTAGGTGTCTCTAAACAGATTCCCACTTCTAGTACCGCTGGTTCCAGTTTCAGAGACGAGGTCTTTTACTATTAGGTAACTAAGTTATCTTAACTCAACTTCACTTAGTTACCTACTTCACGAAAACAGGAGTCTCTGTTCTTTGTTAAGACATCTATGATTCAAATGAGGAATACTCCTAAACTGAAGGTAGATGGAGTGGGCTGTGCTCGTGAGCACTGAGTGGGACACACTGGTATGGATACACCAACCAAATGATAGCGCATTAGGACTGGCATTAGTTCCCCCCAAACATCAACATCGTAGAGTTTAGGTACTGATTCCAATCTACAGGATGCTAAATGTTTGGTGATTCGGGGATGAGAGTAGAGTATTTACCGTAATACTTACTGCATGCTGCTGGCCATCCAGAGTAGTTAGTATCTTAGATAACTAATGTGGTTTTGCACGGAGGTACTATTATGCACTCACTGCACAGTGATACGGTCAAGCTGGCCATTGTATGAACGCCCATCATATGTACCATAGGTTACAGCACTGCCTCTACGGACAAAATAGTTCATCTATGTTGGCGGAACGTTGAGGGGTTGATCTGGCCTTTGGACCATTTGACCCTATGGGTTTTGTGGGTTTCTTTCCTAATAAAACGGCCTTTGGCCTTGTCTGCAGGGTTACCGTACCGTATATGGCCGGAATACCTCAGATATATACCTCCTGGGTGGAATATGGCGGCCCAGTTGCGGTAGCGGTTGCCATCACCCGCAAAACCTTTGGTAGGTATAAAGAGTCCCGCCCTCCGTCGTGAAGGACGAAGTCTCCCATAGGATTCCAGAACTAATCTGTGGACGCGAAGCTAACCAGTTGATACACTGCCAATGGATCCAGATTTGAATCAAAGGAAAGAGACATTGCCGGACACTATGGGATTCCCTTGGCCCCAAGTCACTACCATCTTCACGATGAAGCTGGGAAATTTTCGGTTGACATTCAAGCGTGATCGTCCAACATTGTCCCTAGACGATGTACTCGTGACGCCTACTCCCGAAGAAGTCTGGGATCATCGTTCTCCTTTAAAATACTTCAAATACCGAGTTCCGGAACGAAAACTACCAAACCCCCCCCTCAATCGGTGGTTGACTGTGGACGCGGAGCGCCTTCATCGATTCCTATTCTGGCCCCTCGTGCAAGTCTATGGGGCAAAGGACCGTGTCCAAACAGTGTTAGAGCCCGAGTTCAGGTGTTCAGAGAATTCGCGGAACGCTGGAGATTCCTACAAGGGGAAGCCCGGAAGAGGAAGATTACATCAGAAAGACTGTGAGAATTTCCGACACAAATTCATCCTGGAATGTTTCCGGCCAGCTAATGTTATGGGGATACCCGTACAGACAGTGATATACCTGATCAATTATTGGATTATGTCGATGATTGTTCGCGCGGAATATGAGGAAGGCTGCATATTGACGACGAATATGGCGGACAAGGAGAGAAGGATCGTCGGGTACTGGATGACTATGGCATCCTAAGGGCTGTCGCACCAGATACAGACGGGAAACACGCGCTGCAGTGGCGCTGGGACCGAGAACGGAAAGAAGACGGATGCCATGTCATGCCAGAGTACATGTACTACGAGCGGCTGGGCATTACAGCCAGAATGCATGAAAAGATGAACAAGATTTCAATCAAAGAGCCCGCCAAAAAGGAATGGAAAACACCAGGAATCAGACCGTGGGATCCCCCAAGGCCGCCTTAGGTTTGATAGCAGTGCGTCGAGTTGGAGGGAAAGCAGACAATCCTTCGGACATATGCAGCGCTCGCTTACGCTGCTGCCGTGCGAACTGGTGGAGAAAGGAGACAGACATGCGAGCCGGCCAAAGCTGTCTCAAATGGTGTGAGCTAGAATCGTGAAAGTCATTTGAATCACCTTATGCATGGTAGCTGAAATGAGATTTGCTTAACATGGAAAGGGTAGTAGCCGTAGGTGAAAGTAGATGACTCGTCTCAAAATTGATCTTGTATATCAAACTCGCGATGTGAAACGACACGGCGGCGTTTCATTGTCGGGACTCATTGTTTGGACTGAACAACGATCCATGCGAAGCAGCATCCGGGTGGAAGAAATTGATTACCCTTCGCCTTCGACGTGTACCTCCAGCCGACTAAAACAGAGACTCGTATCGGCTCCTTAAATTAAAGAGAATATAAAGGGGGAACGCTATAACTTAAAGAAAAGTAATAGGAGGCGAAAGTAGGTAACGATTAAGGGTTCTCGAATCTCGACGCTCTGGGGGTATGCTTGAGGAGACAGGGCCATCAATTTCTCCCTTCCCATGCAGTAAACACTACAGCTAAAGACTGAACGACAAATATAGACTCAAGTTCTGCAAAGGATGAAGCGGTACGGTAAACATGAATGCTGGGAACATCTCTAGGGGTGTCAGAAAACGAAGTAACTTGATAGCGACCCTGTGATCCGCCTCACGACTCGGAAAACCTTGAAATGATATATTGTGACAAGGTGAAGGCGCAGGAGTCTTCCCACTTCATGCGGGAGAACGAGATGCATGAACATTGACCAGAAGCTAGGATAAAGGCAGCTTATCGGTAATCCTAAAATACCCTCAGCTGTAGAGGAGGGAAAAATGCAGCTTATTAGCCAAGATGTCATCGAAGCAATAAGCACCGATATTTCTCCAGTATCTTGTCCGACCCTCCTGATCCTGGGATATCTGAAAACAGCCCATACCCACGAGATTACCCGATCCTCCTTCTCTTTGATTTAGGACATCTATTTGGTTCAATGATCAGACTTCCTGTCGCTTGACATGTAGTCGCGTTAGATGAGGTCTGGAAGAGTAGAGAGGGTAGGGACAATAGCTACCTAAGGCCCGGTAGATACATCCCGCTTCTACAGTCATATAAAGGTATACTCCTGTGCTCCCTAGAGACCTAGAATCCTTCATTTCCTTCTCATGTTTACCATCAAACAGCTCACCGCCGCCACGGATCTGAAACCCACCAACACCGCAGGCCTCGTCCGGAAACAGCCAGATATATATTGCCATACCTTCCAGGTATCTCATTTCTGTTTTCTGTCAGCAATAAACAAATACAGTATGTCCACCGCTACGTATCTAACGCACCACCCTTGCTTATAAGACTCTTACCGGATCAGCTAACGATTATAGAGACAACAACAATCACCACCACCATCACTACCGCCGCAATGCTGCCGCATGCGACCGTCGAAACCGTGACTGAAACGACGATAGAGAACACGGTCGAAGCCGTGACTAGAATAGTGGGGGAAATTGGGCCGGGCGCCGCGGTCGCCAGCTCTCTCGCCGCCGCCGATGCCCTCGCCCCTAAAACTAAATGGGCGATGTGGAGGCGCTGGCGCGGGAAGAGGCGCCCAGGGAGGGAACCCGACGGAGAGAATACCGACGAGGAGGGGGAATTCGACGGCTATGGGTTTGTCAGTGGAAGTATGTCAGCCTCTAAATCAAATGAAGATGCACTTTACTTGTCATGAATGGCAAAATCTCAGATTCATACTTCCACTATGATGGCCACAGACTGAATGGAAACTGTACATGCATCGAACTTTGACACGTCGGATAACACGAAGCACCATCCGTTGTGGACAAAATAGATGGCCCTGATGTTACACGTCAGAGCACGAATTCCCCTTCCCGCTCCCTGACACTAAGGATGGAGAAATTGATGATCCAGTGACCCCACGTCACCGCCCTAGGTAGAGCCATTATTACTCTTCCAGTAGCTCGGCAGATTTAATTCTTTTCTAGCCTCATGTACGCTGGAGGAGTGCGTCAAAGTCGCCTGCTCATCGATTTCATCACCTCGCGGTACATTGATCAACGTGCAGGTGTAGGAATCATGCGGTCGAAGAGCTTGCGGATATGCTTCCATATGGAGGAATACTGGCAATTAATACTGTCATCGCTCTGGTATTGGACCTAAGGTGCCGTCTTATGCGGAAGAGATCTAGTGATGGGGCGGCTGTGAAGTGCAAACCGTTCGGTCGTGTTCCGACGGTTGATAGATTTCCCCGGGCTGGAAATCTGTCAAGCTGTTGGCGGTTTTCTATTCCCTCATCGCGCTTGGAGAATGTGTAAAATCGTCTGCTACCGTGTCAGCGCTTTGCGATCCTGGGTATTCAAGCGCCGTACGAGCGGCTTATGGTACTCACATGAAGAGCTAAAGAGGAAGCACAAACGAGAGATGGAACAGATTTGTGAGAACCACTTGGCGACTGAACTACGAGATGTGACAAACCGAACGTATCCAAGACAAACAAATGATGCCCAGGGAGCGATATGAATAAATAGGTTGCTGCAGGAACCTTGCATATGGTGATTTAGAGATGTACTTCTAGCAGACGTAGAATTCAATATATCTCTAAATGAAAAGGATAAGGCATGTACACGCGATGCTACTGTTATTGGTAGCAGAAACGAGAATACACGTATATAGCTCCTCTCGAAGCCCGGACACAATCCTCACGGTTCAATGTTGCTTATTGTGAGTGTGTAGCCATAAGTGGTAACCCCCAGTGCCTCGAAAGTCGAAAGTCATCGACATCGACTAGTCAGACATTCAAGCATGCAGGTCGCCAGCCGCCACTACTAAAAGCTTAACCGCTCCCCTAACTTCACCCCTTTTCCAAACCTCGAACCCATCAGCAGTCCCGCGCCATTTCCAAACCACCGCCGTGCAACCCGCATTCTCAAATCATCCAGCCAGCCAATCGCGTCCCACCGCCTCCCGACGCGTCTCATCCAGCTTCTGCGGACCCCACGCGACACAAGCTGGACAAGGCGGCCGGGGGTTCCGTCTGACCGCGATCGCCAGACACAACGGCTCGAAAATACGGAAGATAGGACGCAGATCCGATTGGGTTTTGCGGGGACGATTCGCGACTTAGGGCGGGAGAGATGATAGAAATGCCCCCTAGGCGCCACCGACCTCGTATCGACTATCGAAAACGAGATAGGCTCTCGCCGGGTTAGCGTGTCGAGATGTCGATGAGGCGGATCCTTGGGCTGAGGGCATTTGTTTCCTAGTTAGTGAACGGTGGTAGAAAAGGGAGAAGTGAGGAACGTAGCCGCGTTGACTTGATTACTTCCGGCGGCAGGACTTGGGGATTCCCCGTTTCCGTATGAATGTCACACGAACTTTGCATTTCTCAAATTGGTGAGGATGGTGGTCGTCGGACAGGGTCGATGAGAGGACGTTGTCGAGTCTGGAGCCTCATCCTGTGCGACATTGGATAGGGGAATTGAACCCTCAACACTACCTATATGCGCTCCATGCAGAGTCTTAAAGATACTCGTAGCCTTTGACTATTATCATATTCGGCAAAACTATTAGTGGACGCATAGGCACAGTGGTGGTATCATCCCTGGCATCGTCCCCCCTGAGAAATGGAACCGGGCCTTCATTAAGAGTCCTTGTGCCCTCATTAAAGGCAGAGAATTAGTGTAGACATTTATATCTTTTTATTTTTCTTCATCTCTATCTAATTGAAGGGTGTCCAAACCCAGCCGTTCTTTAGGGGCATCGTTTTGGCCTTGCTCTTTTCGCAGTGCATTATCTAATATTCTACCGAGCATTCTCTAGAATTGTCATTGATAGTCGACATTCCGACGATATTCAGAACGAAATTCAGAACGAAAGAAACAATAACTTTATAATTCTTAATCAGACCAGAAATCCAGGGACACATCGACTGTGTCTTTTGAAGGAACCTTCGCAATGGTGTCGACACTTACAATTCCGTCGATGCAAAGGGGGGGAGAGGTCATTCACAGATCCAATTCACCAACAGCATGTAGCAATTTTCGACCGAGTCCAGCGCGTGGATATCTCCCACCACTGCCAGCCATTATTTTTGGTAATTTTTCTCCTATAAAGGATCCAATCCTTTCAACGTCATCCACATCGTCAACAAATCGGAAATTCGAATCAACCCAGCGCCTTCCAAGTCTCTCAGCCATCGCCTCACTCGCCGGAACATCAGCTTCACCATTGGCTTATCCACACTTAAATCGGTAAGTGATCATCGCCACTCAGAACCATCAATTATCCACCTCGTCTCCGAATTTGGATTGGCGGGCCTCAAAAGTTGTCAGGGAATTGTCCATTTAACAATGCAATGGTTGTTGATCGTCATCATCCCTGCCAGGAGAAGACAGATGTTCATGATTAATTATTAACTATCACCATGAGTTATCTGATCGAGACCTTGCCCATCAGCTCGAGTCTTGGCATCGTCTTATCTCCCTTCCCAAAATAATTCAACATTCTAACTCCCTTTCCTTATCTTCAGGCCATTCAATATTCAAGCAAAGATGAGCTTTGCGACATCCCCGGCTGCAACGGCGGTGGGCGGTATGAGCACAGAGCCGGTACGTTCTCTGTTCCCTTCCAATGCGTCATGCCGTCGACGCGACGCGCCTTCCCGCGATCCCTTATCGATAGGGAGACGATCGTCAAATTTCTAATGCCTGAGCCGAACTGACTGTTTCGCAACCAGCCCATTTGCTCGAATTGCCAGACCAAAGTGTCTCCTCTCTGGCGACGGGATGACCAGGGAGCGTTTCTCTGCAACGCTTGCGGATTATATCTCAAGCTGCACGGAAAGTCGCGTCCCCTGAATCTGAAGACGGATGTAATCAAAAGCCGGAATCGCGTTAAGCCAACCGGCCAGAAGCGAAAGGTTCGTCCATCCCATCCCATCATCCCCAACCACGCGATATCCAGATCCAACCCTAACCGTGACCTCCAGCTTAGCGACCCAAACGGTCCCGCACCCTCATCCACCCACTCCACCCCCCGCACCGACACGCGGCCCGATGTGCGCAAATTCCCCTCTGCCTTCTCCGACCGCTCCGGCTCGCCTATCTCCCGCACTACCACCCCGGGCCTCCACCACCCATCCGCCCACATCGCACCCCAACACCTCTTCGACGCCGCCACCCTGAACAACCATGCCTTCCCCGCCAGTGACCATCCCCGCCCTCGATCGCCCGGCGACGGCGCGGCCGCAACCCCTGGGGATACCTACCCCTCGTACGAATACCTATCGGCATCAAACACTACCTTGCGCATCCGAGTGAATGAGCTGGAGGTGATCAACGGGTTGTTTGGCAGCCGGATCGAGCAACTGGAGGCGAACGAGGTGGGGTTGCGGGAGAGGTTGACGGAGCAGGAGGAGTCGGCGGATGCGATGGATAGGATGGTGAAGGCTTTGGAGAAGGCGCAGGCGAGAGTGCGGGCGGCGGAGAACGAGGTGGAGCGGTTGAAGAAGATGGGAAGGGAGATTGGGAAGAAGATGGGGGAGCTGGATGGGGAGGAGGCTGTGATGGAGGATGTGATGGAGAATAATGAAGAGCGGGAAGATGGGGTAGATGGCCCGGAGACGGTGGCGGAGGTCGAGGAGAAGACCGATGCCAACGAGGCCTAAATTCCACACTGCAGCGGCACACCGTTTGGTCTCGACACGACCCCCGTGGATCGGATCAAAAGCCACTCCCGACTGACCGTCTCGACGTCTACGATGCTTTACTTGAAGAAAACGGCGACCGAACTCGATCCATGTCGCACTAAGGCGGCATGCAGGCACACACTGGCGCCAAAAGTAGCTCTGTTTGACTCTTCATCACACTTTTTATGACCTGAGGAGATATGGGATGTACGATATCATGGGATTGTCTACTTTTGTACGAGCTTGGGTTTATATTGGAGTTTTGGACTGGCATAAGGAGGGACACATGATACCAATATGGAGTGGATGGTTTGTTTGTTTGCTTATTTATCTGTTTGATCAAGGGTGGCTTCGGTTTGGGATATTCAGGTGCAAAATTGAATATTAGTTTGATGTTGTGATGTGAGTGATATGGGAGTATTTATATGTTTGAGTCTCTTTTATCCAAGTTAGCAACTGGACACATTGATGCAGAGAGGATGGACATGCTATCTAAGTTCACGGCTACTGACGTCAAGGCACAATATGTAGCCCTCTACTAATCGACTTGGGCCATTAATCAAGAGGAATTAATGGGATTAGTACGAAGAAGGGCAGACCAATAACAGAAAACATTGCATGGACAACTATATGCGTCTGGTTTATCCATGGAAGTAATAAGAACCTTGAATGATAAACATCTACCCCCTAACCCATTCAACTCACCAGATCTCGACCGAATACACCCAGCGACAATACCCTTCAGCCATCCAGTCATCCAATGCGAAGCAAGTCATCCGAATCTACTCTTATCCTCCCAACCGCCGCCATCGAATCACTCGGATCTCACCTCACGTAGATAGGTAGGTTTCCTTCAGCCCCGCTACTCCACCACATCCAGGGCCACAGACCACGACACCAACCACTCGGATCGATACAAGCGCGATGCGGAGAGTAGGAACATGAAGAGTGTTTATCGAATACCGATGTCAAGAATCCTGTCTGCAGAAGTTTCGGGAAATCCAGGGGCGGGGGAGGGGGTTGTCGACGTCTTTTGTCTATAGAAGGGATTCGGTTGGAATACCTATCGCATCGAGCCTATACCTAGTCGAGACACACGAGAGATGCTAGGAACATCCTATCCCCACCTTTGCGAAACATCCCAGGCAGGCCTATCCGAAACGAAAGACTCGCCCCTACATCAAACCCATCCGCCCTAAATCGCCATTGGTACATCAGCGGTCAGGAACGGACGGCGCTGGCGTCTCGAACAGGTAGCGTTCTTCAACAGCCATCATGCAGGATCTTGGACCAATAGGACGCTGCTGCCGAACCGGTCGGCTAAGAACCGGGAACGAAGGTTACGGTCGTCGAGATGGGGCTGCCGGCCGGGAACTCGGAGCGCATCGGTGGCGTGGCGGTATCTGTACGGCATGATGGGACGGATGTCTGGGGAAAGCGTGTAAGGGATGGGCGGCGGAGGTTGGAAGCAATGTGCGTATCTGGCATCCGACCCGTTTGTTCCTTAGAATCCTAGTGTCGGTGGATTTCAGGTCGAATATCGGACTAGAAGTTGTATACATCCCCTATCGAACATCTGCACTCCCGATGGATGGGATGGTCAGGTCGTCGACACCGTATGGAAGGTGGGGGAGGGGATGTTTGGGCGGATGCGAGAGATTAGACACCCCGGGGTGGACGATGATCGGATTGCGAACTGGATGATTCAATTAATTGAGGAGGGTAGATCTCCGGATGTTGAAGGTGATGCTCAGGATATGATCGCGAGACGCTGGGCGGGCGAGGTCCCGTCCAGTTTAGTCCAGTCCGTGGATGAAGTCGCGCAAGTGATTAAGGAAAGATCGGGTCGCCAACTCTTTTCTCTACGTCCCATCCTACCAATTCTTGCTATTTCCTTCGAGAACCCCAAGACCGATGTCGTGGGATAAGTCGGAAGTATGGTGGTCTTTGGAGCTCTATCCTGATGAGCGACGAGCATCCCGTATCGCGTCCCTTACCTTGGCCGTCGTTTGGGAGTTGAGGGTATTAGGGACAGCTTCTCTGTCTGTGACATGGCTTCGACCGGCCCCTGAATGTTGTAGAAAGACATGCCCATCGCTGGAGACTCATTGCAGTATTTCCACGCCCCCTCTTCCACTGTGTGGTATAGTCGCAGTGTACGTTGTGCCAATTTCCGGGCTAAGGACTATTCACACACTGTGCCTCTATATAACCAGGGGTTACGTTTGTGAGAGTGGGGATAGGGCGAGATTGGATATTTCCCTGAGTAGGTCTGGCAGTAGAGCTGACCGTGGAGTGTTGTGAAGACGTGGGTATGATTGTGGCTGACGAGTGACGACCTTGGAAAATCCGAACTGCAGTGCAGAGTACATAATAGGGAAATAAGGTCTGTACCGGTCGTTTCCAACCCTCTCGAGGTGTTTCTCCTTCCCTAGCACGGAGACAATGGGATATTCCTACCAAGTCGTTTGCTCATATCGAGACCTGCAATTCGAGCTACCATACGACTCCGTATCAAGTAATCATCCCCGAGATTCCCCGAGCCATACCTACCCAGTCCCAAGCCTAGCACCAAGTTTGATGACCGTCAACCCCTCAACCGCCCCCCCCGGCATCCTGTCGTGGCCCTCCAATCCATCTGGCGGTGTTCGAGGTGTGATGTCCACGTGTGCAACGCGCAGGATCCGGTTTGACCGGCTACATCGGGCGATCCGAGCTGGGCGAGTAAGTCACCGAACCACGGTACGATATTATTAGCGCTTTCGGGGAGCGGCTGAATCGTGGGGGCGGCATCTGCATTCGGGGTTCGGGGCCCGAGAGTAGGGTTCGAGACGTTCAACTGCGGTTGGAGGTTAAGGGCAAATCCAAGGTCTCGAATTTCGATGGTTAAGGGACTTCAATGTAGAGTGGATCAGAGGCAGCCAAATCTGGGGTGGGTGGCGTTGATGAGCCGAACCAGAGAAGCAATGCAGGGGAAGGGGCTGACTTTCCAACTAATTTGCTGGTCTTTGGAGGGTGAGAAGTTTCCACCGATACTTTCGTTGCGTCAAGGAGATAAGTCACGGATCGAGGCAATCTTTACGATACGGAACCTCGGAGCGAGGCGACTGTAGGTTGGTGGTTTGTTAGTCTGCGACAGATGGACCAGGTCTGGACTCTGGATGGTCGACCATTGGGGTTGGCAGGAAGATGGGGAAGCTGGCATGTGGCTGGACATCTCTTTCCCATGGATTGATGGATCTGGAAATTGAGCTATGGGGGGAGGACTTGAGAGAAGGGCCATTTTCTTTGTTTTGTATTAACTAGATTAGTTAATAAGGTTTAACTTAGTTAGTTTATGTGGGATGACCTTATTAGAGACATCAACATGAAATGTGAAGGGGCCAAGGGGAAGGGGCTGAGGCAACAAGGCATATGAGGCAACAATAATCCCTATCACATTGGGTTGGGCTCTCCAACACTTGCGTCCTGCTGTTGGTGAATTCTGGCACGCTCTGCACTTCGTTGCAACCTGTAAGACGACCAATGAATCACGATAATAGACAGAAGGACATGAAAAATCACTGCATGAAATGCCTAAGGCGATGAGGCTGCGGAGGCAAAAATAGATCAAACCCAAACTTTACCAAAGCGTGGACGGTGATTGGCTGAGATGATAGGCATCTCCGATTGTGGAAGGCGAGAAAGCTGGCAGAATTGTCACCGCCTCACAAGGAAGTCACAGCTCTATTTCGTTTCTTGGATCGTATCTCGTCCATTCATTCAGTAATAGGGTCAGATATATGTACCACGGTGCTTGATGTTCTTATAATAACTTGGTGGATCTCGGCGGAGGAGGACATGCCTGATTGCAATATACAATCAACATGAACTCCCATAATTACGCCTTGACTTCGAGACACCAACTCCTAAAATTCCCATTCAATTCACCGCATATCGCTGGATTACCGTCTATCGATAAGCAAGCAGGGACTCCCACATCCACGGGCACCAACACCCCCAACTGCCCAACAACCACCAACAAGGCTTGGTCACCGACTTGAGTAGCGCTGGAGGTGAATAATCTCCAATCTGGTTGGATGACCCCTGGTTAGCCCGCCCAAGTCCCTCCCACCACCAAATCCCGAAATTCCGCTGGATTCCGCACGGACCACACACCGCCAGGAAATTTCTGTGCCCAAATTTCTTTGGAGGGGATTTTTCTGGTTGAAATTTTTGAGAAAAGTGAAATTCCACTCTTTCTGCGGCTTTGCCAGATTCTCAGTGGCATATTATCAGCCCTCTCCCTCTCCTCCCCCAGATCTTACTTTTTTACTTTCTCTCTCACTCTCCCACTTCTTCCTTCAAACCCTCCATCCCTCTCCACTCAGTCCATTCTTGGATTTTTCTTCTTCCTTATTCCCCATCTTCTCTGGGAATTTCTTATCTGCCGCTTAGACCGTGTGGTTGTTGGTAACCGCACACTGAGATACCCTAGAAGTCGAAATAGAGGATTTCCCTTGCAGACTTGAGCAGAACTTCGTGTCTAACGACATCCTTAATTCGATTTCGAGTTACCAAAACCTCCCACAACCATCACCATGCCTTCCGTCGCACCCCAACAAGCCGCCCAGGCTTCGGAAAACAAGAAGTCGTTCAAGGTCCTCGAGGATCTCTTTGCCAAACTCAGCGTGGCAAAGGCTCAGGACGAAATCAACGCTTCAACCATCAACATCGCCACCTTCATCAACGGTGATATCGAGGAAGCCGATGTTCCTACTAAGTAAGTTGTGCTCAAAGAATCATTCCGAATTCAATCTAATCATCCCAGGTTCATCGATCACCTCAAGAAGGGCCTCGCCAACAAGAAGGATGCTCTCGCCAGAGAGCGATCGCTCGATGCCGTCAAGGCCATCGCAGCTCACTCCACCGTCTCGGCCGCTGTCGAGCCGTACCTCGTCAACATCCTCCCACAAGTCCTCGCTGCCATCGGCGATAAGATCGTTCCGGTCAAGAACGCCGCTCAAGCCGCGGCCCTCGCCATCGTCGAGGCTTCCAACGCCAACGCCGTCAAGGCCGTCCTCCCCCCCATTCTGCACTCACTCCGCACCGCACAAAAGTGGCCGGAGAAGATGACCGATCTGCAGTGCATCGAGCTCCTCTGCAAAAATGCCGCGGCGCAGACCGCCTATCGCGTTCCTGACCTCATCCCCGTCATCTCCGAGGCCATGTGGGACACCAAGCCCGAAGTCAAGAAGGCGGCCTACGGCACCATGGAGAAAGTCTGCGCCTTGATCGTCAACAAGGATATCGACCGCTTCATTCCCGAGCTCATCAAGTGTATCGCCAAGCCAGAGAACGTCCCCGAGACCGTTCACTTGCTCGGTGCCACCACCTTCGTCACCGAGGTTCGGGAGCCGACCTTGGCCATCATGGTCCCGCTTCTCGAGCGTGGTCTTGTCGAGCGGGAGACTGCCATCAAGCGTAAAACCGCCGTTATCATCGACAATATGTGCAAGCTTGTCGAAGATCCGCAGATCGTCGCGGCCTTCCTGCCAAAGCTGATGCCCGCGCTCGAGAAGAACTACGGCACCCTCGCCGACCCCGAGGCCCGTGAAAAGACCAAGCAGGGTCTCGACACCATCGTCCGTGTCGGTGACGTCAAGGATGGCAAGATCCCTGAGATCTCCAAGTCCGGTGACATCTCCACCATCTCCGCCATCCTCAAGGACATCCTCTCCGCTAGCCACAAGGAGACCACCGCCGCCAAGTGGGCCCCCATGATCGAGTACATCGCCGCCATCGGTGGCCAGCTCGTCGACGAGAAGGACACAGACTCGCACTCATGGAGCGCCAACTCCATTCCCTTCATCACCGCCATGATCGGCGACGACAATGCCAAGAGCGTCGCCGAAACGCTCCGCAAGCGGGCATCACCCGGTGCTGCTGACGCGGACGAGGTCCCCTCGGACGAAGAGGAGGGCGAGGATCTCTGCAACTGCACGTTCAGCTTGGCGTACGGTGCCAAGATCCTGCTCAACCAGACGCATCTGCGTCTGAAGCGTGGCGAGCGATACGGTCTGCTGGGCCCCAACGGCTCGGGTAAGACGACGCTGATGCGCGCCATCAACAACGAGCAGCTGGATGGCTTCCCCAAGCAGGACGAGGTCAAGACCGTGTACATCGAGCACGACTTGGATTCGGCGGACACGGAGATGCCGGTCATCGACTGGACGGTCATGAAGCTGAACGAGGCCAAGGTTGATATTACCCGGGAGAAGGTCCGCGATCAGTTGAAGGAGTTCGGTTTCAACGATGACATGATGAACGGCTACATTGGCGCTCTGTCCGGTGGATGGAAGATGAAGTTGGCGCTGTGCCGTGCTGTCTTCCAGCAGCCCGATATCCTGCTCCTTGACGAACCGACCAATCACATGGACGTCAAGAACGTGGCATGGCTCGAGGACTACCTGAAGAACAGCAAGTGCACATCGATTGTCATTTCTCACGACAGCCGTTTCCTCGACAACGTCATCCAGCATGTCATCCACTACGAGCGCTTCAAGCTGAAGCGTTACCGTGGCAAGCTCTCCGACTTCGTCAAGAAGGTCCCGTCCGCGCGATCCTACTACGAGCTCGGTGCTAGCGAGATGGAGTTCAAGTTCCCCGAGCCCGGTTTCCTCGAGGGTGTCAAGACCAAGGCCAAGGCCATCGTCCGTGTCAGCAACATGACGTTCCAATACCCCGGCACCCCGGCGCCGCAGCTCACCAATATCTCCTTCCAATGCTCGCTCGGCTCCCGTATCGCGGTCATCGGTCCCAACGGCGCCGGTAAATCCACCCTCGTCAACGTCCTGACCGGTGAGCTCCTCCCCACCACCGGCGAGGTGTACCACCACGAGAACATCCGTATCGCGTACATCAAGCAGCACGCGTTCGCGCACATCGACCACCATCTCGACAAGACCCCCTCCGAGTACATCCAGTGGCGCTTCCAGACCGGCGAGGACCGCGAGACCATGGACCGTGCCAACAAGATCATCACGGAGGAGGACGAGAAGGCCATGGACCGCATCTACATTATCAACGACTCCCAGCGCCGTATCCTTGGCGTGCACTCCCGCCGCAAGTTCAAGAACAGCTACGAGTATGAGTGCTCCTTCAGCCTCGGCGACAACGTCGGCATGAAGAACGAGAAGTGGACCCCCATGATGACTGCCGACAACGAGTGGATCCCCCGCTCCGAAATCATCCAGTCCCATGCCAAGCTCGTCGCCGAGGTCGATCAGAAGGAGGCCCTCGCCTCCGGCCAATTCCGCCCGCTCATCCGCAAGGAGATCGAGGCCCACTGCGCCAACTTCGGCCTCGACGCCGAGCTCGTCTCCCATTCCCGCATGGTCGGCCTCTCGGGCGGCCAGCGCGTGCGTGCCGTGCTCTCCGCGTGCTCATGGCAGCGACCCCATCTCCTCGTCCTTGACGAACCGACCAATTACCTCGACCGTGACTCCCTCGGCGCGCTGTCCAAGGCGCTGCGCACCTTCGAAGGTGGTGTCATCGTGATCACGCATAACAGCGAGTTCACTAAGGAGATCACCGAGGAGGTGTGGGCCGTGCAGGCGGGCACGATGACGCCGTCGGGTCACAACTGGGTGACGGGGCAGGGGGCCGGTCCGCGTCTGGACAAGAAGGATGACGACGAGGAGGAGAAGTTCGATGCGATGGGGAACAAGATCGAGAGCAGCAAGAAGAAGAAGAAGTTGACGAGCAACGAGGCGCGGAAGGCGAAGAAGGATCGCATGAAGCGAAGGAAGGCTGGTGAAGGTGTGTTCCCTTTCCGTTGACAATTCATGACTATCATACTGACTATCTCCCCACAGAAGTCTTCAGCGACGAGGAGTAAACCTCCCCTCCATCTATGTCGCCCCCAAAAAGTCGATTTGGATCCCCATAAACCCCTCGACACCCCAACCCCAACTGGCGCAAAAAGTTCTCCCTTGACGCATACATTGATTGATGGCTCGCCCACGAAAAATGAACTTTGGGTTATTTTCTTCGTTTTTCCTTTTCGTTTTCCGGGTTTTTTGATGAGTAGCCTTCCCTACCATCATCTTGCGTCTTGTTTGCTCGCTTCGCTTCGTATGCGATGAGGGAGATGGATTCGAGAGAGAATGCATGATGGGTGCGTTCGGGTGGATAGATCCGGAATAGAAGAGACTTTTCTTAGGAAATAGAATTCTCGTTATTTTAATGGGTGTCTCCATTGTTGATCTGATTCATGTGTCTATCGTGATGTGAGGTTCGAAGAAACGCCATCCCCATCCCGTGTTGACGGCGATGACACTGCGCTCTTACGCCCTTCACCCAACGCCAACCTGCGTTATACCAATCTACCGCACCAGAGTGAACGGAACATCGACGCCATTCTTCCTTCTCGTACGTCCTCGTAAATCCCCATCGACAACCATCCAAACCCACCACGCACAGCACAACTTCGCCTCGCCCCGTCCGCTTCAAACACCATCATCTCAACCCTACGATACTCCCCCCCGCTTCTTCTCCATCAACACCCCCAGCAACCAGTCATCCCATCCCCTCATATCATCCCCCCTCCTCATCCCTTAACCTCCTCCCCTATCTCAAACACTCGTCCACGAATCAGTTCCCCACCCCACCTAGGTCTGCCGGCGCAGTTCCCTTTCCTACCGTTCATCAGGGATGGAGGAAATGGACTGAGGGATAGAGGCGGCGGTTGGCTGGGGCTGCGGATGGGAGATGATTGGATACCATATCACATCGTAGTTGGAGGGGAGGGTACGGTGGGAGAGGGAAAGGAGCGGGCGGGAGGTTTCTCGTTTTGCTGGACGAGAGTTTTCATGGGTCGACATTTTGCGAGGTTCGATGTTCGATGTTCGAAAATGGTATAGTTGCTGGTATGATGGAGCCTAGATGAGAAGAAGGGCTCTTTTGAACTGTATGACTGCATGTACCTGCTCGTATATTGTGCGGATATGCCTGAAGGCATTCCTGGTAGATATCTTGCTACTGTATATCTAGAACTGTCCATAGTTACCTGTAAATTCTAAGCTCTTTAATGCACCCTTACTTTCGACCGATCTTCTTAATCCATTGGAAGCTGTTCTAGCTGTCTAACGAAGGTCAGACAAACAGTCACACGATGTATCCTCCCCAGATCGTTCTGCCCCCTTCCTTCAACCCCTGAAACACCTCTAACCTACCCTCAGCAACACCGCCGAGATGTTCTGATGGCGCTACAATTAGGTCTCGATAGCATTCCACAGCGCTCCATATGGCCAGGACCAAATGTACCTAAGTAGTTCCCAGGATCTTCTGCCAACAGCCCTCTTTAGGACGTGGTTTGGTTTCTTACTGTCATCCACCACAACGCAGACGCATATAAGTTTCAGACCGACCTCCCCAGGTATACATCCACGCCACCTATGTTTCGACGACAACAACAGGAACCAGAGTCATCGCCATCTACCCTTATTTCTTCTGCCATCGCCATCATCGTCAAGCGGTGACATGTCTTCCTAGATCGAGAGCCATCGGAGAGCAGATGATCCGAATTCCAGGGGAGACGATCAGCGGGAGTAATCGTATTTTGCTGGCGGTTGGGGATTTTGGGAGTGGATTGCTGGATAGGAGAGGCTTGGATTGGAGTTGGGTGGGACGAGGAGAGACTGCGTGGGAGGATCACGATGGTGCTAGGATATCATGTGGATGGGATGCTGGAATCTCTAGTGGGATGGGTGAGGTTCGTTAGGGTGAAGATACGGGTACTGGTGTCGATCACGCGAGTGAGTGGACCTAACTAAAACGACGCACACATCTCTTCTAAAACTCGGATGGGAAATAATGGAATAATGGATCTTAAGGGTGCATGCGTGAAGTCGTGGATTTTGCATCTGCATCTGCATTGCTATCTGAGTCTATCCACTTTCAGACACCTCAGAATAAGTACCATCCGGTGCGGAGATCGAATACCAACCATCCAGCTTAGGCTAGAGGGGAATCGGTCTTCCACCCGGACGGACTATGTACGTATCCCCATTACAAGCGTGATCAACCATACGTCGTCCCTCGTTACAAAGGAAACAATTGGATACGGTATTGTACTGCACGAGCAAAACGATTGACGAACCCTCATAATCATTTCCATCTTCCGATCATCGTATCCATATCTACTTGAAGACCTTGCCGTCCGAGTGCGCGTACGTCTGGCCGTTCGCCTCAATCGGCTTGTCCCACGCCCACATGTCGTCGACGAACTCCCGATCCTCCGGCTTGGAGGGGTCGAGCTTGGTGAACTCGTAGCTCTCGTAATCCGGAGCGACGTCGAAGGCCGGGAGGGCCTCTTGGCCGCGGACGACGAAGGCGCCGCGGATGATGGAGTTGTTGGTCTCGCCGTAGACGGAGGCGGCGCCGAAGAGGTACTTGCGGGAAGCCTCGAGACGGTTGAAGAAACCACCTGGGACGGTTAGCTTGGGAAGACTACATTGATGCGGACAACCTACCGACGAGGTTGTTTGACATGAAGGTCATGGTCAGCTCATCGTTGTACTTGTAGTCAACTCTCCAGATGGAGTACTCGTCGAACTTCATGTTCTCCCAGAACCACGGAAGGGCAACCTCACGAGTCTCCTCGTTCGAGTATTTCCGCTTCCAGTCATCGAGAGCGAAGGTTGCTCGGCCTAGCTCTTCGATGGGATGCTTGGGCTTCGGTGCAGGAGGGGCGTCCTCCTCCTCAACCTGCTTTGGAGCGGCCTTCTTCGGTTGCTCCTTCTTCTCCTTGGCCGGAGCGGGCTCCTTCTTCGGTGGCTGGTTGGGCAGCGCGGTCTCGATGAACACGAACTCGGGGGACACCTCGGAGAACGCGGGCTGGTTGTAGACGGTCTCATACCAGCGGGTCAGGTTGGGGTGCTGCTCCCGGAACTTCTTGTCGAAGAAGTTCTGGAAGCCGCGGAGGAGGCAGCCGGTGACGAAGAGGTCGGCCAGGGTGAGGCGGTCGCCGACGAGGTAGGTGTTGATGAGGAGATGGCTGTCGAGGACCTGCATCCGCTTCAGCGTAGCGGCCTGGGCCTCGTCGACGACTTTCTTGTTGAACGGCGCACGGCCGATGATGGGGAGCCACCAGTTGCCGAGCTGTGGGAGGACCTCGCCGTTGGCGAAGGACATCCATCGCAAGATGGAGGCATAGTCCTGCTTGGTCTTTCCGAGGAGAGTGGTCTTCTCGTTTTGGGAGGTGACTAGCAGGTGTTAGAGCAATCCTCATCAAACAGGCGAAAAATGGGTGAGAGATGTGCTTGGCGTTCAGAGTGTGAATGGGTTTCAACAGGGTTTGAAAAAGTTACTTTTCAGACAGGGATAACTAGATCATCATGTTGCCAGTGTGCGAAGGAAATTTGTAGGACGTACTATAGATGGCGATGGCGATGCACTCCGACAGAATGTAGCCGTCCGATCCAACGAAGGTCGGGATCTTGCCAAGCCTGTTGAGCTTCAAGTAATCGGCAGAAGCATCTGGGCCGGGAACGATGTCAACAATCTCGAGATCGAGGTTGTTGAGCTTCGCGACGGCACGGATGGCCGTTGAACGGACGTTGCCCTGCAAGGTGGCGTGTCAGAAGAAAATTGATAGGCGGAAAAAAGACGACAAAGTTGGACTTACGTCGGCCTTGGTGTAGAGTTTTCCGAAAGACATGATGGATAAAGCTTACGTCTCTGGATTTAAAGTGGTGTAGAGGGAGGGAGAGAGAAAAGGGAGGAGAGAGTGAAGGAGAGAATGAAGCGATGAAGCAAAGGAAGTTGTGTGCAGAGATAATTGAGAGGAATTGAGTCATGAGAAATTTCGGTGGGAAAAATGGTCGGCCCGCACGTGATCCCTGCAATTTCTTCCTCAATTTCTTCTGCTCAGGCATCAACTTTGGTTGCTCCATGTCCAAACTGCTCTCCGAACTGCAGTGCTCTCTAAACTGGCCTCTCATCTGGACATATTCCTGCTGCACAACTACATCAACATCCGTTGCATTCTAATATGGATGCTTTGCGTTTACCCGTTCGATTAAAAAGGCCTTTTTGCGCTGCATTGCCTAAATCCCGGGCGGTTCACTTACATAGGAATGGAAGTACCACCCTCCCTTTCGGTGAAACCGTTCGATCAGTGTCGACATCAACTTCCGAGCTTCAAACCTCCATTGGGACTCCTCTTGTCCCCTATCGCAATGAGGAAGGTGGTTATACCCTTCCCAGAGAGGCTCGAGTGAGGATCGTGCCCGCTTCTCCCTCCTACTTCACCGGACGACCCAACTTCACCGACCACCTCCTCTCCCTCCAAGACCTTCTCCGCAGAAACGAGCTGCTTCCCACCGTACCACCTGGACAAGCGCCGCGAACCGCATGGAGAACGTTGACCGAGTACAAGGAAGGCGTTTCAGAACCCGTCAAATCGGCAGGGTACACCAAGATCCTCTCCATCCTCAACCGGCTGAACCATATCAATCCATCCCTGATGCCATCCGAGGTGCGCGAGGTGATCGAGACATACAAGCGGAAAGTATCGCCCTTCGACAATGTCCCCAACCCGCACGCCCTGGACTCCTGGGGACGAGGACTGGGCGTTGGCAGGAGGAAGACCGCATCAGCAAGAGCGTGGGTTGTGGAAGGTGAGGGCGAAGTCATCGTCAATGGAAAATCATTGTCAGAGATGTTCGGGCGCATACATGATCGAGAAAGCGCGGTGTTCGCGCTCAAGGCGACGGAAAGACTCGACCGGTACAATATCTGGGCACTCGTCAAAGGCGGAGGGACGACGGGACAGGCAGAGGCATTGACGTTGGCGGTTGCGAAGGCACTGTTGATACACGAGCCGGGTTTAAAGCCTGCGTTAAGAAGAGGTAAGTGACAGTTTTGATTTCGATGAGGATATTGTCTTGCATCAGGAAGATTGCTTGAGGGCATTTCTTCCGGGTCTGTTGCTCTCCCAGCGCATTCGGCACGCTAGTCATCTCTCAAACCCCCTCAGAAGCTAACTGGTCTCTTCTCAGCCGGTGTTATAACACGCGATGCACGCAAAGTGGAAAGGAAGAAGCCTGGTAAACTGAAGGCTCGGAAAATGCCCGCCTGGGTCAAGCGATAATCAGATACCCCGAATGCGGATTCAATCTCCCTTCCGCTACTTGTTTACCAGTTCTGCGTGTTCTGCATCAACATATCTGCTTGCCAGCCTCGACGCGTCGATTAAGTAAACTACCACGGAATCCAACATATCTTCGCACGGTTTCGCCGTGAGCCGAAGCGTCGCTGTGTCTGAATAATTCCGGATCTACTGATGCAGACTCCGTTTGAGTACGGGGGAACTAGAACGAGCCTTGGAAGCTTCTTGTTAATATCAATATATATTGATATTTCATGGCATCTGATTGGCTCAACAGTTTAATCAACGTCATATATTTTCCCGCCAATGTGGGCCTCTATCACCATTCTCAAACGTTTCCTTTCACGATCCACCACAGCACCGATGATATTCGCTGATGGTCACTCTACGAGGGTTTCCTAGCTTGTCTAATATATATGAAGTCCCGTCACCAAGTCGGAAGTTCCGAGCCTTGCATCATCCACGAGGATGGTCCCAACATCTTCCACGTTGCGTTTCTGTTGAAGCACGCAACCCACCTTGACATTGCCATGGACAGGATGACCACATTTCCGAAGATCCCGATATCTTGGAAACCGGAACCAGGAGGCGGAAGATCCAGGCTTCCATTGTTCACTTGTATTTCCGGTCGTATCTTTCCACAAGTCTCCGGCCTTTCCGTCATATATGCCAACCAGCGTCCGATCCAAGCACTTAATAACTGCCGATTTGATAGGCAATAACTTAGACTTTCTGGTCATACAACAGATCTACGGTACTACGATCAAGTATATTTCACTAATGCACTTCTTGATTACGTATCATCGTAGGATAAAAGCATTGGACGACAAAAATTATTTGGAAATTGGGGGTCAATATCACATTATCGCTTATGCGAGTCATAAAGTGCTGTCACAACGAAGCAATGTGCATCCGCTCGGCCGGATCGTATGGCAATTCTTATATTCCGTATCCGTATATCGGGACATGTCGAACCACCGGCAAAGCGGGCATGGACAAGCAGAAGGAATTGCGAGCAATCAAAAGAGCCCGGAACTGAAACATGAACGGGTAATGCAAGCGTTAATCAACTGAACACCGTATCTCAATATCCATACATTCCGTTCTGGGCATTCGTTGTTTGTAACTGGCCGAGAAACAATTTTCCGTCCGGTACGTACACTTCATGATATTAAACAGCAGGCATGCTTGCTACCAAGACACACCGCGTGGTCAACGACAACGTCATTGCGAAGATTACCGGCCAGGACACCCTTCATACCATCTAGGTCATGGTGTACGGATGGAGGGATATCTAATCCTGCCACTATCGGCGCTGAATGTTCATGTTTACAGCATCAATATCTACTCGTATTCGATGGCGTCGAAGCGAGTCATTGTCTCAATACGAGTTGCTAGTACAGTCAGTAAATCGCAAGTCCTCCCCCGTATGGGTTGAGTTCCCCAGCAAAAAGACGTAATATTATCCTCAATGGTCAACCGTGGAGAACCCCCTGAGTGGTACATATGTGCAGAAATGAATCCCACCTAGAGGCTTGATTGACTGCCTCCCATGAGACTTGCTCGTCAGAATGCCGGCAGTTCTGACATCAAAACTCCATCGCGATGTCGCGAAGTCCAGCGGCACGATCCACCATTAGAATCAACATGTGAGGAGCGGCGGCACAAGCTCCGAACGTAGTAGGATTCAGTTCGTGCACAAACTTTACCATCTCGGATGGTCGGCGTTTCAACGTCGCGACGCTTTGATGGTAATTCTCCCTTGGGAGTTCGGCTCCTTTTGGTTTGGTGACCGCCAGCTCACTATTTCGAGCGAGATCTGCGTCTTTCGAGGCCTGGTTTAGGGAGCGTGAGGTCCGGTCTTGTCGCAATAGCTACGGGATTGGGATTAAAACGCCTGAACTCTGAAGGCTTAGCGGCCGACCTCGAAAACGATGAGCAATTTCGCAGCGCGTCGAAAAGTTTCGAGATGCCAGCCCCACCACGCTTCCGAATCCCTTCTAGAATACTCGAGGACGCCAGGGGGAGATTGAGCGGCGGTTAAGGCTGAAGATCGCAGTGGGCAGACTAGCTTCGAGAAAGACATGAAACTTCTCGAAGGAATCCGGGGATTCGTAGAAGCGTGTTGGCGGATGACGAAGGCAAGACGGATGGACTGGACCTTGTCCTTTAATTTCACGCAGGGTGGCCCGTCCGGTAACGCAATGGTCGTGGGCTCGTGGCGTCGTGCACTCGTGGTGAGGATTAAATTTCACAACAACAGGTTATGTAATCCTGAGTTCCATATGGCGGTCAGCATATGTACCGAATTAATTCAATATCTGGAAAAATATGGAAGACAAGAGTTTAGGAAACGCGGTGGCGAAGTGGTCTTGATCAGAGTGGCGCACTCGAAAGAACCCAAATGAACTGCAGTGCACATGCAATATGGCATCACTCCCCACGAATGGTATTCGAGATTCTCTCGCCAATGAACTGAAGATGTCTATCTCCTCTTTCTCAACAAATTTTAGGCTGACTTGCCCAGGAATGAAGTTGCGTCGACACGATGGGTTAGTGTGCATCGCACTATGGCCGATTGGACCTAGTCCGCTCAACAATCTCGGGTACCTTACATACAGTCGCGTCTTATCGACCTTTCATAATTCGCGATATGCCGAACTAACGAAGGGAAGGTTAGGTTTTGGTCATGTCGGCTTCACCTGACGCAACCGTCTTAGAATGTTGCATCGATTTTAGTTTTGCGGACCGTCGACTGTTTATGCCTTTTGCTCGTGATGGCCCGAACTACCTTACCCAGTACCTTACGGAGTACATCATCCGGACGAAGTCGGCAATTGAGCTGTCAACTGCATGATTGTGAGCCTGTGATTCTCGAGTCTAACCCGAACCCTTGGTATTGCACGCTGTTGTCACAAGTTTACCAGGGTTTCAATTCCAGCCACTCCGATGGAACGAAGTGGACTTCCGACGGAAATGCCATTCGTGTCATTCATGACAAGGAAATGAGAGGGCGACGCTCCGTTTTCCCAATGCGGAAGTTCCGTGGAATCTGAAGAAGTTATTAAGCTTTTCGATTTCAAGGGACCCAGGGAGCGGTCTGCTGCACACACCATTCATATCTCACGTAAAAGATCCATGCGTGTTACAGAATGCCCTGTCCTGGGAGCGAACCGTCTCTTCGGAGAGACGCATCGACCTCGGGAAGCCACGTGAAACGAAGCATGAGAGTCCTTGTCGCGCCCTGGTCTAGGTCCGTCGAGCTGCGTCGTTCGTTGTAGGATGATGGAGCAGCGGGGAGTCCATTTGCTGTCGATAGGCGAAACAGAGTGCCGGAATCTTGGCCTGGAAAAGCGGGCGAGCGATCGGCTGCTAGATGCGCCTCATGAGGCTACGATTGTCGATCTGTTCTCTTAAATCTTACGTCGACATGTTCAACGCGTAATTTCGGAACACCGGAATTTATCTGGATTCAGCGGTTCACAACTGCGGATTGCGTTCGAAGGATCAATGCACTGGACTGCTTTGGAGACTGACAGAGAAACGAAATTGATATCTCCTGGATGCTCAACGGCCCATTCATGACGCACTCTATTCGAATGCAAGGCCCAACATAGCGGCTCGATTTGTCCAAGCAGATGGACGAATGACGCTGGTCCAGTAAATACTTCATATCTTCGTCCTGGTTGCTTGCCCAGAGTGAAAAAGTCAATTTGATGAAACGGGCTATCTATCGGCAAATCATAATATCGGCGATATCGCTATTAGAGGACACACGACAGATGTCCCTCTGAGATATTGTGTCGCGAACTCGAGACAATAATGGAAAAACAAGTATGCAGGCTGCATCTCCAAGGCGCAGAGAGGATTCCCTCTTGAAGACGATGTACGACGATTGAGCTCGCCTCAGCCGTATTCCGCTGCTTTATTTATTGATGCCATCATAATATTGACGGCTGATGCGAAAGGAGTCGATTCCGTGCCTCCTCACATCTCGGTTCCACAACTTCCCACACTCCCGACAGGCTGGTTTAAGTTTCGAGTAATACAGAGGAGCCAGCTTCAGCTATTATCAGCCATTAGTGCGGGCTGGCATCTCCAACCATCGATGACGCGTGTTCGTCCGAAGCAGGCCGTCTCGCTATCGACCTGGAAGTCTCCGAACAGAGTGTCACGAAACCGGGTGCCTGCATCCTGATAGTCCCGATTCAGCTCCGTCGATTTTTATAGACCCCGATCAGTGGAGATAAGGAAGCTCAAAAGATCGATGAGTCGAGACGGGATTGTTTTCAATCATGGATCCTGCAGCTTTGCGCATAATAGATCTGGTGATGGTGGGTGGAAAAGCCCGAAGTCCTGAATAGGTAGGGTATGTGGAGGGGTTGGCTAAGCCATTGGGCTGCATCCCCTCTTGTAGATCCGTAGCACTGCAGTCAACACCAACAGGGACTAGTTGACTCCATGTCTCTGGCTGTGCTGTTTGCATCCTGATTCCCAAGAGGTCCCAAGTTCCCATCTGGCTGATGTGGCACGTTCTTAACCGCACTGACTTTCAATCTGGAACTGACGCTTCATCCATTGTTAGCGGTGATGTGTATCCTCCTACTGTGTTGTCACCTGTCAGTGCTCTGTGACTTGCGCATGCAACTCTCCCATGCAATTTAACATCTCGTTCACTCCGAAAACCCCCCTCCGATAGTCCAACCCCCAAGGCGTCCAAGCCGTCAAGAGTCCCCAAGTCAACTCGGAATCTCGGATGGTTTCCTTGCTATTATGAGGAGTGTCAAAGTCTGTCATGGCGTCGCCTAGTGTCACTTCTTGGGCTGCCGGCCTGTCACAAGCCTGACATAGCTACCTAAATTGGCTAAGTCGAAGTATTGATATTTGATACTGCCAATCTATGGCGTATTGGCGCCTCACATCCACTGTCTCTGACACGGCATCGCCTTTGGGAATCGCACCCTTTCCACTCGCCCGGATCTCCTCTTAGGCTTTGTCTTCGGCACGAATCCTCCCATTGTAATCATTGTTGCCTCCAGCCGGGTCACAAGCACCGCCGATTGATTCCGTTCTGATGCACGCCGACTGCGGGAAGGCTGGATTCTTCTTCAATTCTGCAGATGTGGCTTGAAAGGGCGCGCCGCTCGGCTCCCTACCGGATCTCTGTTCTCATTGTGGGACGTTTCAAAATGATCGAAAGAGACTCGAGATTGGAACACTACTCTGGTATGGCGTACAACTAACTCGACGCCAGCCGCTCGCGTCCGATCCAGCATTTATACAGATAGAGCCCTCACTCCACCTGAGTTTCACTCCATGGGATACCTTCTTGACTCTTGTTCCTCGATTTCATGTGGCAGGTTAGCCTCACTATTCACCCCACGGCGGCCCATTGTTCCTGAATTAGCACCGTGAGACCTTCAGATCTGCTCCGCTCCTTGCCGGGACCCCAGAAAATCTTTGGACTCGTATCCAGCTCCACGCCACGATCCCAATTTTGACAAGAGGTACGGCACGAGCGACGTATTTGCTTTTGGAGATCTACCATATCCAAGGATTTGTCCGCCCTTGTCATTTTCATTTTAGCCCAACCGAACAAGATCTGCCGTTTGCGCCATTCGGATCAATTATACGTCGATCCCATTTCCTCTGGCTCTAGGTATTTGGCATCTCTACTCAGACAACACTCAGGTGTCGGTCCTATTCGGTACATATTCCAAACCCCAGCCTTCCTTACTCTCTCTCTTTCACTCTTTCATGGTTCATTTGGAAAGCTTCGAAACCCAAGAATTGTTGGTCTTTCTAGAAGCCACCCCGATATTGGATCTCAACAAGGTTGTCGCATTTCGTGTCTTGAATTGAAAGCTCGGAAAATACGAGGGCCAGGTCGTCTATCCACTTCCACCATCTCGCGCTCTGATTGGTACGGACCAAGTCCTATCTTCAAAATTTGTTCCGGTCGAAATTTGACTCTCAGCTCATCCGCAACCGGTCGAAGAATTCTCTTGCGTGCCATTGTCATTCTACAGATTCTGTGGTGTTTTTCTGGCGTGGATGACTCGTGCATATGCTGAAGCTGTTTAGCAAGGCATTCCCAGCACCCGCTGTTTCATCAGCACCAATCCCTACCAGCCGTTGATACAGCAAGGAACCTCCCCGAACAGGTCGTGCATTGGGGCCTTCAGTTTGGAAATCGTCGCCAATCTACACGGTACGTTGGATAAATTCCTTTCACCATGGCGTGGGTATCAGCAGCAGTGAATTCATCCATGCATGTGCGAATCACTGACGGAGACAGAATCAACTTGAGGATTCCTATTTCGCCAATTCTTCGAATACCGAAACTATTTGTCTATATTCTAGCAATCTTCAACTTCCTGTTCTGGTCCTCCTCGGCAATTATCGGATTATCGGATCTTAAATCCACCCTTCCTTCGATTCGGTGCCGCCATCACCCCTCTCATCACTGCAGACGTCATCATCAAGTTATCCGCTGCTGTCGAAGGCCTCGAAAATTATCCACTGCATAGGCCATTGATTTCTACTAGAAACGGTACGTCCAACAAATTTAATAATTATTGCGAACTTTTCCTTTACGTCAAATGTGTTGTATTCCTCATTTAGTCTCGATGTTCTTTATACGATCCAAGTCCACACCCAGCATTGTTAGGCATATCTGCATCGAGGATACCCCTAGATCCAGGCACAGTCTTGTCATTCGCTCTATTGGCTATGGATTTAAGTGGCCAAGAGGAGGCGTGCCACGACCTTTCTGATCACCTCCACTGGCTATCGCAGTCTCATTCTGCATTTATTGTGTGATGGTTAGGGTCCAAGTCCGACCAATGATGCTTTAAGACAGCTATCTGCTGCTTTGTATTGATTTGGACTTGCATGGAAGTCCACCTTCACCGCGGAGCATGGACACCTGCGACTTTACGCTGCTTGTCGCGAATGACTTTTGGTTGTTTTCTTGATACCATACAGGATGTTCTCTTTTCGGCGTTGCCAGCGTTTCAAATCTTGCCTCACGTTGTTTTCTTTAGGTGTTCCCTGCGATCGTTCTTCAAAATTTCATCCGAACTGAAGTGCACTCACTGACTGAGGTTGCCCGCATCAGAACACATTAGAGATTACGATCGCGGAGTCTTGTATACGATTCTACGCGGGTTGTATTTGGACGATCGATAACACGGTCACATAGACCGTCCTAAACACCCGTTGTCAGGGATCGTCTGTCGAAATCCTTCAAGCTGGATATATATGCAACACCACCTCTTTCGCCATTGGCGCAGCGACCCGTCTTGGATCCCCCGTTCTCCAAATCGTCCTTAAAATCCTCTGGCTGGCCTGCGGCAACCTCGCAACCGCAAACTCATCGAAAACCAGTAGCCACGGCGGGTGGCGGCGGCGTGTTAGTTGGTGCCGCCGGCAGACACCATCCTCCTTCGATGGACAGTAGTGACCGGCGAGGCAGTAGGCAACATCCCCAGTCTTACAGCGGTTCTGCAGCTTCATCGAGACAATATGCCGGAGCCGACCGTTTCCGGCAATCGTCCCAGAATCATGGGTCACACCAGAATCCACAATCTCATCAAGTCTCCAACCAATCTCCCACGAGTGCCCCGTCAATAGCCGCGTCACGATCTGGTTCGCAGGCCTATAACATTGCGTACAGCGATGCATCGCAATTCAGTGGTCTCCAAGCCGGCACTGCGGCCGGACTTTCATATGCAGCCGCAGACTACGCAGACCCAAGTCGCTCGAGTACACAGCAGCAAGGGTACGGACAATATGGCGTGGCAGGATCGAACTTGATGTACGGTGGGGCAGCCGCAGGCAATGTCGGTCTAGCAGGAACGCCCGGCGGCAACACAACATCGCCGTACGGTGACGCAGGTGAAACTTCGGGTTTCGGACAACCCAGAAACGCCGCCATCGAGGTCCTCAGCAACCAGTTCGGCGGCATGCAAAATTATTATGACACTGGATCCGCGTCCGCACAAGGAGGAGCCGCTGCTGGCGCGACCGGTGCGAATACCGCATTCCCCAACCTTTATGGAGCGGGCCAGGGACATTCACGACAGGACAGTATGTCATACCCAGCGGAACAGGCAGGATTCCCGGCAGCCGGAGCCGGTGCTGTCGGGTATACGGGAGCTCAAAGTTCGCAAGGCATCGGCCCCGATTTAGACAACGCATATGGCCAATACCAAGCGGAGTTGAGAAGGACCTTTGAATGTGTAAGAGATGGAAGGTTGGTTGAAGCAGGGCAAAGTCTGGTGCAAATCAGCGACTGGTTACTCGGGAATGCAGAATCACTAGGTAAGCCGTTCTCCCTTCTACTCGTTCCCTTCCCCACAGGAACCCGCAATGTTGTCTGTCATTGAGTCTATTGAGTATCACATCCGTCCTAACTTGTGTTCGTCTGACTCTTAGGCCTAGTACGCGATGACGAGACCATCCACGATGAGCGGCTAAAGCTCTGGAGCGAGTTCAATTCGTGCTGGCTGGCGACTCTGCAGAGACAGAAAGACCTGACTATCGAGGTATCGCGAAACCCCGACATACTACGGCCCCCGATAAGCTTGCTGGAGCACGACTACATGGAGACTATGGGGAAAGAACTGGTTAGATTATGTGATGCCGTGGAGAAGCATGGCTTAGTGGACTATCAACTGGGTGTTTGGGAAGAGGACATTGTGGAGCGTGAGTGGAAATGACGGCTCCCCTCTGATTGAAACCTGACTAATGACTTGACCAGTGCTCACACAGTGTCTGGACCTGCTTGAAGCTCAGCAAAGCGGGACTGGCCAAGGTCAACCCACCGCCCCGACATCACGACGAAGATGAGTTTGTTGTGACCCTATAACACGAAATGTATGATGTTTATTTTCAATTATGTGATACCATTAGCCTTTTTCTATGTCAACTGTGCATCTCACTGTAAAGGCGCGAGAATTCCGGCGTCTTTCGAAGGGATGGTTCCTTCCAGTTTCCTTTGTTTCTACGGTGTTCGACGAGTTCGGATTGTGGAATGGCAGCATGGCATGGAGACTTTGGCACTACATCACGGGTCACAATATACAAAAGAGATGTCCTCAAGAGTATCTACAGAATCAGTTCGGTTATTGTTTATGACTTTCTTTCTCCTTGCTTTCCATGCCTCTGGTGTTTGGCATATTTCATTACCAAGGAGGGCGGGCGGGCACTGCCCTCCGCGGTTCCCACCTCAACTACGCATACCGAATAAAAAATGTCGGGTTGTCTTCTTTCTTGGCAAATGTAATCCGATTATGAAGAATGTGTCTAGCAGATCACGATCTATCAGATACATTCCGCCTACAAATAGATAATTGCATAGTCATGCCCCACATAGCCTCACTTCCCTTGACACCTACCGTCCGACCGGAATTCCCGTACCCGAACCACTCTGCCGGAGTCCATCGAGCCTGGCCAATCCATGCTGAAGACCGGCGCTGATTATCACAAAGCAAAGCCTTCGGGATTTTCGCCAGTCGATCAAGGGAAAAGCTGCAGAAAGCGCTGTGGCGCACGGGACACGTTGCTTTTGTCGGGCGGAAATGAATATCTAGTTGGCTCATGGCTGAGATCATCCCGGCGTCCCCGTGTGACACTACTGAGCGGTAGATGGGCTGAGGTTGTGTATCGTCAATTGTCGTACTTTACCAGTTTGCCGGGCCAGGGAGGCGAAGCCATGTCCCAAGAAGGGTTGGAAGTTGGGGAGTGGGTCGAGGGGATGGAGTATCACCAGATTGATATACATCGCGTACTGGATGCGCATATATGTGGCTGGGACCAAATGCAGCATTGCGTTTGCTACAAATAGGCATCTCGTCGGTAGTATCTCGTGCTATTGGCTGCCTTCTTTCCGCCAAACCAGCGTGATATCAACTTCCTACCTGTTTCCCATTATGGCGCATGCACATTTCCTGGAATAAAAGCAAAAATCTATTGTATTAGTTGATTCGGAGACATTCTGCATAGCACGATTGCGTTTTAGGATTGATTTGTTTCCGAGCCGTCCGTCTCGCCCTTCGTGAGCCGTGGTTTTGCTTTTTCTGTCAGAGTGCGAGTGTGTTTGGCTATTTGCAATTTCGAGTACTCCGTATATGGCCCGATCGTAGATTTACTTTATTGCAAAGAAATATCCTTACGGTGACAGAGTTGATGCCCAATATCGACGCCCCCTTGAATACGGCATGTATGCGGAATATGACAATCACCAACATTCTAAAGCCCAAGGCGGATGGCACAATGTAAGAAACCTGAATCGACACCTATGAGCTGAAATAACTCAACTAAATTTCTGCCGATGAATGATTTCGAGCTAGATAGGACGCCACACTCAGTACAGAGATCGATCCTGCATGAGTCAGCCAGGCTGATAAGTGAAATGTGAGGCGACCACCTCGCGGACTACAGAGATCTTGTCACAGCATTTCACATATGAGACGGGTTCCCGCCGCACCAATGTGTGATCCCAAAAATGCGAGGCAATGACGCATATGCCAACCACTAATGCTGGATCCTCTGTCCTTGGTACTTGATCGGCAGGGTGGTGGTACGCGGGCGCTCTGCGGCTGGTAAAGTGGTGGATGGGGTTGTAAGTGTTGGCAATTGCTTCATTTGATGTTGCTTACCGGGACGGATAGAGGATGGTTCAGGGATCGATAGCGGATGCAAGGCGTTCAGGTCTAAATGGATGAGAACTGATGGGTAGCCGATCGTTGAAATATAGCCCGTACGGCTAATAGCAAGGCTGGGGAACCGAGCATCTGGGACATCAAAGCATTGTCAAGGGAGTTCCCTTTGTGCTGACAATTATTTCAACACCAATACAGGTAGCTGGCAATGTCTCACTAGCATATGCTATTCACAATATTTCGCAACCAATTTGACACCGGTGTGAATCACCATGATGCTCTTTCAGATCGTGATCCCGATCTGTCTTTATGCACAGATTTCGCGATGGGACTATCGTTGGAGTCCAGGAGGGTTATCAGCAGCAACAATACCTGGCCTTCACGGCTTCACCTGAATGCTTCCTAAGCAGTCAAGTTCTGCTATGAGCTGAACATGCCATGTATTGTTAGAGCAACTTTGCATGATGATGGATGACGCGCTGGATGTCCAGCGCTTTCCGTGAATCATCCAAATAAGCAGCAGCTGTGCGTAATGAACCCGAGACACTAGATGTCGAATCTCGAAGCAGGTATAAGCGCAAGTCGGCAGAAGGAGAGAAAATATGCGGCCCAGGAAAGATGACAGATTACATGTGGATATGTGACTATGATTAAAAGTAGAAAATGACGAGGTCCTTGAAGTTACCATAACATATCCATATGGTAGTTACCGAAGGCACAAATTTGAAAAAAAAACCTCTGGGAATAGATAATAACGGATGGCTACATACTACCCCCCCACAGTTCGCAACCTCTCTCAATTGATGATACCCAAATGGAATAAAACCAGTGAAGGGCCAAACTAGAACCTTCGCTCCGTCAACTTTCAATGAACAGGAACAGGCATTTCAAATTCAAAAATCCCAGCCACCACAATCCAGTCACGTGCAGCGGACAGAAGCTTCCATTGCCTTGCTGAACGGAAAGTCTCACCGCCGTCATCGATCGTATAGTTGACTTCAGTTGCTTACAATGACTTGATGAGGTAAACGGCAATGGAATACGTAACTCGACCCTGCATTTCTTTGATATATCAAACTCAAAGGATGATCCTCCCGCAGTGTGGCAAGACCAATTCCTTTGTTTGCTGATTGTCGCTCGGAATGCGGCGGTGATGCTTATTCTCACATCAATTACAATCGAATCGTTCGCGTAGACACAATACTGCCATTGCTGCTGTTTTTTTATTAATATTTTATTCTTCATCTATGACGTGTTAGCGACTCTCTAAATTATAGCTCTTCGAAGGATTTCTTGTCTAGGCGTCGCCGTGACGATTACGAAGCGGAAACGTGCCTGCACAGTTCCTCAACTTCTGCTGGCAGCCGATCCAATAAACACACCTATCACACTCGAACGCATGCGGTATCCTGTTATTTGAACAAGAATACATGAGAAAGGAAATAATCCTATCGAATTGCCTCTTGGCGCAGACAAACAATTGCTGAATACACGGTTCAACTTGACCAATTCAAAGCGTTGTCCTTTGGATGTTCATAAAGAGCCACGATGGGAAGCGGGAAGGGCCGGAGCCGTCGTGAAAATGACGGGAAGATACAAGTGATTTGCTTGGTAAGTCGGTTCCAGCGCCATGTCTCATACCCTTTATCTCCACCTGTTCAGTCTTGGTTTGCACTCGGGAGTGACGGGATGCAGTGATCCAGATTGAGCTAGAAAGCTTGTTTCAACGTTTGTTGAATTGTCCACTGACAAGACATTAGGGAAGCGGTGGAGGTCCTGTCGAAGATAACGTCACGGGATTTTTGGTTCGTTCGACAACGACCAACTGGTCAAGAGGATCTGTCCTTGCCGTCGATGCGGGCGCGCATTTAGCATCAATCATCCGGATCTTGGACAGCGACTTTCCGAATGTCTCAGAAGCACCGCCCGCCCGTGAACCGCTGGAGAATTCAGACACCAACGACGATGGAGATGACGCAACACGGACACTTCAATCAGGCCCTTTTGCAGGCTTGCCATTCCCGTTCAAGTCTTCCCGTGCGAACGGACTTCATGTTGTCCGGGAGCATGTGGCGACGTACCTTGTGACGCACCCCCACCTAGATCATGTTTCCGCATTCGTCATGAATACTGCGGCTTTTCATAACACGTCCCGCCCTAAGCGAGTTGCCGCGCTTCCGTTCACTGTTGCTGCCATCAAGACCCACATCTTCAACGACATCATCTGGCCGAACCTCACCGACGAAGATGGAGGTGTTGGACTTGTTACTTTTCAACGCCTTGCTGAAGGTGGCAACATTGCCCTCGGGGAAGGAGAAGGTCGTGGCTACATTGAGGTCTGCGATGGCCTTGCTGTTAAAGCCTTTCTCGTTTCCCACGGACACACTGCTAGCCCATGCCGCTGGGGACACAGAGGCAGCACTCCGAATATCAACGCCCCCGATCGCTCTGAATCTTCGGCAGGGTTACACGGCGGTCAACGAGCCTCCTTCAACGCGGGACATCATTCCATTACCCCTGTCATTTCCCCCAATCCCTTTGCGGCCGATTCTCAAGGGCGGACTTCATCTGGTTCCAACTTGACGCCGCTTGCTGTCGGTCCTACGACAACACCAAGAAGGCCTTCAATTTTCAGCATTCCATCTCAACCTGGTACGCCTAGGGATTCCATCGTATTCACCGACTTTGGCCATCAGCCTCAAAGCGCAGCCGGTGGCGGCTGCGTGGTCGATAGCACCGCGTTCTTCATCCGGGGTGTTGCACCGGGTCAAGAAATCCTGATCTTTGGAGATGTCGAACCAGATTCATTATCGCACGTACCACGGAACCGGGAGGTCTGGGGAGAAGCGGCATGGAAGATCGTGTCCGGATGCCTCGGCGCTGTTTTTATCGAATGTTCTTTCACCGATGATCAGGCGGATGAGGGCCTATTCGGACATTTTGCACCCAGGCACCTCGTCACCGAACTACAGACGCTCGCAGAATTTGTCCGTGAATATCGCAAGGAGAAAACAGAAGACAGGGAACGGGAGAAATCCAAGCGGAAAAGACGATCGAGTTCCGGTTTCGTGGCGGATATTGATACCCTGGCAGAGGAAAGCGAAAGCCTCGGAGAGAGACCAGAGAGTTCCCGACGCGGAAAAGGCCGGAAGAAAGTGATGATCGATGGCAAGGAGCCCATCAGCTACATGGACGTAAACTCGGGGCCGACAGCAGAGGTAGTTCCCCCTCCATCTGGGGAACGGGGGCCAAGCGCCATCGCATCGGAACTCGCAGCAGGAGTCAGCGAACCTCCGCTAAAAGGACTCAAGGTCTTCATCATCCACGTGAAAGACACCTTGCAAGACGGCCCTCTAGTCGGGGAACGGATCCTAGCGGAACTAATCGAGCATGAGCGGCACCTTGTCAGGGTCGGGAAGGCGATGGGTTGCGAGTTCATCCTTAGCAAGGCGGGGGAAAGCTATCTGATTTGATGGCGTGGCGCTGCGCGTCGGAACGGGTCTCGGAGCGGAATTGTTTTTGCTAGGAACACCCACGGGCGATGGCGCTGGTGGACTACAGTGCGATGTTTTTGAGCGGTTTGTTCTGATTAGCACGATACTTGTAGCGTTGAATTATTAGTAGCAATGGAACGTGATCACTGTCTGTGGAGGAGCTGGTTGTGTTGCCAAAATGATCCCGAATCAAAGAATATACTAGAGTAATGTTCTGATTGTCAGTCGTATAGTAGACAATTTGCAACGAAGGAAATTAGATCGCTAGCAAGAACCTCTTATATCCACAGCCATTTAAATAGTCTACGAGTATACTTTGCTCTCTTGGATCCAGCGCGTAAATATGCCTACCTAGACACAAAAGAAATAACCAATATGCAGCAGAAGGGCAGCGCTCAGTGAAGAAAGAACCAGCTATCCGGAAATTCCTCATAAATCTTGAAACCCCGAATATTCATGGCCAAACCCCGGGGTATGATTCTTGGCCACTGATTTCCTCCACGCAGAATGATCCCAACACTCATACTCCCAAGCCAAGATGTGTTTGCACATTTTTCACAACCCCTCGGACTACCCTCACGAACCCTGAATCGCCAGCTGCGAGCGGTGGTCCTGCGGTGACCTCAAGGAAGGGCAGCGATACTCGCGGTCACCAATAGTTAGAAGGGCGACACGAGGAACGCTCCTGGGAATATCAAAGAACCGTTCCGGGTCCCATGTGGTGGATCTTTCAGGCCCCAAGCGTCTGTGACCATGGGGAATAATGGGGGTATCCTCGTAGGGTCTGTGAAGCCTACCACCGTAATCGAACAGAATTTCCACAATCTGGGGGAGAATCTGAGACCCTTCTACGGAGTCAATGCGGGCCATGAATGAAGGCGACATCCATTGCCGGCCTCCCCAAGGAGTCGAGCGAGTTCACATTAGCTCCTAGCTCGAGCAGGGTCTTTGCTGTCACACAATCGTAACCGGCAACGGCGACGTGAAGGGGCATGACGAAGTGCTTGTCCGACTCTCTTGCATAAAGCTTGATATCCTTATCGGAATCATATTTGATCCTTGCTTTCCATCGAACGCAGGTGTTCATGCCTTGGCCATGGCTGTGATAAGTTCTCGCCAGATCTGATAGAGCATGGTCGGAATTAGGATTGCAAAACAAAGCAAGCAATTCAGGGGTTGGCTCGAATAATGCTTCAAATGGAGTTTGGTCGTCTAGTCTCTCCTCAATTGAAGCACCATTTGCAACTAGTAGATCGATGGTAACCTTGCCCTTGAAGCCTTTTTGGAGGTGCGGGGGATAAGAATGGGATAAACGATTCAGCTTCCGGGTAGGGAAATAACCCAGTAGATGCAGTAAGCCACTCTGACTGATATTACCCTTCCGAGATTTGGGTAGCACTCGCTTCAAGAAATTCTCGAGCCCCAGGAAGACTCCCATGGCAAGAACTGTATCCGGGGCTCTGAGCGTCTCAGATTCGTAGTTCGTCTCCTTCGGGAAGAAATAATGGATCCATATGCCATCCAGCTGTTCCATCACACTCAACAACTCGGATGGCCAGTGCTCATCCGAAGCCTGAGCATATCGAGATAACCAAACGGCAAGCGAGTAGTTGTAACCAGTCAGCGGCACATTCAGTTGAGATGCAAAATCGAGCCGCGGAGACTTCACGCCATCCCAGACAACATAGGACACGAGAATCGCTTTCATCAGGTAAAGACAACCTTTACTTGGTTTAGGGCCCTTCGAATGTTCCGCATTACGCAGGAGCTTCTTTTGGGCGAAGGATTTGACAGTTTGGTGGATGAATTGGACCTGGAAACCGGAATTCCCACGAAGTGTTGTCCCGGCGGAAGAGCTGGTCCAGTACCATCTGAAGAACCGCTGACAGAGAGTGCACTGTCACCTGCTAAGTCTTCTCTGATAGAGGATTCATTAGGGCTCCTGACTTCAGGCCATTCAAATGAGTCTGCCGAAGTGATAACGGTATCAATGGCGTTCTCCCTTGAGGACGGGGACCTTTCTGAATATCGAAGGTCTCCAGTACACATCGGACGTGGGTTAGTAATGATATCTTGGCCGATGTTGTCTCGCTTCTGGACCATTACTCTGCCACTTTAGTTGTTCGGTGTCTGGCCCAACTGATTCGCATCCCCGGTAGGCACCTCTCCGGTAGATAATTTAACTTCTTTGGGGGAGAGCAGTGTTTGTGTGTCAAATTCGAGGTAGTAAATAGAGGAGGAGACCTTGGTTTCGAGAAGCCCCCCGGATCGGCTACGGATGAACCTCTCCAGGTCATCGTTCGAGTAAGATTCAAGTTGTTTGGTAGCAGTCATGCTGTCCTCCAACAAATTGTACGGCGCTGCTCTGCATGCTTCAACGAATGCCCTCGCGCTGATGCAATGGATGCATTCTTGAAGAATCTCGATCATGATGGCCGCATCGTTTCGGTATTTTTCGGGAACTTTACGCAGCATGTGTTCGTAGGAAGTTTCCAAATCGCTGGGCCGGATGTTCAACCGCTCTGTGAACGCCTCGATTGGTTCGCCAGCCGTACAGTCCTCCATCAACTCATCGAGGACTAGTCGTACCCATAGAAACACCCCCTCAGCTCTTTTCGAGATGTCGCCTACTAGCGTGTTGATCGCAGATTGCTGGGTCTTGGAATCGGATTCCATTATTCGTCTCATTCTCACATTCCCTTTAACCTTGCAAGAATCACAGTTCGAATGTCCGTTTGAGTGTAGTCCTGCAGTCCGAATCCTGGGATATCGCTGAAACTGTCAATGAAGAGTTGATGTGGACGACTTGAGAACAGTATCTTGATTTCTGTCTAAGAAGCTACTTTCTTCTTTGAAAGCTTCGTGTCGGTCTTCCCCGTCGCTATCAACTCCAACCAGTTAACAATGTCTTCGTATCGGCCAGAGTACTCATCCAGCGCATCTAGATAGAGCATGATCGGAGTTTGATAGAAGTTTGATGCCTGATGGCATCAAATGCGTCTTCGAGATCATTCATCTCCCATTTGCCCTTCTGCATTGCACGACCGGCGGGAAGTTTGATGATCGTGATTAGTGCTTAGGTTTCCGAGAGGATTTGCCAGAGAATTCCGCATAGTAAGCCATGGAATGACTTTTGGATGCCGACTCCCCGATCGTGGAAGAAGAAAGCTGCACTACATTGGCGAGGACCTCCTTTGGAGAGATTTCTCGAGTCCGTGGACATTGTATTATGAACCGCATCAGTGTTGATTTTCCCGAGGCAGGCTTTCCTTGGATCCAATAAAGGCCGGATCCGTTCCGAAGCCGATCCTCGACACCGCGATCTTTGTTGTCAAATACCCATTCGAAAGTATGTTTTTTAGCATCTTCAACTTGGTGCATTCGAGCTTGCCCGACCGGTGAATAAAGAGACTTGAGTATCATCTCCCTATGGATACATTCTTTTTTGGAGGAGTGCCGATTTATGCACTTTGATATTGCAGCAGCAACTTTGCTGTATCCTTGATCTGATGTAGAGGCAAATCGACACATTGCCATGTGATTGGCGTTGATAGTATCTCTTCGTTCCATGGAGTGATACAGCGCGGACGAACCATCGTTGACCACCTAAAACGATCAGCTGCTGAACCCAATCAACAAACCTCCCCAGCAACTAAAATCGGTTGTTCAACCAGTTGCATTGCTCTTTCGCGCGACACAAAAAGATCAACTTCGAAAGGGAAGAAAGTAACGTGGAATACTCGCAACCTTATGAAATGAACACCGACTAGATTCTTTGCTTCATTTGCGAAGCCCTTGACATAAACTTTAAGTCTGTTTGGGGTGGACGAAATTGACGACTGTTTATATAGCCCAGGGGCATGGTTCAAACGCGTCGTGCCATTAGTTTCGCTCACCACGAAAAGACCATCATATCGATTCTAGCGGACTCGCCCCGGTTTGCCTGCCACAACTGTCTCAAGGCGTGCTTCACCACAAGCCCTCCAAGGCTATGGACAACGAACAAGAGCGGCCGATTGGGATCCGACTACCTGAGTGTTTCGAGATCGTTCAGGAGACTATTACCATGCCCGATGATTGTCGTCTGATTCGCCGGGCCTCCGAAGAAGTGCGACACCCTTGAATCGTATCCGTACGCGGCTATCCGGAGCGCCCGACAGTCCAACCGTAATAGATCGTATGGCCAGTAGCACGGGACATGTTTGCCTGGCTTCTTCGCTGCGTCAGTCGATTCGGATGAAGGGCCAGATTTGGTGTCAGACGTCCATTTCTTCATCCATTTATGGACCTTGCTTTCGTTGTTATATTGCCAGGTTCGCATCGGGTGTCCTTGAAGTCCGTGGACGAAGACTATACTGTACTCAATCAGTTTGTAGCTACCGGTACCATTACAAAAGGCAAAAGATCTGCCCCATTTTATACTGCTTCTAACCAAGCAACTCTAATATATTCTAGCTAGACGTAGACCGCGGGATTTTGTCAAAGCCACATTATCAATTTCGTCCACCCCAGATAGTCTTGGGTGTACGGGCGAGTACCCGAACTGTCCGCCTTGATTAGAAGACTTGGAGAACAGAGAGTCACACACTCTGCAACGGGATCAACCGGATCCCAAAGAACAGTCATGCCCTCATCGTGGATCTCAGGCATGTTGGGCATCCCACCTGTAGCCTCACCCATCGCGCTCGACGCGCACCCCCAGCCCACTAAAACGCAGAATCGTATCGGCTTCCTAGATTAAAAGGAATATAAAGGAGGGACTCTTTGTATTTAAGAACGGTGACGGAGGGCGAAAGCAAGCAACGATTGAACGTTCTCGACGCGCTGGGGGTATGCTTCAGGACCAACAATTTCTTCCTTTAGATGCAGGCTAAATCACGAATATAAAGGGGATGATAACGATAGACATAGACTTTCAAAGGACTCGTTATATACCAAGGAAAAGATGCAGAAGGTAGATATCACAGCGTTAAATGCAGCCTTAAGAAGTTTAGCTGGTTGTCCTGAGCCTCGAGCTACCCCTGTCCAGAGACGGGAATTTCCGAAACGGCGCCTCATGGCCTGAGGCCCCATGGGATCGGTTGTCGTGTGAGCTGCGAATGCCTGCGGTATCGTCATTTGATAGAGCCCAGCCACCAGTGCTTGATGATTCATGATACCAACTCTTAACAATCAAGACCACGAGTCCATTAGACTGATTCCCGATTCTACTTTCTTCTATTCCATTTCCCTTCTGTCGCTCTTTTAATACCTTTGTTGCGTATCCCTGTTTCCTCTCATCCCTCATCGTGAACTCGTCAAACCGCTGTCCATCCGTGACACGGTACCAACATCGCCAAACCACGCTTGGAAGGCATTATTCTCCACCACACGCCATCTAGATGCCTTCAGTACCCTTCTCAAAGTCATCCGCCATGCTCTCGCTCCTTTCCTCCGCCCTCCTGCTCTCCTCGTTGGCATCCGCGGAGATCGACTGCAAGCACATCGTCAAGGACAAGCGGGAGTTCGACCTCAGCAAGCTTGATGGCAAGCATAGCGTCCATTACATCCGGTCCGACCTGCCCGGGGAGCCAGGCGTGCACAACACTACCTTTACAACGGATCTCTGCCATCCGCTGAAGGATACCGGATGTCCGCAAGGGTCCCGGAGTGCGTCGACCCCCATCCGTTGAGCGTTGTGGTACTTACAGCGCGAACAGTATGTGCTTCAACCTACCTTAACAACGACTCCGATCCCTTCTCCGCCATCCCGATCGCCATGCTCCGTCCCACCGACAACCGATACCTCGAGCCGAAATGGACATTGCTTAGCAAATCCGACGCAAACGCGGACGCCGGCAAGGAGGGTCTGCGGCTCGAGATCGGCGGCGGGCAGGATCCGCCTACCGGACGATACGGGAAGAAGCAGAAAGCCTTCATCGAGTTTCTGTGCGATCCGGAAGTGGAAGGGGACGATGCCGATAAGGAGGAGGGGAAGCTGCGGAGACGGGAAGGCGATGACGACGCTGACGTCGAGGATGACGGAACGGATAAAGGCGAGGGAAAAAAGATGGATGAAGGGCGAAGTCTGCAATTCGTGAGCTATACGCCGGCGGTGGACGAGGACTTGATGGTGCTCCGTTTGGAATGGAAGACGAAACACGCATGCCAGAGCAAGAAAGATTCCGGGGACGATAAACCGTCCGACCATTGGGGTTTCTTCACCTGGTTCTTGATAATGTACGTCGTCCCCATCCTATCCCCTTCCTACAAATCCGTGGATCTTGAGCTAACCCCTGGTCTACTACAGCGTCTTCCTCCTCATCGCCTCCTACCTCATCTTTGGCGCGTGGCTCAACTACAACCGCTACGGCGCGCGTGGCTGGGACCTTCTCCCGCACGGCGACGCCGTCCGCGACGTTCCATACCTTCTCAAGGACTTCGGGCGAAGAATCGCGAGTTCGATCCAAGGAGGTGGTTCACGGGGTGGGTACAGCGCTGTATGATGCAGCATTCCCAATTTCCCTGGCCCTTCCCCAACGTGGATAGTGTTAGAAGTGCGATATCGAGGAGTTGCCTGCTGAATTATTCTGTTGTATTTACGGTTCCTTTCCAGTCCACAGGCGTAATGGTCCGCGTTTAGATCTTGATGCGTTGCATCGTCATTGGAATTTGGGGGGGTGGACTTGGAGTGTTCCGCACTGCTTCCAGCGGCTGTAGTCCTAGCGACGGGCTTTATCTATTCCCGAATCGAAGTCGAAGTCTTGGGATGGGCCGTAGACAATCAACGACGTCAATTTTACTCTGCTCTCCCCTCCACGTGATTCGGAGGGAGTCGCGACATCGGCAATTATTCAGCATACATGTGCATCCTCCCAATCTTGGGATTAGTGATCACGATTTTCGTTCGCCGAATGAGGATTATCTAATGCTACAGCGCCACAGCTGACAGGGTAGAGACCTGATGTGAACGAAAAAACTTTTTTCACCTAACATTATTTCTTGTGACAGCACTGGCAAACCTTCGGGAAGGAGGCGAGAACCTTGACGTGATATGATTGAGAGTGGTGGTTGTATCCGTATTGCCCCGTAAATACAAATCTAAAGAATCTATTACAATAAAATGAAACTCGTCGCATTGGATGAAGGGAAAGGGGCGATTTCCCCTGCCCCTATCATTCAAGGGGCCATTGGGACCGATTCTCACTCCGAAGGCCAAACCGTCGTTAAACAAGACTGAACAACCTAACCCATGGTATCTTGGAAGACAGAACGAATAATATAGAAACGCTCCGAACGAGTCGTAAACTTTTGCCCCAACATTTCAGTTCGTTAAGCATCACCCCTCTCATGGCGCTCCCAAGCCTGCGTCCACGCTCCTATTTCTCCTTCCCCTTATCGCCGCTCCCCGACCCGCTCCCGCTCCCGTTCGACTGATTGGGGAGCGGGAAGGGGAAGGGAGCATATGGCAACGGATGCGGGTTCAACTGGCCTGAATATGTTGTTGGCGTACTGGAACTGGTACTTGAAGTTGTGGTTGATGAACCGGAGCTTGCAGTCGTGGCTCCTGAGGCTCCTGAGGTTCCTGAGGTTCCTGAGCCTGAACAGGCGGGGGTATTGGAGGACATAGTGAGGTTATAGGGGCGGAGGTACTTGCTTAGGTGATGTCAGGGGTGGATGTTGGTGTGTGAGTGTGTAGGAGAGATGTGATGTGCAATCGCAAATGTGATAGAGCTGTATATGACTTGCGAGACTTTTGGTTGGAGTCCGTGATACCCTGTCCCACAGAGGGATGTGATTCTATTTAACCTCATGGCATCGGTAGTCTTCAGTCCTGATAATGTAATCTTGAGAGTGTAGTCATCCTTTCGCCCACCATCGTGGCGTCGAAGTCGTGATGCTGACAAGGCTGCTTAGACTTTTCAGACGGAGATAATCCACATCAAAGGTCAGTTAGATGTTACCAAGATGATGCGTATTTTGCCGTGATGATCAATCCCGACGGATTCCATGCTCTTTTTGGGATTTTTACTAGCCTATCGTGACCTTGGTACTGCCATCGAAGCTCAACCTGATCACTCTCGACCTATATTTGAGCGGCAGTGATTAAGATTTATCGAAGGCCGCTAGGGACGGGTGTCGGACAGGCATAATTCCGGATCGTAAATGACAAATGAAACGTAGCGAGTACCTGGTGGTGAATTTAGGCGACCACGGCCTCCCCGCCGATCAGTGGTGCGGGATGCGGCAACTTTCTGCGACGTCATCAACATTTGGAATGTACCTAGTCCTGTTCGTCCAGAACGCTAGTGGAGATCTAAGATCGATCGTGAAAATGGCATATCGAACCGTTTTCTTGTCGGGTACTTCGGGTACCAAGCGATGCAAGCGTAGTATGTGGCTTCGTGAATGTCTTATCGCCGTCTTAGGAAGTTGTGGACGACTGCTGCGCAAGAACTGCGGAGGATGCGGAACGAAGATAGTTCGAGAATTCTTGCTTGGCATTTCAGCTTGGTGGCGGTACAACACTAAGAGGATCAGAACGGCCAATTTTTTGTGATGAGGGCGGTTGAGCCCATGAAAATGGCTGCCGATCGGCGCGTTGACTGTCCTCTCTGTATGGTGACTATCCTCCACACCATGATGTTGGGGAGATGGAGTTTGATGGATGTGATGTGCGGAACCGAAATTAGTAACCAATAGATGGCCAGATCTCGAGCTACTATCAAGAGAAGCACGCCATCGTCGCTGTTAGCTCTTTGAATGCTAAATCATTGGACGACTCGGTTGTTTACTAAACATAGCTATGAGCTCCCGGTCTGTTAGGTAATAGGTTGATTGCGACCGGCGAGCGGCTTGGGATTGGAGCGGCTTGGGGTAGGAGCGGCAGCGTGAATTTCTAAGGCTACCGGCACATTATCTAGTCGACCTTCCCACATTATTACATTTCGTACATAAACTGAAGAATTGATCAGGAAGCTGTGCAATAGTTTGGAGAGATGCGAGAATATGGCCCAGATACAAACAACTGACGTTGACTCTGACCGCCCCGGTGGCGAACTAACTAGTCCTGCTCGTTCGGAACGATTGCCGGCGATCGTAGTCAAAAACGGAATGTGCAATAAACGCTCCACAAAAGTATCCTGTTCCTGAGCTGACGGAGGAGTGAGTCCCCACAAGGCTGAGTGTAGGGCTGACGGTGGCGAAAGGGCCCGGGTTATTAGGGCGATCATAAGCATGGCCATATATCAACGACATTCGCCGTCCTGTACAGAGCCTGTGGTTGGGTATGCTGTTTTGGTTCCTGACGGAGGGTTCAACACGGAGAGTTCCAAGAGCATCGAGCATGGGTAGATGAATAGTGTAAGCGAGTTGAATACCATAGGGCTTGTATTGTATAAAGCAGAGACGTCCAATATCAATCGTATCCCCGACCAAATGAACAACATCATTCATAGATTATCCGCTATTCGTAAATCTATTGTCGCTCGGACACGCAAACAGCAACACTAGGAAAGAAGCAATTGAGAGTTCGACCTAGTATCTCAACTTCCCAAGCAGCGAGAAAGAGAATGCACAATCCCTCTCCGTCTTCATCTATATCACAAGAAATGTCAGCAATCGTCTCCGTATCACATGGAGCATGGCACTCACCTGAATCATATACACCTTCACTCTCTTCTCCGCCACACCCCCCGTCGCCGCAACCGCCCCTCCCACCCCCACGTTCTCCCACACACTTACCGCAATCCCCGTCCTCGCCACCCGCTCAAAACACCCCTCTCCCAACGTCACATCTAACAACCTCTCCCCCCTCATCTTCTCTGTCACCACCACCCGCTTCTCCATCCCCGTCCGCAACGCAACCGGCTGATCTGGACTCCCCATCCCCATCCCGCCACCTTCTGCCGCCTGCATAATCGACAGTCGCGCTGACCCCAGATCTCGCCACTTACTCTGCGTCTCCCGCACATAGAACCGAATCTTCGCATCCTGGATCCCCAATCCCACGGGCGCCCCGAGCCCGTGCGGCGACATCCCCGGGGGCGTCGGCGGCGTGCTCGCCCCCGAAGCCCCGCCCTCCGCGGAGAATGACCTGTCGCTTAGGCTCGCCGCGTGTCGCGACCCGATCGAGCTCTTCGCGAGGTTGAACAGCTTGCTGTTCCCGCTGAACCGGCGCAGTGCGGAGTTGATGCTGGCCATGGTGCCGACACTGCTCTCAGTGGCGGCGGAGATGCTGGGATTGCGGGAGCGCTTGGTGGAGGCGCGGTAGCTACGGGTGCGGGCAGAGCCGCCGAAGCCGAAAAGGCCGGTGCCGGGGGTGTCCGTGCGCGCGTTGTTGCGGCGCTCCATGGCTTCGGCCCAGCCGCCGGCGGTGGCGGGGCCGCGGGCGTTTTGGAGGGCGAGGTAGGTGGGATTGTTGATGCGGGCGTTGTTGATGAGGTGGTACATGGCTTCGCAGTCGGGGGGGGAGCGGGAGCGGAAGAGGATGTTGCTGGAGGGGTGGAGGAGGGAGTTGGAGGTTGGGGGGGAGCGGATGGAGATGTCGATGGCGGTGCCGCGGCGGAGGGGGACGAGGGGGGTCAGTTCCAGGGCGATTAGGGGTCGGGTGGCGGGTTGGGTCGAGTCGGTCGCATCGGAGTTGAGACTGTTATGAAGGGCTTTCATGTCGTAGGCTTCGATCAGGCCAGGAGAGATGACAATCGCACATTCTTGAGGGTGCAATGGGGCCCATGATCCAACGTCCGCCCATTCAAAGATAGACGCGATCGAACTAATCGATTTGCCGGCTTGACGTGGAACAGACCGGTAAGGTCCTTGAGAAGCGGAATCCGACGGTTTTAGGGTTGCCGTATTCTGCTGCGAACAAATACTTGGAGGCGGTGATTCCCTCTGCTGTGATTTCAATACCTCAGGAGCAGCCAGTGGAATGGGAAGTACCCCTGGATTGCAGCCGACATCCTCGTCATTCTCGGAGTCAGAAGACAAGATACTTGATTCATCCGAGAAGGTATCCAGCGATTCATCAGACTCGCTCGCAGTGGATGGCTGATACTCATGCTTGAGAGGCGATGACGAGCGTCTCCTTCCACCGTGGTTCGTGGGTGTCAGTTCAACCGGCGGAATCGTGTGTTTAAGAATATTTGACGACCGATGCGGCGGCGGTGGCGGTGGCAGATCTTCGTCAACTGGCTCAGGGGCTTTCTTCTGCAGCTTCGCGGGAGCCGATGAAGGGTCTTCGTAAGATTGATGGCGCGATGCTCGGGGTGTCCACTGTTGGCTTGATTTCCGCAGTTTTGGGATGGTTGGCATCGCGGTAGTCGGCATTGACGACATCCGTCTGCCCATGTCTGGTCGATCATGGGGAGCTCTCGCTCTCGGCGTCTCCATTTCTTCATCTTCCTCATCTCCAACTTGAGACGAAGGAAGCCACACGGAGAAACCCGGTTTCGGGGCGGATTTAGACAACTTTCGTGGAGTATGCGCGGTGGTCGGCTCCGAGGAGCGGTGCTTGGGCGCAGGAGGAGCAGCATTCTGTCGCTTCGCGGCGTGGTGGGTAGATGTCACTCGCTCAGGCGTCGCCTGCCGTGACTCAGGCGGTGAAGCCGTGCTCTGACGGTGGTATCTTGTCGCCTTTGTCCTCCTCAGTCCTGATGGAGAGGTATTTTCCACTGGGGATGTAGGTTGGAGGCCCTTAAACGCCGCGGGAAGCGAGGAGCACTTGCTTGTACTCCTTCCGGCGTTCCGGTCCACCGGACTGCGAGATAAGGGAGACACCGGCGACTTGCCCTTCCTCCCAAACTCCTCGAATTCACTCGGAGGGGTAACCGGGCTGACGCTTCGCCGTGGAGGGTCGGGCGACTCTCGCTGCCACTTCGTTGTCGTCTTTTGCCTGGTCTCGCCAATCGGTACATCGACCTCCCCTGGACTTGGCGATCGAGTTCTCGGGCGAGCGTATTCGGTCGAAGCGGTGACCGTTGACCCTGTGACCACCGATTCAGTGATCACCGACCCTGTAAAGTACGAAGACGCATCATCGCCACTTGGCGCATTCCTCCTCCTATCCACCTTGCTCTTCCGATACGACGCCTGCCGATCCAAGAAGCTTTGCTGCCGATTCAACTTCGGCGGCATCGGACTTGACCCCAGCATCTCCACCCAGTCCTGCGCGGTCTGTTCATCGCCGGCCGTCAACGACATCAACTCATGCCACTCCTCACCGCCTGAATGCATCCCGCGAAGCATCACGAGCACCTCCCCCTTCGTATCCCCCAACCGCGCCGACACGCGACTCTTCAGAATCGGCGGGAAAAACAACCACCGTCCAGTCTCATCGATCTCGCACAGTAGCACATCCCCACTATTCCCCTCCGCACCAAGCGGACTCCCCACCGCCTCGTCCCTGAGCAGCAACTCCACCCGACAATCCACCGTCTGCCCACTCGAATGCGCCAAATGCATCTCAAAATAATCCCTTGCCGCCACACACCGACTCGGGTCAATACTGACCCCACTCACCGGCGCCAATGACCGTGGATCCCTCGCCCGCCCCGCATCAATCCCCGCCGCCGCCTCGTCCTCCAACCTCGCCCGCTCGTCCGCCGCGCGCGCCCGCGCCGCCGTCACCAGCTCCGCGTACCGCCCCGCCATATCGTCCGCCTCGGCGCTCGGACACGCCTGCGCGAGCTGACGGAGCGTTTTGGACAGGTACTTCAGGCGGACAAGCGGGCGCTTGAGGAGAAACGCGACGTCGACGCGCTCGCCGACTTCGTTGACTACGTAGCCGTCCGCGTTGCGCGGCATGCCTTCGTCCCATGCGGCGCTCGCGCTCTGACCGTCCTTTGTAGCCGTAGACTTCTCGTCCCCGGCGGCGAGACACACCACCACGTCGCGGAACCCCATCTTCCAGCACCCGATATACAACCGATACACCCGCTCCGCCGCCCGTGCCCAATCCAGCACCCTGCGCTCATCGGCGGCATCGTCGACAGGACACCTCCGATGCACGCTCTTTAGCCGCTCGAGCGCGACACCCATGTCGACGATGGGCTTGGTGACGTCGACATTGGACGCATCGGTGGCGGTGGTGCGGGCAAACAGGCCGGCGGCGAGGGCGGTGTCGGATTTGGAGAGGACGCATTGCAGGAGGACGGGGATAACGCCGTCGACGAGGGTGCGGAGTTCGCGGAGGTATTTGAGTTCGTCGGTGCGGAGGGTGGCGAGGAGGGAGGGGAGAGTGAGGGTGGTGGTAGTGGAGCGGAGGGAGCGGGCAGAGATGATGGAAGAGGACTTTTTTGGGAGGGTGGTGGATGGAATGGAGAGGGGCTGGGGGGCGTTTTGGGGGGTGGTGGTGGGCTGTTCGGGGAGGGAGAGGACGGACATGAGGTCGGTGGTGGTGGTGAGGCGACGTTTCAACGACGTTGACTTGGGCCTTGATTTCGTCGAGTGGCGGGAGCGCGTGGATGAGTTGGCAGTGAATTGGCTCGATACTGTACTTGGTTCCGGTTCTGGTATTGTTGGAAGTGTAGGAACGAGTTGCAGCTGCTTCGGCGGACCGGAAGCCGCATCATCGATCGTGGTTTCCGCAATGGATTTCACCTTCGGAGCCGGCATCTCGACTTCATTCGGCGCCTCCGAATCCGAGTCCGGATCTTCCCTCGCCTTTGTATCTTCGGACACGATCGTCGAGAGCCGCTTGCCCGTGCTTGGGAAGAGTCGCTTGAACGGACCGAATCCAAACGAATGCGGCCGTCCCCTTGACGGCTCGGAGAGGTCGAGGGTGGTCGGATCGACCGATGATCTCGAGTCTTGGGACGGCGACTCCGATGCAACGACGGATTTCGGTCGCTCGCGTGAATGCCTCGCGCCGGACCGCTTCAAGCTCGGAGGCGTGGTGCTCGCGGAGTCGCGCGTGATATCCGTCAGGTATGAGCTCTCCGTGATTTCCGTCCGCGACTGGGATGTGCCAGTGAGGTACGTCGTTGCGGTCACTTCCGTCGCCTCATCTTGGCTGGTCCGTCGCTGTCGCCGGCGATCGTCGGATATGCTCGTCTCTGTGACGATGGTCTCCTCGTCAAGCGTGCTTGCTTGTGATGGGCCGGGTCCGGATTTTGAACGACGAGAGCGTGATGGCTTGCTTTTTGGTGAATCGGTGAAAGGATCGGGCGTGGAATGAAGCCATGAGCTGATTCGAGAACCAATGGCACCGGCAGCGACGCCAGCAAGAGCCGGCACAGTATAATTCGGTGGTGGTTCAGCACGCGCATCACGCTCGGGTCTGCCTGATTTCCGCCTCGACGATATCGCTGTGAACTCCTCCGCTTGTATCGAATGGCTTCCACTGTGCTGTCTGCTAGTCTTCCTCCTTCTACCTTCGTCGCGATCTGCACTATAGACTCGGATCCCATCTTCCATTAAGGGGTCAGGTCGAGCGGAAGCTTTCCGAGGCCAACTCCGCGCACCATTTGGGATCTCTGTCTCGGTCTGGACCTCATCGTGGAGGATTTTACCATCGCCACTCCCTCGCCGTGGTTCTCGATACTTTGGTTTGGAGCTCTGCCGTCCCGAAGAAGGCGGGCCATCCGGATCCGTGGTGCTCGACTGTCGCTCACTATCGCGCTTCTTCCGCCGTTCCGCACGCTCAACCGTCACGTCCGCCTGCTCGGAGATCCACTGATTGATCTTCGGATCGCCGGGGGAGCCACCATGGAGATCCAGCTTCTCCGCGATGTTCTCCTTCTCCTTCTCCATCTTTTTCCTCGGGAGTCGGACCGGCGGCTGCTGATCGCCGGAGTACGGCACGTGCACGCCCATCCCCGCCGCCAACCGCGCGAGCTCTTTCTCCTCCTGCTTCATCCGCTCCTTCAGCTGCGCCGTTTCCATCATCATTTGCTTTTTTATCTGGATGCTGTCGCCCGGGAGGATTCCCTCGCCGTTCTGTGACCGGATCCACGCCCCTCGTGTTTCGGCGAGCCGGCGCTGCTTCTCTACAATTTCATGCATGAGCCCGGGGCGGGTCCATCCTCCTTCCCAGCCTTTGTTGTCGCTGTCATCGGCAGAGTTAGCGACCGGTTCGGGTTGTGGTGGCTGTCTCCGAATCCAAGCGCCTTTCTCCCAGCCCACGTCAAACATGTCAAGCAGACCCGGAATAACGGGAATACCAGTAGGCTTCTCCTCCTCGACCGGCTTCTGCTTGCGTACCAAACCCGGCGTTTTCTCCGGACTCGGTACGCGTAGCTCAACCGCCGGTGAGGCGTCCTGTTTCCGCCAATGCCCATCCGATATAACCCGTTTCTTCGGCGTCGTCGCCGCCGCGATCTCCGCGTCCAGCTGATCAGGGCGCAACGTATGTCCTTTCCCCGACTTCCGTGCCGTGCTGTGTCGCGGCGATCGCTCGACGATGTGCGGGTCAGGGATGATCGAAGGGCGCGCTGGCAGGGCGGACGACCGCGCGTCCGATTCAGTTTTTGAACGTTTGCGGCGGGGACGTTTGGTCGGGGTGGAGACAGCAGTCGGGAGGTTCGGGATCGTCGCGCTTGCTTTGTCGTCGTAGTCTAGATTCGTGGACGGGGGCGGAACGGATGCGGTGACGCGAGATCGACCGGAATACGTCGTCTTCAACGCCTCCCATTCCGCCAGCGCATCTTTCGGGGCCGTCTTCTTCGCATCTGAAGACCTCGCCAAAGTCCCAGACCGCTCTGTCTCCACCGTCGCGAATTGAGCGATCGCACCGGGCGAGGGCGTTGAGTAAGATTCGTTCGTCGCCGAGCTCTCCGTCTTCGTTCGGCGGTGCGACTTGCGTTCGGCGGCAGCCGCCTCCTCCTGCACCGCGGCGGCGCCGTTGCGCTCCTGCCATTGTTGAATCTTCTCCTGGACGGTCTTCGCGGCGGGTTTGGTGAGGTTATCTGGTCGTCCCCCAGCCATGGTCAAGGGGTAGTTAAGGAATGTGGACCTTGTCGAGATGGGGTTTAGCGAAGGGCTTGTTGCGTGGGAACAATCCCATTATCATAAACGGTAGATGCTGGAATGTAATGCAAGGACATGATTTCAAATGATCCAAACTTGTGTCTGAATTATGGCGGGATTGTCGACATATGGACTGCGTTTCAAAGTTCAAGGTGGTGGATGGCTTACCTCTGTCAGCTCTGGCGGTGTTCTGTTTACATGGGTTTCACCACAGCAACGGACCCCAGCAAGCCACAGTCGCTCAACCCTCAACAACTCCCTATGACTTCCTGTTCCCTTTGAGGCTGGGTCACAAAAGATTCATGAAAGAAGAATTGCAAAAAAGCAGATCCATCGTCGATAATTTGATTCCCAGTTCAAGTTTGCTTGGAGGGGGAATCCCGTGGCCAGGTGAGTCGGAGATTGTTTGCCTTTAGTTCTCCATCGCTGGCGTCAAGGCATCAGATTGTGGTGGAGGATCCATCCGAAAAGAACGGTGGTGTCGAAGCTGCGCCACCAGTCTAGGGAGAGTGAAACAAACTCGACAGAATTATATTTGTAATATTTTTACTGTAATCTGAGGACATCTGACTGCCGTGTTGGGATTAGCGTACCAGTTCGGGGTTAGCGCGCCTTTCCGTTGTCAACCCTCCCAAAACTTTCAAACATAAATAAATACCTTAGAAATATGACCAGCTAAACACACTCTATCGTGTCGCCCTATTATTGTCAAGACCATCCTTGCTAGTAAGCGGCCCCTTCCTTGTTTTCTGCTGTAATTAATGTACTAAGGAACTCTAGTGGCTCATCAGCCTAATCGGTATCTGCGATACTGATTTCCTGTAGTTACGATATAAGCTGAAACATGGTAAGAATACAAGCACAAATGATACAGCGGCAGCTCCTCAGTGGTAGACATGGGGAATTCTAGCGGAAACCCACTTTCAACTGTGGCGGCAATAAAGTGAGTAGAGGGCAGTTTGCGTGGTACTGGGGTTGGGATTCACTTGTCGCAGCACGAGAACAGAGGGGAAGCTATCAAATGCTGTGGGACCCGATCAGAGGCATGTTTACTGGTTTAGGGAGAGTGCATGTGGTTCGTCATCATAATAGTGGGCAGATCATGGATGATCCCATGAGTAATTATTAGCCATTAACCGAGATTGCTATTTCACCATTGTTAACATGCTGTGCTGCAGGCAATTTGTTCTGTTGTGAATTCTGTGAGAGAACAGCGGTTCCTGATGTCAGGTGATCTGCAATACAGTCACAGCGGGAGAGCTCTGTGGTTGACCAAGAGTTAAGACGTTGATTGATCTTGTTCCTGATGAGCGCAATAACTACAGGAATACGCCCATAATTAAGTTCTACATATAATTGATGGCCACGGAGATCTTGATTTCGAGCGGAAGAGGAAAGAAATGCGTGGTGGTGATATCGCGGGTGCGTGGTGTACATCCATGGGGGTCTATCCCACCGAAACGAATATGTATGGGGGTCATGGGTAGGAAAACGGCAAACGCCATAAAAGCAGAGATATCCTATAAACCTGACCACTGACAAATTCATCCTTTTGTTCGTGAAGTGGCGGTCTTGCCTCAGGCCTCACTGCAGCTGTCCTCGTGCTCTCGCTGCTGTCTGCAGTGAGTGTCAGATATTCCAGTTCCAGGCTGTAAGGCTACCAGACACCAAGTTTTCCTGAAGGCCCTTCGCTCCTCATCACTACTCTCACTTGCTCTCACTACTCTCGCTTGCTCTCACTACTCTCACTGCTCTCACTGCTCTTATCACTGCTCTCATCACTACTATCCTTCTCCTTTTTCTTAAACAAAAACACTCAAAGCCAGCCATTTGAACTCTAGCCCATCTGATTTCCGAATCCTATTACTTATGGGTTCCTAGGAATACTCAAACCACTAGAAACTAGCTTGTCTTCATTTTCCATTCCTTCCCCTAGTTATCTAAAAGATGGTTTAATGAATCCCGCAGCCCTCTGCTCTAGCCTCGTCACCAAATTGTGCTCGTACCTATTATCGTCGTATTAGCGTCTGTCCTCCATTTGTCTGAGTTGCACTTACATATGCTTCGTCCAGGCGCATACAACCGATCTTGTATCTGCAGGATCGATGATCTCCTCAATGCTGAATCGGTTGGCCGTCCGGACCGGGTTTTGTAGATTCATGTACTCCGCTTCGAGATGTGCATATACCTCCGGTTTCTTGTCGCCTGCTCGCTTGAGTTCTGCTCGATGGTTGACTGTTGAAGTTTAGTGTAGGTCTATTTTGCATGCAGATTCAACACGCACCTTCAATTCCTCCATCGAGCGGGATAGATCCCCAATTCCCACTCGGCCTTGTGGAACGTTAGCACTGATTCGTCGACCTGACACGGATAGAGCATTTACCAAGCAACTCGACAGTTCGGATCTCTACAGTCTGCCAAGATCGAGCCTCCAATGCCATAGCATCTCCGGATGACCACCGAGAAGATAGGTATGGTCGAGCCGAACAGAGTCTTGTACATTTCCAGACCCCACTTCATCACGCCGCCCTTCTCAGCGACAGTGCCAATGGCAAACCCCGGGATGTCGATGAACTGCACGATCGGAATCCCCATGCAGTCGCAGAGCCGGATATGCTTGTCATACTTCTGCGACCCCGCCGAGTCCAACGCCCCCGCATTGTTCATCGCATCGTTGGCGAAGATCCCCACCGTCCTTCCCGCCATGCGCGCCAGGCCGACCACGATTGTCTTCCCCCAATGTGGTCCGATTTCGAAGAACGTATCGCGGTCAACAGCCTCCTTGATGATATTCCGCACCTCGTACATCCGTTGCGCCCGACGCGGAATCGCCGTTCGGAGCTCGGGACAATGTCGATTCGGCGCATCGTCGTTCTTGATCACCGGCGGCAGCACGCCCCCATGGTTTGGAACGTACGAAAGAAACCGCGCGATCTGCTCATAACATCCCTTCTCATCCGGCGCGACGTTGTCGATCACCCCGTTCGCGCAATGGATGCCCGGACCCCCGAGATCCGCGAAGCTCAGATCCTCCTCGAACGTCGCGCCCTCCACGATTTTCGGCCCGGCGTTGAACAAGCTCCCGATATCCGCCGCGATGACCGAGAAATGTGACACCGCCGCGCGCGCCGCGCCCAGCCCCACCGCGGGCCCCACCACCGCCGCCACCTGCGGGATCCCCTGATCCAGCTCCTTCACCACCCACTTCAGCAGCTCCAAGTCCGGCAGGTACGTCCCCTGAAACTGGCGATACGTCGTGATTGACCCGCCCCCGCTCGCCCCATCCACCAACTTCACCATCGGCAGCTTCAAATGTAGGCACAGCTTCTCCATATACAACGTCTTCGGCATCAGCGCCCCGTCCGCATGTCCCGCCCGCAACGTGAAGTCATCCGCCGTCAACAACACCTTCCTGCCCCCCACCTTCCCAAACCCCTGCACGTTGTTACTCGCCGTAAACCCATCCACCACCTCCTTCTCCCCCTCCACCACCCCTAACCCCTTCTCCGTCACCTCCTCCCCGCTCCACTTCTTCCGCCATGTCGCGCTCCCCGCCGCGCTGCCCACCTCGCGGAACGAGCCGCGGTCGACCAGCAACTCGATCCGCTCGCGCACCCAGAGTTTGCCGGCTTGCTTATGGCGTTGGTAGCCGGTGGTGTCGGCCTGGGGGGTTTGGGCGAGTGTGCGGACGTGTGCGAGCTCCGAGAGAACATCGGACCAGTCGGCGGGAGGAGAGGGGGTGGTGGAGCTTTTGCGGGCGCGGCGTTTGGTGGGAGGCGGGGTGGTGGATGACGATGATGAGGGGGAGATATGGGAGGTTATTTGGGAGAGGCGAGAGGTTGCGGTGGAGGGGGGAGGGGGCACGTCCTTGTTGGTCATGGTGGATATGGGATGGTTCCGAGCTCTTTCTACTGGATTGGGAGTTTCGTGGTTGATGGAAGGGTTGCTTGGTTATATGCGGTTTTACAGCGTTCAATGGATCCTTTGCTTTAAATTACTTGGTCACATATTTATAAGTCGATTTCCAACCTCTGCTTTATTATCTTTGAATGGCTATTCAAGTGTTCATGATGTCTGTTCTGTCGTACCCACAGATTTTGCGGGGAAGCGGTTCGGTCCGAGGATGGTAATGCCAACTGCATTGAACCCTGCAAAGGTACTCCATGGTCGATATCAAGCTGAACGACACCACAACCTAATGACTATAGCTTTTCTGACGATAGACGCTCATGCTTAGAAGGTATTTCATGGTTAAGTTTCGCCTTGAATGCGTTCTATTACTGCTAATTCTCTGAGGTAGAAAACTAGAGATTTACAGACTATCAGATCCCAAGTTCTTAATCTAACTAGTACCAGAGTGTCACTTTATGAAATATTATCCATTAATTCCGTTCCATCATTGCTTCGGCAGAATCAGAGGTTCCATTCACGCTTTCAACGCTCCATCCACGATATACCAACTACGTCCTCCTATCCTCGATGGCGCATGGGACGATTGAGCCAATCCGTAACACTTTCGGCCCAGTCTGCACGATAATGATAAGTCCAGCTGTCGAAGACCTTCTTTCCACGCTATATGTACTGCCAACGCAGGTTCAGGACACTTCCCAGGCTCTTTGAACGGATCGTATGTGCCGTGGCTCGCGCTGGTGGGTTCAGGTCGTTGGGGCACTCTGCAACCCAATAGAGTTGTTTCTTTTCGCGTGGATAGTCTCCGTGGACAGCAGCAGTTTAGAACACAGCGGACATGGACTGCAAGGAGTGAAGGAGCTAACCTAAGCGATACGGTTAAATAAATCATTGCCAAAATATAAGGTTCGCTTGTATCGATCGGCATAGGAATTTGGCATTCGTGGCACAGGGTGCTCAACGCCAAAAAGATAACACTGACGACAAAAAAAGCGGTCGCGAATATCTCGGCGATGATAAGACATTGAGATGGCAACCGTTTTAGACCGAGGTTTGTCCAAGCCGAGAGCGCAACAAACTCGGATATGTCCAGTAAAAGCCCCCCCACACCCTATAAACTGTTATCAAGGTAATCTTGGCGAATACATTCTGATATCACTGAACTTACTGCCACATAGGCGACATGCATCTGTTGCCAAACTTGAGCTGCGTATAGGCAGACAGCACGAGAAGTCCAAGATCCGCATTCATCGCCAGTAGGCGGAAAAAAAGCTGGACCCATGCCGCAAAGTGTGGTAGCCTTTGGTGGCCCATTTTGTGGTAGCGATTGCGTGCTCCAACAATGGGCTATTCTCCTAACTATACATCTTGCTAACAACGTAGCGCGAACAGACGATGAAGGATCTGAAAACGACCCGCGAACGTCTTCCGTCCTGGATACATGAGATAGAAGGAGGTTGGGCACAGCTCGAGCGAGAACTGGTGGCCATGACCTGGTTATCTGCCTTCTCCCAGGAATTGGGAACAGCCATGGAATTGACCATTCTAGGCTAGGGGAATCAGTTTGCGCAGGTCGGATGCAGGATTCCAGAAAGCATCGATAATATATTTATATTGGATTTGAAAGAGCTTGTGAACGATCAGTCGACGTGGGAGTATGCATGGCATTGCATCTAGCCATTGATTCGGGCAGAGTCTGCTTATGGGTTGCTGCACCGCCCGTCATTTCGAACAGCCAAGGTCCAGGGGTTATGTGATGTGCAGAGGGGGGAAGAGAAAGGGGAGCGGGCGTGGCTTCCAGGAGGCGGAGTTTTGCACCAAGTCAACTGCCAAGAACTTCCGCTTCCCCCATCCACTGTTCGAAATGTGCCATCCAATGCCACAGTCCCGGCTCGTCTTGACAATGCCACTGAGACCAAAATCACTGAGGCGCGAGTCATTATCGATCCTAGGATTTGACAGTGGAACTGATCTTCGACACTTGATAGTTATTATTTGGAAAATGGATAGAGTTTTCCTCCTGCTTTAACTGGAAACGATCATAGACATCGATAGGTAGGAAAAGCGGTGAACACAGTGGTAATCAGCTTGGTAAGTGGAAATCGAGAGAATTGAAACTGGAAGGAGCCCGCTCTACCCTAATCCAGTGAGAATTATCAAGGAAGTAATCGGAGCAACCCCGTTTCGCCTCTTATATACGCCTCCGAACACCTAGCGCAATGCACCGCTAAAACGTGTACTCTTCGAGCCATGTCCGCTAGACAAGTCCATATTAGAACCAGAATCCCCCGATCCCAACTGCTAATGCCACCACGGCACCCAGCACAAAGATCGCAGTGCACTCCCCGGTATGCTTGATAGTACCTGTATACTGTTGGTTTGGTTTCTCCTCCTCCTTCAAAGTGGAGAGGGTGGAATGAGGGTGGAATATTTACCTGCTCCCGACTCCCCATACGACACCGTAGCGCGTCCGCTGCTCGATGATGCAGACTGGCTTGCAGACTGAATCGTTGTGGTGTTGGCCGTAGCGGAACGGGTCACGAGGACCGTGGTGGTGGTCTCACCGACCCAGACGGTGGTGGTGTAGGTTAACGTAGCCATCGTTGGCGCTTGGGTAGAGGACGATTTGACGGAGGACGATTTGGCGGAGGATGATTTGGTTGAAGCAGATTGGGTGGAGGTCGTTTCGGTGGAGTGGCCAAGGTGTTCCGATGTGGAGGTTTGAGTAAGTGTAGTGCTACGAGAGCGTGCTGTACTCGAAGAGCTGGACGTCTTGCTGTCGGTGCTGGCGGGTTGGGAAGTGTTGGGTTGCTATAGAGGTAGAGGAGATTTGTTAGTCCAGGACGAAACGTCGGACACCAGACCGTTGGGGGCGCTGCTTACAGAGACGCGGGTGGTCACAGTGCTCGTGATGGCCTCGACCGTCCATACGACTGAGGTGGCAGTGACCGTCTCGACTTCATTCGGCCACATGTCCGCATGGTCGTCTTGTCTCTTTTCGACGATGGCTGGACAGTTAGGAGCAAGGGAGAGTTCGCCGCATAGCTGGCTGCGCGCCATGCCGGGGCAATTGTCAGTGAAAATCGCGGAATACTCTGCAGAACTATGCGGACTTACCTGCTATCAAGCGCTGCGTTCTCTTGTCGAGGCACCATCATCTCCAGAGACGCCGGTCGGACTGGACCATCGTGATCAACATGGATGGCATCCCCGGGGTTGACGAAAGCGAGCCCAAGGGCCGCGAAAGCGATAAGCATGACCATGGCATGGAAAATGACAGATTTAGACAGTATGAACTTCATCTTGATGAATTGTTCTCGAAATAAAGCAGAGTTCGAAGCAAAGTAATATAGTTTCCTCAAGGGAGTGCGGGTTAGGTTGTAGCAGAGAAGAAGATATAGAAGAAAGTGTGAAGACTTTGAAAGCGAAACTCAGGGCAATGTTTGTTTAGGAATAGGGGAGCAGTCCATGGACAACAATCACTTCACTTCTCTGAATAACATTTTAATTCACTTTGCTGTTGTTGTCACAGCCGATCAATGCTTTGGTGGTGTGGCTCGTTGCTAGGTGAAATGCGGCAAATGTGCGGCTGGAGACTTTACATCTGTGTGAAGCAGAGATCATTATATAATCTCTTAGACAGATAGGTTTCCGCCTTCGCAGATGCCAGATATGGATGCCGAGTGCCGAGTGTCATGAATTTGATCACTCCTGGATAGCCACACGGCCGAGAAGCCCCTTTCCATAACTGCAGGCTGTCAATAGACAGGCTATGAACATCCTAGAACTCCTTTAAGACTCATTGGGTTCAATCTGCTTAATGCTCCATCACGTCTGCTATGCTGGAGATTTTGCAAAAGCAATTGGATGTTGAGGGCCGACGAAGGACTGATAATGCCAACTCCTCAAAGCCTTCTAAAAAGACGCCGTTTACTATTGGGGACAGGAAACATGATAGCGATAAAATATGAAGCAATCAAACAGTACACACCAAGGAAAGTCCAATGCTATACTATTCATGGGTCTCCCGGTCATGAGCGGAGGTGTCATGATTGAACATCAGGATTGAGTAAGGACCTCCAATGTTGCACAAGAACACCAGTAGAGGGCTATCCAGGACCACATCCTTCCTAGCTCTTGAACGTCTTCTATTATGCAGAGCCTCTTAAATCGGGATGACCTGCCGAGCCATAATCCGATGATGAGATGATCTGGTGATCGTAGAGGAATGCCGACGACGTCGACAGGAAGGCGCAACGGTGTATCCAAATTCTCGAATCCTACCGTAGATAGATTGGATATTACCTACGATGCCGAAGAGTCGACAAAGTGTAGATTGATCCACCCGGACAAAGGCCATGATATTAGAAAGACCGACGTTGAGATTAAGCTCGCTCCCAAGATTACGTCGATCAGCTTTCTCCGTCCGAGCTCGGAGGGTCCCTCCACCAAAGCCGTCCCGCTTCACTCTTCCTAAACCACTTCCTACACCAATATCAAGCTTCAAATCCTGCATTCATTCATTCTACACAACATCCACCACATCCACAATGGCTGCATCAAATACCTACAAGCTCATCTGCTTAGAGAATCCTCTCCTTGACATTCAGGCCAAAGGGTACCACCCGCACCGTTCCGCGAAAGAGTTTGCTATGCTGACGTACCGTATCCAGAGATGATGCACTCCTCGCCAAGTACGGCCTGAACGCCAATGATGCTATCCTCGCCGAGGAGAAACATCTCCCCCTCTACGACGATCTCCTCCAGAACTACGAAGCCAAATTGATCGCTGGAGGCGCCGCCCAGAACTCTGCCCGCGGAGCTCAGGTATGACATACACATACCCCCACATTCCCCCCCTCCCTCCATCCTAATTGTCCCGCAGTACCTCCTCCCCGACAACAGCGTCGTCTACATTGGCAGCGTCGGCCAAGACAAATACGCCGACATCCTCAAGGCCGAATCCGAGAAGGCCGGCGTCCGCGTCGAATACCATGTCGACGAGGCCACCCCCACCGGCCGCTGTGGCGTCGTCATCCGCGGCCACGACCGCAGCCTGTGCACCGACCTCGCCGCCGCGAACCTGTACAAGCTCGACCACCTGAAAAAGCCGGAGATCTGGAGCCTCGTGCAGCAGGCCGAGTACTACTTCGTGGGGGGGTACCATCTGACCGTGTGCGTCCCCGCGGCCCTCGCCCTCGCCGAAGAAGCCGCCGCGAATAACAAGATCTTTGCGCTATCGCTCTCCGCACCGTTCATCCCGCAGTTCTTCAAGGAGCCGCTCGACCAGACCGCGCCTTACTGGGACGTGGTGGTGGGCAACGAGACGGAGGCGCGGGCCTATGCGACGGCCCATGAGTGGGGCACAGAAGACCTGAAGGAGATCGCGAAGCGGTTGGCGGCGCTGCCGAAGAAGAATGAGAAGCGGGACAGGACGGTGGTGATTACGCATGGGACGGAGCCGACGATCGTGGCGGTGGGAGGGCCGGGCAAGGAGGCGACGTTGAAGGAGTATCCGGTGCATGTGGTTGGCAAGGAGGAGATTGTCGACACGAATGGCGCGGGGTGAGTGGCATCCTATCAAGATTTGGTTCGTGACCACATTGCTGACGGCATATAACAGTGACGCCTTCGCCGGGGGATTCCTCGCTGGTCTTGTCCAGGGAAAGCCCGTTGACGCCTGCATTGACCTGGGCCAATGGCTCGCGAAGCTCAGTCTGCAGGAACTGGGTCCGTCGTACCCATACCCCAAGCAGGCCTACCCCGGCTTGTAAGCCTGCACTTTCATCATTATGGCGTTCTAAGGGTCGCGGTTCAACAAAATATTGGAATGCAGCCATAGAAGGCTAGGGTTTTCGGGGGGATTTAGAGCCAGGGCACGCATTCAACATTTGCGTGCCAGCAAAGACGGCTTGTGATAAGACGGAAAAGGAACAGTGCATATTCGGCCACATGAGGGACGGGTTGCACGATAATGTATTTGACTACCTTGACGAGAAAAGTAGAGGACACTTGGAATGCAATTTGAAGTCCACCTTGCAAATATAGCAAGTGCACCCTCGAACTAAGTGACGGGCAGTCGACAATTTAGCGCCCAACAACAAACCGGTTCGTCTGGAACCTGGACCTCCTCCTTCCCACCTTTCCATCTCAGAAATGCAACCTGGAACCGGCAAACGGGCGTGCCGTCGGGTACAGGGTGCTGGAAGCGCAAATTGCCGACCCTACGGAAAGCTCATCACTCGCAGTGAGGAGGTCCACGCAACTGCCGCGGATTGCAGCAGCGTTGCCGCTTTGGCATTTGGTGGTTGATCGAAATCCCCCATATCCGAGATCTCCCTCACCCTCCATGTCCCATTCCGCTGCCCACCGCCCCATGTCCACTCCAACTCCGACTCATCTGCCCATCCAACGCACCACTTCCATTGACGCCAAGTCCCTGTCCATAAGCTCCTGTATTCGGGCTCAGCCGGGGCTGTCCACCCCACCCGCTCCCACTAGGGTGTCCGTTCTCCCCAACGTGTCCGTTCTCATTCCCGCCCATCTGCCCACCCCACCCTCCGTTCCCTCCCCACCCCCTCGGACTCCCCGTCGTCCCAAGCATCGGCGCCGGCGTTACCGCATAATTCCAAGTGTTTTCCTGGAGCAGCAACGCCGAGCCGGTCGAGTCGCGCGAGTCGTTGCGGGAGTGCGCCGGGGCGTAGTGCGGCTGCGCGCGCCCTCGGGGCGGGGATCGGTAGTTGGAAATGGGGAGATCGCGGAGGGAGGGGGAGAGGTCGAGTTGGTCGAAGGAGTCGTGGAGGCTGAGGGAGCTGCGGCCGGTGGCGGTCGGGGCGGGGACACGGCTGTGAATCGGACTGCCGATGCCAGCGGGAGTGCCCCAGATTTCGGCGGCTCGTTCGTTGGAGAAGGAGAAGGAGGAGGAGGGGCGTTGGAATGGTGAGGCGCCGAGCTGTCGAGCGGACGGGACGACAGGAGAGCCATTGTGTGGTGTCGTGCCGAGACCTGGTGAGAAAGATAATGAGTAGGCTTGAGTGCCAGATGGAGCTCTGTTGCGAGAAGTAATGCTGTCAACCAGATCGGAGACCCGGAATGGCGCATTCGCAGGGAGCGCTCCGAACTGTGCTGTGCTTTGGAAAGGGGAGTTCTCGAAGGATTGGTGAGCTGACGGTAATGGCTTCGTCAGAGGGGGCACATTGGTAGGCGGGGGGTTGACTGGGTCTTCATCATCAACAAGGTTGTGGACCATTCGCGTCATGTAAGCATCCTTGGTGACTGTGACAACTGAGCCAGACTCGGAGGGTGCTACTCGTTTCGAGGTGTCTCGTCTCGAGGGGTTGGTAACGTCAGCCTTCGATGTTTTCGGTGGCTCTGGTTCATGGATCGGCGCAGGGAGCATGTTATCCAGTCCGTCGGCAGATTTATAGAGGAATTGGCCATCATTATCTAACTCCAACGGAGAACCCTGTGGTGATTGTTGTTAGTGGAAACGATTTTAGCATTGGTGCTTCGTGCGAAACTCACCTCCGATACCATCAACTCCAGTCCGCTCACCAAGATCTCTCGCAGTCGAGCAAGCATCTCGCCATCCGCTCCGAGCCCTTTATCTGAGTCACTTTTCCTTGGCTTTTTGACTCCATCTTTCTCCCAAATTCTGCTCGAGCTTTCAGCGAACGGGACAAAACCAACCAAATCCGCCTCCTCCTGCAGCAGATATTCGGCTGCTGGCAATTCCGGTGCAGGAAACTGCTTCGCAATCGCGGTCAGCGTCGCTGCGTATACAGCCCACAATTCGCGGGACTTCGCAACCAGAAATGGATCGGGAAGCTGGGGCAGAATCGACCATTTCATGGAGAACCAGGCGGAATAAAGGTGGAGGAGTGCAAGCACGCGACGGGAAAGACTGCTGAGCCTATCGGCGAGTGAGCGCCTTGAAGTGCCGGAGGGAGCTCCTGATTTGACATCCTCGCCCTTGACCCGATCCAATTCATCGCGAAGCAGCTCGAGCAGAAGTGTGAAAGTGCAAATGTTGAACCGGATGAGGTGCAAGACAGACTGGCGGTGATTATCGGTCGCTGACGCACCCAGGGCTAGGAGCACTATTGTCAGGAATGCTATGACAAGACGAAGGTTGTGGAGTTGAATACATACCTCGCAACCTCTCGGTCGCAACGTGTTCCGCCGCCAGATTGATCACCACGACTTTGAACAGCGTGCTCTCCACCGGCCTTTTCTTCACCTGAATCTTAAGCTGGCTGAGTACCTCCCTCTCCAGCGCCTCTCTCTGCGGAAACTCCTCGGCCGAGTAATAGCCCGCCTGCAACCTCAAGAACCAAGCGAGCAGAGCCTTGATTTCCTTTCCTTCTTTGCCATCACCCTTTCCACCGGCCATTAATTCCCCGCGGCCATGAGCCAGCTCGATCCTTCTCAACTCTTTCTCAAGATTTCCTGTCCCCACCGAATGCTCCACCGTCAATGTACGGAACAGGTGGTAGACTGCGCGGAAGTGATCTTGCTCCTCGTAAGCGATAGCGGCGAGACCATTATGGGCATGGGCTTCGGATGGCATCAGAGAGGAAGCGCGGGTGTAGTAGCCAACGGCCGGTTCCCACTTGCGCTCTTTTGCAGGCGTGGAGCTAGCACGATAGCGGGAGAGGTCGCCGAGGTGGATGAGCGAAAGGTGTGCAGTGCGCAAGGCATGCGGCTGTAGTTCGAGCGGAATGTTCAATGCGGGTCCCGCAGGGTGGTCTGCTACTTGTTAGTCTAAAGATGTCGCTGGGCGCTTTTAAACGCGACGTAGGCGAATACTTACGGTGCCGCTTCCAAGTAGCCACCACATCCTTCAACTCGGAAATACCACCACATGCGTCATCCAGTAAAAGGATATAGTTCCGGTAGAAGCGCTGACATTCCTTGATGAACTCAACATAGCTCGTGAATAGTTTCCGTTGTTCTACGACTTTGTTCTTCGCCGAACGACTACTCACGGACTTCAACCACCCACGGAAGCCCTTATTAACCTTTGAGTGCACTTCCCAGAGTCGTGCATGAGACACCTCATCAAGGGCAAGGTCCACATTGTGACTAAGAGCATCGGACCAAGCAGAATGGCAGGCTGACAGCCGTGAGAGAAGATCCGGAATAGTCGCAGTCTCATTTGAGAGGGTCACAACTATAACATCTTCGAGATGTTTCAAGTTCCTATTATCATATATATCGATTAGCACAATTATATTCGAAAACCCGTGCCTGCATAGTAGAGTAACAAGGAATAAAAATCATCCTGAACAAGGACCTACCTCACACCATCCCCGATTTTCTTAACATTTGGTTCCATGCTTCTATGCCAGTTAATGCATAGACACACTCTGTAACTTCCTCCCAGTCTTCTTCACAAGTTTTCTTTCCTGCAGCGTATCGTCCCTCCGTCGCGTTGCGCGGCCTCCTGTCTTCCTCCCTTGTGTATTCAGTACTCCCAGAGCTAGATATCCCAGCCCAGGGAACCCTGGATCAGTTGAACTTTGTTCCGCGAAAACGAGACGATCCTAATCGAGTCGAGCGGCGTCGGTCCATGGAGGGAGTGTTGGATGGCGGGTTGCGGTGGTGACTACGGTACGGTATCTGATGAACCGTACGCAGCCCCGTGGAGTTCTGGTGGCAGAAGCCGTTGTTGGGATATGTTGATTATGGAGGCTGCAAGGGAGCCACAGGTTCGTGTGTGCTGCTAACTGACTGATTGTTGATGAGCGAACCTGTGAACTTCACTGCGGTGATCCGTTTGGTAAATGTTGTTGCTGGGCAGGGTTCCGATACCGCACGTGACTGATTCGACTAATACCTTGTCGCCTTGTCGCCTTGTCGTCATATCAGTATCGTGTATCTGTAGGGCTGTATATCATTCATCAGCTTCAGTATTCATTGACGCACCAACTGGCTTAATGAATCCGTACAGCAAGATCAGCTCCTCCATCTAGAAGGGATGCGATCATAAAATGGACTAACAAGCACGCCCAAGGCGTCGAAAGAGCTTATTGTTACCTCTGTTTCGCCTTGCTACCTACTTCTCCAGAGATACCGTATACGCAGGCTAGGGGAGGCCGTCAAAGGCAAAGAACAATCACACTCAGGAAGAATTGATGAGAATGTTTTATCCCTATCTAACAAAGGACTGGGTATCAGGTAAGCGCCAGTTCTCCCGCTTTCCTAAACAATAAACCGAATGTTTGTATGTATACAGTGTGAAGATCTGCATCTCCATCTCACTGTTTCCGTTTGAATATATCTCTTAGACTCTTGCGATTGCGAACCGCCTTATCTTCCACCATTGCCCGATCTTTCGGGATGGGTGGTGGCTTGAATTTCGGCAGTGCGTGATGATGAGCTCCAGCGCCGGCCTGGTTCGAAACTGATGATGGGTTGCGTCCGAGGTCGGTAGGTCCAATGGCCGAGTCTGCATATGAATTCGTCTTCATTGAAGAGTCATTCGGCTTCGGTCCTCTTACATCTCCATTGGAATACCCGGTCTTCGGGGGTTCAGGGGAAGATGGAGTACGTGACGGCACGGGACTGGGAAGAGGAGGTGTGATGCGGTCAATTCCGGAGGGTTGTGGTTTGAGTGTCATTGATTTCCGGGACTTCCTCCGGTTGCTTAAGTTTCTGCTCATTCGGTTGGCTAAGGTGGGTTTGTCCGTCGGTTCCTCCCTGGGCTCTTTGCCTTGGAGACGCTCGATCTCCGAGCGGACCGTACGGCCGGAGATGGCCAGACATTCGTCCGGGATGGCGACAAATTTGATGATGCCTCGATCGGCGGACACACCAAGGAGATCGGTGAGGTACTTTTGGAGGAGTGCGACGTTTCGCTTGTTGGTGGCGGGTTGAAGAAGGGAGGGACAGGCGGTGATGGTGAGGAGATATCCGGGCTCAAACGAACCGCCGAGGATGAGGCAGGCGGAGTGCTCGAGGTTGACCATGATGGACGACTCGGAACGGCGGTACCGGCCAGAGAGGGTGTTGGACAGATCGGTGACGAGGCTGTATTCGTCTTTAACCTGCGGTTGAAGCCATCTTGTCAGTCACGAACTTTCTCTGGATGGTAAAGAAGCAGAGCATGGAAGAACGTACGATCACATTGGTCCGGAGGTCTGCAACCACGGGGGAATTATTCAACGCATTCTCTCTGCCCGAGCTGTCTCCTGCCTTATACCGGAATTGATCTTCGAAGAACTGCGTCCGTCGCTTCGTGTCGAGTCGTTTCGCTCGCTCCCCAGCTCTTTGTTGGTCCCTCTGTAGCTCCTCGGTTGAGAAGTGCTCTTGTACTGGTGATGGTTGGGCACTGAGGGCCTTGCCATTGCTGCTGCATTTCGGAGGCATATCGATGGAGCCTTTCTGCTCGGAGCCGCCAGATGAAACCGAGTGAGGCATTTCGAAGTCGTAATGTGGAAATTGAAGATTTTAAAACCGTGGATTGATGTCAAGTCAGTACTTAACACTGTATCCAGGTGCTCCTCCTCTTCTAGTCTGTCTTCCTGATGGCGGTTGAATGGACAGTGAGACGTGCGGTAAGCTGGGTTTGGATCTATCACTGAGGAACCCGTACTATGTACGATGCTATCAGACCTTCAACACGGTGATATATTCGATTTGAATGTAGATAGCGCAGGCGGGTGTCGGTCATTAAAGCGAAGTCCAAACGTGCGAACAGTTGGGATTTGAAGGAAACAACAGGAAATTAAAATTCAACATGGAAGGGATGAATGAAGCCGCAACAGTGAATGCTGTCGGGAGAGGGAGTGATTTCAGCAGTCCAAGCCGATTTGGTTTATGACTAAAGTGTTGTCAATACAAACTCTCCGATTCTCCGTACAAACCGTCCGTTCGACCTCGAGAGCAACCTTGATTAATCACGAAAGTCGAAAGGACGCGGTCATCATCGTTCGAGCCTTTCTCACCGATATCAAACAATGAAAGGCTGAGCCAAAGATTCAAGTAGCCCTATGGAGCAAGTATGGAGCATGCACCCCGCCAATCTTTCCTTTATCCGAATGACAGATCTCTCGCTTCGACCGACCCTGTGCCGGTCTCGTCGCTCGTGGGATGATGTCTGTTGATTTAGGATAACTGCTTACAGACCTTACATAATAATGGCTGAGTACATACGGAAATGCGTGTGATTTAATTATGGGAATTTCTAACTTTTCCTAGAACCGACCCAAGCGCCTGGAATCCCCTATCGACACAGACTGTGCCAGGGAATCTCGCTTTGGATCTTTGTCTTCCCAGAGTGGCAGTGTCCCGACTCCCAGCATGTCCTCCCCATTCCTCCAGGCTCCAAAGCATTCGGATTTCGGGAAGGTTGAACAATATCCTGGTTGGACTGCCCAATTGGCTTCGAAACATCCCGCTTCTGGCTAGCCTTGTTTAGACAAGGGAGATCGCGGACAGGGCACTCAACGGGCTGTGAGCTGCCCGTCGCTCGGCGGCGGCACCGGAGGCTCTAAAGATGGACGTGCTTCTTAGCGCGTGCGGCGTATTGGCGTAAGACGTTGGTGGTGGCTTGGTGCATTGTGGCCCATCGGACGCAGTGCTCGCCGTTTCTCTGGTCTTTGACTGTTTGAGCCTATGGAAACCCGGTTGACTACCGGCTGCTTACTTTCTCATACGACTTATGAGAGTCGAGAACCTGCCTGGGACGGGTATTACGTTATCTGCGCTGAACGGATATTACCCCGAAAACTGGTTTACGGAGACTTTGGAAGGCTGCTTATCTTTGACAACACGTTGTCAGTCTGAAGGATCGGGGCTGATATCTGCAGCCAGACATTTGGGCTGTGAACTACCAATGAGTATGGTGGAAAAGTCCCCTTCTTTAGTTGACCAGGCCCCTTGCTTACTGCTATCATTCATGGATTGGACATCTATTATTCCTGCTAAAATAACACTACTAACTAATAGGAGCATCAAGCTGATCAGCACACCCTGACTAAATGTGAACTTAGCCCACTAGCTTTTTTGGCCCTTGATCATTATTGCAAGTCCCTCGGCTGGAGTTGTCGAGAAAGATGGCTAGATTCCAGAGGGTTGATCATTGGAAGAACGCAGCTGAGGGTCAAGTTTGACACAAATCTCCTTGATTGATGGCGGTTTGCTTTCATGCGGTTTCATATCGCAGCAGATTGACGGACTGATGCCCTCTGCCGCTCCACATCATATCATTTCCTTCATATCAGCAACGTGCTACTGTCGTACAAGCAAGGAGGAGATTGAACCGCCATGCTGCATATGCATAGCATGGCATATGCGGTAATGACAGGAGCACAATGAAGGCAAACGGTCGTGTACAGATCTTTTGTACCACCGCGGCGTAATTGCATTTCCTTTGTCTCCGTGAACGGGCCGCGAGGGTCTTGCAACCTCTTTCAACGTCTACTATTATCTCACAGCAGCATTCGCCAGCTTGAACCGTCTTCATCACCACATGGCGATCAGTTGCGATAGTCAGATGCTCGGTCCATGCTTCGGTAATTAGACCCGAAGACGCGGTCGATTCGTAACCTGTCCCAATGCTTCGTTCCTGCATCCAAGCGACATACAAACCTGCGTGACTGCATAGGGGAGATACTTAATTGTACGACATTCGTCTACACATCAAACGTGCGAAATTTGGCACGTATTTCGGAAGGATTGCCACATCATTCGCCCGATACTATATATGTGTAATGTGAGATGAGTTTTATGGTATGGTAGTAGCAAGGAAATTTACGTGTGGGCCGTGGAGCGATCAACGCTGTCAAAAGTCCGAACATCAAGACACTGAAAGACAGTCGTCGTCAGTGTCCGCAAACCTTGAGAACCCAAGTTCAGACTTCTGAATTGAGGGATGATCCACATACCCAAGAAATCTTGCTCGGATCAGAAGTGATCGACACAAACCACAAGCACCCTCCAATAGGGGAAAGCCAAACTTTGTCCAGATTTGGATGAATGATAAGGAGTTGGGAGATATAGCGTATCGAATTATCGATTCCAAGCCGCAATTTCAGACTAGGTCGAGGCTGATCGAGGTAGATATGACACTGCATTTACTTCTAACATCCAAAAATGCCGAATGGTTGTCTCATGAGGATCCTATGAGTTCTACCACCGTTTTGGTTTGGACGTCGGATGAATCCTCTTCGCAAGCAGATCGGGCTTGGTGTTCCGCATCACTAAAGAATGGATAAATAGTATCACGAAGGACAGGATATTGACACGGCAATCTTGTTCAATGCCACCTCCTATACTTGTGCGACATATTATGGAGATTTGAAATCCACGAGTGATATGGTAAGGAAACTGGAGGTCACGTGATGTCGGCTTCCAACCTCACTGCATGACATCGTAGATGCTTGAATGCGAAACAGCGGCAAGAGATGTACAACATGAAATTAAACAAAGAGGGACAATACCGTTGAGTGCGTAACACGCAAATCTAACTACGTCCCGTACTCCAAAAATCCGCTTTTCATTTAACCACCCGACGTTTCGCCATGGCAGCAACCACGTTCGACGACCTCGAGCTCGACCCGCAGGCGGAGGACTCCTCGTCCGACGAAGACTTCAACCCGGACGTACCCAACCAACCGGAGGAATCCGCGTCATCGGAAAGCGAGGCTGAAGCGCTGACGGCTGCGAAAACACGGGGGAAGAAGCGGAAAGCGCCCGACGCAGACGGCCATGAGGAGCTGGAATGGGACTCCGGCGACGAGAAGATAGTTAAGGAGCGCAAGAGGAGACGGAAGAAGGGAAAGCGGAAGGATGATGAGGTTGATATATCGGAGGAGGAGGAGGGAGAAGCGGGATTCATTAAGACCAGAAGCCAAAGGAAGACCGAGTATGTTGACGTAGAAGATAGGTTTTTGGAGATGAACTAGCTAACAAACTTCGAATAGGGCTATAGAGCGCAAAGCACTCGCAACCACAAAAGGCTCAACCGTCGACGTCGACGCACTCTGGTCCTCCATCACCAGTGCCCCCATCCGCGCCACCTCAGTCCTGAAACCTCCCGCCACCCACGATCCCTCCTCCCTCCCTAATCCCTCCGCCCCTCAACCAGCTGCCATCGCCGACTCCGAATCCATCACCATAACCCGCACCTACCAATTCGCCGGCAAAACCCACCACGATTCGCGGCGCGTGCCCAAAGACTCCGCTGAAGCGAAACTGTATCTCTCCTCCCTCGAAGCCTCCAAAGCCAAACCGACCACCGATGCCGACCAACCGACCGTTGATGGCGATGGTGCAACTGGTCCCGATGGATTACCCAGCGACGAAATCAAACCCCCCCCTCTCCGACGCCCGTCCAAGCGCCCCTCTCGCTTCGACCCCAACCCCACTGGGATCGTCCGCACCCTCCCCGCCGAGCTCCAACTAACCTGGCCGCGGACGCGCGCCCCCTCCGGACCGGCACCCTCGGCCGTCACGCACGCGAAAAGCAAGGCGCTGGCGGCGACGAAACTGAACACGGTGGATAAGTCGCGATACGACTGGGTGGGGTTCGTGGATCGCGAGGGGATCGCAGGGGAGTTGGAACTGCATGGGAGGGCGAAGGGGAATTATTTAGGGAGGAAGGTTTTTTTGGATCGGGTGGAGGCGAGGAGGGACGATGCGGGGAAGGCGGGGTGAGAGGAGGGATTGGGAGGTCGAAGGTGCTATTGTTTGCTGCGATACCAGCGATGGGTTGTCTCGAAGGAGGCTGCCAGGAATATACCCCTTTGGATCACTTTGATTTCATTCAAGGCAGGGCTAAGAGCTGGACAGTCCCTCTGTGGGCCTCGTGGAATGTGTTCACTGCTTGAAGGATGAATCGCTCCGTCAACGACGAGTTCACAATGTGTAAATGAATAGATAAGATGTCATGAAACAAGATATAGACAAAGAGTGCAACCTCGGCCTCCATAAACTGAATTAGAGGTTACTCATGCCATTGACTACATCGAAGTTGTCCTAGACATACCGTTTAATACCAAAGCGCCGGAAATGCTGGGCATGCAACAACCCAAACCTTCCCATACAGTTGTCGCCTATCGACTCCCATCCCGACCTCGGTAAGGCATGATCCAGATCCAGGCGGCAATCTACTCCTCGTCCTCGTCCATCTTCTCGACAATCAAATTGCCACTTCTTCCGATGACTTCCGCTATGGTCCTCTTCTCGTCTGGCCTAATCACCTCGCGCGGCATAGGCGACACCAGCTGAAATCCAAACTTATATTCCCCCAGATCCGTCTCATCCAGCTCGGACTCCTCATCCCTCTCCAACTCCCCACTTGTCAACACCTCAAAGCACTCCACAAACGCATACATCTCCTCCACTCGATCCTCTCCACTAAACCGCCTCACCACCCTCTCCCCATCCCCCATCCGCAAACTCACCCTCACCGCCCCCTCCATCCCCTCTGGCTCCGCATGTATCCGCCTTGCCCTCCACTTTCTCCACATCTGAACCCTATCCGCATTCCTCCTCTCCTCCTCTGCCCTCTGCCTCGCCTCCTCCTCCTCTCTCCGCGCCGCGGCCTCCGCCTCCCGCCGTACCCTCGCCCGCTCGCGATCCTGCGCCAAACTGCGCTCATACGCACTGTCCTGCTCCGCTCGGATATTCCTCGTTGCTTGTTGTGCCGTCCGGGTGGCCCGCACGCCGTTCAGCGCGTCGGCGTGGTGCGCCATCGCGGCGTGGAGCTTATTCGCGAAGTCGTCAGGAGGGGTGGGGCCGGCGAGGCGGCAGATGACGCTCATGGCGGTGGAGGAGACGGAGGGGGTGTGGGCGATGAGAGCGGCGAAGGGGAGCTTGGTGGCGTTGAGGGCGTTGGAGACTTGGTAGGCTTCGGGGTCTTGCACATTGCCGAGCCATAGGAGCATACTGGATGGGGAGGTTTTCTCTGAGTTGAAGAGTTCGACCACGCGGGTGGAGAGGAGGGTGTTGCGGACAAAGGAGGAGGTGTCGTCGTGTTCGGAGGAAAGCAGGACGACGAGGAGGAATTTGAGGTCGTCCTTGGCGGTGTCGAATGCGGTGGAGTAGCTGGTTTCCAGGAAGGGGAGATTGTGGGGGCCGTACTCTTCTTCGAACTCGCGGATTACCCGAGCTGCACTGTCCCGGCCGATTAACGGTCTTCGGCCAGCAGTTGTACTTCCAGATCGATGCGAAGGATTCCGGCCAGAAAGCCGAGCAACGAACTGTGGGAGGAAGGGGAACATGCCGAATATCGGACGGAGGATGCGACCTATTGTGGTCGTCGCTAGGCCGAGGACGCCGAAGATGAGCCCCAGCACATATGGAACGGGGAGGTTGGAATTTGTTGCGGAGGGAGCGGTTACTCGTGGAGCCGGTTCGAACTGAGAGCGACGCGAGGAGGATGCGGTGTTCGAGAAGCCATTCATGAGTGTTTCTTGTCGCTGACTGGGTTGCGGGGGTTGCGCGAGGGCATCGGCCACTGGGTCCGAAGCCGGTTCGCCGTCAAAGAATCGGGATATGGCGAACTGTATATATTTGTTAGCTTCTGGAGGATTCCGGAAAGATCATACTTGGAATATCATGAAGAAATTGTACCTGAACATTCCATTGCGACCGCTCAAGCACCGGGATGGCCGCCTCAACATCTTGATTTGTGACATCACGGTATTGTTGGAGAGCATCTCGCTGAATGTCTGTTAAAGCATCCAGATTTGGGACTGGAGGCGCCATGGTCAGAAACACCTTAGACAGAAGGTATTTAGCATTAGTACCAGAATCCAAAGGAGATGTTCATATGGAAGTTTATATGGAAGATTACAGTAGGTGGGTGTGAAGCTCAAAGGTGTCTCTTGAAGTTCATCGGTCCGAATGTTCGCCTGAAGGCACCCATACGTGATGATGAGTCGTGCTGACAACTGAAACACGTGCTGAATGACTCGGGTATTCGATCAGCCCGGATCAAAGATATTCCGCATGACAGGGGTCTGGGCAGCGTTGCGTCGTCGGACCTCATCGATTCCATCGTGTCTGACGAGACGGCAATGATCGCAATTGATACCAACTCGTTACTGGAAAACACAAACGCCACGCTGTTTGAAGAGAATCACAGATATCTAGATTCTAGAAGGACTGTAACTTCCATCCGATCATTGTAACAGGATATGATACCTTTCTGGTGTGACAGGCCCAGGTGGCGCTCATAGCTGATGCGGCGGGGATTATCTGAGTGAGTTTGTCTTTGGACCCCCCTTCACCATTGCCGGTGAATCGCGGTCGCGCAGCTCGAGTATGTATTGGGGCAGATTCTGAAGTGTGCTTAGAATGAATACGCCTCCCTGATAGTAGTCACCAAGCTCTCCGATCCAACGTCCACCGATCTGCAATTGTTGTCCATACCTCCGACAGCCCTACCTCGAGTCGATTCACGATCGACTCTCAGCTTCCTCATTATAGGGTCAACTTCCTACTATCCGAACACTCTCCCTCTTTCTATCTCTTCGTATTGCATTGGTAGCAATCATTACATCTTCGGAGCCTTCGGAGATTCACGGCCCTCCCCGGCTACACTCCTTGCCAGGACCTCAAGACTGGCTGTAGGATTGGCATATCCTATTCCTATCACCAAACGAAAACAACCTATGGTTAGGTGTATGTCGTGGCTTCTCATATCAAAGTAAGAGTCTAGACGGACAAGGAGAGCGTTATTCTACGGTTTGGCGGTACCCATTGCTCAACGAACCAACCACCAAATACAGGGGGATTCTCTGCGATAAACTACTTTCTCAACCTGTCCACGAATGAGTTTAATGCCATTTCTCTTTAGTCTGGTAAACGGAGTTTGGTGTCCTTCCTCCACTAGTTCTTGTCTCTCGATTTAAATTCCGGGCGGCTCTTATCTCTCCAGCTACATACAGCCAGACATTCGCGATCGGACGCATGGCATCCAGCGGTACGCCTGCGCTCGCAGAAAATCGAAAGCCGCTCTCATCTCCACGACCTCGACGCGAGAACGCAAAGAATACCCTGTGCAGGCATGTCACGATCTATGGACATTGTCGTTACGAGAAATCCTGCGACTACGTCCATGACCCTTCAAAACTCATGAATACACAGGCTATGACGGACCGGATGAAGAACCGGTTGAATGTCGATTCTCCGTCCTTTGTTCCTCTTCAACCAGCATCCCCGAATGGCGCCTCCGCTCCTCGAAACACGGCCATCTCGCCAAAGGCAGCGGATGCGGCAATCTTCACCCCCAAATCGGCCAACGCTACAATTGCCACGGTTTCTCCTCCACAGGCACAGCATAGCAAAGAGCCATCGCAGGAATGGAACGCACAGGCGTTTCAAGACTTCGTTCCGCAAGCGAGTTATGATGGAGGCCATTCCACTGATCAGTCCGGGTCCGGGTCGTACGCCTTTGACCCTTTTTCAGTGCCGCCAAACATCCCAGGCATTCAGGAACCATCGCAAGCTGCCCCTCCTCCTATGAACATGTACACGCCGCAGGAAACAACAGCTATGGGCTCGAACAGCTACTTCCACAACGGAGCGTTTGCTCAACCGTTGCAGTACCATCTATATGCTCCAATGGCTCCCCACCGAGAGAACGTCTTGGCATACCAAAGGACAGCACACGACTTCTTTATGCCTGATCCGGAACGCGAAGATCTGCAACGAAAAGCAGAGGCGACTCTTCAAGTTCTCCCGAACTCCACCTTGCCGCAACGCATCGATCACTTCCACTCTCTCGTTCCCCTTGACACAAGCAACCAGAAGAATTTGAATCTATTCGGATATCAAACTTGGCTGTACAAAGCTGTATCCAGCAAAGATGGAAACACATATGCGATGAGACGTCTCGAAGGTTACCGACTCACCAATGAGAAAGCGATAAGAGCTGTCCAAGCATGGCGGCGGATCGACAATGCCGGAGTTGTGTCGGTCCATGATGCTTTCACATCCCGATCGTTCGGTGATAGTTCTCTCATCTTTGTCACCGATTACCACCCCCTTTCGAAGACCCTCGCGGAACACCATTTCCAATTCCCTCCCCGCTTTGCCGGACGGCAGGTTCCGACACCCGTCCCAGAACAGACTATCTGGGGCTACATCGTGCAGATTGGATCTGCCCTGAAAGCCATACACTCCTCCGGTCTCGCTGCCCAAGTCATACATACAACAAAAGTTATCCTCACCTCCAAAAATCGCATACGTCTCAGCGGATGCGGGATAATGGACGTCGTCCAACACGATTCCTCCCGACCTCTTCATGAACTGCAAGCGGACGACCTCATCCACCTCGGTCGCCTAGTCCTCTGCATCGCCTCGAACAACCCCAACGCTCTGCTCAATGTGCAGAAAGCCATCGAGACCATCACCCGAAATTACTCTGAGCGAATGAAGGAATGTATCGCCTGGCTCTTGACACCGAACCCTCCACCAGGCGCCGCACCAAGTCCCACTGGGCAACAAATCGTTAAAGACATCGACGTCTTTCTCACCGCCATCACCACGCAGATGGTGTCCGTTTTGGACAGCTCTCTCCATGCCGAGGACACACTCACCTCCATGCTCGCCCGGGAGCTCGAAAACGGCCGCCTGGCCCGCTTGATGGCAAAGCTCACGTCCATCAACGAGCGCCCCGAACACGCCCACGATGCGCGCTGGTCCGAGACTGGTGAACGATACTACCTCAAGCTCTTCCGCGACTACGTTTTCCATCAAGTCGATGCGAGTGGCAATCCGGTAGTCGACCTGGCGCATATTGTGTCGTGCCTGAACAAGCTCGATGCCGGGGTCGACGAGAAAGTTGCGCTGGTCAGCCGGGACGAGCAGAATGTCCTGCTGGTCAGCTACCGGGAGGTCAAGCGCGCGGTGGACAGCGCGTTCACGGAATTGATCAAGAATAGCCGGCGAGGTTGATACGAGGTGCAGCTGAACCTATGACATTTTTGTGGCTGACAGCCGGCTAGATGAAGACCATCAACCGCACATGAGCTTGAGCGTGGGACGGAACGGTGGCAGGAAGACGATCAGGGGGTTCAATGGGGAGGGATCAGCGCCAGTGTCGGCGGCAAGTGCTGGGATAGCGGGAACGAGCTCGCTCCTTACGTATACGAAACACGGCTGATTTGGCTAGTTTAATCGTCGGAATAATGGCATCGCTATTCGTTGATTGATCATTTCCGCAAATAGTATTGAAAAGTCGTAGAATCAATGAACGCTATTTTTTCAACCTATCTGCTTCTTCCTGTGCTGTCTTCGCTTTCTATAGTGCGTACCATCACTTCGTTTCGAAGTTCATGGTCTGAGTTGCTGTGGACGGATCCATCCCTTCAGTGGTTTTGCCGATCCTGAGTCCAGGCACCCTAGTGTAAAGTGATGACTCTGGCTCTACACCTTTGTACGATATAGCTCCTTTCTTATCGTAATCCTTCCCATTTGGCTTTATCTCAGACACGCGCACTCCATAGATGCAAAAATCATGAACTAGGACTTCCAAATATCCATGATAGCACCGAACACGCGGTCAAAGGCAGGCAAACGCACTGAATTCACTGAATTTCTTGGTAAAGATGCCTGTTGATTCCTCAGACAAAGACCAATACAATTGTCAATGCTATCTTAAAACCATATCCAGCACCTTATTCGAGAAGAACCATGATAGGAACGAGGTTGGCGAATACCTATTGATAATAAACTTGCCTGAAGTTGCCAATCACGTTATGAGGGACCCTAGATCCGCATTGAACTAGTAGATACACTGAGGTTCTAAAAATCGAAGACATTAGTGCGGGAAAGGCTGGACAGAGGGAATAAGATGAAGTAAAATGGGGGAGAAAGGAGAAGAAGTTTGGATAGGGGACTCGCTTCCCCTCTGGTCGCATAAATGTTTTAGCCAACCCACAAATTACTTTTCCTCGACACGCTATAGCTAGCCAACATAGCAGTTCCGAGCTCCGTCCCTCATATTCATGAACTGCGCCCACCCCTCCCCTCCTTATGGGTCCAGAGCGCGAGCCATTACGCCCCATCGAAGCCCCTGTCTCTCCTTCCTCCTATAAAATTGAAAAGTGTATACCAACGCCCCCCGTAGTAAGATGCATTCATCCACCACTGCTCCTGGGTTTTGAATTTGTATGCGTAGAGTTGATTGATTCTCTCGTCAATGCCCGAAGGTTCGCTGCGTAGAAGGAGAATCTCATCCCTCTATGCGGTGCTTACACCCGGCGTCATAGATTGGAATCTATGTAACTCGGTCTCCCCGCAGTGACCATTCAGATGTCTTCTGAGATTGCGCTATCCATGCCTAACTGCGCTAAGACAGACGATGAAAATGGGTGCGATGACCTCTCTCTCTAATTATGCGACATTCTCTGTAATCGGCATGTGTTGGCACTGTGCCCTATCCCTCTTCATTTGCTGCAGTTTACGAATGCATTCGGACATACTTCGCCCCGATGTGCACAAAAAAATGCATGTAAGATCCGATCCACTACGTTACCTGCGGAGGCTCGCTCTAATACTTTCCCAGAGATCTGTGGCTACCTAGTACCCTGATTTGCCCAGGGCAACAATAAGCGGCCATAGGTTCTTAGCTTCTTCTATGTCCAGGGCAATACGGTCTCTCAGAAAATAGGATCGAAGTAGACGGTATGAATCGCGCTTCCGTAAGTTCCATAGCTATCTGGGAGCTGCTGGTGAGTCGCTGGGATATTAGCAAGCGTAAAAACTTAACGATCTCCCCGACAGAGACTGGTGGATTCGACAGTTCTAGTACTAAGGACTAAGGGGTAACCAAGTTTTCTGAGCTCTCAGAACAAGCATTTGCAGAAAGACGTTGAAGGTAAAGCTCTCGTGAGTGAAAATGACACGACAAATATATTATAAGCAAAATAATTCTCGCTATCCATGATGCGATGGAATTCCTCCCTGTCTTCCGATTTATTGCATTATCTAGCGCCTGCTTTTTTAGGCATATTTCCCGGATGTTAGTTTCAACATAATTTACAGATTTAGTTATCACAGACGACACTCCCGTGTCGCTGCTCGACTGGGCGTCTCCATTGAAGACAGGAGGTGGCTGGGTTGCACCGCCAAGATCTTGATGGAACATTGTGAAGAGAATCAACTTGGGATGGCTTCTGACGTATTAAGGGAGCGACGAGGTCATCCGTACGGGCTCTGATTATAAAATAAGGCATTCTTGGGAAAGAGTCCAGATTTATACATGGCAGCAATAATTCAAGCACTAGTTAAGGCCATCTGCGAAAGAAATTATACTTGAAAGTTGAAAATGCAGTAGGAACGCCATACCTACTTAGCCATTGACAGACAATTTATTGCCTAATTGGCTAGCGGTATTTCAACTGCGATTAGAGAGGAGTTCCAGTTTATATCTTCTATCCTCACTTCCAAAGCAACTACAGCAGGAAAGAAAATGAATGTAAAACGACTAAAAGGACTGAGAGGATACAAGAAAAGATCAACGTTTTCACAATACATGATGCTCGACGTTTTTTACTTATTCATTATTGACCACTGATTCTTCAATAGGTCAGCCTGAATCGTATTCGTTGCTATGCAAAACATTGAGAAAATTAAGTGCAGTCTGGCTTCGTCCTCCCATTTAAAGGCCTTCACGAGATCCCCATGAAATGACCCAGAAGGTCAATCCGGCATAGAACTTCAGAAACGAACAGACGTAGCCAAATAGGATGAGCCATGGGAGGTAGATAATGTCAGCAGGGTGTTCAATGAAATGGAACATCGGCTTCAGAGTCTTGGAGGTGATAATCCAGAGAACAAGCATCGCCATGGATTGCCGGGTGTGGCAAGTGCCTTCCATAGCATACCAGAGGCAGGTGAGCATGCCCGGATCCCAAAGGATGGCGAAGTTGAAGAGACTCGAAATGAAGATCGAGTATGTAGTCCAAGGGTAGCGGCGCCAGGTAGACCGGTGCTTGAACAAGATGCGAGGATTCATCCTCCATGTGGTTCGGTGCCATCGGCAGTATTGGTAGATGAACCTCGGGAAGAGACCGATGCGGGTACGGATGGTTGCCTCTGGGCCATTCTGCATTGCGAAGCGCCAGCCATGTCCGAGCAACCATGCGGTAATGAACTTGTCGTCACCCGCGTTCAGGGGACCGATGAGTCCGCCAAGGTGGTATTCGTGGGTGAAGGCATGGACGAAGGCAGGGTCTCTCATGATGCTGGCACGGAGGGTGAGAGCTCGAGCGGATGCACAGGAAATACCCTGGTCAATCTTATGTGTGCCGCAGCCCTGAACATCGTTCCGGGCCAGGTACACACAGCCGACAACATTCCAGAAATCTGTCCAGATATTGTCGCTGGGAATGCGGATACCGCGCTTGGTGCTGCTGACGCATCCGATATTGTCGTCGTTGAAGGGGATGGCGACTGACCTGATGAATCCCAATGGGAGATTGATGCGGTCGGCAACGACAAGGACAATGTCCGTGTTGACTTCCTGCATAGCACGCATCCACTGGTAACGTGCTTGCGCCGCTGGTGGCCGAGGAATCGAGACCACCTTAATGTACCTGTGTTCGGGATCGACCAACTGAACAACTTCAAGCGCCCGCGGCACAAACTCGTCAAGGGTTGTGACGATGGTCTTGGCTGGATCGCTTGCCAGAATTTTGTTCAATACGCCATAGAACTCTATACCCCAGGGCTCGACGCTAGGAACGATGACCGTGACATCCTTGGGGCGGTACTTGATCTGACCGTTGTTAGCTTCAGCCGAGATGGGCTTAGTTGCTATATATCCGAAGAAGTGGATAACGAATCGAGTGTAGCGAAAGAGGAACAACGCAATGAAGAGAATGAACCACCAGAGGTCCAATCCCTTAAAGTAGCTACAGTCATTTGTGACTGAACAGAGCGGGTTGGAGACCATATTAGTGTTGTTTAGTGCAATACACACACTACCAGGGTGATAGTAAGCAGAGATCCTGACACTGATGTTTCGATCTGAAGAAACAGAAAGGGATAGACAACTGGAGGGAGAGATAGTCATGTTGATATGGACAGAGGACAAAGCCATTGCTGAATGTATAATGGAAGTACAGTGGTATTTTCCTCTTTGTTGCGGAGACTCGAATAATGCCATTGTATTTGTATAGAACGGACGCGCAAACGACGTTGACATTGTACGGGAAGCTGGGGTCATACCTTTACCAGGTTACGCGGACGGTGAGGTACCTGCGTTTGATGGTTGAGCTGTTGCGCCCCAGGAACTTCCTCAATAGGGAAGATGCTAGTTTCGCTTCAGCACAGTTCAAAGTACAACTAGTTCAAACTCACCAAGAGACAGGCTCGGCTCTCTTCGCGCTTACATTGCGCATTCGCCGATATGGAACAGGTAGACACTGATCTAGGCTATGCTCCATCGAGGCAGATCCATAGAAATGTTCCCGAGTGATTTCAAGGTCAATTAGACTGAATACGGCATGACTAGCTGGCGAATGCGTATCATTTCGAGCAGTCGCGGACTCTCGTGGAGACCAAAGGTCCAGAGCGCGGAAAGTACCGGGAGTGGGGAGGTTTGTTTGCTTCGAAACTATCGTAATTAGCCTCAATGAAGCGGTGTGGCAGAATTAGCCCAAATAAGGTGTTGACGGCCAAACCGTGATGGTATAGTCATTCTTGATAGGAAAGAGCGAATGTGATGATATTGCATTCGTGCGTTTTCCGGCTGTGTGTGCTCAATTAGCCTTTAGGCAACCGGTATTGCGATCGTACTCAATAGAATATGTGGACTGGGTAGGGGTTGATTGAAATATGAGCATGATATCCATATACCGAAGCAAATGCCAAATTGTGGAAGTTATGGTGATGTCAGCGATGGACATTGGGTTAGTGGCATCAGTAGCCTGAAAACCCAAGCGTTGGGATTTTTCCAAGGCTTGAATGGTTGAAATAACTGCCAGTAAGCCCATGCTGTGGGGGATTAAGCCCTTTATTCAATCTTGTACATGTAAGATGCGGCTGTTTGCAGAAGTATTGCATAGGGCAGATGTGGGACGCTCTGGCTGAAGCACAATAGGTGGTGCGAATGAGGTCACCTACGTAAGGTAGGAACCAACAAGATGGAAATGAGGATCTCCAAAATGTCCTAAGCGCAATGCGAGCTCGAGCTTCGGTGAAGTTCTTTTTAGCTATCTTGGCAGTGAATGACTTTGAGGAATAGGGGTGGTGAGAGACGACGCCTAAGATCCAGACATATATGTAAAGGTATACTGGAGAACAGGCGGACATGAATGAAGGATTCAGTAAGAAATAAGATTCGCCGTCAGATCATAGAACTGTGGCGATCCGCCCGATGGACGAAAGGAGAGAACAATGAAGCTATGATAGGTAGCGGATGAAAGATGAAAGACGATAATGAACTTGATATCTCGCAGCACACATCCCCGTTTCTAGAGCAGACTATGGGGGAGGCTATCCGAACTAGATCAAAAACCTTAAGCCTTGTTTCCTTTTATGATTTGCGTCATATCGGCGTATGTCACATCTCAGTTCGAGCATCGGTAAAGTCCACACCAAATCAGATTTCCACCGCCTCGTACGGCATATCTCATCTCCTCGTTTCTATTCAGATCGTCAACATCGTTATATCAAGAGCCGTGAGTACCTCGCAAGAGAAACGCAGCATATCCAAACGCATCCACCCATCGAGGTCTCATTGCAGAAGGATCCAATATAGTAGCCTAATCATCTTCACCTCTTCTTCTTCCCATTCCCGCTCTTCCCCGCCGTTCCCAAGATATCGTCGAACGTCATACTCGCTTTCCGATCCCTCTCCATCCGTCCATGACTCAGCGCTCTCATCCTTCCTGGTGCCGCAGGTGGCGGCAGTCCTCCAACCTCTCCTGGCGAAATCATCATGCCGCCCTGCTCCGGCCTCAGCATCGGACTCACGTCGTCACCCGACACCGACCGTACCGGCTGCAGCCCTGAATCCAGCGCCCGGCTCACAGGCCTCACGCCATAGGGAGCTCCACCCACTGCACCTAACGGCGGAGTCGCCGCTCCAACAAAGGGCGGCGTCCCCGCCCCAATAAAGGGCGGCGTCCCCGTGCCAACAAAAGACGAACTCCCCGGCCCAAACGGCGGCGTCCCCGCACCCATCTCCGCCACCGGGATCCTCGGCTCACTCGCCAACTCTCCATCCTCCGCCTTCCTCGCCCCATCCACCTGCGCCACGACTCCACTCCTCCCCAACGCCTTCGCCCACATATCCCCGCGCACCCACGCATGACTGCGCCGATACACCCCCTCGACCCCATGCTTGATCACATCCATCGGCATGCTCACCACGCCCGTCGTCCCCGCGACCCCGAACCAGGTCTTGTCGGCCCCGCCGTCCGCGCGTGCCTTCGCCCAGGGGGCGCCGGCGCGCGGCGGCTGGCAGAGAAAGTACTCGACGCCGTCGGTGAAGCGGACTCCGGGGGCGTCAACAACGAGGAGGGGGAGGGATTGGAAGACGGCGTAGAGGAACAGCCAGAGGCCAGCGCGGAATTCGCGGAGGTCGTCGAGAGTGGTGCCGCGGGCGAACTTGGCTTCGAAGGATTGGAAGGCGGCGAGGAAGGGGGTGGGGACTTGGGCGGCGTCCGGGTTGCGGGAGGCGCGGAGGACGGCGTGAAGATCGCCGTCTTTGAGCTTTTTACGGGCGGTTTTGGTGTCGTGCTTGGTGTCGCCGCGGCCGAAGTCCGGGCGGGTGAGGGTAGGGAAGATGGGGAGATCGAAGGGGATGGGGGGGAGGACGGGGGGGACGGAGCGATCGTATTCGGAGAGGACACAGCGGAGGGCGACGGCCATGGGGTTTTGGCCGGTGGGGTCGGTGGAATCGGCGGATTGGGAGACGCCGTCGTAGGAGCGGGGGGTGAGGGCGGTGCGGTCGACGAGGAGGTCGTATAGTTGCGCAAGGTCGGCGTAGAGGGATTTGAGGACGATGCGGTTGAGGCCATCGATGGTGAGGGCGTTCTTTTTGTGGCGCGCCTTCGGTGGCCAGGCGCCGTATTTGTCTTTGTAGTAGCCCAGGATGAATCGGCGGGTGACCATGAAATTCTCTTTCCACACGTCGAACCGCACTAGCTTGCCTTCTTCGCTGGTCTTGCTGTTCATGATGCCGGAGAAGAGGAATGGGAATTGGAAGTCTTCTAGTTTGGAGTTGAGCGTCTTTTGGCGGAGGAAGAGATCCATGCTTGCGCGCTCGAGTCGGTTACGCGTCATCGGGCTGATGAGCTCGAATTTTGGAGACTTGACCTTGTCAATTTCTTCATATTTCCCGACGGCGTGAACGAATGCTTCATTGTACAGCACCACGCTTCGCATCCTCTCGGCCAGGACGACCGCTTCAATGGTGTTCTCCCGGCTGCTACGTACATCGGCAAGCCCCAGCTCGTCAATGTAGAGGGTGAAAGAAGTATTCGCCGCCTCCCCGAACGTCGATCCATCAATGTTTGAGAACTCGAAGTGATTAAGCTGCTCTGCAACGTTCATGAATACGTGGAAAGGCGTCGGTATTCGCTCCGTCGCCACCAACGACTGCCCAACGAGAAAGGAGAACACGTTGCGCACGTTTATCAACACGTCCATATCCTCTCCCGTTAATCGTTCCGGCTGTCCTGGTTGCGGCGGGTTCCGATTGATGCTGAGGGGTAGCGGAAGATAGAGATGGATCTCCGGAGCCTGGAGTAAATCGGTCCCATACGGGGCCAGACCGCCATCGCTGCCTTCCGTTGAACCAGGAGCGAGAGAAACCCCAGACATTTGTGCTTCAAGTGTCTGATTTGCGCGCGCCAGTTTGTTCAATCCCGGGGACTCTGCAAATAGATGAGAGTGGATCCGGAAAGACGGCCCTTTGTTGGATGCCTTTGGAAATAGGTGGATGAATGCATTCCCATTCTCATCCCATAGCTCCGGAATCTATCAGTCCGTTTCAGTCATGTCTGTTCTCCAATTGCCCAACTTATCTGCTTCGCGCTCTTCAAACTCACCATATTCCCTCCGAATAGTCTCCCAAGTGGATACTCCTCCACCGGCTTCGGTTGACCCTCCGACCCCTCCCCTCGACCGCCCGTCTCCCGCCCTGTCACCACCCACGCTTGCTGCGCTTTCGACCTCGAACTCTCCTGGCCGCCTCCCCCTCCAAACCAGCTCTTCCGCGTCAACTTCTTCTCTCTCGCCTTCTCGTCCGGAGTGCTGGGTCGACTTCCAGGCTGGCTCTTCGCCCCATCTCTTAGCGCGATCGGTTGCAATCCCGGTACCGCGAGGTTAGCGTGCGAGGCGGATTTGCGGAGCGGAGACCTTGAGCGGACCTGCTCGCTACTGGTTGCTACCGGCTTCCGCAAGATAGAGGGGGACTTATGAGGATTATCTGGTTGTGGGGAAGGTTGTTGTCCGGGCTGATAGGGCGGCGGAAGGTCGCCGTGTGCTGGCGGTGGAGGAGGGGCATTTTCCGGCGCCGGTGGGGTGTAGTATGCCGGCCCGCTGGCCACGCGGTGGTGGGCAGCAAATTGATCGGGCACAAAGGTCGGGTGGAGATTCACGCTCGGCGGCGGAGGTAGCGAGTCCTGTCGGAATCTTCCTCGCGGCACATCTGGATGTAATTGAGCCTGAGGTTGCGGTGGGGGTTGCTCCTGGGGGGGCAGGGAGAGGTCGGTTGACGAGGAGAAGGAGGAGGAGGAGAAGAAGGTGGAGAGGCGCGACGGCTTCTTCTTTAGGGTCGCCATCGTGTTCCCGTTCGGGAACGGATCTGAATGGGTGGAATCGATACGATTTAATGAAGGGTGGAGGTGATATCGATGTCTCAGAGGTTGAATTTGAACAAAGAAGTCCTGTAGGCTATAGGTGTCCAGGTAGTGTGATGCGGCTAGTAGCACCACAACCCGAACAGTTCCTTGGTATGGGTACTATATGGCAGTGAACCGTCTACGTCACTGGACCCTTTGGCATGCAGAGTATACCATAAAGTTTGTAAAGAAATCAAAGACTCAAAATATTCATTATTTCATGATTCTTCAAACAGGATCTTTACGATCGAGAACCAGAAGACTCAGAGATTTTCTTGGTTAAGATAATAAGATTGCGCCCGTCAGCACAGCCATCCACTCCACTCGGCCGCCAGCGGGGCAAGGATCGGATCCGTTGCACAGATGAGGATTCGTTGTCCACGGGCTCCGAATCGAAGATCATCCCATATGGATGAACTAGAGCCGTTCGGAGGAGTTTCGCGGACTACTAAAAAGTACGGCTAACAAGCGACTAGCGACAAGCGGACTGGGGAGGCTGACGTGCTCGGAGGAGAAAAATGTTGGAAAAGACGACATTATGAGAAAGAATCGTGGCGCAGCCTCGTGGGATTGGAGCCGCATTTAATTAATATACGGAATACGGAAGTTGGGATAGCGTCATTGCCATAATAAGGGCAAGGGCGGCTTAGTCGGGCTATTTATATATATCTCTAACATCCTGTCCTGTTGGATTTGAGAGGTTCAGGTATCGTCGGAACGCCGTTGTCCACGAGCGGACGATAGATAGCGATAGCTGGGTATTGATCCCATAGGAATTATATTGAACATATCTCGCCACTCCCTTGTCAAGAGAACTGTCGGATATCAATTCCTCATGGTACGATAGAGCAGGGTGGAACTCCGGAGACCATGCGATATCGCCAAGTTCATGCCTCCCTGAACTTCTCCAGCCTCGCCCGTCCGCTCCAGAGCACCCAAGCCACAGGCCATCGACAATGAGAATATCGACGAACGAGAACACTAAGCTCCCCCCGAACACGAGACTATGATACGTCCATTCGTTCCTCGGATCCAATTTCACCACCTGACACACGATCGCCCACGGCAGCACGTACAGTAAGTTCGACACCAGCGACTGATACAGATACCACAGCGGTCTCGTCGCCAACAACACCGCCGCCAGTTGCGTTGACACCGCATACATCACATAACACCAATCAATCGTCCTCCACATCCGCTCCGTAATTGCCGCCACCTCCTCATCCCCCGACAGACACCTCGCGAACCCCTTCGCGCCCCAGACAGACAAGAACACACACACTGGCACCTCCACCACCAGCGCCGCCGCCGCCCACCACACCGCCGGCTTCCCGATCCCCCGCAGCGCTCGCGCCTCCGCCCGTGGCCGCCGCTCTTCGACCCCGATCCCCCGCCGCCACGTCCCCCACCGGTGCCCCACGAACGTCAACGTAGTCGCCTCTAGCGCGGACACCGGCACCATGACGAGGCCCCAGCGGATGGTGTTGAAGACGCCCCATGCGGTCGCATACTGGAGTCCCATCGACACGATCCCGCTGATCAACCAGAGATACAGCGCGTTGCGGACTGCGGACTCGAGGAACGTAAGTGACCCCGGCCGCGCAAGGACCCGAAGAGCGCGGAACGTCGGGTGGGCAGCACGCAGCCCTTCCGCGCCATATCCCACGCGAAGGTGTCGCGTACTCATGACGACGAAGTACCCCAGACCGATGACCGCGGAAGACAGGTTACACGCGAGGAGGATGCCAGCCTGCATATTAACCGTGGGCACATGCCCCCCGACGTGAAACTTCGAGATGATCAGGAAATCCAACACGATGTTCACACCGAACTTCACGCTGCTGATCACCAGCGGCACGTCCGGTTGATCCAGCGCCCGCGTCGCCGTCGCCACCGCCGTCTCGACCGCGGAACTGAGCGCCGAAAACGCCACGATGCGGACGTACGAGACGCTGATGCAGCGCGTTGGCGCGGAGACGAAGCCCTTCGCGAAGGTAGCGGCAGCGCCGACGAACGCGATGCTCATTATCAGACCGAGGACCGACTGGAAGAGGATGAGGGTGTAGGTGAGGCCGACGCGCTGGGGGAGAGGGCGGGAGGCGCGGTCACCGATGACGAGCCAGGCGGCGCGGGGGAGGCCTTCGTTGAGGACTTCGGCAACGACGGAGATGTACGTGTAGACGTCCGTGGTGGCCACGAGGGAGGAGTCGATGGAGGCGACCCATGGTTTGGAGAGCGTGGAGTAGAGGGCGGGGAGAAGAAAGGCGAGGAGGTTGATGAGGAGGGCGCCGAGGTAGCTGGTGAGGTTTGTTAGAGGTGCTGGTCCTTTGAAGCTGTGAACGGTGCAAGGTAAGGTATACCGATCTCGTCTAGTGATCTCCTGCCACTTCGCTTCCCTTCCCGCGGTGTCATCCCCTTCACTATCCACCACACCCTGGATATCAACCTGCACGGCAGTGTCGTCTTTCGGAACCATGGTGTATCGATATCCCGTCCTCGAGGAAGGTATGACAGCTGAAGACGACATCGTTCGATTGCTGGGAGAGCAGGCTACTTATCTGCTCCCCGCGCATACAACATGCGAGCTGTACACAGGGAAGCAGTCGCATTGGAGCCGTGGTTCCAGATATCATTGACGAAGATGCGGGATGGATGCGGTTGTGAGCGCGCCAAGTTGAGGGGCACACATAGGGCTGGACACGACTATTCGTAGTCGAATACGAATAAATTTAGAATTTCCGCTTACTAGTATTCGTACGAATAAATATTTGCATTATTCGTAATTATTCGTAATTATTCGTATATCTCTGAAGCTATTTCCACGCATCTCGCAGCGGAGAAATGGTCGATAGAGAGCTTTGAGCTGGGGTCACTTGGCTTGCTGAATCGTCAGGAGTGATCAATTCGACGCTATTGCGGGCTCCACCTGAACACCCGAGTATATAAGAGCAGCGTCACTCTAGAACAGAACCTACTACGTAGAGGAACAGAGACGTCCAGCAAACTGACCATCTTATCCCCATACCACAGTTATAATAATTTCCTATGTTAGAAGCAGATAGAGAAGATAGAAGGAGGAGATAGAAAAATGGGGCACAAGGCCACAAGGCACCAACGCATCAGATGTACCTTTAAAGATGGGAGAAGAATGGATAGTACCGATTGCCATAATAGGGCTTGTCGAGATGACGGCACCACAAAGCTTCCCCTCATAGAACAGACCTGACGCAATTGTCAAGTTCCGTAACTATTCAGACATCCAGCCTTGCCACTTTACTCGAAACGTATCATAGACTTCTTACACGTCGGAAGTATAAGGCAAGATACCATGAAGCTTAAGTCTGCGAATTTAGATCATATCCCAGCTGGCTGTCAAAAGAGAAGGAATTGGCAACACTACCCCTGAACGATGCTATATATTCTCCTTCGACTATCTCCTGTTTTCCTTTTCCTCTCTTGTCTTTTCTTTGAGTAACATTGATTTTATACCTTCTAGTTAATACTAATTAATACTACAAGTCCTTCGCTTTCGAGAAACATCAGTATCCTTCTTTCAGTGACCCAGAACCAAGACGTCTTCAGGCTCCCCTGCTTCCCAGCAACTCCTTTCCACTATCTCACATGAGCCACACCGTCCTCCACGGCAACATCCCCACCGTAAATACCGAATCCTCCGCAAACGTCATCCGAAACAACCCTAACCGCTGAAACGCATCCTCCACCCTCCACGCCGTCTCCACCCCCTCCACAATCAACCCCACACACACCCCATCCTTTCCCTCCCGCTCCCACAGCAACGGCATATACACCGGCCGCACCTGCCCCTCCGCGCTCCCATCGCTATACTGTCTCACATCCCACCACTTCTCCACCCCCGGCCACTGCGTCCCCTCCTCCTCCATCTTCCCAAGCCGATCCGCCAACGCGCCAGGCTGCACGTGGTACGGGTCCAACAGACGCGTCTCGACCCGCAGCTCGGCTTTCTGTAGGGACCCGAGCAGCCGGTCAAGCGGCTGATGGACGCCTGGGGTGGCGTGGCAGGAGAGCGAGACTAGGCGCGCGATCGGGGTGCAGGGGTGGCCGGGCGGGAGATGTTCCGCGAGGGGAAAGGAGGTGGGCCGGTGGGCGAGGAGACAGGCCCAGGACCAGGAGGGGATGAGGGGGTGGTGGACGCGCATGCTGGCGGTGCGGCTGTGGGGGTGGGTGCTGTCGAGACGGAATTGGCCGGAGATCGGGGTGATAGGGGGAGAAGGGGTGAAATCGGTCTCGGAGGCGGGGGAGATGAGTTTACTGATGTCCCATTTCTTGATCGGTTTTCTCTTCTTTGGCGAGGGGGCGAATTGGTGGGATCCGAGGTCGAAACTCTCGGTGATGCCGTTGCGGTAGTCGACGCAGTTGTCCTCGATGAGCCAGCAGAGCATGTAGAGCATGGCTAGGCGGTGGTGCCAGATCCCACAAACGTACTGCATGGAGACGTGGGACTGTAGGGCGAATGCGAGGCCTGCGAGGGGGTAGAGTCGGTTGGCGGGGGCATTCACGGTGATGAGTCGTCGTGTGTAGGCTTCCACTACCGAGATCCAGGAGGTGGTAAATTGGAGGATGGAGTCGTCGACCACTGGATCTGAAGCGAGGAGGACTTTGAAAAAGTGGAGGTGGTGGAGAGCTTGAATTTTATGAAGCTGGTTCTCAGGTGGGTTGCTGGCGCTGGTAGAGGAAAGAGTCGCCGCTGTCCGAGGCGGTGAACTTTCCCCGGTGTTAGAGGCCGTGTCATTGCTTTCGGTGTCTGTGGTGGGAACTTGTTGGGATGGCAAGACCGTGGGTAGATGATACGGAGGCCTAGAAATCTTCTTGATCAGATCCGCCGAGAGCATCACTTCCCGACAGAGAAACAGCACCGCATGCTCCGTGAACCGGATCGTCCGTGCCGGCAATATCTCCTCCTGCAGCGAGTCCGCTCGCCGAAACAGCGGCTGATCATCCATATGTCCCTGCAACGACTCTTCATCCGGGAACCGCCTAAGCATATGTCCGTGGAACAGCCGCCCATAGACATCCCCGGCGTTCGCCGCCTCGATGTTGCAGTGCGCGTGCCGCACAATCTCGCCCATCTGCCCGCGCGTCTCGAACACGTCGACGGGGTCATCCTGCGCGACGCAGGCGGCGAAGATCCAGAGATTTTGGATCCCGAGGTAGTGGCACACGGCGACGGCGTCCTGGTAGAGTGGTGGCAACGACGTCACGGGGATCCCGGCCTGGAGTAGCGCGATGTTCTTGGTGGTCAGCTCCCATTTCTTGAGCGGCTCAAGGCTCGAGAGGTGGCTGAGCGTCATGTATTGCCGGGAGCCCACTTCGCGGTGCGCGGGCTCGATGAGTGAGACGTGGGGGGAAAAGGTGTCGCCGAGGTCGAGGACGCGGGGGGGCAGGTAGTGGAAGGGGAAGGAGGTGGCGATGCATTGGTGGGTGGTATCGCAGATTTGGAGCCAGCGGTAGGCTTTTCTCATGGTCCAGAGGTAGCGGCCATTGTTGATTCCTAGCAAGGTTAGCGATCAGTGGTCCGATGGGAGAGATATGACCTGGTTTATGAGGTTTTACTGTACCTGCATTGAATATATATGTGACCGCTTCCTCTCCATGGATTGGGTTATTCAGGGCCATGCTCGCAGTTCGAGCCGTAAAATGGTTCTTCCATCCCTGCTGATATTTGGTGTCTTCTTCTTCTACTCGTTCTAAAATATCGAGTTAGTACTGATATGTTGCCTCAATCCTTTAATCCAGGACGCTTACCCTTTGATTCAGTCGACTCAGTCGCTAGCGCCACCTCCTTAGCAAGATCCACCGCCTCTTCAAGAGTAACCAGCGCCGGTAGTGGATTCCCAACCAGATCAAATTCCTCTACATCAATCGAGCCTTGAGTATCATCGTATGCGGTTGGAAAGGTATCTTCAAGTGGAGTGATGACAGTGCCGTCCGCAAGACACATTCTACCAGGATCGCAAGAAACACAATCGTCAATAGCGCCGATTTGTCGGGGACACAGATGAGAGCTTTCTCTTGGCTCATGACCTAGGTGTGCGTGCTCCAGGGCGCTCTCTCGTGCACGTTGGAGGTCCCGACGGATGTGAGCGGCGTCCCCATAGTAGGAGACCATGGTGAAATCGATACGCCTGTGGGACTTGACTTGATAATGTATGGGATATGAGACTGAAACTGAGGGTAGAACTAAAATCAGGGAAGGGCTAAACTTGTTCGAAGGAAAGGAGTGTAGGCGATAACTGTGTTCGCTTACATATATCCTGTCTGGTGTGATGATTGCTGTACATAGTTCTGCTGTTGAGGAACGAAAACAACACCCAACGAGAGACGAGGTGCACTATAACACTAAACAGAATACTAGTATCCTAACGCTCTCTTGGTCTCGGCTTCTGAGCAGTTTCTTTACTTTTGACTTGGAACTCGAGCAGCGTGCAATCAACTTAGATGTTCGACATCGCCTCCGAGCATTGAGTCGAAAATAAACTCAACTTACAGTAACCATTAGGAGCGTGATCAAAACTGCTTTTGTACTGATATACTCCGGTTTCCCTTGAAATTAGCCTTGCCATTGCATATTACTCGCCTTAATCTCGCCTCGTGAGGTTGATATGCCTTCAATAATAGCCAATTGCAGAATTGGACTTCTCCAACGCCACTGAGCAGCCTCTCACCCCTCATGTTTCCTTGTTCATTAACAGTCGCGTGCTTTATGTTCTGTATCCTCTCCAAAGCAAACCCTTAGAGAAGATCTTCCTCGGTTTACTGAATTGACCTGGATGTCTCCAGCCACTCGGGAACGATGGAGTGGTCCCATATATCCAGAATATTCCTCCCTTTTCAAAGATCGAGTGCTGCACACAGGACAGCATTTGTCAGGCATGTCGAGATACCTTCCGCCTTTACACAGGATGCTGAATGCGAAAATCAAGCTCAAGGTGTCATCGATTTCGTTTCTCCAATCCATACGTCCCTGGATCCGGGATTGCTGCTACCACGGCCACGGAGTCGAAAAGAGCTGGCGACACACACATCGGCAATGGAACATCGCCCGCACTGGGTAACTCAGACACTTAAAAATCGCCTGTCGTACTCGGCGAAGGACTTCGTAAAGGTAATTCGTTCCTAGTATCGGGTTCGAAAAGGGGGGAATCGACCCATTATGGAGGCCTCGATATAAAAGAGATAAGTCTTTGAACCCCTGTGTTCATCAGTCCCTGATAGCAGCATTGTCGACCATCATTTAGGCGTTAAGGCCTTCTCAGTCGCCTTGTTCTGATCTCTATTCGGGGTACCTGTATTATGTTACCTCGACTATCCTGTGATGAAATCTAGTAACAAACTCGACCGCCTGTACTCCTCTCTGCAGATCGTGCTCACTAGACACCTCGACCCTTAAATCTTGCACATGATACCCTTGTGTTGAATTAATAAAGGCGGCTATATATCACAGTATTACCTGGAACAATAAACCCGTGTCTCAGGGATGGGAACGCAATGGTGGAATGACCGGATATGGTGCGGGGGTTCATCTGTCTGAAACATTCCAAACTGCTTCCATCCAAACAAATCGCGGAGTTCAAAACGGGTAACGAAGTACCTAGGGGTATTGCCACACCTAAGTTATATGAGAAGGTACATGACATGGACACTTCACATGTAGACCTGAAGCAGGACTGGCAATGCCGGCCTTACTTTTGACGTTTGACAGATCGGTAGTACCTAACTACCTATCATCAACACCCGCACGGTTCACGAGCAGATCAATGGCTTTGCGACCAGTTCGCGCCCGAGGATCCCGTTCGGACTCGACTAGATACTCGAGACATCAGACGAAGCTCCGAGTTTGCTGCCTCGTGGACGAAACAAGGCAGCGCATGTCCGTAGGGCGACTCTTGACCAAAATCATCTCCAATGAATGGACAACCGATAGCATCCCTGAATCTTGATGAGGAAGGCGTGTAATATCACCAAGTCATGAACTAAATCTGTTTAGATGGACTTCATCTCAGATGATGACCAGTGGTGTGTCTGGTGGATGCGATGGGAATTGGGATCAAGCAGCCACCTCACCAGCGACCAGCAACCCAGTTTCAGAATCGCTCGCCCACAACGAGTCAGACGGGATTCCCGCCCAACCATCAAACGCTCTAAATCCAGACAATAGAAAAAAAGGATCGTCCACATCCGTGTTTCCGTGGCTCTCTTAGCTCCTGATCCATGACCGGGTGGTGGTCGCTAAGCCCAAGCCAACCGAAGATGCGCCCAATGATGCCGCTCTTCTGGTTCTCCACCAAATCCAGCGTTTCCAACCTCGACGCCTTTGTTTGACATCGCACTCAACCTCCAACGACACATCTTCGCTCACTTCCCACCTCCGCTTGTATTCCAAGTTCCTAGCCTTTGGAAAGTATCGAAGTTCTAGGCACCCTTTGGAAAGTATCCTTCTAGTCCTGTAGGGGATCGATGTCCCCCGTCCTACCAAACATGCTTTCCAGCGGTACCTGGCCAATTTTCCCTGCATTAATGCAGGAACGACAGCAACGTCATGGATTCCTGGATATTATCGCAATTCCAACATCCATGGTTATTTTCTCCTTGCCAGCGCTTGAGCTCCTCGCTGCAGTTCTCCTCGGAATGCGGACCATGTTCACCGACTCTCACAAAGATATGACTCTATCGAAAGATAGGAAAGTGATACGTAACTTGGCGACAACCAAGGGACATGTCTCGCATAGTATTCGAACCAATAAGCCGATGTGTGAATCTCGAAATGCCACGTCTATCACGAGGCGCCTAGCCGCGGTGTCCGGTTGGCATCGAATGATCCCGTAGCGTAGCTTCACTACAGCAAGCGTGATCGACGCATGGAACATGGAAGATCATTGATGAAAGGGCCCCACGACAAGGTAAGTATTGGCGAATATAAAACGAGGAGCAAACATGCAGCATCCCATAGGTGGGACCCCGAAAGCCAGAAGATCTGGAAGTTTCATGAAACAGGGTCAGAGGATCCGGAGTGCGTTACTGGAGAAAGCGGAAATAAGAAATATATATCTTTGTTTCTCGCTCCACCGAGTTCGCTTGTTGTTTATTGGATTCAGTTGCTGCTTCTTCACATGAATGGCGAAGTTCCTTGAGCGCTGATGGTGAAAAGAAATTTGTCTTCCTTCACATCTGCTCAATCTCCCGCTTCTGTCCGCCTTCTCACACATTTCACAAACACCCCCAATCCCCTTTCTTCATCCTTTGCTTCTCCCAGTTACTGCTTTGCTCCAATTACCAATTGTTTTGCACGCACGCGCTCTGCTGTGGGTTCATTCAACTCTAAAAGTGGCAACTGGTGACTGTCAAGTGGCATCACACATATATTTTCTGCTTGGCTTCTCCCATTTTCTCTCTCACTGCACACTGTCAACAAATACTTTCAAAATACTGCAGCCGACATTCAAAATTCCATCCCAGGCAGGCTGGAACACTGCATCATCACAACAAACACGTTGACGGAAACTCACATACACACCCCCTGTTTGCACTACTTCAATTCGGCAACGATTGACAGTTGGAGCATCTCGCCCAAGATCAACTGTTGACATCGTTCAACATGCGTGCTTTCGCTTCAGTCTCCCTGGGCTTTGCCGCTCTACATTCGCTGTTTTCCCTCACGTCGACCGCTCCAACTACTGGCACTCTGATTCCAGGTCAAAGCTTGAATCCCGTTGCCGCTCATGTTCCACGACAAGGAACCACCTATCCTGGTCAATCCGCTGCGGGACCGTACTGGGTTTCCAACATCGAGCGTAAAGGCACCGTCGCCTACGGAAACGCCGATTTCAAAATCTTCCGCAACGTCAAGGACTATGGCGCCCGTGGAGATGGCGTTACAGACGACACCGCTGCGATCAACCAGGCCATCTCGGAGGGCAATCGATGTGGTGGTGGCGGATGTGATTCCAGCACCGTGACCCCAGCGATTGTTTACTTCCCTGCCGGCACGTACATCATCAGCCAACCTTTGCTCCAGTACTACTACACCCAGATGATCGGTGATGCGACAAACCTCCCTGTCCTCAAGGCCGCACCGCAGTTTGAGGGAATGGCAGTCATAGACGCCGATCCGTATCTCCCCGATGGCGTCAACTGGTTCACGAACCAAAACAACTTCTTCCGACAAGTTCGCAACTTCGTCATCGACTTGAGGGCCATGCCCCCGAACCGCGGAGCCGGTATCCACTGGCAGGTTGCACAAGCTACGAGTCTCCATAACATCCGCTTCGAGATGGTTAAGGGAGGCGCCGACAACCGACAGCAGGGGATTTTCATGGACAACGGCTCCGGTGGATGGATGTCAGACCTCATCTTCAACGGTGGCCAATACGGCGCTTTTCTTGGCAACCAACAGTTCACGACGCGCAACCTCGTCTTCAACGACTGTGACACGGCCATCTTCATGAACTGGAACTGGGCTTGGACCTTCAAGTCGGTTTCCATCAACAACTGCCGTGTCGGCGTCGATATGGCCAACGGTGGCTTCAATCAAACTGTCGGCTCGATCCTCATGCTCGATTCTAAGATCCAAGCCACTGATTGCGGCTTCAATACCTCTTTCTCCCCCGACTCGATCCCCAACTCTGGCGGTACCCTGATTCTCGAGAACACCGACTTCACCGGGACCCCGGTCGCCGTGAAAGGCCCGGGTGACCAGACGGTCGTTGCCGGAGGTGCTCATGTCGCCAACTGGGTCCAAGGCCGCTCCTACATCGGCAACGATGGCATGCGCACGCAAACCGTCGTCACCGAGCCCGCAAAGTCAGCTGGCCTACTCTCTGGCAATAAGGTCTTCGAGCGATCGAAGCCGCAGTACGAAAACGTCCCCGCCTCGCAATTCGTGTCCGTGAAATCCGCCGGTGCGGTTGGCGACGGGCTTACTGACGACACCGCTGCCATTCAGCAGGCGCTCACCAACCTCAAGGATGACCAAATCCTCTACTTCGACCATGGCGCCTATCTCATCACCGACACGGTATTCGTCGGGTGCCACGCGAAGATCACCGGTGAAATCTGGCCTCTGATCATGGCGTCCGGGCCCAAGTTCCAAGATCCCGCCCAGCTCCGCCCCGTGTTCAAAGTCGGAAACTCCGGCCAATCCGGCGCAGTTGAGATGTCCGATCTGATGTTCGAGACGCGCGGTCCAGTCCCTGGCGCCGTGCTGATGGAGTGGAACCTGAACGCCGAAAAGCAAGGCAGCAACGGCATGTGGGACGTTCATTTCCGCATCGGCGGCAGCGCCGGCACCTTACTGCAATCTGATACATGTGCCAAGAAGCCCAGTGCTCCTCATGGCCCGGATCCGAAATGTGTGGGCGCCGGGATGCTTTACCACACGACCAAAGACGCCTCGGTGTACCTCGAGAACTGTTGGTTCTGGGTGTCGGACCACGAGCTCGACCTCGCCGACCACTACCAAATCGACATCTACAACGGCCGTGGTGTGCTCATCGAGTCGCAGAACCCCGTCTGGTTCTACGGCACGAACTCCGAACACAACGTGCTCTACAACTACCAGGTCATGAATGCCAAGAACGTCTGGATGGGCCTCATCCAGTCCGAGACGCCCTACTACCAATCCAACCCGTCCGCGCCATTCCCCTTCACGACCCCCATCCCTGGCGACCCGACCTTCGGCGCCCCCGACGCCCTCTCCAACAAAGCCTGGGGCCTCCGCGTGGTGGATAGTGAGGACGTCTTCGTCTACGGCGCCGGGCTGTACTCCTTCTTCGAGAACTACGACCAGAAGTGTGTGCCGGCGAACAACTGTCAGAACGGCATGATCAGCATCGAAGGCACATCGAAGAACATCCGGCTCTTCGGCATCAGCACTAAGGCGGCGGTGGACATGATCGTGAGCTCGCAGGGCTCGGTGAAGGATCTGGATAATCGGAGCAATTTCTGCGGGACGGTCGCGAGGTGGGTGCAGAGCTGAGCGGAAGACAGACACGATGGGATGTCTGCACTTCTGATTACACTCACGCGGCAGAATTGGGCAGATTGTACATAAACCCGAATGCTTTACGTTTCTTCCATTCCTCGCACCTTTAATCCCTTTCCCCTTGACCTCCACCGATTTCCTTATCCTTTCTCGCAGCTGAGCGTTACAGTACTAGCATGGTATGGGACCATCGCCCTCACGGCGCATTCGGCATGGCGACCACAGACTGGGGGTCGGACTTCATTTTTGGAGGAACCGTTCGGAGCGTTCGTGCGTGGACGGCAGTCTGAGGGCTAGCGTGGCATATCGAGACCAACTTCGGTTGTCAATTTTTCTTTCTCGGTAGATGAGCGATCCTAGATACCGCCTTTCGGAGCTTGGGAGGTCGCGAAGGATTTTCTCGGTTAGAGGGTTGTATCTGAGGAGGAGTCGGTGTCTCACGAGAGAAAGGTCCGCTTTGTATGTACGAATATACCCGCAATAGGCGGATAAAAATTGAATAGTTCGACTTCATGATGGTGCTCGGGTGAAGTGCGTGTGTGACTTGATGTTCGATAAGCTCGCATGCCGTCGCTCGACACGGCGCTAGAGATATATACATGTTTAACTTTAGATTTGGGGCATCACCAGAAATTCCCCAACTCTCCGTCGCCCTTTTGAGAACCATCTCCGACTCGGTGGGAGCCGCCGGTCTTCCTCTCTTCCAGCATGACTTTAATCACGCCCGCCAACCTCTCCACCCCTTCCTCCAATTTGTCTTCATCCTCCCACGCAAAGCAAAGCCGGATCAGGCTTCGGAACCGTGTCTTCTCAGTGTTGTTGTCACCCGGCACCTCAAAGATATCCCCCGGCGCGACGATCAAGTTGACTCTCTTGCAGCGGTCAACCACCTCGGTCGCAATGAGTGGAGCAGGGAGAGTCAGGCAGAGGAAATACCCACCCGCAACACGATCGATATACTCTCCATCCGTACGACTCTCACCTCCTACATCCCCCTTCCTCCCACCACCAATCGGTTCAACCGTCGACTCCACAACTTCCACTCCCATCACCCCCTCCACCGCATCCCTCAACCTCCTCCACCGCCTCGCATACTCCCTCCTTAACCTCCTCACCTGCCTCTCCGTCTCCCCACTCTTCAAACCCTCCCCAACCACACACGCCGTAAAATGCGACGGCGCGCCCCCCGACCGTGTCGCCCCGACCCGCCCTAACGCCGTCACCGCCGCGCTCGCCCCCTCCACCCACCCCGTCCGCAACCCCGGCCCCAGCAGCTTTGAAAACGACCCGTTCGATAGCGCGTGCCCGAACGGGTGCGTGGGCGGCGAGGCGCGCGGGAGAAAGCGGTCTATATCGGTGAGGCGGGGGAGGACGGCGCGGGCGGGTATGGTGGGGGAATGGTGGGAAGTGTTGGGTGGGAGAACGGGCCAGTAGAGCATATCGTAGACGTCGTCGCTGACGAGGAGGGCGTCATAGCGTCGGGCGAGGCGGATGAGGGATTCGCGCCGGGGGAGGGACATGGTGCGGGAAGAGGGGTTGGAGAAGGTGGGAACGCTGTAGATGAGGTGGCGGTAGTAGTGCGTGCGGCCGGGTTTCCTCGGGCCGGGTCGTCTGTCTTGTTCACGCAGTTGGCTATCGCCCGAGGTGGATTCCTCGCGTCGGAGGCGCTCGTCGTCCTCGACGGCTTGGATTTCGTGCTCGAGGAAGTCGATGTCGATGCCTTCGTTACCTTCCGGGACGGCGCGCAGGCGGCCGACGAAGCCAGCGTCTTCGAAGATGCGGAACGCGAGCATGTAGGCGGGGGCGACGATCCAGATGCGGAGGGTTATAGTTGGGTCGGTGAATGCGGCGAGGATGTTCGCGAGGGATTGGGAGGCGCCGCCAGTGATGAGGATCCTGTCGGATGGGATGCTCGCGTCGGGGTTGGGGGGAATTGAGCTGCTCACATCGACAGGTGGTTCCGCTGTAGCTGCAGAGCCACCTGTCGCTGGAGGATGGTCAGGTTGATATACGCCGCCGTAGAAGTCCGTTAACCACTTGGCGACCTCGTGACGTACTTCGACGTCCCCTTCATCGGGTCCGTAGCAGAGAGCGGTGGTCGAGCGGGTGGGGTTGGCGAGGAGGGTTGAAGCAGAGGCCTGCAGGAGGGACGGTGGGAGAAGGCTCGGGTGGGGCCAGCCGCGGAGGAAGTTGATGAGCGGGAGTTTAGAGGAGGGGTCCGCGGTTGCGGCAGAGAAGTTCGACATGGTGATGGCTCGGCTGAGGAAGGGAGTTGAGGGTGGAAGTGGTCGGGGATAGGGGATATAACTGGGGTTCGAGTATGGATAATGGGGCCGAGGGAGGAGGGAACGCGGTACTCGAATATATCGCATTAATGTTCGAGGGAGAAACGATCCAGAACGACTTGCAGCTCTAGGTCGTAATGGTCAGGTTTTATCCACCGGTGTCCTAGCTCTTATATGTAATACTAATAGTTCTTACCCGGTCTCGCAGAGATAAGCACAAAATCCTTGTTACGTTATAAGGTAGACAATACACAACCAACAAGATCCGCGGCCACGTTAGACCTCTCTTGTATTTGCTACAACAGGCATGTCGTATAGTATTTGAGTGCCTCTTCAATTATGTACTGCCCGAGATGATGCTACGGTTGTTGTTCAAGTTCGTGAGACCTGGTCAGCAGGAGGCGCCGTAGGTAGAAAGGTGGCGCAGCGCCACATCTTGAGTCACGGCACCGAAATCGGAATAGCCGAAAATGCTTGATTCAACTTCAACTGCCCGTTTGCCTCTCACCGCAAGAAAATGAGTCAAAGGATAAGGAATAGAGCGTGAAAACCATATCGATCAGTAAAATTCCGACATTTTCCTTCAGAGAAACTTCTGAAATTTATCTGCCGAGTTAATTGACTCTTGAATACCTCGATAAGCCGTTTCAGTTACCGTCGCAAATTGCTCCGTGAACACTCAATTTGTTTAGCAAGAGGAGAGGTCATAAGGAGGAAAATCGACATGTCGGCCGCTCTGCCAGGGACGAGAGACCCTCCACAATCTCAATATGACTTGACTACATACTGGGGCCGGGTGCGCCATGCTGTCGATATATCAGATCCTAGGTAAGAATTCTGTGCCCTGAATATATCTTGGGGCGAGTATGACTACTGGCATTTGCGAAGACTTCTTCCACTCGCCCGGCAGGTTCTTGTCCCAGATATCTGTCGCGGTGAATGTTAGTTAAAAGAACATATCTAACTGTATATACCTGCAGCACACTGTTCGTCTCTTCAGCCGGTTTGGAGAATGCCAAGCAGATCATTACCGCCTACAAGACGGGCGAGTTGAAGGACCCAACCCCCGAGTTTTGGGCGGCGAAGAAGATAGTGGACTCGACACTGCATCCTGACACGGGACAACCTGTCTTGTTGCCGTTCCGAATGAGCTGCTTCGTCATATCCAATCTGGTTGTCACGGCGGGCATGTTGACCCCTGGACTAGGAGTATGTTCGCTCCCCTTTCTACAGTTATTCAGCTAACCCCTGTAGACTGTTGGAACAATCGGCTGGCAAATCACCAACCAATCCCTCAATGTCGCCATCAACTCCTCCAACGCGAATAAGTCTTCCCCATTATCAACCCAGAGCATCATCACGTCCTACTTCCTCGCCGTCTCTGCCAGTTGCTCCGTGGCCGTGGGTCTCAACTCTCTCGTCCCTCGCCTCCGCTCTCTCTCAGCTGGCACCCGACTTATCCTCACCCGCCTTGTTCCCTTCGCCGCCGTCGCCTCTGCCGGTGCCCTCAACGTCTTCCTGATGCGCTCTAGCGAATTACGAAAAGGAATCGACGTCTACCCCTGCCTTTCCCCCGAAGAGAAGAACGCCGGAGTAGTCGCCAGCCCGGTCGGCAAATCCAAACGCGCGGCCTTCCTAGCCGTGGGCGAGACGGCGCTGAGTCGTGTTTTAAACTCCACCCCGATCATGGTTATTCCGCCGCTGATCTTGGTACAACTGCAGAAGCAAAAGTGGATGAAGCGGAGGCCGGGGCTGGCGCTGCCGGTGAACCTGGGGTTGATCTTAGGGACGAGTCTGGGAGCGCTGCCGTTGGCTCTGGGTGCGTTTCCGCAGAGGCAGCAGATATTGGCCGGCAAGTTGGAGAAGGAGATTTCGGAGAGAATAGGGAAGGATACACCGGTGGAGTTCAACCGTGGTATATGATGGGTTTGTTGATTCAATCAACGTTTTTCTGGCGGTTCACGGTGGGGTGCTTCTATCATGTAGTCTACGAGCATAGAATTGTTTCAAATGGAGCCTATTTACACCCGTGTTTTGAGATCTATCAACGTTTTTGTGTGCTGTCCACGCCTATGCAAGAAGACTTCCACTCAATCTTCAAGGCATTGCTAGAGAGGCCCCAGGGGACCATGATTCAAAGGTCTTCCGCAATATCCCACTGAAATTATTCCCGTATCCCTCGAATTGAGGAACTTCTGTTATCCTGTGGGAATATCGAAAATGCAACTTGAGTCTCACACCATATCTACGCTTGCGGAGCGTGTGAATTCACCGATACCCAACACTACCACCCACATGATCCGTTCATTTTCGGGCCCATTCACTTTCAGGCCCACGCACTGTGTTGTTGATGCTTTTCGAGCTCAATCATTTTCAGCCTGCTCTCGTCTAGCTTGACCTTCTTCTTCCGCTTTCTTCCTCCCTTCCTTCTCTTCCTACTTTCTTCCTTCAATATCATGCACACACTGATTTCATCCACCAACCATCAACCATCCACCCAGCCATCCACTGCGTTGAGGTTATTGACTAACGATATTAAATCCTCACTACAATCTTTGTATATCCGTACAGCCTTTAAAGCATCCCCGTTACTCAGATAGCATCCATCACCCCCTCCTATCATCTCCAGTGCGATCGACCTCACGTCCTCCGAAGGATATTAGCACTTCACAATGAAGTTGCTATACTTGCTCTCGATCGTCCTGCTGTGTGTCGGCTTCGGCTCAGCATCCCTGAGTCACTCCCATAGAATGTCACAAAGATTATAAGCCCATGGGCTTATGGTCTGTCCATTTCTCCCGTCGTCGCCCTTCCTGGCGCCACAGCCTCGCCGGTTCCGTCGTCGTCTTTCGAGTCTGACTTCGTGCCGAGTCTCGATCCGCCTCGCCCGACCGCCCAGCCCACGGCACCCCACGGGTGCGATTACGTACCCGGCCGCTGGTCGTGGCTTCGCGCTCTGTGGTTCCGGGCTCTGGGGAAGCCTGGCCTTGCCTTCAACCTTGAGTCTCGAGTCTTGAAGTCTTTAGTTTTCTCGAGTCATGGTGATGTGGGTCACATGTCTTGAAAGTTGGGCGCACACCAGCCACCCCCGTCTCATTATTTTGCTTTGGTTAGATGCTTTTGCTTAAGACACACATCCCAGTTCACTCACACACTGCACACTATTCACTCTGCTTGACTTCAGGGGCATGGTGCCATAAAGGTGCTTCAAGCAGAGGGTGCCTTTGCATGCGCTTTCCTTTTCCTTGCTTTTTCTGGGGATTGCCTTATGGCTCACAATGACTGAGCATCTACTGACTTCTGTCACAGGTACCCACTCCGGATATCGTAAGCCAGGTGCCCGCTCAATGATCGTCCTTAGCGGTGCAAGCGAATGGCTTCTCGGCACTGTACGACCAGATCCCCGAGCGGCTGGTTGGGACCCCTGGCAGCGCACTGGCATGGCTTCGGCCTACTTTCCTCTCGATGGATCGCGACCAGTACTCTGCTGCGTTTGTGATTCCGTCTTTGCGTCGCCTTGAGTCTCGGCCTTCAAGAACCCCGCGTGGCTCTCGAACTCGACCGTAACGAAAGTGCTGAGACTGGTTCTGGACTCCTCCTCGTGGTATGGTGCACTCAAGAAGTGCTGGATCAACGTCGGGGATCTTTTCTCAGCATGGAGCAGGAACGGGGTATTGTCTGCCATCGAGGGGCTCAGAAATAGGATATTCCTGGAAGAAGTCCCCGAGCTGGTCGGCTATCTGCCTTCCAGTGTCTCCCTTGCCCCACTCGGATGGATGACTGTCACGGTAATCGCTTTCATGCTGGGTCGCACAAGCATGGCAATTTTGCGCTGCTGCTTTCGCTCGGACTACGACAAAGCCCTTGTGGTCGTAGTGGGATATGCCCTCGAGCAATTCGAAAGGTTCGATATCGCCGCGAAGAAAATGCTCCGTAAAACTGAGTGTTTCCTGACGCAGCCGAATGTCCAGTACGCTATCGCCTTCACCGGCGATAGAACCTTCGACATAGTGATCATCCTGGCAGCCAAAGCCATTATTTCTCCCCGGTTCCTCCTGAACTGGATACCTCGTTGTTTGTAATTCTTCCTTTCCTGCATCAATTTCGTCCAGCTGGCCCTCGGGCTTCAATTCCAACGCCTGGCCAACTTTATTTACAGGAAAAGTGGCGAATTGACGGAAAGCGAAGACTGGGCCGGGCAATCTCACGACAGCCGCCGTGCCGCGCAGGACCTATCATCAAAGGCCTGTCGCTGGATTCACTGGAAGGCAGTCGGCCATCTCGAGGATCATCTCTGCGATCTGGATCCGGCGAAAGCGAGTCTCTGCGGGCTCCAGAGCACGTCGGCCACCAAAGATAAGAAGATTCATGAGTAGCAGTTGATCTGAGTTAAGCGCCCGCGCCCGCGCCCGCGCCCAATACGCAGAGGACCAACACGATGATGTCGTTACGGAACCCCGAAACTTCGTGAAACAGGCCGTGTGGGATCAGGGACAGCGTCTTATCTTCAGATTCGCGGCCTCGTACAGTGCCTTTTTTCCGCGCGTCCACCCCGATGCAAATCCGCCAAGGCTCACATAACGCGAAGAACAGCCTCCACTCTTCGAACCTTTGAATTCGGATCCTTCGGGATCCGCCATATTTCAAACACAAAACGCTTCGCAGCTGTGATCATGCGAGCAATCGCCACACCGATAGACAGGCAATCCACGGTTTCGGGTGATCAGACAGAGGATGAGATGTTTTGTGACCACTAATCAAATCTTCAGTCGTGCCCCGACAATTCGTCGCCTAGCAACCGATCGCCACATCGACGATAAATAAACCACGTCTCGGGCAATCAGACATATAATGAGTTGTGTGACCACTCATCAAATCTTCAAGTTCGGATTCTTCTAGATCGATAAAATTCTTAAGCAAATCTTCAATTCTGCTCCGCATGTCGTGACCATACGAGCAATTTCCACGTCCACGACACAGTCAACTAAACTATGTCATCAAGCGATCAGACACAGGGTGAGCATTTTATGTGACCACTCATCGGGTCTTCAAGTCGGATCATCAAGCTATTCAGCTTCCCGAGTCGTCTCCATACGAGCGAGCAACACTCACAAACGAACAATATATCGTTTCGATTCGGTTGATCAGACACATGAGGAGCGTTTCATTCGTCTCTTCATCAAGTTTTCAACTTCGGATCCTTCCAGGTCCACCATCATTTCAAGCAATTCATTCTTCTCGCGTAGTGACCACGCGGGCAATTGCATCCACCGCCGCCCGGAAGCCCTCCATTTCTTCTTCCACGTCGCCGCCTCGTCCTGCCGACGAGAAGCTTACTGAGCTACCAACATACACTGGCTTTCCAACTCTCCGCGCCAAAGCTTTTGCGAGACGGGATGCGAAGTCAACCGTGCCGGCATCGATGTAAAGGGGTGTGCTAATCGGTTGTTCGGTCGGATGGTCGCGCTGTTTTCAATCAAATCGTCAGCGACACGTTCTTCTTGCTGTTGAACTTCAAACCAAAAATAGTTGGATCATTTTATCAAAAGTAGTAAGTTCCGACACATTCACTCCATCCGAGCGTCGACTGTCAACCGGACATAGGCATCAATCATTTCAAACATCTCAATGATGCGGGAAACCCGCAAAATAGAGCTGCCAAAAGCAGCTGTCCTCATTCATTGCTCTCGTCAAAAACCATAGCAGATTGTCGAGCACACAGGCCTCAGAAACTTCATATCAACTTTGCAAACTCCTTGGCATCAGTGGCCCGACAGTCCGGTCTCAACCGCGCCACATACGTGGCAGGCTTTGTTGAGACCAAAACCATAGTAGGTAGTCCTTGCTCCTCAATTGCTTGGCCATGCTAACCATCGCTCTTTAGAACTAAAACAAAAACAAAAACAAAAAAAAAAGAAAAAGAAAGGAAGAAATGCCTCCAAAGAAGGGGCGGGGTCGGGCAGAGGAGGAATTGAAAAGGGGAGAAGCCTCCAAATAGAAGAGGCGTGGTAGGGCAGGTGAGGGAATGAAGGGGTGAAGAAGCCTCCAAAAGAAGGGGGCGTGGGAAAAAGGAGGAGCACCAGGTCGGACTGCTACGGGTAGTGGGATGGGAAAACGGAGGAGCATTGGGTTGGGCTGCTATGGCAGCGAAGGGACAGAAGGTTGGATTCGGGACAGCTTCTGGCTGGCGCCTGGCCATCACGAAGGGGGCCAAGCGTCGGCTAGACCCACCCAGCGGTAAGTCTGCTCTGGCATCTCATGAACATTGACAGAAACGGAAACTAACTTGCTTACATTCGGCAATGAGTACACGAACGAACCCATGGAGGAGAGGGCTCGTGTCGTGGATTCTCCGGTCGTGGTGAGGAAGGCCATGACAGAGGTTTGGAGGATGGTGAGGTGGACATGGATGCGGGTCTGGGGAGCGTGCGGAAGCGGGATGGAGAATTGGATGGGTGATGAAGATGAGATCTTTGGCGCGGTGAGAGCCATATCTCAAGTCATTCGTCAGTTGCCAGGATCTGGATCTTTGTTGGAGCAGTCTCACTTGTGATTCCAGAGCTCAGTCTCAGAGCTTAGTCTCGGGCCAAGTTCAATCTAACTATGAGGTGGCGTTCGAAAGTGGTTTGAACAGCCTGACGAGAAGATTCAGAGCTTAGTCTTGTAACGGCCAATCGGATCATGGGGTGGCGTTCGGAAGTGTTTGGGCAGCTTGATGGGCAGCTTTAGAGCTCAGTCTTGTACGAGGAAAGGTGTTGAAGAAAGGTGTTGACTGGGAAGTAGTCAGATTGAGCCGGCCGTCAAACAACCGCTCAAAGGGACTTGGGGGACACTGACATCATGTAAGGCCGAGTGGTAGTGGTATTTACTCTCTGTATTTATTTTCTAGTCTGGTCGAGCTTCAATCAACTAGCTCCTAGACGAAATCACAACACATTTCACTCCAAGCTCAGATGTATTTCGGTGAACATTCAAGGGAATCGATGAAGTGATGTTGAAAGTGGGCTGCTGACTAAGCCGACTTCCCTGCTCATCACGAATCGATATTCCCAAGTTTTGACGATATGCACGCGCCTAGACGCGAGGACGAGCCTGAACAGTTAATCTGCATGGTAAAGGGAGGGCCAAAGGTAGATCAGAACCGACCGAACGGTACTCCGGCGCCTATGCCGACATCGCAAACCTCGAGCCGCAAGAGATTCCGATCGCTTACACCGCCCTCCTCCCCGAGATCTGCATCCGCGCGTATCGAGCTCCGAGCTGTCTCCCCAGCCCTATCCCAGCTCTCCGACTCGCACACCGCGAAATATTCCCAGCTCACACGATCGCGATCCGAGTCGCCCGCTCCCAATCGACAGCATGCAATGAAGTGTTTCCTGCCACCACACCGACCGCTCACCTTCCAGACGTACGAGGAGTATGAGTTACATTACACCCAGGCACACAGGCATCGGTGTGCGGAGTGCATGAAGAACCTTCCTAGCGATAGGTATTTGGAGTTACATATTGCGGAGAATCATAACCCGATTAATCAGGCGCGGAAGGAGAGAGGGGAGTCAATTGTGGGTGGCTAGGATTGTCCGGGTGATGGTTACAGGCTAATATGTCGAGCAGTATCAATGTTTCGTAGAGGGATGCGACAAGGTCGTTGAGACATGGTGGAAGAGAAGGTTGCATTGCATTGATAAGCATCAATACCCAAGGGTAAGCAAGGCGTTTATGCGGTTCTGCGCTGAGAATTTCTCTAACCTCTGGCCTAGAACTATGACTTCTTCATCGTCAACGATGGTATTGATCGACGACATTCTATGCTCCAGCCGGAATGGGTAACGCGACGCAAGTTGGGCGAACAGCAAGCTAAAACCTCACCCTCGGGTTCCCAACGAGTCGTCGCAGCCAAGAACGAAGGCAAACGCGCAATTCTCCCTGGTCAATCTGTTTCAAACGCGAAATCTCCACGGAAATCTCAGGGCGATAACCAGAAGGGCGCGGTGGACAACGATGAGTCCGACACCGACGTGGTCGAGGCTGACGGGGATGAAATGAACGAGGACTACGATTTTGATCAAGGCAATAATAATGACGTGAAAGACGATGCCATGACCGATCTCACGACGTCCATGTCTTCCTTGAAATTTGTTCCACGAAATATACGATTCGGACGAGGCCGAGGACGAGGCGGGTTTGCAAACCGATGATGTCGTTAGGTGAGCGACTTGGGTATTGGCACAGTTCTCATTTTGGAATACGAGACACGGCGTATTGATTACTAGTCGTTGCATTAGCGAGCGGGCTACCGGGAGCACCGCTCCTTGCTTTGAGGCCGAGAGACTTTGGAAATGGGAGTAAACAGCGAGCAACTTCGGTGGCAAATGGATGGGGAACAACTGTACACTCACTATGATGAGGGCAAGTCGATTTCTATTGGCTTTACGGTTTAACCATGTGTGTGGGAAGACTACCCCTTCGAGACTTTGAGACAACTTCGGAGTTTCCGGCAGTGGTTCATACCAAAGTTTCGCCCGACCGATGGTGGGATGCCCGAAGGGACGATTTGGATACATCAAAATCACGAACTCCGCATGCAGGTCATCGGATCAGGGTCATTCGAATGCTACCGCAAACCTACGCAGGTGGCACGAAATGAGGAGGTTGCCGTCATACAACGGTGTATAGCAACAAACCACAATCCCAGCATTGTTTTCGATGGTGCGACTATTGTAAATAGATTGAATACGAATTCATGATTTGCACCACCATACGGTGCTCCATTCTCGAGCTCCAGAGACAGTGGTTGGGGAATGGATCGACACTAATATCGCATAGCTAAACTTAGAAATGGTTCTCCACCAAACGCCAAGTCTCGGTCTAATATCTCCGTGTTTCAACCGTTGCAAGTGACATCTATTTGTCTGCTTAGTCCCGCGCACCATCCAGGTGTATTAAAACATGCTCTATTCCTATTGGTCTTTAATCGAATATTTCGATAGCAGCCTGCTCTCCATAGATTTGTTTAGGCCAACCGGATCGATGTCGGGATGGACGTTCCACGGCCCGCCCACCAGAGCAGCTGAACTGCTAGGGATGATCGTAACTCGATGACGTTACCGAGCAGAGGTTACATCGAGAATCCAATATCATTGACCCGCCAGTACCGGAGGGAAATAAACAATACGAGATCGAAAGTCGTCAAAGCTGAGCCGTTTACTTCGCTGTCAGCAAAGAATTCGAGAGTTCGCTGGGCATACCTGGGAGGGCGGCATGTCCAGACAATTAATATATAATTCCGGGCTCCTCATTTCTTAAAGTTTCCGCTTCTGAAAGTTTTTGGTTTCATACATCCACTGTCAAGTCATCCAAGAATATTTTGATTGTAGCAAAACAACACGTCGTTTTACTTTCCGTCACGATGAGATCGATCGTTAACATTTTTCTCGCTATCGCCCATGTCCTTCCGGCTACGTTAGCCCAGGACTGTCCGATCAGCGAGCGCCCAAATCTCGCGACTTGGACGTCCTACAAGCCCGGCGACCGCCAATATAACGCACTCAAGGCAAACTATGGCGGTGCTTTGAACCTCTTCACCGTCCAGACCGGGGACTACTGCCCCATCGACCCGCCATCGAACTGCCCCAATGGAACCGAGACGGCCTGGGCCGGTACTAGTCCCGTAAGTTCCCCTACAGTCCCCGTTCTAATATACTCACCCTATCCAGTACTCCATCGTCCCTGGCGGCCAGGAGATGTACGTCGACCCTACCGGCCTGGTGAAGATCACCGTGCAACACTCCCACTACATCCCGCCGGGCTCCTACGCGAACGGCGAAGGTTGGAAGTGGACCGCGCTGCCCCTGCCGGAATGCCAGGACCCCATCCCCTGTCCGCGGTCGGCGTTCTACTTCTGCTCACCGCCATCGGGGTACTGGACGTTCCAGATCGAGGGCCAGGAGCGCGGAGGGTTCGCGGCGTGTCCGAATCCGTGGGACGGGGAGGTCACGAGTGTGTATGCGGTGACGGACGCATTTAATCGGACGGATTGTGTGGAGTTGGAGGGGTTGGGGACGCATGAGTATACTGGGGAACCAGTGTGGTCATTCGTGTAGAGAATCAAGCAGGTCGTGATAGGGGATGAAGTTGGGATATCCTAAGATTCTAACATATTGCGCTTATTAGGCAATTCAAGAGGTTCACTTCTAATTTCTAATAGTAACAAAGGATTGAAAATGGTGCAAATTCCAATGTCAATAAAGATTCCCGAATTTTGCCCTCCTACGCCATGCTGTATGTCTCCCACCAACGCCGCTGACGTCGTATGAATTGTAGTAAGCACCTAAGATATATGTATGAAAGTAACTTCGTTAATTCGTTTCTTCTCATAATGCTTTCTGAGGTTATTCTTCTTAAACAAGTATAATGAAAATCAAGGCCTTAATTAGAACTTGCTGTCATGGGCATGGGGGCAGCTGGGTTGCAGCTGATTGCCACAGAGATGTGGCTGGTGGATTGCATGTGGATTATCAGAAAAGCAAACATGGTGACACAGCATTATCATAGGGTGGCAGAGGGGAGAGTCGCTCTCTCGCGCACGAAGGCGCCAGGAGATTTCTTCCTTCTCTCTCTCTTTAGTTTAGGTTAATGGAACTTGGTAATCTCAGGAGTCAGGACGCAGATCTTCCACATCCAGACCGTGTCATTTGCTGATTAGTGATTACTTAACCTCGCTGACAATTAGGAATGTGTACACTAACCACGCTACGGAATATCGTTCAATCCCTACCTCTACACCGTATCACGATGCAGCCCGGCAAGAATTACAACCATCGTCCTTAAGACATTTCTCTTTCCTCAGAGTTCATATGTCGATACTTACGAATACGCGATGCCGAATTTCCCATCTTCACAAGGTTCGAGTTAGCATCGGCCACTAGCAGCGGGATTGACTGTCTCCCGATAATTGTGGCTACTCGAGCACTTGAACACCCGATCGACCGGACTTAACTTCATGGAGTTCATGTATCTCCTGCGATCCACCGCGAGCGGACTCGCCGTCGCGTCGAATTGGTAAGAATGCATAAGATTTCGGGCGATTAAAAAGGGGGGCGGAGGCTGAGATGTGCAGAGAATGGCATGCTGATCACTGGAAACTGTGCATTTATATCAGGAACTGCAGCCCCAGAACAGATCGGAGTTTGAGATCATACTAAAGCAATTATTATACGAGCTCCCATTGAAAATCCCGGAGCCTTTCATTCGTCATCCTTGATAGCTTACCTTCTATAAAGCCGTACTATACCCTTCCAAACGCGCCAAGATGGTTACCGGAGCTTGTGGATGTAGGAACGTCACCTACACAATCGACGGAGATGAATCCGCCATGAAACCCGTATGTCCCCCTCTATCCAAGCGTATCCCCAAACCCCACCTCTTCTTTCCACCTTCCTTTCCCATCACCAATAACCTCACCAGGGCGCATGCCACTGCCTATCCTGCCGCCGCCTCTCCGGCAGCACGCACACCACCATGCTAGGCATCCCGCAGGCCCAATTCAAAGTCACCGGTACCCCGAAGCAATGGCAGCGCAAAGGCGACTCGGGGGGCACCGTCACGGTGAACTTCTGCGCGGAGTGCGGGCACCATTTGTTCTCCGAGGCGGAGAATATTCCGGGGTTGGTCCTCGTGGTGGCGGGGTCTATCGACGATGCGAAGTGGTTGGATGCGAGGGCACCGTTCATGGAGGTGTATGCGAAGGATAAGGTGCAGTGGGTGCCGCAGTTGAGCGAGGTGGTGAAAAAGGTGGTGTGAGTGAACAGTCGCTGGTTTGGGAAGCGATAGGAGATGCCCTTAGTGCTCGGAGGTTGTCAGACTCCACGTTCAACTTTGACAGCCTGGTATGGCAATAGCCAGGAGATTTTAATCGTGAAATAGACTAGTCAGTACTGCAGCCAAGAAAATCATCGATCTGACCTCTCCGACGCTTCGGGGCCGTCATGCAACTCTGACCAGTGTTTGGAAACCCGGGGCCCGTCTCGAGTGCCGAGTCCCTGCCGCTAGGATTCTACTTCTACTGCAACCTTGATAATAATGCGGAGATGTACGGTAAAGTATCCCATCTGACCATCGATCGTTCTGCAAGTCCACCAACCACCTCGGGCTCCCGACTGATCTAGTTCCGAAATAATCGCCACCAGGGTCCCCTTTCTTGACCGATAACTCGAAATTCTTGACGGATGCAGGGGGCACGTAGTCGTACATCCCCCGCGTAACCTTGAATGGCTAGGGATCTATTTGCCCCTAATCTGTGGATGTTAGTGACATCTCAAACACTATGAACTGGCAAGGGAGATGATTCGTGTAAGTTACGGAACTACTGAATGCTATCCGGCGACGGCTTCGCCTTGAGAGGCCGGCAGACGGAAGCGATTCCTTAACGTAAGGAGGGTGCGATGCTAAACCGGACCCCTACGCCTGATTTCCTCCGTGATCGTGGTCTATTCCTCTTCATACTCCCGCACCAGACGTACCAGCAGGGAATCCTCTTCAGGAGTAAAAGCAACACGATGCCTTCGGCCTGGCCCTAGTCCAAACTCTAAGACGGAGTTTGTACCCCTCCTAAACAACTTCCGTGACTTTCTATGTGACCGCCGCGCCTGTGTCTTTGGCTCTGTAGGCATTAGGACTTCATTGGATCTGAGGTGTCGAGCACGTGGAAAGGACTCCAAAGTGTGGTGAGTCGGGAAGTCAATTGTCGCACTGGAATATACTTAATATGGTTGAAAGTCAGATGATTTTTCGACATCTAGCAAATTCTGTGTCTATATGTGGTCTCCTGCCCTAACTTAGTCCTCCTAAGTTAATATAATTTACATACGAGGCTCATAGCAGGATTATTAATAGAGCCTATAGCCTTAGGCCATAGCTGACGGCCTAGTCTACGACAGTTAGGTCGCTACATGTATGTACCGTCTTCTCCCCTGGCCTACATTTTCACTGTGATTTACCGCGCGTGTATCGACCGATAAAATGCTCAAGTTCCACTTTGATAAGGTATTTGAATAGAAAGGCCCGGCATGCTTAAAAAGTTCAGGGAATATACTTCAAAGTTTGACCCACTGGAACAAACAGTTGAGGATGCACGCTGAGGAGATCATTATATTTGCTCTCAAATGCGCGTATTCAAAATGAGGATACAAGATCTTTTGATTGGTCCTTTCCTGCTTGGCGTAAAGAGGGTACGAATCAGACCCCTTTTAATACGGACAAGTGGGGACATAGTAGAACACGAAGAGCTAGTTAACGCGGAACCTGGGCCAACATGAGGAAATTAGCATCGTCAACGACGTATGCATTCCTCTACCAAATTCAATAACACAGCTAGCGGAAATAAGGCCGAGGATCAAGATTTTGTTTTCTGGTTCAGTGGATAGATAAATCTGGTATCATGCTCTGGTATGGCACATGCCAATATATATAGTGTCCGTTCATCACAGGTTGGCGGTTGGCCTGTCTTAATGTTCTCACACTTTTCCATCCTTAACTATCACCCGGGAACACCTGTCATTATCTACTTGGTTCTCTACGCACGTAGTCATGATCCCGTCGCTGTTCAACGGATCTATCTCGGCCGATGCGTGCTCGGCCTCTTTGATACCATATCCCACTCTCTTTGGCGCAGAATTCTTGTCTCTAGATGCCAACTTCGTGTCAAACTATACAAATAATGTCCATATTGGGCTCTATGCCAATCATGGCGGCGTCAATGTGGAGAATGTTGACTTCTGCAACGTCACCGCTTCGTACACCCATCCTGGCGTGAATGACACGATCTACATCCAGGTTTGGATGCCATCTGACACCTGGAATGGCAGACCACAAGCCATTGGAGGAGCTGGTTGACAGGCCGGTCTTCATTATGTTGGGTTATTCGGCATGGCAGTGGCCGTTGGCGAAGGCTACGCGACTGTCGGGACTGATGCAGGCTTAGGTTCTGATGTTGATCCCACCAATTGGGGACTCCTGTGCGAAGGAAATCCCAACCTCCATCTGCTCCAAAACTTGGCGTCTGTCTCGCTCAACGATGTTTCCGTCGTAGCGAAAAGCACCGTGAAGTCCTTCTATGGTCAGCTTCCTGCATATTCATACTTCAGTGGCTGTTCTCAGGGCGGCCGCCAGGGTCTAATGCTTGCCCAACGTTACCCAGATGCCTATGATGGTATTGCTGCTAGCGCACCGGCAATCAATTGGGCCGAGTTTTTCGTCTCGTTTCTATGGCCAGCTTTTCTTATGGATCTACATGGCCAGTATCCACCTTCGTGCGAAATTGAGGCATTGACTGGAGCTGCAATCGCCTCCTGTGATGGAGAGGATGGTGTGATAGATGGAGTCATTACGAACCCCGAGACCTGCACATTCGACCCTACAAGTCTTGTTGGCAAGGTCATCAACTGCACCAATTTTGGCACGAATGGCGCATTTCAGCCGTAGCAGCGACTATAGTGCAAGGAGCTGTAAGTCTTTGCCCTTTTTGGATATCCAATGGCCCTCCGATTCTTCATTCTCTGTTGTTGTCAGTTGCATTCCGTGACTCTCATTGCTAACTTGCACCAGTGGACTGGCGCTAAACGAGTCGATAATTCGAGTATTTGGTTTGGTGTAGGCAAAGACGCCCAATTGACCGATTCAACAATCCAACGGGGAATCGCTTCTACCACGTGCACTTCCAACAGAACTTGCACACCCAATGAATTGGAGCTCGGTACAAACTGGGTCAAGCTCTTCATTCAGCGAAGTCCAACCGCGACCACAAGGTTTCTTACCCACGAAGAGTACGGTCGCATTGCACATACTTCTAAGCAAGTATATGACTCCATGATCGGCACGGCAGATCCAGACCTTTCAGAGTTTTAGTAAGAGAGGTGGTAAGCTCGTTGGATGTCATGGAACGATACGTTTCCCTATGAACCGAAAAGAGGCAAGGCTGATTTATTGTTCATTAGTCCGACAGTGTCATACCGACACGTGAGAGTGAGGATTACTATGATCGGATTGCGGCTGTCGACCCCAACGTTCAGGACTATTATCGTCTATTTCTTGCACCTGGTTTAGGTCACTGTTTTGGCGGCTCTGGCGCATATCCCGACACCACATTTGACGCCCTGAGAGAATGGGTGGAGAACGGAATTGCTCCAGAAACAGTGGCCGCCACCAGTGTGTCAACTTCGCCCGTCATCAAACGCCCACTGTGCCCATATCCAAAGAAGCAGATATATGATGGTATTGGGGACTCAACTGCTGGTAAGGGATTCCACTGCGTTTGAAGATCATGGGCCATTGTACTTCTCACATTATCATTAAGTCCTCTGCCTTTAATTACAGTCTACGCACTCGTCAACTCCCTACGAGTTTTGTTAAACGGCTGGCCAATCAAGATAGAGTGCCTTGTTTTGGGATCCTGAGTACTTGGGTCCTAGATTTGGGAACCAAATTACCCCCAAAACGGTGTCACAAACCGCCCAAAACGGAGGTCAAGCTGCCGTCAGATTGTTTAAAAGAGTATATGAAAATCAAGGCCTTCCACTACTCTACAACTTCCTTATTAATGATCACTCACCGTAATTGATAATTAGGAATACGTCGCCATGCTACGGAACATCGTTCAATCCCTTCCTCTATGGATACACCATGTCACGATGTAGCCTTGCAAAAATTCCGCTCATCATCCTTAAGATATTTCTCTTTCCCTACAAAGTCCATGAGTCGAGAATTACGAATAACTATACAACGCCACATTTCCCATATCCAAAAACTTCGAGTCAGTATCGGCCACTAGTAGCGGGGTCGGCAGTCTACCGGTAATTGTGGCTACTCGAGCATTCGACCACCCGAATGCGATAACGGTAACGCACCCGATCGACCGGACTTAGCTGACCAGACTATCTCCTCCTATCCACCGTGCGGTGGACTCGCCGTCGCGTCGAACTGGTGAGAATGCGTACTACGTAGGATTTCGGGCGATTAAAGCGGGGCGGAGGCTAAGGGTGCGGAGAATGGTCACGAGAAACGAAATATTTATATCGGGAAGCGCATCCCCAGGATCAGATTGGAGTTCGAGATCATACCAAAGCAATTATTATACCAGCTCCCATTAAGAAGCTCGGGGCCTTTCATTCGTCATTCTTGACAGCTTACCTTCTATAAAGCCATATTCTACCCTTCCAAACGCGCCAAGATGGTTACCGGAGCTTGTGGATGTAGGAACGTCACCTACACAATCGACGGAGATGAATCCGCCATGAAATCCGTATGTACCCCTCCATCCAAGCGTGTCCCCAAACTCCTCTCCTCTTCCCACCTTCCTTTCCCATCACCACTAACCCCACCAGGCCGCATGCCACTGCCTCCCCTGCCGCCGCCTCTCTGGCAGCACCCACAGCATCGTCCTCGGCGTCCCGCAGGCCCAGTTCAAATTAGCCGGCACCCCGAAGCAATGGCAGCGCAAAGGCGACTCGGGGGGCACCGTCACGGTGAACTTCTGCGCGGAGTGCGGGCACCATCTGTTCTCCGAGGCGGAGAAGATTCCGGGGGTTGTCCTCGTGAAGGTGGGGACGATCGACGATGCGAAGTGGTTAGATGCGAGGGCACCGATCATGGAGGTGTATGCGAAGGATAAGGTGCAATGGGTGCCACAGTTGAGCGAGGTAGTGAAGGAGATCGTGTGAGAGTCGACAGCCTGCTATTGGGATAAGCCGGGCACTTTCTTGAGATAGGTTAGTTAGTACTGCAGCCAAGAACATCGTTGACTTGACCTTACCGAAGCCTCGGAGCCGTCGTGCAACTGTGATCAGCTTAGATTCTGGGGTCCCGTTTTCAGTGTTCCATCCTTACCGCTAGGATTTTACTGCAGCGGGGGGCTTGTTGAGAATTCGAAGATAGTTGTACGGTAACCATCCCCTCCGACCTTCGATCGTTCTGCAAGTCCACCAATCCACCGGATTCCCCGACTGATCCAGCTTGGAAATAATCGCTACCAGGTCCCCTTGCTTGGCCGATAAATAGATGTTCTTGACGGATAGAGCTGGCACGTAGTCGTACATCACCCGCGCGACTTCAGATAGCCAGGGATCTATTTTCTCTTGATCTGGGGTTGTCAGTGGTACGTCATCTAGGTCACAGCCGCTAGACTTTCCTTGCATCTCGTGGATCCCCTTATGTAGCCGATGCAGGGCTTTCTGCCGCCCTTCACCGTAAATCAGAGGCATGTGGATGTCAAAAAGACCGAGAAGAGAGTACGCTGCGTCTTCTTCGCGCAGGACCTCGCGGTGTTTTGCCCACAGTATTCGCTCATCAACGGTGTATATCGACAGTGGGTATCCCTGAAGAACTCGAATAGGGATTCCGGTAATCTCATGAATCTGGCTCTGCAACGACTCTTTATCGCCCAGTCGCGTCCCCTCGACCGAATAGAATTCTACCGATCGCGGGGCAAGAAGCTCTTGAAGCGTCCAGCCTCGTTTGAACCATCTACTCTTGCGAAAGGCCGGCTCCCATGACAACTGGTCGGTTACCTCACCTCTGAGTGCATTCACATCGGAGAGGTATACATAACACTTCGCCGCATCCCGGTACCAACGAAACATCGAGTTAATAGCTTCCGAGAGTTCCGCGCTGCTTGATTTATCGATGCAGCAGGTATCGACCCAGGAATACTCTAATCCATGGCCAATCGCTCGCGCTTCGCAGAATTTAATCTTTCGATAGCCGTCTTTTCTCGTGCCGGTTCCTTTCCGTAGCTCTTTGAACGTCACCTCCTCTGGGCTCATGTGTGTGAGAGGATAGCGTAACATGGAATGTCATTGCCGAAGTATTCGATAACTTTGAACTCAATATCAACAGCCGCGGACTGCGTCACAAGGCGCATGGTTGGATGTGGTACAAGGAAGGAAACCGACGAGATGGCAACGAAGGAGACACAAAACGTCAGCCGCAACTCAATGAATCGTATACTGCCTAGCAATGAATGTGGTTTATTGAAGAAGCAATGCTGCCAGTAAGTACTTATGTAGTGGCAGTGCTGTATGTCTCCATGCGATGCACGTGGCTCTGCAGCATTGGCGGCGATGAAGAGATATATCGCATCCACGGATTCCAACCCGCCATTTCATCCCGTTGAAATACAACTCCATTGGTAGAAGAATTAATACCAGGAGATGCCAGAATCCAGATATGAAGAAGGCATGGTAACTAAGAGATCTCCTTTCACAACTACGGACTGTTTACTCCGTCGATCATGTCCCCCTGTCGGCAATTGCCCGCCCCTTGTCCCCCCCTTGTCCCGTCACCAGCCTCCACCAAAAGCCGTTCCTCCTCGGCATCAACAGAACTGGACCCTCATACATCCCTAGGTCGTCCCAGCCACCGATGAAAAGTTATCAATAAGCCAGTTCATACCCTCCCACTTCTCGCTATTTCCTACCGGAGTCTTACAATCGTGATCTCAACCCGTCATTCGAATTGCGCCATGTACATATCCCCCGCCACGATCAGCGCGCATACATAATCCAACGCTTCGCGTCACCCACGCGACGATTCTCATTAACGAACCCGCCACGAACCAGCCTGGTCGCTCCCCAACCATGTCCCAGCGCGCCCGCTCCCGCGAACGCCACTCCCTCCTCGGCCACTGGGTCCCCCTCTTCCTCATCGGCTCCATCGCCACCGCCGGCATCGCGACCTGGATCTGGCGCGAGCGCAGTGCCGCCGACGACTCCGACAGCGACGACGACCCAGACACCAGCAGCCTCAGCTACGGCGAAGGGCAGGGGTCCGCGCGGCCGGGGAAGGGGAAGCGACGCGCGGACCCGCCGCCGCCGGGATACGATGTTACGATGGACGAGCGGGGACCGCAGATGGGGGTGATTGGGTCGGGAGAGGGGTTTGGGTCTGGGGTGCCTGGGGAGGAGACGTTGATGGCGAGGATGGCGGGGGCAATGAAGAGGACGCCAAGTCCGCAGCAGATGATCGATGCGGCGGGGAAGCGGGTGCAGGCCGGGATGGCGGCGGCGGGGGCGATGGTGGGTGGGGCGTTGGGGGCGATACGCGAGGAGGGGAAGGATAGCGATTATGTGGATCATGAGAGGTGGGAGGAGGAGGTGGGGAGGAGGGGAGATGGTGCTGGAACGGAAGGTTCGATGAAAGAGGCGGATCCGAGAAAGCGGAATATCAAAAGGCGGACGGTTGCGATTGTCGTGAGTGCCGAAGCGGGTTCTTTGGAAGAGGAAGAAGGAAGCTATTCTGAGCAAGCGGTATGTATTCCTTCTCAAACCCCTAACAACTACTAATACCTCTCCAGTCCCTCCTCTCCCACCTCAACTCCGTTGACCATGATTCCGTCAACCTCCTCATCCTCATCTACGCTCCCCACCTCTCCTCCCCACCCACCCAACCCGCCTCCCTCGCGTCCTCCTACTCCGCCATCTCCACCCCCGCCATCACTCCCGCCTCCGAACTCCAACCACTCACCCCCGCCCTCTCCGCCACCGACCTCTCCGCCAGTGCTTCCCGCTACAACATCCTCCGCGCCCACGCCGACCGCCTCGTCGACGCCCCAACCTGCGTCATGCCCTTCGCCTCTCCGGCCGGCCACCTTCACATGCTGCGCCACCTCGCCCCTGACGTCGTGTATCTGACCGAGGGCCTCGCCGGCGCGGACGGGGATACCGTCGAGAAGTTGGGGAAGTGGGTCGGACAGATCGTGGTTGTGTTGGGCGGAGATGGGGAGTGGGCGGGCCTGGCGGATACGGATACGGAGGATGAAGGGAGGAAGAGGAGGGAGGAGAGCGGGGTAAAATGGTGGGAGGATCAGAGTCGGGTAGGGCTTGGAAGGGGATTGGAGGTGGTGGAAGGGATGAGGTTGGCGGAGGACTTTGAGCGGAGGGTCGTGGGGCGGGAATAGATCCGATGGTCGTCCTTGCTGAGTATTATGGGCGATATGGCACAGCTGCGGGATCCCATCTCATTGATTCTTCTATCAGGCTTGGATTCGCTTCACGTCATCTTCGCTCTTTGATTTTCAGCTCCGCGCCGGCGCACGGCTCGGTAGATCCCCCATCGTCACGACGCATGGCTGGTTGATGAAGATGGATATGAGGACATGACGAAGTCCATGCGGAGGGGTTTGCCAATGTCTCTTGTCCCTTCAGGTTATAATCTACTCACCCGTCTCCTTGGTCGGGGCAGATGAAGATCGTCAGATGAACTATTTTGGTTCGTCGGGCGTCGTCGTATTCCGTATAGTATCCGTACCTATTGAATGAATCCCTTGTTTCTATGATGCGGCGACGTTTGAGAGGGGTATGCCATTGGATGACGGCCCCGATGTGTGTCGTCAAAGAAATAAGCTTGTTTCTCTCCGTTTCGAATTAGATTGACGAATATACGTTCACCCGGTTCAATCTCCCACTGACCACCATGCCTTTCGATTCTTCGTCGTCTAACTACCGGAACGCCCCTCATGGCATATCCAATCGACTTTCTTGCCGCCAGATATCTTAGGGCTTGCATGCTTCGACGAGAGATCCAGCGCCGCCATTTGTTAGGCGGCGTGGCCGATGAGATGGATGATCCCTCTCATGCACTCCGACCCACGAGTTCCTATAGGCGGGGTTGGTCAGGATGGATTTCGATCTTAGGGCCTTGGATTAGGGCGAGTCGCGCACTAAATAGTATCACATGCGAAACAGCGTGTTGTTTATCCGGCGAGCCATGAAACGTTTCAACTATTTACTCTCTACCAAAAATGCTTTCTTGCATGTTCTGCAAAACCGGTTCGTTGTCGATTTCCACTGACCTGCTCTCTGGTTAAGGTCGGTTAAGGTTCCGATGCCTGCGCGAACGGACAGAACTGAACTGATCTGACGGTTCTGACCCAATGTTTTGTAGGGAGATCGCTCCTTAGTGCGCATCATCAAGTAGATCCTCCGCATTCCAAGGTGTGTTTAAGCAATTAATCTCAGAGCTTGGCAGATGTATATATCAGAGGTACCCCAGTACTTGATGCATCTTCTCCAGACCAGCGTGATTACACGTGAGAGTTTTCATGGGGTGAAGTTTCCGCTACATTAAGCGACGAAACCTAGTCCGGCCAATTCTAGGCAATCTGGTAATTAATCTACATTGGTTTCCAGAGAAGTTGCTTCCTACATCCATCACCACATATAGCGAAATGTGGCCAGCGGCATATTGCAGCATGCTGGCTCGTCGATGGGAGATGCCACCGCGTTAATATCTGCGAACTTGGTCCACCAACCGCAGCGCTGCCGAGCAATGATTGCTTGCTGGGTCGTCGTTTCGCAGAGATCATCGGCCGGGCGACCGAGAGAAGTAGTAGTGAATGCAGCAAGCTCTTCCGATATCCATGCCTCTGCAAATTAGGGTTGTGGCTCATGATCTCCATCCAGACAGCCTGACGATTCAGCAAATGCAATCCGCCGTGGCGCTGTGGAGGAATTCGCCGATCGTCCTCTTGGCATTGTATTCCGTTAATTGAACCAACTAGAATTATAGCGACGTGTGGTTGGTATAAAGCACACGAACCTCACTTTGCATGGTGGCCCATTCGCTTCTTCTTCCCACACTCCAGTCGTTCGCTCCTTCGTGACCTCAAGTCTTCTTTTCTTTCATTCCGCCGTCGTAGAGCGATAGCATCCGTTCGCAACGATGAAGAACCTCGCTCTTTTGCTCGCGGCCGCCGGCTCGGCCAGCGCGGCGGCGCTGCCGTCCTACATGGGCCATCCCGTCGACCCACAGTATCTTCCGCGAGCGGTGCAGGAAGATCTGGAGAAGCGCCAGGGGTTGGGGGGGATGATTTCGGGGATGCTCAATCGTGCGTAGCGTTCGAACATCGTCGCGGGGAGGTGAAACTGACAGGATGGAATATAGCGGCTGGGTTTGGGAAAGTTCCGGCACCGGCTGGGGCCGCGGCAGCGAAGCAGGTTCTCGAGCCGCGGATCGAGGGCGCGCAGACGGTGAAGATCCGATATGGACCCTATAAGATTCCGGGTTCCAACGTTACGCACGCCTTGTCGGGGCACAGTGGCACGCTGTTCAATTATCCGGATAAGGAGGCGCCGAAGCCGTGCGATGAGTGTGTCATTGTCGGCATGAACGCCGGGCTGGAGTTCCCGGATGGGGCCAACGCGAACATCGACAAGGGGCTTTGGCTGCACCACGTAAGACGCCCTTTGGATCTTGTCAGAAACGTGCTAACCTCGACAGTACGTCCACTTCGCTGTCGGTCCTGGCCGCAACGATGCCACTTGCGCGGGAGCGAGCCTGTCCCTTCCCCACATGATCATCGGCTCCTCCGCCACCGCCTCGGAGAGAATGTGGTCGTCCGGCAACGAGCGTACCCCCTCCTTCTTCCAGGACGTCCCCATGAAGATCGGCTACCACCTCCGCGCGTCGGACGAATTCCGCCTCATCGTCGACCTGATGAACGAAAACGTCGAGGAAGCCCTCGCGTACCTCACACTCACGTACGATTACATCGACGGCAGCCCGGCCGGCTACGATGACCTCCGCCCCGTGTGGTTCGACGCGAACAACTGCGGGACGTCCGAGGTCATGCCGACGTCGGAGACGGGGAAGTTCACCGTCACCGCAAAGCCGTGGACCGCAAATTTCGACGGCGATGTGGTCGGGTATGCCGGTCATCTGCACGACGGCGGGGTCTCCTCGTCGCTGTCGGTCGATGGGAAGGAGAACTGCGTGAGCAGCGCGAAGTACGGCGAGACGCCGGAGTACATCGGTGGGGGCCATGGGCACGGGGGGGGCACGGACATGGGACACGACATGGAAGGCGGGACGGCGGTCGAGCATATCAGCTCGATGTCGCTGTGCAAATATCCGTTGCCGGTGCCGCAGTTGAAGAAGGGCCAGAAGTGGGAGCTAAAAGGGAACTACGACTACGATGTGTACAAAGGGGTGCTCGACCACGGCGGAAAGCAGTCATCCATCATGTCTATTGCGATCATGTTTGTCCGCATCCCGAAGGGTCAAGCAACTGCTGGTCAGTACCAGAATTCGGCCGCTCCCGCCAGCACCAGCATCGGAGGGCTTATGGGAGGCCTTGGTGGTGGTGGTGGCCTGGGAGGGCTCTTGGGTGGAAGCGGTACGTCGGGATCGTCGGGATCGTCGGGATCTTCGGGATCGTCGGGATCAGGGGAATCGGCTAACAGTGGCGGGAGTAGCTTGAGCGGTTTGGCTAGTCTTTTTGGAGGAAGTAGCTCTAGCTCCAGTGGCCAAGGAGGTGGTAGCAGCAGTGGTGGCTCCGGGCTGTTCAGTGGACTTGGGAGCCTGTTCTCCGGGCTGTTCAATTAAGATGTCCTCTTCATGTATATATCTTATTGATTGAAAATTGTCCATATCACCCATGGTGTTGATTGGAAGACCGGTGCTGCCGAGAGATTACACGAACAGCGTCAATTGACGATTCACTGCCGCGCCAGCAGCATATTCGATTCGTTCGAAACGCCAGTGATGGCACTGTGCGCATGATGGGCATCCTTAACCCTGCTGAAAAGGAGTACTTAGGTCAATCTCGTCGAGGCCTGCCATGAACGGATCCCAAGGTAGCGCCTCGCCATTCAGCCCGAACAGGTCATCGCCAAACGGCCACTGATCAACCACCGCGTCGATCATCTGACTTGCAGGCTGTTCGTCACTCTGTCTCGATCGTTGACTTGACGGCGGCGGGTTCGGATCGAGAATAGCGTCCAGAATTCGACCGAGCGTGTCTCTTGCATCTGTACAAGCCCGTCGGTTACCCAGGTCCGCTTGTGCGGCCGATTCGAGCGCGGCGAGGAATACACTGAGGTTTCGGATGATGGACGCTCGGTGAGTGAGGCTGGGCGACTCCGTGGCGCTGAGACCTAGTTGTTGTGCTCGTAGGAGATCGGCGGCCAGGACCGCCGCGGCGGGAAGGCCGTAGAAGAGGAGAAACCAATCGCTTTGGCACCAGAAAACTCGTTTCGACACCATTAGGACGGTGGTGAGCATTTCACGGGAGACGTGCAGGTGTCGTTCTCCACCGGAACGGCATTTTGTGGCGCGGATCCGCTCCAGAAGGAAATGGCTGTAAAGATAATCCGTGTAGAAGGTGTGAGTCTTCGCCCAGCGCCTCGCATCATCCGTCTTGTCATCGAACTTCAACCAGCGCGGCAACGATTCCCATAAAGCCTCGAGCTCATTCGTGAGATGTTGGGCCTTGTTGTCCAGGTCCGTTTTATCGTTGCCCAGTGACAGTTCCAAGATCTTCTCCCGGATGACGCTCATCTTGAATCGCGTCCGTAATGAAGTGTTTGGATGAAACTTGCCGTCCGGATTATATCCTTCAGGATCAAGCTTGGAGACTTCGTCGTTAATTATTTCGGGCCCTCCAAGGATGGTATCGTCACTAACATCGAGTGGAGCCTGGATATCAGAGAATCGCATGGGGATTCGGGGAGGTCGTCCCACAAACGTAGCGATTGTCTTATCAATGTAGTATGATCCGGCAAATGTCTTGCGACGACAGTGCGTGAGGAACCCGGGGACATTTTCGGAGATCTTGCACTCTTGGTGGATACCCAAAGCGAAAATAGCAGTAGCGAGGTCTGCGGCTCTTCTTGTTGCGATGTAGCCTATGAAGTCAGTTCCAATTGATACACGGACAAGAAGCAACGTACTCGAATCTCCGTGGTACATTGTGGTCAATACCGTATTCTGCAACATGCCCCAAATAAATACGTCGTTGACCGTAGAAATCCCGTAGCTCGCACAGATCTCGATACACGCATCGCTAGCTATGATCAACTCGCGAATCCTCATCCGTATCGCTCTAGCTTCCGACTCCCGTCCGCCAAATACCTTTTCCTCTCCGCAGAGAATCCCCACTCCTGCCAGCGCAAACATCCACGCCAGCGTCTCGAAACGAAAATTGTCCCCGGTGAACTGGAGATGAAACTGGCTACCGGTCATCTCCGGGCTCACCTTCAGGGGCCTGGAGGTATTGACTAGCATTCTGGAACAGATTTGCATCCGCTCGCGCTCGATTTGTAGGAAGTCGTGGTTGGTCACAAGCTGTTCCAGGAACTCCGCAGTATGCACGACAATCGGAAGCGGAACGATGGCCAGGTTTGTTTGAGTTTGATAGGACGGAAACATAGGGAAGACGGGCAACAGTCGTGGTATTATAGCGAGCACGTCGGCACCTTTCTTGAGAAACTCGGCTTTATTATGGTCCATCACACCATCTGAAGACATGGTGTTCAGCCCAAAGTCTGAGGATGTGTGGTTGGTAGGAGACCGGTATTCTTTCGGAGCGCTTTCCAACAGTGCATTCGTATAGCTAGTGGCGCCCAAATACCCCGACTCGTTGTGGTTCGACTCCACGGCCTCAGGAGTATTTGGGACGACGATTTCATGATCCGCAGCAGCAGCCGCCAGTAAATGGTCGAACGCCGTGCTATCTCTCCGGAAATCTGGCTGATCGCCATGGGAAGGCAACGCGCTGGAAATTCCGAATATTCCGTACCGATCGGTTTGCGTAGTGGAGGTCGCGTTCAATCTCGGCTTCGTCAACGGAGCGGGATGATAGTAACATTGGCTGGCGCGTCCTCGAATCCGACATCGACCGCAAACCGGACTAGCATGGTCGCATTTGACCTTGGCTTTTCGGCATGGCTCACACGACTGTTGCTTGCCGTTCTTTCTTCTTTTTTCAGACATGGTTTTTGGACTCGATTTGAAGCAGAACGAACGTTCGGGCAGCAAACGGAGTAAAAGACACGGTCATTCCGAGCCTCGGGATAATGCATGAGCCCTGAATACAGCGGTGCGAACTGTGACCGACGCGCTAGGAGCACGGTCCAACTTACTCATACCTAGAAATCATATTACACTGAATTGGAAATACAATACGGAGGTCCATTTCAAAAGTTATTGCTCGCCAAGGAAGTGGCGTGATTATATAAGCAGTTTCGAGAGCCTATGCCACATTGCCACGGGCCCACGGCCCACGGGCACTGAACTGCCTATTAACTGGGCATTTAATTCAGGTCTTATAGAGCCTAATTCGAGGCAAGGGCGCCAGGCATTTGATTTACCGCGCGTAGTACCCGCCCGTTGGCTAGGCACCCTACTACCCGTGCTATCGGCTTTCGAACGGCTTATATAATCAAGACCCTTTCTTGGCGAGCAATAACTTTTGAAATGGACCTCCGTAAATTCTACCATAATTGATGCCAAAGCATCTCTGAATTGTAGATAGGACGTTGAGATAATTCTGAGTGTGGGGAAACCCTTCAGGAGTTCATTCAAATTCCTGTTCATACATTAAGGCACTAATCTAGCAGCCTTATCGCCTTGCAGACTTAGTCCTATGAAATTGTGGGACGATGTTGATTGATGCTTGTACCATACCTGTGCAGTGCACTCTTGCAAAATGATATCAAGTAAAAGTTGCGGCGGCAGGTCGACTGCCAGAATGGGCGGCTTGCCTACCGTGGACGCTCATTGGTCGATTCCAATTTTCTAAATATTTCCCGCCTACTCGGCTCGGTCCGATTCGCAGGCAGATATAATATCTCGGCATATGTAAGGTACAGAATGGTGAATTATTTTCGAACCAGGGGCGCGGATACCTATCTATCACGTCTCCGCTCCATGCTCTCTCGTATCCTGCACTCTTTGACACATCTCTACCATGTCAAGTATCTCAATTTTAGATATAATTAAGGCCAACCCAATCGGAAAAGCCTTGGACGCGTTCCGCAGCTCCCTTGAGTCTTTCGGTGCGAGGCGGGATGTCCCTCCATCTTTGGACACGCTGCACCAACTTGAAGACGGCGGTAACGCTCGCTCACCTTTTGTATCGCCCATTCTAACGAGCGCAGAACTGAAGAATCTGGGGTTTGATCTCGTGTCAGCCCTCCAGAGTCTTCCAGTATGCCGGCTGCTTCCTTCTAGGATTAGTCACGGAACGCTCTTCCATAACCTCTAAGGGTTAGGTGCCGGTATCAACTCCAGTGACTTTGACGTCGACCGCGTCCTTCCACTCCAGAGGGCGATCTTTAACAAAGAACCAGATGAGGATGTCTTGAACAAGGCGACCGACGCCGTCGCCGAGTCCACACCTCCCCGCCCGCTGCCGTACGTGAACCAGACCCCGTTGACACGCAACACGAGCAGCTTTGTCAACTCCTCCGAGCATCGGAAATATATGGACGGTGCCCTAAAGGAAGAGCTAGCGTCGGTATACATTGGGGTTCCCAGGTTCTACGAAATCTTCTTTAGGGAAGTGGACGGCCTTACATCGGCAGCCGAAGCTGTCTTCAAAAAATGCAAGGAAGGAGATGATCCACTGTACAGTCAAGAGGGCGGTTGGCGGGACTGACCGCAGGGCTCAAAGGAGAAGGACGTTCTAAGCTGGCTCGCAAAATTTACCGACCGTCTCGTGGATCTCTCAGCCATGCACAATCAGGCTAAAAAAAACTCTGCGTAGGCCACTTGCGCAACTGACAGGGGGTTGGAAGGGTCGACGGCGGACCGCAAGCTGGATTTTGGCTTCGTGGACGATCCGAAGGCTAGCGAAACATCCAAGTGCCACTGGTCGCAGGTTCTCGTGCCAGAGGAGCTCAAGAGCAACCACACCTTGGATACAGTGTCCCAAACGTTGCTTGACCTTGGTAGATGCGCAAGAGAGGTGCTGGCAGCGCAGGACAGCCGTCGCTTCGTTCTCGGATTTACGCTTTGCGGACCTGTAATGCGGCTATGGTCGTTTGACCGGGCAGGCGCAATCGCCTCACCGTCGTTTGGCATTAACATGGAGGGGCAGCAATTCGGTTCGGCCGTGTTGGGATACCTGTAGATGAACAGGGAGCAGCTTGGATTCGATCCAACCATCTCAACCTCAGATGGCATGCGATACATCGAGATTGAACGCAATGGCAAGATAGAACGCCTCATCATCGATGAGTTATACGGCGAGCGGCTTGTGTGGTGGGCCGTGCAACAACGTGCTGGAAAGCATATCGCGAGGGGGATGAATCACGGGAACCTCTCGTCATTAAAGATTCTTGGCAGTATCTGGAACGTGAAGAGGAAGGCTTGCTGCTGCAAGAAGCCACTGAAAAGAATGTAACGAACGTGGCAAGGTACTACCACCACGAGACCGTGTGCGTGGGCAGCGAGGTGGATGACGTTTATGGCGGTGTCCGCAAGGGCCTAGATACCAGCAAAGCGACGAACTACAAACCGAAAAGCTCGATAATGTTGCCCCCTCTCACTAAAGAAAGAGGTCGAAGTGCAGGCAGTGTCAGGAAAAGAAGTCGCTCAGCGGCTCTGACGCAGAGTTGCCGCCCAGCAAGCGAGCGTATTCGAGCTCGCCAACAAAGCCGGATCCGAGGAATGTAGTACCGAATCGCGTGCATCGCTGTGTCATCGTTCGCGATTACGGAAAACCTATCTATCGTGCAAGCTCTCGAGGGGCCTTGCTGGGTGCTCTAATGGGTTGCATCGAAGGTAAGGACATGATCGGAGTCTCTTGCGTATTACATGCTGACCAGAAAGGATACAAGAATCTGCACGAAACCGGCAATATATGGCACTGCGACATATCACAAGGCAACCTCATGATTAACGAGAATGAAGAGAACCCTTCGCGGTCAGCATTTCTGATCGACCTAGATCTTGCAGTCAGAGTGCAGCGAGAGGAGCCTTCCGGAGCACGAGGCAAGACCGGAACCAGAGCTTTTATGGCAATAGGGGCCCTACTTAACGACGAGAAACGCACCTTTATGCATGATATCGAGTCTTTCTTTTGGGTGCTCTTCTGGACATGCATTCACTACAGGAGACTAGATGAAAGAGGCAGGGTCGTCCCGAAGTTTGACAAGTGGAACTTCATGGGTACGGAACTATTGGCAAATCTGAAAAAGGGCATCGTGGTTGAAGAAATGGATTTTCTTAAGACTGTTGGGCAGTTCTTCACGCCGTACTATCAGCCACTGATTCCTTGCGTGAATCGAGTGCGGAGGGTTGTATTTCCAGGTGGTAGGAGGCGGAGGAAGCCCGATCCGACCCTCTATTCCGATATGAAGAAGACACTCCAGGAAGCACAGAAGGACTTAAGGGATCGTGAGCCCCCAGCTTGCCACAGCAGGAGTCGGAAGTTGGAAAGCGAGCAGGTAGCTTTCATTAGCCTTTGCTTTTCCGATTATTATTTTGTCCAAAGACTGTAGCGAGTTCTCAGCGTTCGTTCAGCGACCTAGCGTAACATGAATGGAAGTATTTTCAGCGCTTACGCTGGTTGCCTATTAAATAGGCCAACAATCGTTCAGTTTCGTCTCTGCTTCTCTGCTTCATACTGATCGGCGATGGGTGAAGACCGACGATCTTAGGTTAATATATAAGGTGGCTATATAGTATTATACGGGCATCTGAAAGCAGACTCTGTACCTCCACGTTGGTGAGGCCCGGGAACCTGACGGTCATATTGTATGCAGAGACAATATACACCGTCCGAGCCAAAGCAGAGCTGTCTTTGGGGGGATACGCTTACTGTGTAGGCGTTCTCCTGTTTGGTGAGAAGCAGGCGAAACCCTATCCTCCTTCCGCCCCCCAACGCAAACCAACTCGAGTTGGTGAACCGCATACGAACAACCACAAAGCGTCAAGATACCAAACTCTCAAAACTATCATCTTCACAATGAGTGGAAACCGATACCAACACGCCCTCTATCCGCAAGCGCAACGCAGTGGCGGAACAGCCTCTCATCACGGTTGGAAGGAGCAACGGAATTGGCGGCGGAACGTGATTCAGTCACACTACTATTCCGTACTACTATTCAACACTTCCCTAGCGGCCTCGGCTCAGGTGCTGCGGTTCCGCCGCGTCCACCCCCTGTGCCAGGCCCCTTCGCTGTGGCTGGTCGAGCCGCCACTGCGGGGCACGTTAGCACCAAATCGACAGGGAACCCGCCAAGCCCGGGCACCCGGTAGTCCAATTCCCCCTCCAATTAATTTTCACGATTGATTCTCTAACCCGAAAGCGGCTATCTCCCGTGATGAAGCAATCTAACATCATGAAAAGTTCAGTCGCAGGACGTTGATATTGGGACGATGGATCGACGACACGACTTAATACGAAAACCTGCGATGGCGGTCACGAATCGCGATCACGGTTTCGCGAGCATGCGGGCGTCCGGACAGAAGACGGACGTGTCCTGAGATCCCAGCGCCCGCAGCTGCAGATGGATGGGTGGGGGTGGCTCGTCGAGCAATTGAGGTTGAAACTTGAAAGCTATCTTCGACTCATAGCTCGAGTTGTGAATTGACATCTTCGTCTATGATCATCTGCTCGCCTTGCACGCTCTCTAAGAGATCTAATCCCACGTGAGGTATCTCCGATACCAGCTCACAACATCCTGCAGTGCCTAGGGACAGAGCATTCTAACAAAAGCTTAGTAAACTACCACCATGAGAGACATGAAGAACGGATGCATACCTATTCTTCTTCCGGGTCGTCATATTCTTCTTCCGGGTCGTCAATTTCATTGAGCCATGCATAGACCTTATCGACGCCGCCTCGAGCAGCCAAAAGGTGCAGGAGCGCACCGATATTGGTGTCTGAGAAATACGTTTTGAGGGGGAATTCGTTCGTCTTCACTTGGTTCCATTGCACCCACATCTTGGTGATATGGCGTTCTTGTCCGTTCGGACGGTACTCATCGTCGATATGAGGGCCTAGGTGGGCGTACACATGGGTGGCGAGTGCGTTGAAGGACTCGGTTTTTTCATCAATAAGTATCACCTCATGGGATTGGGAGTTGCCGGCAAAGGCCACAAGAACAGGGAAAAGACCCTGAGAAGACATGATGACGTTGTAGATCGTGAGGGGAAAGGAGATAATGTAGATGAGAGGAAGGCGAATTGGAGAAATAGTAGTATTTGGGCGAGTGTTTCCTATTTTATACTTCTGTTTTTGCTTGCTGGCCACCATTTGTCTCTTCCCTTCCCCTCTTCTGATTCCGTTCCTAGCGGCCTGCCGCATCAGGGCCCAGTCGGAAGAATACGAGGCATGGCTTGATTCTAACTATACTGAATTGAGCCTCACTTACACCGTACGAGCGCTCGTATTCGAGGCCGCCGTCAAATCAATCAGAACCGGGTGGGAGCGTTGCCTGCTGGTTATTTGTTCATCATCCGGATACTCACGATGCCACTGTCTCTTCGGTCTCCGGTCAGTGCAGCTCGGCGTTTTAGCCTGGCACCTTCAGAAGTCTTGTGAAAGCATGGTTCACCGCTCTGCTCCCAAATCTCCCCCCGGGCCTGAACCGGACAAGCTCGAAGCGACGAACACCTTGGAAGAGAATCAAATGCGGAATAGTTTAATGAAACCTCCACTCCTGCTTTATAAAATGGCCGAGATTTGCACCACTAAGCGTGCTTCGGATGTGTTGTGGTCTAAGTTGGATAATGTAATCCACAAGCGGGTGGTCAATACAAGCGAGCGTTTAAACTTAACCACGAAACACCCGTTAGCCAGGACATCGGGCTCAAACATGTCTTCCAGGTCGTCCAGTTACTACATATGAGGTTTCTATCGGAATTTCATATAATTAGGGCGCTGTAGAGATATCTGTAATTGAAGTGGTTTGGTTTGGCTGGGGCTGACCGCTCGCTCGTATTGACCACTCGCTTGTGGGGTACGTTGTGAGGCATGTCACATGGGTTTAGATCTCTTGGAGAGGGTGAGCAGGTTCCGGGTAGAAGCTTACAAGCTGGCAGAGGTGGGGATAGAGGAAGGTATCAATTCACAACCAGAGCTATGTAGCCGAAAGTAACTCATTTGAGTTGAACGTGAAGTTAAACGGGCGAAGACTTCGACGATGATAAACACGATGTACCCCCCGCATTCCCCATTTCTCATAAGTCCATGATCGACGATCGTTCATGATCGCCCATGATCATCCTGTTATTCAGATGATTATTCCAATTTCCAGTCAGAAGTGATCCTTGCGATCAGGACCAATCTCCCTTGGTCTGGTCAAAGTCTGGTCGATTTTGGTCAGTCTGGTCTGGTCGTTCCTGATCGTAGGTGCCTGGTAAGGCATGCATGATATGCATTTCTTTTCCAGTGCTTCCACAACTCGCATACATTCACATGGTTCGGGGCAGGTGGGCGGGTTAGTCGTTTCACCGGGACATTCTTGGTTTCTTTTCGGTTTGAGTCTCTTTTTTCGGGATATTTTTAATTCAGAGCTTTATCACATAATATCATATCATGCCCCTTCCATACCCCAGGCAAGAACTGGCCCAAGGCCTTCAAGAAACGCCATCCGGAACTCAGCTCAAGAAAAGTCAAGGCGGCGGATTGGAATCGTCACGATAACAACGTATACGATAAGAGCATACAATGGTTTGAAGTAATCGGAAAGGAATTACAAGATCCGGTCATTCTGCCAGAGAATGTGTACAATATGGACGAGACGGGAGTCATGTTGTGCATGCTCGGTTCCGTCAAAGTCCTTGTAAGTAAGAAGGACTCGCGAAACTACAGAGGCGCGGGTGATAAGCGGACGATGGTAACAGCGACCGAATGTATATCTGCAGACGGTAGGTCTCTCCTCCCGATGATTATCTGGCCAGCCGCAACCCATCGAAGCAACTGGACCACATAACCCACACCCAGATGGCATTATGTGTGCTCCGAATCTAGATATGCCGACAGTCTTGCCTATTATCGTATAACTAACATCTGGAGAGAATTAGAGGCAAAGCAAGCTAGATAGCCCGAATTGCAGGTCACATATAACCCCTTCAAAGACAGATATCTCCACAACGCCAAAGAAAATCGATCATTTGTAATATCCAGTCTATTCTACAATATCTTGCCAGCTGTGAGGACACAGGCGGAGCCGCATCGAGCCACGGAGGTGGGTCTCAAACTGGAGGTGGGCAAAGCCTTGTTGCCTGGACAAGGATCCATATCCGCAGAGTTAGAGGGTGCTCTGATTGGATGCAGATTTACCACAGAACACGGTGTCACAAACCGCCCAAAACGGAGGTGAATCTGCCGTCGCATTGTTTAAAGGAGTAAATTGCACTCAAGAAGAGCAGTAATGAATTATTTTGTCCGTCCAGAGCAGAACACCACAGAATGTAACCACGTTCAGGTGATCGTAATGTGGTATACGTGTGATACGCTGTTGATTTTCAGCCTAGGAGGTCATGTGATGCCTCAAAGTTGATGCCTGACTCAGCTCCACCAAAAACGAAACAAAACACCACAAACTGGATATCTTACAGCTTTCTCGCCTTGTCGCCTTACGATTACTTAACTCCGCACTAACCCCGAAGTGGTCGCCTTATTGCCGCCTTATTGCCTTAATCGAGTCATAATTCCAATTCCATCATGTCGACTCTACGAACCGAAAAACAACGGATAGAGAGGATCCTCCAAACCATCCCAGGATACACCACCATGCCGCATGCCAATCTCCCGGCTCCGGCCTTCAAGGCCTTCATTCTCTGCGGCCCCGGAAGTGGCTTCGAGACCTTCTGCGCCAACCCGAAAGACGGCCCGAAAGCGCTGCTCCCCATCGCGAACCGCCCGATGGTGTGGTATCCGTTGGATTTCTGCTACCGAATGGGCATCACGGGTAAGTGAAGGCTGCATGCTGGCGCTGCAATTGAACTATTGAGTACAGCGTTACTAACATCACCTAGAAATCTCCCTCATCATCTCCCCCGATTCCCACGAAGCGCTAGACGATGCCCTTAACCAAAACCCCTACCTCACCTCCCTCCCCTCCCCAAAGCCCGATATCATCGCCCCCCCAGGCCTCGCCCAATCCTCCACTGCACAGATCATCGGCACCGCCGAACTCTTCCGCTTCCCCGAAGTGCAGGCCGCTATCGACTCCGACTTCCTCGTTCTCCCCTGCGACCTCCTCACCGAGCTCGACCCCCTCGCCGCCTATGAGACGTGGATGACCTTCCAAGCCGAGGTGGCAGGCATGGGCGCCGGTGCTGGACGCCAGGGAGGTCTGGGGTTCTGGTACAGCGTGCTTGACGCCGAGAGGAAGAAGCCGAAGGGCGCGGAGACGGACTTCGTCATGACGGCCGCGATAGCGCGGCCGGCCGTCGTGTTTCCGCATGCGGCGTCGCTGGCGCACAATACGGAGCAGCTGCTGAACGCAAAGTCGAACGCGACGCTGGACGACGAGGTGGCGAATCACGGGGCGCTGCGGATCCGCAACAAGGCGATCGAGGAGTTTGGGCGGACGCGCATCGAGCGGGTGTATCGTGACTCGCATGTGTATTTCTTCCCCCGCTGGGCGAAGGAGCTGATGGCGCGGAATGCGACGTTCGAGTCGATGTCGGAAGACGTGATCGGCGCGTGGGCAAAGGCGAGCTGGCAAGACGGGTTGGCGGAGAAGTTGGGGATGCAGGAGTATTTCGACGCCGCCACGCCCAACGGCAGCACGGCGGACAACGGGACCGCAGACGTCGACATCGCGTCCATGATCAGCACCATGTCCGTCCACCCTCCCACTCTCTCCACCGCCTTCGCCTCCCGCGTCCCCTCCTCCCCCTCCTCCTCCCGCTCCCTCCTTCCCCCCTTCCTCACCTACCTCCACCCCCCTTCACCCCCCGCCCCCCTCCTCCGCCGCATCGACACCGTCCCCACCCTCCTCCTCACTACCCTCCACCTCGCAGCCCTCCCCCCCTCCTCCTCTCCACTCACCCACACCGCCAAAATCACCCACCCCCACCTCGTCGACCCCCATGCCCGCATCGATCTCCCCACCACCCTCCTCGACGCCAACGTCACCGTCGGCGCGCACGCCACAGTCAAAGAATGCGCGGTGGGCGCGAACTGCAGTATCGGGCCAGGCGCACGCCTGCTCCGGTGCGTGTTGATGGATGGGGTGGATGTTGGGGCGAATGTGACGCTGAGCGGGTGCGTGGTGGGGCGGCGAGCGAAGTTGGAGGGGAAGGAGCGGAGGGCGAAGGGGGAGCAGGGGACGGTGTTGAGGGATTGTGTGGTACGGCAGGTGTTTTTGGTGGAGTGGGGGACGGAGGAGAAGGGAGGGGTGGTGGGAGGGGAAGGGTTCGATTTGGAGGAGGGGAGCGTGGAAGAGTAGTGTCTGGGTGAGAAAGAATGGGCGAAGGACTTCTCGGATGGATGGAAGAATGCTCGGCAGATGGGAAATGCGCGATGAATGCGCGACGGCGAGCGCTAGACAGACCTGGATATCTTCAGTGGCCGACACCGGATATCGTTCGGTACTCCACACCTTCAGGGCTTGGGGATGTGATGTGACGGAATGGACACACGAACTTTTGTATACTACTTCCCCGACCAAAAATAGTTCGAGTCCTGCAAATGAATCAATGCCATCAAATCAAATCAACCAGCGTCCCACCGTCACTCATCCACGTATCTGTGAAATAACGATCTGGAACTATCCTATGCTATCCTATCCATCTTCTAGTGTTTTTCCTCCTTCCTCCTTCCCCCTCCCCACCAAATAACCCATCCGTCTACCCGCGATCCATCCAACCCAAACCAAGGGGTACCACTCGTCCAGAATGGCATCGCTATGCCTAGCAGCATCGTCCCAGCCATCCAGTGTTAGAACCCAGCCAACCGACATTGGAACCAAGCCATCCATCCGAACGCCGGTGCTAGCCAGAAATCCCCAACCAAGGAGTCATTCGTCCAGAAGCGCCATGCATCCTCAACTCCGCAAGCTACCCGGAACCATCGCCGATTCCAGGCTCATCAAATGGTATTGTGCGGACAAGCGGCTCCAGCGTCGCTCAACACCGCTCATCCGCTACTCCGGCGCACCGTCCGGCCGCCAGCCAGCGCGATCCACGTGTTCTCCCACTCCATGCCGCGCTCGATCTTCCCACACGGCGCCCACGTCCTCGCATGTCGAACTGCGTCCGCTGCTCGAGTGCGCTAGCGGTCTCGGCCCCAGAACGTCCGAGGCATGGAATCCGAAGAAAAGATGCCCAACGCCGTGCGGAAGAAGGTCGTAGGGTATGTGAGGGCTAGTCGGTCGGTGCGAGTTCGGATTCCCGTCCCATCCCGTCCAACCCGCTGATTTCGCGCGATCCGATCATACTGATCGCAAAAGCACTGCTGCGGCATCGGGCATCGAGACCCCCATCCTTGTCTCGATTCGTTTTCGGTTTCAGTTCGGTCGAGTTTTCGTTTCAGTTCGGTCGAGGCAAAACCATCGACCATATCCAACTCACATCCCCCATCACAAAATCCCTGAATCCTTCAACGCATTCTGCAAAATCGTCTCCTTCACCGCTGCGAATACCAACCTTATATTACTCGTATCCGTCGCCTGCGTCAGATGCGGATATAGATTCAAATGCGCCCGATTCACCTGGTTGAAGCGCCACAAAAGATATTTTGCGGCACGGTTGACGTCGGTGCCGCCAGAGTAGTCGGCGAAGTAGTTACCGAGCGGGTTCTTGGCGAGCTTCTGTTTGAAGAGGTCGACTTTGTTGAGGAAGAGGATGATGGAGGTACGCATGAACCAACGGGAGTTGACGACGGAGTCGAAGAGAACGAGGGATTCCATCATGCGGTTCTGTGGGAGTTAGTGGGATTTTCGGAGAGGGGTGTTGCGAATGGAGTTTTGGGAGAGGGGGGAAGTACCTGGCTGCTTTCCTCTAATAGCACCTGATCGTACTCGCTCAACGCCACGCAGAAGATGATGGACGTGACGTTCTCGAAGCAATGGATCCATTTTTTGCGCTCGCTGCGTTGTCCGCCGACGTCGAACATGCTGTTTGAAGAGTTGCCAGTCAGCTTGGATGTTTCACAGTTTTCAAATCATATTCATAGAAAGATTCATGCCCATGGAAGGATAGGTGATCAGAGATGGGTGTGCAAGGCGCAACGTACTGGATACTCAACTGGCCCATGCTAAACCGCGTCTCGTAGATTCCCGTCGTCTTCGTTCGCGCGCGCAGGACGTCGGATTCGGTGGGGATGTATTCCGGCGAGCAGATGCGATGGACCTCCTCGAAGAAGCTACACAAAGTCAGTCATCGTCGTTCGCTCTATTGGATCCCAACAAAGCTGCTCGAGCAGACCAAGTAGGAGAAAAAAGGAGAGGGAAGGGAGAAGAGCAAAACGTACTACGGCGCACTATCCATCAAATAAAACTCGCTCGAATGATCCATTACCTCCCCCATCCGCCCATCCCCCCACAAACTCTCCACCGCTCTCCCCACCTTCTTATCCAGCGGCCGATCCGGATCCGGATCCACCGCATACTCCATCAAATAGTCCGCGAACTCCACGTTATCTGGGTTGGCCGGGCGGATGTTGAACTGCCGCATGCCGCCGATGAGCGCTTTGGCGCAGTCGACGACGTTCTTGTAGATCGTGAGCCGGTACATGACCAGTTCGTCCGGGCGGTAGCCGCCTTGGTGGATGATTTTCATTTGTTTGACGATGGTGGATTTGCCGGATTCGCCGGAGCCTATGGGGGGTTAGTGGATGGAGTGACGGGATGGGGAGGTGGGTGGATGGAGAGACAGAGCCGGTAGATCGAGGCAGAGCCGGTAGATCGCTGCAGCTACGCGACGAAGCAAACGCAACGACCTCAACCCCACCATTCAAAAGCAGATAAACCCAACATACCTAACAACAAAATCTTACACTCCCTCTTCAACCGCCGCGCATCATCCTCCAACGTCCGATCAATTAACTTGCTCCGCTTCGTCTGCTCGCGATCCTCCTCATTGATTGATGACATGCACACGCCCATCCTGGCTGCTCGCTACCGCGCTCGCCGCCCGGTCGATCCGTCGCGGGGCAACGCCGTGGTGGTGACGCGGAATGGAGCCGCGAGCCGCGATTCCGCGCTCGGTGTGGTGGGTGGGTGGTAGATAGGCGGGATAGGCGCCAGGTGGGTACGCGGAGTGAGGTGGAGTCGGGGAAGGACTCGAGAGCAGGATGATGCAGATGAGCGCGGACTCGATCGAGGAATCGTGGTCGATGGCCCTGATGTGGTTCGATTTTAGTTTCCAGAAGGCAGCTGCCCTAGCGTGCGTGCTGGGGTAAGTCCAAGGCAGAAGCGTCGTGCGATGGATACTATCTAACGTCGACCGATTATTCGTGGTTGGATTGATTAATAGGTGCCTGAAAGCTGTGCGCGTGTACAAGTGTAACGGTTGCGGAAATGCAATTATCGTGTTCCTTCGTCAGGAATCGGATGGTTTGTACGAGGAATCCACGCGTGGGCCGGGTCCGATCGTTGTGGAATCGACGGATTCGGAGGCACCGAGCGATGGTGTCGTGGGATCCGATAAGCTGGTCGCTGAGCGGGAAAAGGGCGATGCAACAAAGGGGTTTGGTTGATCGAAGGCGATGGATCGCTTCGAGGTGGAGATGGAGGGAAGAAGTCAGTCGCCTGGTTCCGGAATGTCTCGATTTCCGCGTCAAGATTCGGGATCGCAGCTCAACGGATTGCGTTTGGTGGATTCTTCGTTTCTACACCTTCACGTGGTGATGACACACACTGGTTCCCAAGGTGGCGGCGGACAACGCGCGGCGAGGAATTCAGCCTTGCCGTGCACGCAAAACTCGCAGCGGAAGGAGAACGCGGTGGGACGGTGGAAAGAAGAGTTGGCGATGGAAGTTGAAGATCGTGGAAAGCTGAATCCCGTCTTTGCTAAGTTTGGGGATTTGCGGGTTGAAGCTAGGCCGTCCAAGCTGGGGTGTGTTGATGGCCTGTTTGATGGGCCGGGTTCGTTCGGTGGCCTTGTCTTTTGGGGCCTTGAGGGGATCTTTGGGGGATTTTGGGGGGGCTCTGATGGGGATTCGAGTGGACTCAGTGGAGGTAGTGGAGAGAAACAATCCAATGATCGAATGCAGTTTACCGTGGAGTTGCGTCGTGTGAAGGGGAAAAGAGGCCACGTCCTTGGGAAAGATAATGTAACGACGGAAAGAATTTCCGGACGGGAAGATGTTGAGGAGCTGGAAGGATTGACGATTCGATTGCGAATTGGGGAAATTGAATGGATTGGTTGGAGACCAGCTTAGCCCTCTGGCACAGCCACGTTCTGTTGCGGGCTGAATGGATTTGCCGTGGCAGGGAGGGGTGTCTTGTCAATGGGAAGATTCAATCATTAGGAGAAGCAATCATGTACTTGGTCGCTCGTGCAGGATTGCTCGTGCAGGGAGCGCAGTCCGTAGCCGGTGGATGCAGAGGGCGCTTCGGGACGAGTTTCGGGACGAGATTGGCAGTGGTCGCGTCGATACCGAGTGTTGGAGCCCAAGGATGAAGCACGAGTCCAATGGAGGGTAGAGCTGGAGCAAGTGGAGAGATGGGGATGGGGATGGGGATGGGGATGGAGATGAAGATGAAGATGAAGATGAAGATGAAGATGAAGATGGATAGGTATACAAAAGAGGGAGAATAGCGATGGATGGATGAATGATGTGGGGGAATGAATTGGTGGATGGGAATGACCGGGAGAGAGGGTTCAAGTTGTGACGTTGGAACAAACGAAACGATGTTGGGGGGATTGAGGGGAGAGATGCGAGAGGGAATTAGACAATTACGGCCGAATGAGGTAATTACGAAGTGAGAAACAATGGGGGGGACACTTGGAATAAGTGAACCGGAGAGAGAGATGTGGGTGAGGAGGAGGACTGACAAGTAACAGGAGGAGGAGATGGTGGAGATGGCGGGTGTGAGCTTAAAGCTGTGGGTGAGTGTGGACTTTGGAGCTGTGAGAGCTGGTGAGAGTGCGGGTCATGACATGCCTGAATGCCTGAAATGGCTGTCCAGGTCATGTGAGGTATTACTCTATCCGCCTCTCTCGTCTCAATCCAGGAAGGAATCATTCGACGATAGGGGGATTCCAGACTTACGGATATCGGAATAGTGTGCAGCGGTTCGATTGTTTCCATGTTCTCATTGTCAATTCTCAAGGTGTTAATCAATCTACCTCGTGGTATGCGGTATCTGCACGTCGGCACCACACATGCACAACACCCATCCTATCCTTCACTCTCCCCCCCTCCTCTTCCCTCTCCATCTCGCGTCCACCAGTTCCAATTCCATACCCCTCCAATCAACCAATCCACATCCCCTCCCACATACAAGCCAATCCTTCGAATGCATCCGACATCCTCCTCTCCGTTTCCCCTCCCCACGACGCCCAGCCCCGCTTAACGGGATTCACGGATTCGGGGATTCAGGCACGGGATGGGCACAGACCGCCCTAATGCTCGTTTCCCCTCCCGGGCTGGGGGCTCTGGCGCTTGCAACGAAGCTAACCATTGACCCCGACCCGATGCTTTCCTTAACTGAACCTCCGTTGTGCATCCATGTCGAAATCTCTAGGCCCCTCTTTTCTCTTTTGGCTTTCGCTTCGAGGGGGCATGCTGGTGGGATGTGAGATGTTGCTGCTGACTAGTGTGGTGGATGGATGGGAGGGAGGGTTTGGATGTTGGGGATAGGAGACTGGAGCCTAGGTGAGTGGGCGGGCGGATGAGAGGATTGGTGGACATGACACGCAAGATACATCGCAAAAAGCAAGCAGGCAATGCAGATCCTCTCGTGTGGGCTGGAGCCTGGAGGGAATCATTTATCGAATCGACTCACACGCAGAATCTCCGTCTGCTATTATCCCGTCCAATTATTAGCAACTGGCAACTGACAATCGATACATACTGACTACTGCCATGGATGGACGCACACCCCCGCTTTCACCTTCCAAATCTACCGACCAAATTACAAAATCGGCCAGGATAGGGGATGCAAATCCACCGAACCGACCGTGCTTGTTGGCACACTTGGCAGTTTGAATCATCCCCTGCATGTCGAACCGGAAACTAGGAGACGTCTTTGATTCATGTTTGCGCTCCTGTTGTACTACTACGTATGGTACGTTACATTAACACGCTACGTACTAATCGTTCACGGAATTCTTACCTGCCTGCTGCGCGTCCCCAGAAGCGTTCCATTCCCTCGAACAAACTCCAACCTCAACCAAACACCACACGTATCCGTGCCGTGCAAGGGAAAAACGTGGCGTAGGCGGCATAGCCTTACCGAAACGCGTTCAATCCCTTGTGAAACCGAGCGCTACCGCGTAGGAATTCATGGGACAGACTTGGCATTGTGCGTTCGACAGGCCACCGTCTTCATCGTGATGCTCGTGATGGCTCGTGGTTGACCGGAGCGGAGTAGATATGGTGGGAGGAACGGAGAAGTGCATCGCTTGTTTTCGTGTCATCGATTCATGAAACCTCCCGAGCATAATTCGGAGGGGGGTCGCTCCAATCCAGATGAATCTACATGTTCCTCGAGAATCGCCGAATGGGAACATGTATGCGCAGCAGAGATCAGTATCGTCAATATGCTCTTCCCATATGATACCTTTTGATAATGCGACTATCGAACCCCATCGCCATATAAACCGACTCTGAGTCTTTCCCCCTCGCACTCGTCCATAAATATCGACAGTATTAATAATCAAATCTCCATCTCAAGAGCGAAATCCAACACAGAACAGTATTCTGCACCAGCAACCGAGATCCAAACTCCCACCTCTTCTCCCCCGTCCGTTCCTCCGTCTCTGACCTTTCTCGCTTCCGGGACCCCCCCTCGCCGATCCTTCACCCGCCGATCCTCGGCATTCAATATCCAAAATTTCAAACCCCTTGCCCCAACATCATGCAAACCAGGTCCCTCACCCACGTGGCAACAAAGATGTTGCCTACCTCATCCCTCCCCCCAAAGGAAACCAAGCACGAAACAACCGCTCAATGATTGAAACGAACAGTTCAATGCCTTGACTCTTACTGTGTAAGCTACGGGTCTCATCCCTTGACGCCACAATGCGGGGGAGTGCTGATGCGGACGGTGGATTTATGCGTACTAATTATAGGATCGATACGATGGGGGCATGCGGTGCGCTATGATTAGCCGCGTCCGTGGTGACTAGCTCGCTTGGGAGGATTCCAAATTATGCTTAGTTGGAATCGGGAGGGAGGATGGGCGGGTCACAGGTAGGAGTGCAGTTATACATGATGCATAAGGTAGATGGGCGGATGAGCGTCGCTGAGGCCTAAGAATTGCCCCGAGCAGAACCCTATACCTTACTATGTACTACGAGGATGTTATTTACTACTGCCCCTCCTCCGTTCATTCGAACCCTCCAAGCACTGAATAGCGCATCTATCAATTCCCAATTCCAGTTAAGACCTAGCTCCTCCAACGACCAAAGTCCAACAAGTCCCAGCTAGCATGTTCCGAATTACGACCAAGGCATCGCGTCAAACTAAGCTGCATAACAAACTGCATTAAAATGCATCCCTGCAACAACGTGGACGGAAGGCGGATCGTCGGCCCGGCCAGATGTCGAAAAAACCCTAACCACGGACGTATGCGAACTAAGGCGCAGGGAATATCACGTGCTGTCCGAATTCGCTGGTGCGCCATGTTGTGCGATGGGGGATGTTGGCGATCCTTCCCTGGTGCGGATGAGATGAACTGTGTGGGGATAAATGATCGGGGAAGAAAGATGAGGTACGACGGACACGGAAGGGGCGCTGAAATACGCGGGTTGGTAGAGGTTGTGTACTGTACAGGGGCGATTCGATGGGATCTTTGCGGCTCTGATACCGTCCGTTATCGCCTATCGAGGCGGCTCGTTGCGTCGCTCGCCCTTCGATCGATCGTGGTTGCGTGGGCGCCTGAAGCAGAGGCTGCACACCGAATTAGCACCGCATCACCCAAGAATGCGGAAATAGAAAGACGAAAAAGAAAAAAAACACTCACAATTCTCCCTGGGTACTCTCCTTCAACCGCTTCAACGTCATCTTCATCTCCGGCAACTCATTCTTCAACTGAAACCGCGCCTCATGATCCGTCTTCCCGTCCAGCATCGGATAAATCGCCCCCTGCAACTCCGTCACCTTGTTCGTCGTGTACGCCATCAGCGTCTGCGCCGTGAACTCGCAGTCGATAGTCGCCTGCATCAGCGCCGGCAGCGGATACCGCTTCCTTTCCCCCAGTGCCCCGATCATCGCCTCGAATAGCTGCTCGAGGAGGTGCTGCAGGATGCGTGGAAGGAGCGGGGACGCGGCGCTGGCGACCTCGGTGTGCGTGAGGACGAGGGAGAGGAGGACGTCGGAGACGTAGGAGGAGGTGGCGGTGGGTTTTTGCGTCGGGGCCCAGTCGGGGGAAGGGATGGCGGCGAAGAGGAGGGCGCGGTGGGAGGCGGCGAGGGGGTCGACGTAGCTGTGGAAGAGTTGGGCGTCGATTTGGGAAAGAAGGTCGGCGATGGTGGAGGTTTCGGAAGCGAGTTGGACGGAGAAGTCGGTTTCAAATTGGGTGATGAGGTGGGGAACGATGTCGTGGCGGATGGCGTTGAGGTTGCTGAGGGTGAGGAGGATGCGGGTGTTCTAGATAATCAGTCGATATAACGCAGATGAGAGAGGGGATACATACCGCGTTCGAGGAATCCACCACGCTTCCTGATTCTACTCTCCCCGCCTTATTCGCCGGTGCCAACAAACTATCCGGATCCACCTCCCACATCTCCCTCTCCGCCTTCCGCGGCCTCTTCGCATTCTCCACAATCCCACTGAGCGCCTTATACAAGCTCCCCACGAACTGCTGCCGCACCTGCTGCAGCAACTTCGCGCTCGGCGGCACCACCACCTCGCTCGACCCCTGCCGATTCATCGCCTCGCTCACGTACAGCATCCGCTGCATGCTCCCCAGCACTGTCCCTTCGAACGCCATCAGCCGCGTTGGCAGGTTCGTCAGCTCCTTCGCGTCCGCGCTGCGCGTCCAATCTTCCAGTACCCGCGCGTTCTCTGCGTCCGCCACCCACGCCGCGCACACCGCGGCCACGCACCGCTCCCGCGCGACGTTGATCAGCGCCTTCAGCGACTCGGTCGGCCGTGCGCCGGTGCCGTCGCGCATGATGCTGAGGGAGGCCATTTCGCTGGCGGCAGTGCCGAGGAGGTTGAGGAGGCGGCCGAGGTAGTGGGCGGCGCTGAGGGAATTGGCGAAGGGGGGCCAGAAGGAGTAGGACTCCCAGGGGTCGCCGCGGAGGGGGGACGGGGGCGGGAGGTGCTGCGGGTCGAATTGGAAGCGGGTGTCGCTGAAGGGGGGGAGGGTAGCGGACGCAGGGGTCCGTGGGGTGCCAGGGCTGTTGGGGATGGGGGAGAGGAGGAGGGAGATGTCTTCCGTGGGGGGATCGGAGAAGATGGCGTGTATGCTGTCGCGGATGAGGGAGATGAGTTCGCGGGCGCCGGTGCGGAGGCTGTCGACGCCGGCGGTGGAGAGGCGGTGGTGGCGGATGCCGTGGCCGTCGATGCCGGGGGGGAGGGATTGTTGGGCTTTGCCGTTGATGAAGGATTCGGCCGTCGCCCAATATTCGATGACTTCGCCCAAGATGCCGCCTTGCGCGGACAACATGGCGTTCATGGTGGTGTATAAATGTTCCCAGAACTCCAGCACTTTCGTCGAGTCGAACGTCGCTAAATTCGAGGGTTTCCCATGACTTCCTGCCGACCGTAAATGCGTCGCGATCATCTTCATACTCGGCCTCTCCCCACTCGCAAGCCTTCGTCGGAGAATTTCAACCTCGATTTTCGACCGCTCGGCCGTCGCGATGATCTTATTCTTCAAGAAATCATACCGACTCAGCAACCATATCCAAATGGGGTTATCGTCCACCCCCAGCTCCAGCAGGATGCTAATCAGTTCCATATGCTCCTCCGGCTCATTCTCCTCCACCGCCGTCCCGGGCCTCGTGAAATGCGTCCCCGCCAACCGATTCCACACCCCCTGCTTGAACTTCGCCACCTGGCTTTCCACATCGTTCCACATCCGCGCGGTGACGATGACCTGTTCGATCTCCCGATCCTGCATCTGCACCCCGCTCTCCAACGCCCCCTCCACCATCGCCCGCGCATCGTCCGCGTACTTCCGCGCCCGCGCATACTCCTCCACGATGCTATCGTTGTCGCGCCGTTTGATCGAGTCCGCGATCGACACGCTCAGCTCGAAGATCGCGCGGTGTTTCTCTACCGCCCCCAGGATCGCCCGGAGCGTCTCCTCTTTATCGCGGCTGCCCAGCGCCGGGCCCCATACCTCCTCGGCGCGCACCGCGACTTCGAGGATCGGGGCTTTGATTGGAGCGACGCCGTAATCGTTCTCTTTTAGAAGGGCGTTCTTCCGCTTTTCCGGCGTGGTGGACCGCCCGTTGTCGACTCCGAGCCGAGGGCTGAATGCCCCGCTGCTATTCCGGAAATGACCGCCGATACTATTTCTACTTAGATTCCGGGAGTGCTTGCGTTTATGGGAAGGGTCCGGCGATGTCTCGGTGTTTTTCCCGCGCATCTCGTTGTAGACGGTGTCGATGGTGGCTTTGGCGCGGACGAAGCGCTCGAAGTTGGACTCGACCAGAACTTTCAGGGAGGCGGACTTCTTCTCGATGGAGTGGGAGAGGAACTCGAGACCTTGCATGAGGTCTTGGGTGGAGTCATTGTTGTGGATGTGGGAGAGGAATAGGGAGGGATTGAAGGTGGTTGACGAAAGGAGGAACTTGTTCCCTAGAACATATAAGCATACATCAAGCAAAAATATGTTCTATAATTGGCTTCCACATACTTAACTTCATATCCTGCTCCACCGGTAGTCCTGTCGACCGTAAAACGTTCACCACGCTCATGCTGCTCCCTAGCGGATCCGGTTCATCCTTCTGCACCAAATTATCCGCCCCTTCCTTGGTCTTCTCAAACCCGGCGATGCTCCTTCGGCCATTCGGGCGTTCGAGGATGGAATACCGTGATCTCGAGCGCTGCACCGGGACCTGGGCTATGGATTTCGAGGTGACCCGCGAGGGTGGTTCATGTATGTCGTCGCCGTCGGAGTCCTCGTTGTCCTCGTTGTCCTTTTCGACGGGGTACTCGGAGGGATACAACGAGAGGATCTTATAGTGGTTTAATAGCGTGGTTTCATCCATGGTGAATTATTTACAATACAGAACGGCAGGAGGGTGATTGTCGGGTGGTTAAGTCGTAGTGACAGCTGTACTCTGATATCGGAGCTCCTGAGCTGTCTGGACGTCAACGTGAAGTTATGGAGCCAAGCAGTGATATGCCTGAATGCCTGAATGCCTTAATGCCTGAATACCTTACGCGAAGCGCCTGCATGTGGTTCACCAGAGTTCCTGTCACGTGCCTGTGTTCCGCTGAACCGTAAATGTGGCTGACCTGCCGGCTTGGCATGTGGCCGTGCAGGCCCACCCGCTCCTGCCTTGCTGGGATTGCACGGTAATGATGCAGCAGAAGTTGAAGAACGTCTTTAGGGCGATGGGATGGATGCGTTTTATCTTCCATTCTCTCCCCCACCCCTTCTTCCACCCAATTCTCCTCACCCATTCCCTCCATACCTTTCTCTTCTTTCTACACTCGGTATCGGCTCGCCAATTACTCAAAATGGTAGCAACTCGGTTAATTGCTCGTCCCGCGTGCAGATACCTGGCGCGAGCCAGTTTCACTCCTAGTTGGACCCAGGTACCAGAGATCAATTCTCTATACGGATAAGAGGAACGGAATCTAACTCGGCTTAACAGGCTCGATCCTATGCCGCCATCGCAAAGAATGACCGAGTCGCCAAATTTTTGGGAACGAAAGGCAATGATGTACGATCCGCCAACTCCGAACATTCCGCACCTCCGAACCATGGTCCATCCGGAGGGGTAGAAATTGATGGTCCTGAGCATATCCCAAGGGCGTTGCTTAATTGACATTTTTCCTCTCTTCATTTGATTCGGAAAGTCGATAATTACATCTACGACTTCCCGCTATCTTTGACTGGGGGAACGTCAAAGCGAAGGATTATCAATTTCTTCCACCCAGATATCGACCAAGCGCTCCAACATGAACACAGCTGACCACTTGAGCATAGGGAAAATACACCGTCACATTAATCGAGGGCGACGGTATCGGACCGGAAATTGCGCAATCAGTCAAGGACATCTTCACCGCCGCCAAGGTATGAACAGTCCTCCCCTCGACCGCAGCAAATCTAATCATGGATGATCCAGGTCCCGATCAAATGGGAATCCGTCGATGTCACTCCCCAGCTAAAAGACGGCCGCACCGTGATCCCACAAGAGGCCATTGACAGTGTGACACGGAACTACGTTGCGCTGAAAGGTCCTCTCGCCGTACGTTACCCCCCTCCACTCACCCTCATCCCACTAACCACCCTAGACCCCTATCGGCAAAGGTCACGTCTCCCTCAACCTCACCCTCCGCCGCACCTTCAACCTCTTCGCCAACGTCCGCCCCTGCAAATCCATCGCCGGCTACCAAACCCCCTACGACAACGTCGACACCGTCCTGATCCGCGAGAACACCGAGGGCGAGTACTCCGGCATCGAGCACATCGTTGTCGATGGCGTCGTCCAGTCCATCAAGCTGATCACCCGCGCCGCCTCTGAGCGCGTCCTCCGATTCGCCTTCCAGTACGCCCTTGAGGTCGGGAAGCCCAAGGTGCGTGTCGTGCACAAGGCGACCATCATGAAGATGAGCGACGGGCTGTTTTTGCGGACCGCCAGGGACGTGGCGAAGGAGTTCCCCCAGATCGAGTTTGATGCGGAGTTGTTGGATAATACCTGCTTGAAGATGGTGACGGATCCGGCGCCGTACGCGGACTTGGTTTTGGTCATGCCGAACTTGTACGGCGATATCCTGTCCGATCTGTGCGCCGGGTTGATCGGTGGACTGGGTCTGACGCCGTCTGGAAACATTGGCGATGAGTGCTCGATCTTCGAGGCCGTCCATGGAAGCGCGCCGGATATTGCCGGGAAGGGGCTCGCGAATCCCACCGCGTTGCTGTTGAGCAGCATCATGATGCTGCAGCATATGGGACTCCACCAACATGCGGAGCAGATTCAGACCGCCATCTTCAAGGTGTTGGCTGAGGGCAAGGTATGTCGTCTTCTTCCCGTTTCCTTTCCATTCTCTCCGGAATTCCCATTTCATCTCTAGCAAACAGCGTCCCTCGAACATCACCCAAAGAAGTCCTACTAACCCACTTCCTCAGACCATCACCGGCGACCTGGGCGGCAAAGCCAAGACCCACGAATACGCCGGCGCCGTCATCAAGGCGCTGAACTAAGCGTCTGAACTCCAACCCAACCCAAAAGAACCAAGAACACACCGTCGGCCACCCCCGCCTATGCACCCATCCAGTTCCCGCAATCTTGTACCATACATCCATTCATATTCCTCATTTGAAAAGAGTCCGCATATCGCTTCGTTTCGTTTGGGAAAGGGGTTCGGGCGGACGTGAAATGATATAGGTCGTGTAGAAAGGGGATGCACGCGTTGATAGGACAGTTGTATAGACATTTTGATATTTTCGTAGAATAGTATTTGCGTTCAGAATGGTGGTGTCTGGAGGCGGGGATGAGTGACGTTTCGATCATGTCCTTATAGACCATGGACTGGGGGGTTTCAAAATGTGCCCCGGACAAGAAGCCATCGAAGTGGGTGATCCTGGAGGCACTCGAATCCCCTATTATCGAGGCGTATCAAAGTCCTGACAACCCCCTTTTCCCCGGCGCGCCGCCCGCGCTATTTTACAGCGACCGACATCCCCACAAGCTCTACCCCCGTGAATTAAGCATCGTATGACCAAAGCGCATCATCGTGATTATAATTCATGTATTCTCTACCCTACCCTACGCCCATCCCCACCATCTCCCCTTTTCCCCTATCCATCCTCCGCAAACCAAGCATCCCGACAACCCCATTGCCCATGCTGCCTGTATGTAGCGATATAGAAAACCTCCCACGAGCCAACGCTAGCTCGCCCGCTCTCCTGTCTCCGATCAGCGGAGACCAGTCTCGCACCAAACCATGACGATAAAAATAAACCAGGAACGAAAAAAATATCAGTGTCGGCGTGCGTCATCGGATCGCGATGATCCATGCCCGGTATTTCCTTTTCTCGTGACTTCATCCCTTCCGCGATTCCTTGCTTCCACCAGCGACCGGTCTGCGTCATCGCCGATGGCGTCGTAGTCGTGTGAAGTAGTGTCGTCGTTACACGCTCCGAGCAGGGTCGGTACGCACATCAGGGTTGAGGTTCGATTCGTCATGAGCCGTTCTGCACCTCCTGGGTGCCGCCACCCTCTGCGCCGGCGTCGACGTTGTGGTAGTCGAGGATTTCGGAATACCTAATGGGAACCTCGTTAGCTACCTTGAACGAAATCGTACAAGAGAAAGAGAAAAACAGCGAAGTCCACCCCGTCCCGAAAGACAGGCAGGTTCAGTTCTAGAGAGAAGGAATACGCACATCATAATCTTCCATGTATCAACCGGCAGATCCGCATTATTAAACGACCAGTCGAATTTCTCCTCCGCGACTGGCTCGTCGGACGCGTCGTGATAGTCATCGCGGAGGTAGTCGTGCTGGAGGGCTTCGGCGGCGCTGATGCGGGATTGGGGGTTGAAAACGAGCATTTTCTCGAGGAGGTCAATGGCTAGGTGGGGTTAGTTGATTCAAAAAGGGGAGATGGGAAGGGGAGACGAACCGCGTGGTTGGAAGCCCTTGAAGCGGACTTTGAAGTCCTGGCGTTCGCGTTTGGGGAGGGATTGCACGAAGCGGAGGGTCTGGAGATGTTAGAATCTGGGTGGTGGACTGTCAGTACTAGAGAAAACTCACGTTCTCGCTGCAGATCGTTTCTACTACATCAGGCGGCGGGGTTCCCAGCAACTCGGTGATGATCGAGAATTGATTGACATGGTCTTTCCCAGGGAACAGCGGCCGCCCCTCCAACATCTCCGCGAAGATGCACCCGGTACTCCAGATATCGACCTCGACGTCGTATTTCTGCCAGGTGAGCATAATCTCGGGGGCACGATAATATCTCGTTGAGACATATCCGGTCATCTGCGGATCCTGGATGCGTGCGAGGCCGAAGTCGCAGATCTTCAGGTCGCAGTTCTCGTTGACAAGGATGTTGGAGGGCTTCAGGTCGCGGTGGACGACGCCGGCGGAGTGCACATATTTCAGGCCGCGGAGGATCTGGTAGAGGAAGAATTGGGCGTATTTCTCCTCAAGGGGGTGCGGGGCGGCGATGAGGCGGTGGAGGTCGGTGGCGAGGAGGTCGGTAACGAAGTAGATATCTTCGAGGGGGGAGATGAAGATGTCGCTCAGGCTGATAATCTGAGGGGTTCGGTTAGTATACGACTCGTCTCGAATGCCATCTCGTCGGTTCCATCTAATCGGTAAATCTGGCGGCGTGACATTGACCACGGTTCGTCGGTTGGTGAGGACGTACATTTTCATGCTTCAAATGCTTCAACAACTTCAACTCTCGATACGTCCGCTTCGCCAACACAGGGGTACTAAACGGTTTCATGATCTTCTTCACCGCCACCGACTGCCCTGTCAACTGGTCCTTGGCCGCGCATACCAGCCCGAACGCGCCCATGCCTACCGGTTTCAACTCCGTGTACCGGCTCGTGATCTCGAACGTCGTGCCAAAAATCTCTGCGCGCACGAATTCCGCCATGATGATGGATGTGGATGACGGTTAGAGGAGATGGATATTCCGCGATGGAAATTGGGAAATGGATATGGGGATGATGGAATTGGGATCGATATCTGCGGTGGAGGTGGGGTAGAGGTAGGGGAGATACCGCGATGGTTTGGGTAGTGCAGTGGGGTCCAGCAATAGACGTAACTGAACTGGCGCAATCTGGCTCTTAATTGACAGCTGCGAGACAAAGGATCGAAAATAATGGATGCGATTCAGCTCGATATGGGAGTTCAGGAATTCAGCGCGTCTCCGTCGTGGTCGGAACTCTCTCCGGGTGGGTAGGTAAAATTTTGTCTGTTGTGGATGGAATTCGAAAAGGCCGTTTTTCAAGGAAATGTCTCCGGAATTGTGTCTGATTTTTCAGTGGAAGAGAGTACCTGGTTTAGAAACATTAGTCTTCCAGAAGGGCAGGAGAACCGGATTTTGGAGGGTCCAGCCACGCAGGGGCGATTTGAATGGACGGTGTGGAGTTTGATAGAGAGAAACTGTGGCGATACGTTGTGCAAGGAAATGGAATGGGATGAAGATCAGGATGGTATTGTAATAACACTGAAAATAGCGTTGTGCTGGTGCTTGGAAATGGGCTCTTCGTATATCCTGAGGCCGAGGGGATCGAGGTTTTGTGCATCACCCCGGGTAGCTCCAACTGCAATCTGAAGCATTGACTATAGCAAGATCTAGGAGCACGCTATGACGACATGGCTTTTTCTCCTTCGGGATCGCAGGATTCTACTCCGTAACGGATCCATGATGCAGGAAAGCAGCACCTAGTGCTAGGTAACTTCGGGGCCACGCTTCTACGGTGTGATACGAGATACGACCAATGATGTCTTTGTGGAGTGGGAGATCGGGGAGAACCCGGAATGGAGGTCCGAAGGTGGCTTCTCCAGAAGTCGCCAATTCGATTGACGCGCATCGATTGATATGGGAGGAATAGGAACTCAGGGAATTCATCAAGGACTATCTCTGGCAACGACGATACGACGATGTTGAAGCGGCTACGGGAAAGACTGGCCGAGGGAGGAATGGTCGACTCCTTGCTTGACTCCCTGAGAAATCCCAATACAATCATTAGCCTCTAACTGCCCTTGGATCAATGCCACACGCGCTTCTAGATTCTATTCTGGTCCGAGTAACTTCTACTTCACGAGTATCTACCGAAGAGGGATAGGAGGACGAATATTACCACGATTCCGGGGAGCATACGGATCTAACTCAGCGAAACCATTTCCCGATTTCAATATCCTCCTCTCTGTTTTACTCAATTGAAGTAATATGCAAGTTTCATCCCTATCTTTTCCTCGTTTCTCCTTTTCTCGCGGCCGAATATCAGGTTTCCTGTGGGTGAGAGTGTTGACGTCATCATGCCGTCATACCTCATCAACTGCCAACAACTCACAATAACTTGAGGGCTGCTACATGTGATGGGGCTGCACGTGATGACTCTGCTAAGTAATCAAATCATCCTATCTTCTCCCTTTCGACTTCACTTCCACACAACTTCTCTGTCCCTACAATCATATTCCAATTTCTGTACAATGAATTGATGGCAAGCCAATGTAGATCCCAGTACCTCTCAGCAGATGCACTATACTGAGCATTACTGTGCTTCCCAACCCAGTGGAATGCGACGTTTGCTTTCGCCAGCAACATGATACACACCGAGGTATGGTTGTGTCAGAAGATGAAAAGCCCTTAGTTAGGGGTATCCCTTTTGGTCCCTTAGATTTTGCGACAGGTTGAGTCATTGAGGTATCCAAGCCGAAGCTCTGTTCGATTCATTTCGATGTCTTTTATTTTCCTTGAAGTCTTCATTCGAGTCTCGATCTTCTTCAGCTTTCAGTCTGGATCAAGCCTTCTTTTATATGAGCGTGATGGAATATTTGCTGAAACGTTCATCGCCATACTCATCCTCCTGGACTACCTGACCGACGTTCTTGTCAGATCGAGAAGCAGGACATATATATTTCAGCAACTCAGCGCATTTCCGTAGCACCATCTCGTGCCGTCGCTTCAGTGACTTCTGCCGCCGATCCATATGTTCCTGCCGGTCGATCGGTTCTTCTCCTAATTCGTTTGCAAGGCCCACCCCATCATCCTCGGATTTGGTAGGCGCTTGGTTTTCTGCCATGGTTTTCTCTAAATCCGTCGCAGTCGATTCGCCTTCTGTACTTGCAAAACCCAGCCTCGTCGATTGAGTGGGCTGTTCCTGATGATCGGATAGAAAGAGTGAGCCGCTAGATTATACAGACGAATCACCCTAATTCCAAAAACATCGAGGGTCTGCAAGGCCGCAGGGTCCCGGTTCGAAAAGCAGCCTCCATTTGCATCTTGGGCATATGATGCGGCAATGTTCAGCACAGGTCCCGTAAACCTCACTCGTAGTCGAGCTCTCATACTTGCAGTCTTCTCCTGAGTCATGAATTTCCCTCCGGTCTGCCTGAGTCCACTCGGTTCTTCGAGTCATGTCACTTACAAAGAGTCTATCCAAATATACCTGAACCCTAAACGCCGTGTGAAATCTATGACATCACTAAACATCTTAGGAAGTTCGCCGGGAGAGATACGGTTCAGTAATGTTTGTTCATTGGAACTGGTGAGCTTGATGGTTTCTGCTTCTCCCCTAGAAAAATGTGAGCCCGCATTCAAATATAACTGTATAAAAGTACCAGCAGTGACTTAATGTCAGATACTCGCTCCCTATCGGAACTGGTGGTTTAGGGAGAACTCTCGGAGCACTCTTCATCCCCGACGTCGATCAGTTGAGTTGGCAGCCAGTCCGAGCGTACTAATTAACGCACTCCACATGGTCACGTCGACATTGCGATAGCCAAGCTTGGATTTGAGCTACTGTCTCTTTAGAGCCTGTGCTATTCCCAGACAGCTCCCATGATGGACCTAGATACTCCTGTTCAACGCCCCATAGAACGTCCAACCTCACAAAAGGGTGAGACAACTGTTTGCCCCCTGTACGAAGCGCAGAGCCATTTTCCAACCGGATTTCAGGCAGTGCGGTACACGTGTTGGCCGTGATCTGAGACTTCGCGTTGTCGTGCCACTCTTCATCGGAGGCTAACTATTCTTGCTGCGCAGCTGGGGATAGTTGAGCCCGGAGCAATGCACAGAGTTCGCACTTCTCTGCCAATTGTTGGAGGTAAGAAGACAAGAAGTAATGGCCTAATTACTTGTCAGTCCTTAGTTCGGTGGCTCTTCCTACTCATTCCATCCATTCCACCTACACAGAGTTCCATTCACCGTACATCGATTCTGTCAGTCTTCGTTGAATCTCCAGGCAATATTCGCAAAGTGTATCCATGGTAGTGGCTGTAGCGCTGCCATCTCACCATGGCGTTCGCAATGATCTTGAGACTCGACCTTTATATCCCATAGCACAAAGCACCAAGAACGAGGTGGGATACTGTTGAACGAAGGGGTGTATTGCAGGGGCATTCTCGCGTAGCAGGGAACATTCGCGAGTTCTCGACACTCTTTGTGATACGCCTCCAGGTCATCCGTTTCTTTCGCTCTAGATACATGCATGGAAACCTCAGTTATGCAAGCAACCTGCCACCACATTATTTCAGCGATGAAGTTCCAAAATGCAGCACTGCGCATGTCGATAACCCCGGACATCTGCGCTATGGCGGCTGACCGGCCTCATCCCATCTGATGGTAGGAAGACCTGCGAAGGCTGGATGAGTAACTACTGTCGTATGACAACCGGGTATCCCACCTCAAGAAGATGATACACCCGAAAACTCGGTTGAGTAGGAATAAGCAACCATTATGCATCTGCATATCAATTCCTAGCAATGTATGGACATCCTATTCCCTGATCTACCCACCCCATCATCCCCATCATCCCCACCATCACAACCCTCAAGCATATCATAACTCATAATACCCCCTCCGACTCCAACCTCACCAAAAGCCGCTCGGCACTCTCATCCTCCACCTTCTCCGCCCCATCCCCTCCCCTCCCCACCCTCCTCCGCCTTCCCACCATCCCCCTCAACAACTCCATGAACTCCCGCAGCCCTTCGCTGAACCTCCGATGAAGCGCGTCAACAGTCATGGATGTTCTGTTCGCGGTTGAATCATCCGACTCGGTGCCATTGTTGTCTTCGCAACAGAGCTCGGCGAACTGGAGGACGTAGCTGAGGAGCGATTCGAGCCGCTCGCGAGCTTGCTGCTGGCGTTTGCGGAGAAGGCAGCCGAACAGGACAGACTCGAGGAATTGCTCGTGGCGGTCGTGGACGGTTTCGACGCCGACGTGACCGAGTCCATCGCCGAAGTCGTCTCCCTCCCCACAAGTCTGCTCCTCGTCCGCCAACCGCTTCTCCACCGCCCCTAAAAACCCCTCAAACGCATCCCAACCCCCCCTCACCACATCCCCACAAAAATGCCCTATACACACCCCAACAAACCACCTCGCCTTCCATCGCATCAACCCCACCCCCTCCCTCCATGGCACCCGCTCCACCACATACCCCACCCGTACCAAGCGCACCAAGAACTGAAACACTTCGTCATACCGCTCTAGCGCCCCCGGCGTCAACACCGCATCAATCGGTGGCGGCGCACGGTATTCGAGGCGCAGGAAGTCGAGGGCATAGAGCGTGCTGGGGTCGAGGACGAGGGGGATGGTGGTGGGGGGAAGTGTGCGGATGGAGAAAGAGAGGTGGTGGATGAGGTTTGGAGGACCTTTTAAGGGGGGCGACGAGGCGAGATAGCTATCACCCAAGATGCCCATCAGCGCCAACCGCAACTCCGAGCTCGCGGGCGGCCACGTCTTCTCGCCTCTGCTGGCGAGCTTCAGGCCGAGTTTATCTCCGATGCGCGGTGCGCCGGGGTGGCGTTCGGTGGAGGGGAGGTCGGGGTTGAATAGCGCGGAGGTAAGGGCGGTGCGGAAGTGGGGGGAGCCGAGGAGGTGGTAGGAGAATTGGAGGCGGAGGTGGGCGGCAAGGTGGGTACGGAAGAGGAGGTGGAGGAGGGATGTGGAGAGGAGGGTGGATTGGGTGGTGAGGAGGGGGGAGAGGGAGAGGTGGGGTGTGAGGGGGAGGGGAGGGGGGATGGTTGGTGGGGTGGGGAGGGGAGTAGAGAGGAGGGGGTGAAGGAGTTGGGAGAGGGGGGTAGTGGGGGTGGGAAGGTGGTTCATGCGGGTGATAGAGGAGGTAAGGACGTCGTCGTATGATGGATGGTCGCTGGGTTCGGACTGATCGGCCGGGGGGGTCTCGTCCGGGGGGTTGGGGTTCGGAGTCTTCTTCGACCAGCGGGTCACGGCTCGCTTCACGTCTTCCTCGTATCGCTTCGCCTTGTGCGTGATCCGTTCAATGTCATCCCACTCAAACGCCCACCGCACCTCCGGCGCCTCGATCCCCGTGCGCGCGAGATTCACCAACGGATGATCTGGTTGATTCGCGCGCACAATTCGCAGATTCCGGCCCGTCTCCATGATGGCCTGCGCCTCGTCTCGGCCGAAGAAACCTGGCATCCGCTCGGGGTCGAAGACGTCGTCGAAAGCCTGAACACCAGATAAATCCCCGCTCTTCAAGCCAATCCACCGCGCCACCCCGTCCAAAAACGGTGCACACACCCTCCTCGCAATCTCCAACACCAACGGCCGCATCCACTCCATCTGCCCCTCCCCCTCCACCAATACCTCATAAACCCTCCCACACATCTCCGCATCATCCACCACCCCTCCATCATCTAACCTCCCCACCAACTTCTCCACTTCGGCCAGAACTCTCCCAGGCCACTCAAACACCGCCTGCAACTGCACCGCGCTCCTCACCCCCCCAACCCGTCCCCCCACTTCCCCCTCCGCCCCCTCCACCACCTCTCTTACCACCGTCCCCAACGCCACCATCCCCGCCGCCCCATCCACACCCTCCACTATCCGTTCTACAAACCCCCTTAACCGCCTCACCGCGCCCCCGCACCCCGCCAACCTCCCCACCAACCCCGCCGAACTCTCCCGACTACACCCAGGAATCCTCCCATCCTTCACCATCGGCACGAATTCCTGTGCGTGCTCATCGAAGTGGAACAGCGCGGACGCCTGGCCGAGCCCCAGCGCGATGAGCGAACGGAAGAATAGGCCGTGCTGGATGACGGTGCCGGGTGGAGTGTCTCGTGCGCGGGAGTGAGCGAGCAGGGCGGAGTCGAAGAGCGAAGGGGATTCGGAGAGGTATAGAGCGGGGAGGGGGGAGGTAGGGTGGAGGAAGTGGGTCCAAGAGAAGGTTTGGGGTGGGGGAGTGGGGAGGTCGAGGGAGGAGAGGGACCAGATGTCGGAGTTTTCGGCGTCGGTTGGGGGGCGTGAGGATTCAGGAGAAGAGATCAGCGAGCCTTCTGCGGGTTCGAGAGGAGGTAGCGGGCCGTATTCGAAGGCGTCGAGGTCGGGAAGGTGGAGATCGTCGAGGATCGGGTGAGGCGACGCATACGGATGGTTGAATTTGATAGTGGTGACTACAGCACTCATATCAGCACCCAACTCTCCCAACATCTCGACGCGCAACTAGGCATCCTACCATCAAACTCCGGCAACGTAAACAACCCCCCCTCCTCCACCTCCACCGGCGCATACAACCGCGACCCCGCGAACGGATCGCGCAGTTCGAAAACGTCGTCGCCCCACGCTTGGTCGGTAGCCACCTCGTTTTCTCCTTTCTTCCTTCCACGACGCCATCGCTCGTGTGATCGCGACGGCCAGCCTAACGGCCGATCGGAGCCCAGGGACGGCATAGCATGAGCTCGCGAGAATCTCGGGGTTCGGTTATAGGGTCTCGGGCGTTGCTCATTCTGGGGTCAAGGATGGAGAAAGTTTTGGGTGGCCCTGGTTCGAATTGCCTTGGTCCTTGGCGTATGGAGTTGTGGTGGTTACGGTTCTAGTGATAGGATTTTGGAAGCCTTGAAATCATCAAGTCCACGTTGATATCAATGGGACACGCGGGAGACGCGACCAAGGCAGTGAGGCAGCAAGGAAACTCCAAAAGGCAACAAGGCGTGAAGGCATCAACATAGGTAGGCACCAGGGCATCAAGGCAGAAAGACGTGACGGCGCGGCCCGTTCAGAACATCAGAAGCGGCCCATCGTCAAGTTACTCGGTCCAAGAGGAACCTAGAGAAATCCATTTCTCCCAACTCCCAACATTACGATGCTCCCATTTCCCAAGCCTTGCACAGTTGCACCGAACCAGGTTGACCCGAATCGCCTGCGCGCGAGAGAAATGTCACCCTAACAAAAAATTCGTCGCCTCCATCTCCACTCTCCACCCAACTATCGACGCCCGTCCATGTTTTTCCGCGAAGTGGATCTCCCAACGTTAGGAAGTGAGGCAGAGATTTGCATGCCGATGGTATGCGAGGGAATGGGTTGAGGGCGAGTGGAGATAGATCTCGCGATGCTTGGCGGAGGGACAGGGAAGGGTGCGCAAGATTGAGGAATTTTCACTGGGAAGAGTTTGATTTGAGGTGGAAGTCGAATTCTGTTGTTGCATGCGATGGTAGCCGAGTGGAGGAAGGAGAATTAGGGATAGGGAACGGTTGAGAAGGGAGTCTGGATTTAGATGTGAGAGTGCTGAATTGTATGGAATTGTAGACTCTCTTAGCGTCCATCGTGGGTGCCTAAACATTCTATGAGTTCGACATACGCCCTTCGTTGTCACCGACCCACTCGTTGCCAATTGTATGGCATTATTAAGACACCGTTTCACGCTTGCAGCCAACACGAGCACGTATATCCAAGCTACATGCGCTCCACCGAAGAGCAAATGTCCAAATCAAGGGCGTGTTTTGGTGGAATCTAAGCGGCAAGTAGCGTCCCCTACGAGCGATTCCTGACAAAGCGGCGTCACTCCGAGACTTCACTGGTCCATCTGCAACATGACACCCTCCCTGTCACCAATCCACCAATCACCTCTCTTTATGTCAACCTGCTTACATGAACAATCACGCCCTTCGCACTCAATCAATGACAACCCCCCCCGGTCCCATCACCGCCCAACATCGTGAATTCGCCGCTGACCAATGTGATTTTCACCACCGTTTTCAGCATTTCAGCCGTTTCGCAGTACCTGATGCGCCATGGATGCGCAGGGTGAAGGGTCCACCTTAATAATTTATGCCGAGACTAGATTTTTTGAGTCACGACCCAGCAACGCATGGACGTGGTGTCATACGTGCTGCTCTGTAGGGCGTGAATATTTCATGACAGATGGACATCCGGAAAAGTATAAAGAGGGCCGAAGAAGTCGGCGAAAGGTAGGGGAATACTCCAGAGCATCAGTTTATCAGAGCATCAAAGCATCAAAGCATCGCACCAATCAATCAATCCTCAAAGACTACCAGTCTATTAAAGTCTATCAAGTCTTATATCAAGCCTTCATCAACCACCACAACACAACTACCTCCGCCAACCTCACCATCACCTAAAACAAAACCAACCAACCAAACTCGCAATGGAATCCGTCACCCTCCAATACCTTTCCCGGCCCGACGCTATGGACCACAGAACCGCTACCTTCCCCTCCACCTCCCAACCCTCCACCGGCACCTCGACCCCAACTCTTGCCGCTTCCACCAAGTCCACCTCCTCCCTCAAATCCGCGTTGAAGACCGTCGCCCGCAAAGCCCGCGAGCATCATCATAGCGTCAATGAGGCGTATATGACCTACTACGGTGCCGGGACGTATAGCCCGGTCGAGAGTCGGCAGGGGAGCTTTGCGGGGAAGGGGACGTTTAAGCCGCAGGCTTAAGGATGAGATGATAGGGGGATGAGAGGGGATGATACCATTGAGCGTTAGATATTCATGGGAAGGGGTTCGGAGTTTGCTTTTGGGGGTCTTTAGAACGGGTTTTTGTGCCGGCGGGGTCGCCTGCGCATAGATGGGATGAGATATGAGGATCGGGTTTCAGTGCGAATAGAATAATACTTACCTTACTTAAAACGAAGTTTCTTGATATCACTCAATTGTCTGCTTGGTGAGATGTTGGAAATGCAATACTTGGAACTTCTTCACGCCAGACGGTCGACGCGAATTCAGGGGGTCCGCTTTGGGAGTGAGAGGGAGGAGCAGCGGAACCCAATCATGGCGCGCTAGGGATGAGAAAATCAATGACGGTGGATAGCAAGCCGTAAGCACGAAGAGGATGGCACTTAGTACGCGTATCGTCGATGTGGTATCATCAGCCTACGATACATGTCTATCCTCGAACAACACGCATCAAACAAAGAAACCACTAAAAATAACGTGTCCATTGCTAGCAGTTCCGGTGTACAATACAGCATGCATTCTCCCTCTCTAACCGTCTCTCAGCCGCACAGCACGCTCGAACACGAACGCCAGGATGATGATATGCAGCGCCGCACTGTCCCGAATATCACCAGATCCGTAAGAATACACCCTCCACGCACCCCAAAAATAACACCCCTCTCTCCCTACCCTTCATCCTCCTCCACACTCGCATGCAACGCCCTCCTCGTTGCCTGCCCCGCTCCACTCTTCTCCGCGCCACTAGCCACGGTACCCGCCGCCGGCGTCGGCGCAGCGGAGACGGGAGTGGGGGAAGTGCCGGCGGCAGTGCTGGTAGGGGCGGATTTCCCTTCCTGCGCGGCGCGGCGTTTCAGGCGCTTGTCTTTCTTGGCTTGGGAGGCGCGTTGTTTGTCTTCAGGGGTCTGATTTTGGAGAGGTTAGTTGATGAATGGGTGGCAAGGGGGAAATGGGGAAGGGAAACGTACCTCCTGCCACGCCCAGAACGGGATAAAGCTGTCGATGAACCCGACGTCTTCAAAGAGATTAGGGAACAGCCAGAGCCCCGGCGGTGTCACGAAGACGGTGATGCAGAACAAGATAAGTCGAACGATCGCCATGGCGAAGAACAGCCCGATGAGACCGAGCATGCCCATGCTGAGATACCACACCCCCTGCCTTAACTTCACCGGCCACAGTGGGAACATCACCACTGTCACGACTGCCGCCAACGCCCCCGCCGCCATCAACTTCTGCCGCACCTGGCTCCCCTCGTACAGCCACATATAGTGGCAGTCGTCGTGCGTCTCCTGTTGCTGTTCGATCTTGACCGTCCAGAGGCCTTTGGTACGCTTCTTCTTGGAGTCGTCCGGGGACTCGACTTTCGTGACGCGGAGGGCGAGGAGGGAGACGGGGAGGAGCTTGAAGGCGTTTTCGGCGGACGCGCGGTCGGTGACCGGGGGGAGGAGGGGGTTTTTGGCGCGGGCTTGGGTGTAGGTGGGGGATTGGAGGGCACGGAGGGCGCGTTTGACTGGGGGAGTTAGCGGATGACTTTCAAATTCTCCATAGGAAGGTATGTTGTTGGTTAGGTTAGGTGTGCGGAAATGCAGAACATACCTCGGAACATATCCTTCCTTTTCTCCCCGAATACACACGCCCGCTCCTTCAAATCCTGCCCCTTCAACCACTTAGCCACCGCCAACGCCTCCGGCTTCGGCGGCCCCTCATTGATCGGAATCTGCTGCGGTCCTCCATGCGTATGCCCATCATGGTCATGATTACAATTCGGGCCGTGCTGATGGCCCCCCTGCTGCTGGGCCTGCTGCTGTTGCTGGGCCTGCTGCATCTGGTGCTGGCGCATGGCTTCGGCTTTCAACTTCTCGACGTACTGCGGGACCGTCATGTTGTGCTTGCGGGCTTCTTCGGCGAGTTGGCGTTGGATGGCAGCGATTTGTTCGGGGGTGGGCTGTTGCCCGGGGGCGATGGGGGGGATGCCGTTCATGGTTGCGGAGGGCGGAAATTCGGTTGATATGTGTTGGATGGTCGAGAGAGGATTGGAGACCGAGAGAGGTCAATCGAAGGGTCGACTGGAGATGATGTAGGGGGAATAGACGATGTCGTCTTAGATATGCTCCGGTGGATTGATTTTCGAGAAGGACAGGGAACTTCAACGATGAAGGATTATGACATTGGAATTGTATGCCGGATAGCCAGCGGAGGGATCGAAATCACTTATTGCGCTTCACTGGGAGAGGGTCAAGCGCAGTAGATTCAGATGCTGGAATTAATAATTCTTGAGAAGCCAGATGTCCGACTTCCCTCAATAAACTTCCCCCCTGCAGCTTCGACGTTTATGGATGTTTCCGGCCTGGAACAATGTTGATGGATGGCACGTGATCAGGGTCTGTTTACCAAGCCACACCCTGTGGCTGAACACCTTAATATCACGTGATGGCTGGAGACGCTAGAAAATTTCTGTTGCTTTAAATTGTCGCTTTTCTTCTCAACATCCAACCCTCACAACTTCATCCTTCAAGTCACTTGACTACTAGGCTTCTGAACACCAGCCAAATATGGTCCTCAATGTTTCGAAAGTGTCATCGCTCCTCATCATGATTGATGGAACGATGACAATCTCTCGTTAACTTCCTCCATGCCATTGACTGCCAACATCGGTACGGTACTCGGAAACAACTGACCCAATCCCTCATCCCATCCACCATCGTCTACGATTCCAACTCTCGATCGCTCTAGATCAGAACATGACATCCTCCCTCGCCGATCGGCGAGCTTCTTCCCAACAGGAAAGAAAGATGATACCAACAAACACATAAAACCCTTTGCCAACACTCTGGCCCTTACCTGATCTGCTTGCAGACATACCCGTGGTGAAGGCCTATTTTGGTGCAAAGGAGAGAAATCGTGCCATTACTTCACCGGCTCATCCTTCCAGAGGGAAGATGGGTGACTCGGTCCATCCAAAGGCTACATGTCCTTCTTTCTATTTTGTGCTTGTGATTGATCCTCCGCTCGCGCTCGGGTCGTACGGATATCCACCGCGTTTCTGCTGAATGTGATGACTGATGAGGCTCCCGCCTGCAGTGAAGTTTAACGCTGTAGTCAGCCCTGAGCAGAGGAATCGTAGTGTAGCAACCCACGGCTCTAGCGCAGCTGCAATGCGATGCCATAAGCAACCCCAAACTCAAATCCATCAACACAGCACCACCGCATGTCTTGACACTGACACGCACACCTCCGCCTTCCTCGGAGTTTCCTTGCAGGAATCGGTAGCACGACGGTAAGTACTCACCCATCGTGTATCGCAGGCGACCGATTCCGTCCCGAGATGGGTGACACCGACCAGGCACCCTTCCATCGTTACCCGTGATTGTGATGAGCAGACGACCTCCGTTGATGATGAGGAAATATGTGGATGATCTATCTACCTAACTCATAAGAATGTGGACACGAGTTGATATGTCACCTACTCACCTAGCATGGGGAAACACGGATGGGAAATGGAGAGCGATCGTCATGTTGCAGGCTGCAGTATAATTAGCGATCAAGGGATGTCTTAGCGGCAGTGCCATGCTCGCCAAGTCGCCAGGCACCCATCGTCATCATCCTCGAATCTGAGACGGCGCTCAACGCATCGCAAGACCCTCGACTCCGCATCGCAAGACCCTCGATGCCGCAACGCCTCTGCAGCACTGCAGCTGTTGACCAAGAAGTCCTCAGGAAATCATGTGACATGCCATTTGTCTTGATCCATTCGACATCGCTGGAAACACTCCTGGAGCGGAATCGACAGGATTAGGTAGGTGAATGGCGGTTTCGTCGCACGAATATCACGCACCAGATGCCGATCGGCGGTGGTTTGGGGACGGTGTAGGGTCGATTGACCGGGGGCATTTTTGCGGCACGGTCGGAGCGGAGTTGACGAAGCAGAGGCGCGTATCAGCCCTCATCTCATCTCGTCTGACGCTTGATCTTGCCAAATGCCATCACTGTGTCTTCTGGAGCGTTGGCTCATTGCTGGGAAGTGGGACTGGACGTCCAAGATTCAGCAATATTAATAACGAACTATCCAATCCTTCAATCCATCATCCCGCCATCCAGGATCAATCTCCGTCGATCCGCTCCAAATATACGAAATCCAACGCGACCATTCATCTTAATTCCTTGCGCTCCCCGTAGCTCCCGCCAATCCGGGCTTTAACCGGGCCCCGAAATCTCACTAGCATCGGAAGCGAAGGAGCTGATGTTAGCGGGATGGCCGGAAGAGTCACCAGTTACCAGTGAGGCACTGACCACCGGCGACCCCCAGTAGGCGGTAGGGCCACGATCGGGCTAAGTTAGCGACGCAAGTGGACCTGTGCTCGTTCGATGTTCACGAAGTGGGATGAATCATGAATGAGCAGATTTAGAGATTACAGAGTGGATTGCGCGTCGATGGGTGACTCGATTGGTGGGCTTCGGCTGGGTCTGGTAAGTGGTCGGGTCAGTCCAGGGCGAATGGATGATGGAGGACGCCTTGTTCGGAGAGCGAGCCAGTGAGGGCGGTGGGGGACGCCATGGGCTGGGATTTGATGAGGGGGCCTGCGAGGGGAGCTTGGGGGATTAGGGGATTGGGGTGAGGTTGATGACGGATCTTACGAGGTGGTCGATGAGAGGCTAAAGGACCAGGGATAAAGGAGGGGAGGTGGAGGGGGGGTATTAAGAAAGAAGAGGGAGATTGCGGTGATAGGTAAGGTAGGCAGCGGTACATCGATGTCCTTGATAGAGCTGTGGTCTTATACGGCGGTTGTCGTGATGCGAAGGAATGCTTGGAATAGCGGCGGATGGCACCATTGATATTGAAAATCCCCCCTCCGGAACCATCCCACTGGATACCTCCGAACAATTCCTGGCTCATCATATCCATTTCCGTCGACTGCAGCATCTCCATTCTTTATCCAGCCGGCAAACCAGGAGAAATCAAGAGGGCAGAGCGTGGCTGGAAGCTAACGGTAGGCTAAACCGCTCCAGCACAGCCCACACCTCGCTCTCTCGCACCCCTTGCACCACCAACTCTACCAATGATGATGGTGGGTGGATGATCCGCTATCCCTCCCCAAGCTGCAGGGAGGCGAGAGAGGCTTGGGGATCTCCGGGTGCCCGGTCGCCAGCAAGGACACGACGGATTAAGAAATGGGCAAGCGTACAGGAGCTGGAGAGGTCGTTTGGTCGTGGTCGTCGTACAGAGCAACTTCAAACGCTTCAACATCAACCATCGTCTCCGTTTGGGAGTTATCCATCACTTATCGGAGACGAGATATCGAAGACTATCTCCCATAGACTCATAGTCTCGTCCTCACCCGTCCGGTTGTGTGACTTAACGATATCCAGTTATCCACCCCATAGCGCCCGCACGCCCTCCCGCCGCTGCGACAAGCCATCTACTTCCAAACCTCCATTGTTGATAGTCCATATTAATTCCTACTGTACCCATATCCACAATCTTCATTACCCGTGTTACACCAAAGCCCTGCAACCTGCAACCTGCAACCTGCAAGTGCAAAGAACCTCTCCTCTCCATTCCTTATACCGCCTCTTTCTCCATCGACCCTTTCGCTGCCTCTGTTGCCACCTTTGACCTTCCGTTTCATATCCTCTCTCATTCCTCGTCCATCCCCAGGAGCGGCCGCCTGTTCCTGTATTACCTGCATCACTGGGTTGGCGTCGTGTTGGCTTCTCCACGACGAAACGATCCCGGCGTCGCCATCCTCCACTGCGTCCGACACCCTCCCGTGCGTCAGGATTCGCTTGTCCCCTCCTTGCTTGACACTTCCTGTGGTGTCGAACGGGCACGGATTTCGTGACATGCACTGAGGACCGGGGTTGCGTGGTCTGCATCACTCTCTTTCATCGCCGGACAAGCTTCAACAGAGTTTGCATTGATCGAGCGGGACATCGAAAGGAAGGAAAACACGAAAGAGACGACTCATTCCGTTAGCGATGACAGTCGCCAATCTCTGCGGTCGTATCCCCAAAGGCATCGGCACTTGCCTGTCTTCCTGAGTTTTCGCTATTCGCTTTTCGCGGTTCACTTTCGCATTTGGCCGTGCGTGCTCTCTTTAATCGTTCCTTGCTACCATTTTCCCCATCTTCTGGACCGCCTAAACGGAAATGACGACCACGATCCGACAGCTGCCTGCGCAGCTCGGCACGCAAACGAACCTCTTTGACCGGAACGGAGCGGGCCATGGCGATTTGTATAATTCCCTCCCCGCCTCGCCGATGGGGCGCTATCGAGATCTGGGGCATGTGAATACGAATTCCCACGCCGGCGCTGGCGCGATGATGCAGAACCCCCAACTCCGACAGCTCTCCCAGGCCCGACGCCGCGACTCCTCCCAAACCCTCCCGCAAAACTACGCCTATCCTCTCCAACGACACAATTCCTATCCCAATCATACTCCGCATCGGGAGAACGACCGCGCCGCGATGCAGTCCGAACACTTCTTGCGGCGGAAGACCCCCAGCGGCGTGCTGACCGGAGCATACGATGGGACCTCCGTGGAGCAAATCGAGCGACCACACGCCATGAAACATATCCTGCTTCCCGTCACTTCGTCGCCGCCGATGGACACCGGGATGCTGAATATGCCGTTGCAAGGAGGCTTGACCGAACTGCCCCTGCGGTCGCCTGGCATGGCTGGAAACGGCGGAGCCCATTATCAGGCCCGCAACAAGACCGATATCTGGGGTGGTGCCGGACATACTGGACTGGATCCGAATATGTCCATGGACATGTCCTTCGGCCAACGAGTCACGCCCCAGATCGATTCGGTTCTCAATCAATCCCTTTATCAGAATCTCCCGGTTCACTATCCGAATTATGCGTCGCAGAACTGGGGGATTGTTCCACCATCCTTCCAAAACGCACTTAGTCCTACCACTCTCAACGATCAAGGGTCCGCCTATCCTTCATTCTGGCAGAACGGGTATTCTATGCCTTTCCGACCCGCAGCGATGAGAGATAACCGATACCCCGTGGCGCCCCTCTGGCAACAACCACCGCAATTCAGTGCTCTCGGTCCTCTGGTACCCGATTGGCAAACCGGAATCAATACCAATTTTTCCCATCCGCTATACCCGCCGAATCCCAACCTATCCAATTTCCCTGGACCTCATACCCCTGAAGCCGCCGCGACGTCATATCCCAATCATGGAGCGAACCATGTCTACCCTCCTGTACATGTGATGAACCAATACAATAATGCAACGATACCACAAAATTTCGGTCACGGAACCGCGGACCCAGCTCTAGGTGTGTGTTCATCCGGACAGTCCACGCCGCGCGGGCCGCCAACGCCGTCGTTGCGGCCATTAGAAACGAATTCAAGCATGGAGAACGCGCGGATGCGGGAACGCGTCTTCGCGCAGGCGCACGTGGTTTACATCGAGCTGCTCAAATTCCTTCACCAAACCCGCAAACTGAATGATAATGGAAAGCGCTCGAATTCACGTCCGGCGATCTACCCCAAACCACCGCGCCAGCCGGGTGTGGACTTTTCAGCTTCCACTTCACATTCACATTCCCATCACTCCAAATCGCGGAGCACCTCGTCCTTTGCCAACGAGCTCAATAAGCAGCGCAACGACCGAATTGACCCCTCCGTCATTCCACACCGTCACAACACGCCGAATTGGCAACACCCGGAAAACGTCCGCCCCGACGGCTGGCAACCGGATCCCTACCAGCAACGACGATCGTCGCAGCAACACATGGATCCGCCCTCGCTCTGGGGCCCGCACGGATTCGCGCCGAATTACGGCCACATCACCCAGATCCGCGATCAGATGCGGACGTTGCGAAGGATGTCGGGGACATCTGTGTCGCCGATGGATCAGAATCTTCGTGAAACGCATTATCATCAACTGGCGAGACAGTGTCTGGAGACGTTGTGCCTATATTGTGAGAATAGCAATTGGCAATGGATTGAGGGGTTGCTATTGGCAGGGTGCTTGGCGTACGCGTTGGGGGACTATCAGCATGCGCTGAAATTATACTCGAATATCCTGGAGTTGGACCAGAAGTAAGTGATGGATTGAACCCTACTTCTATGCAGGTACTAATTCATACAGCCATGTGGAAGCGATTGGAAACTTGGCCGCGACGTTCCTCGCCATGCACGACAAGAAACAAGCCGAGCATTATTGGATTCGCGCCATAAAACTTCGGCCCAGTTACTTCGAAGCGGTGGAACATCTCATCGGCCTTCTTTGCAACGAGCATCGAGGAAAAGACGCTGTCGCCGTCATCGAATTTGTCGAGCGTTCCCTTCAAATGAAGAAACGCGCCGAATCCAACGACTCTCGAGGTGAGCTCTCCAACGCGTCGAAATCCCCATGCATGTCCGAGACGTCCGATAAGCCGGTCTTTGAGTACGACGGCGACACCGACATGGCCTTCAAAGACCCGAACGCCGTTTCCAAAGAGCCTGGATTCGGGTCCAGTGGATATGCCATCCCCGGCGCCGAGAATGGACGCATGCTCCAATTGATCCACGCCAAGGGAAACATGCTGTACGCCATGGGCGACAACGTCGGCGCCGCCAAGGCATTCGAGACCGCCGTCCTGATTGGTGCGGGCCGACGAATGAAGACTATCAGCGGCCTGATCGCGCATATCATCGGAGTCCTCACGACCGGGTTTCCCGACCTCCTGAACTTTCAGCACCAGACCCTCGTCTCCGATCCAATCCTATTGCCGCCCGAGAAAGCGCTGTGGACTCACAAGCTATGCTTCCAACCGGATGGGCAACTGCCCGGTTTGGCCGACCTACATTCCGATGGGGTGTCCAAGAAGGCCGCGATATCGACCACGAGCAATTCGCTACTATCGCTCGCGAAGATCTTCCAGGATGGGATGGCGTCGAATTCGATGAAGAACGGAGGTTATCAATCATCATTCAGCGTTCGCGACATCCTCGCCCTTTATTATCTATCCCTTGCGCTTCAGCCCAGCCCCTCCACGGCAAACAATGTTGGCATCCTCCTGGCGGGCGTCCAGCAAGCCGTTCCGAACCCGCACTTGTCCAACCAAGCGTCAGTCTTGCCAGGGGTGATACCTGGCAGCGGTGTCGCCCTCGCATTGCTGTACTACAACTACGGCCTCAACCTGGACCAACGCCACGCGCACCTCTACACGAACCTCGGAAGCCTCCTGAAAGACATCGGCCAGCTCGAGGCCGCGGTGAAGATGTACGAGCAGGCTGTCAATTGCGACGGCACCTTCGACATCGCGCTTGCCAACCTCGCCAACGCCGTCAAGGACCAAGGCCGCATCGCCGACGCCATCACCTACTACAAGCGCGCTGTCGCGTCCAGCCCCGACTTCGCCGAGGCAGTCTGCGGCCTCGCCAACGCACTGAACTCCGTCTGCAACTGGGCCGGGCGAGGCGGGATCGCGGCGGACGGGGGAAGGCGGGATCGATGGCACGTCAACGAGCATGGGATGTTGCTGGATTCCGCGCAGGCGGGTGTGATTAACTCCGGGTGGATGAAGCGGGTGGTCGATCTCGTGGAGAAGCAGCTGGCCGACGGGGAGTACTGGGGCAAGGGGTCCATCAACGAGACGTTCCTGGCGCAGATCACCCGCGTGCTCGCCCTGGGGTGCAGCTCCCAGCAGCTGAAAGAGAAGGCAGATAGCATGAAGATGACGCTGGGGAAATGGGCCGGGCATCGGTGGGAGGGGGCGAGGATTCTTCGGTTGATCGAACGGTCGATTCGGCGGCTCGTCTGGCTGTGGTACCAGGATCGGTACCTGAAGAAACGGTCGCGGCCCATCTCGACATATACCCGACCGACGCTGCCGTCGAACCTTACCGTTCCGGCCGCGCCGACGGTCTTGCCGTTCCACACATTCACGTGTCCGATGTCCGCGAAGCAGATTCGGTTGATCTCCCAGCGGAACGGGCTTCGGATCTCGTGCACCACGCTCAAAGCGCCATGGTTACCAAAGACCGTCTACCCTCCTCCCGCACCACCGAAACCGTACCTGAAAGTCGGCTACGTCTCCTCCGACTTCAACAACCACCCCCTTGCGCACCTCATGCAATCCGTCTTTGGAATGCACGACACCAAGCGCATCAAAGCCTACTGCTACGCCACCACCGCCAGCGACAAGTCCATCCACCGCCAGCAAATCGAGCGCGAGGCCCCCGTCATATACGACGCCAGCGCCTGGTCCGCCGAGAAGCTCGTCAACCAAATAGTCGCCGACGGCATTCATATCCTCGTCAACCTCAACGGCTACACCCGCGGCGCCCGCAACGAGATTTTCGCCGCCCGCGCCGCCCCAATCCAGATGTCCTTCATGGGCTTCGCCGGCACCCTAGGCGCCGAGTGGTGCGACTACCTCCTCGCCGACGAGACTGCCGTGCCGCCGTCGACGCTGCGTCCATGGCGGCGCAACGTCGATTTCGAAGACCAGCTCGTGGATGAGAATTTCGGCGGCGGCCAGGAGGACTGGGTGTATAGCGAGAACATCATCTATTGCCGTGATACGTTCTTCTGCTGTGATCATCGGCAGAGCGCGCCGGATGCGCATGGAGGGCAGTTGGACTGGGACGCGGAGCAGATGCGGCGGTGGAAGATGCGGAAGGAGATCTTTCCGAATCTGGCGGATGATGTGTTGATTTTGGGAAATTTCAACCAGTTGTATAAGGTATGCTTTGACCTCTCCTACCTCAACCCCAATTTTGGTCTGAGCGTTATATTGACTTTATCAACAGATCGAACCCACCACCTTCCGCACCTGGCTCCGCATCCTCTCCCGCATCCCCAACTCCGTCCTCTGGCTCCTCCGCTTCCCCGACCTCGGCGAAACCCACCTCCGCCACACCGCCCACCAATGGGCCTCTCCCGAAGTGGCCTCCCGCATCATCTTCACCGACGTCGCCCCGAAGCACCAACACATCGCCCGCGCGCGCGTCTGTGACCTCTTCCTCGACACTCCCGAATGCAACGCGCACACCACTGCCGCCGACGTCCTCTGGTCCGGCACCCCGCTGCTCACCCTCGGTCGCTATCCCTACAAGATGTGTAGTCGCATGGCGGGAAGCATCCTCAAGGGCGCGCTGCCGAAGACGGAGGAGGGGCGGAAGGCCGCGAACATGCTGATCGCGAACAGCGAGGAAGAATACGAGAACCTAGCGGTGCAGTTGGCGCTGGGGACGCGGTACGATCGACATCGCGTGGTGGGGCGGCTGGGGGGGTTAAGGCGGCTGCTGTATGAGAGCCGGATGACGAGCGCGCTGTTCGATACTAGGCGGTGGGTGGGCGATTTGGAGGACGCATGCTGGGTGGCGTGGGAGCGGTGGGTGAAGGGGGAGGGGGGGGATATTTGGTTGGCGAACGAGCCGCGGGGCGGATGAAAGATGGAGTCTTATCGGCAGGTTTATTGATTGTGTGGCGGTGTGACATGGTGAAAAGGCGTAACGGTGCATCCGAGCCGTGTCATGCACACAGGCAGTTAAACAGATGGGTTATGAGTTCACGGGTTACGAATATTGCCTTCGCAGGCATCTAGTCAGTCGGTCGGTCGGTCGTGGCGTTTTCATACCTCGTCATCCATTCCTCTCTTCTCGACGGAAACAACAGTATCGTATTGGGGCTTTTACAGGGTGTGAGGTCAGCCGTCTTTTTCCGAAACTAGACCTGGCGGATGTTGGCCACTTCTTCACAACGCGAGCAGAGCAAGCAAGCAAGCATGGTTTAAGGCGTTGATTTCCACGATTCTTCGATCCTTTGAGAGTGGGGTTTTTATTCGTCCGCACTCGTTCCCGGTTCGGTTGAGCGGTTGAGCGGTTGAGCGGTTGGTCTGGCAATGGAAGACTTTGACTAGTGTTTTGTATGAGATATCCCGCTGTGGCACTGCGTTGAAGAAGCTCGAGTCAGCACATTTTAAGATCGTGAATGATTTCGCAACGCGCTGTTACTCGTCTCCGGCGTAATTCTTTGTGACTGACGTTGGTGATGGTGCGTGATAATCCTCCTGGCTGGAATTAGCCATGTCCGGGATGCTCGATTCACAAGAAACATCGGATGGAAACTAACGTCAAACGGATTTGATACATTGCAACTTCACTACCAGGAAGAAAAATGGGAAGTTTATTTTATTTTATTTATTTATTTATTGTTCTGTCCCCAGGAGTTTTTTGTTGTTCCACGTCTCTGCCCCCTTCTCCCACCACTCCCCATTCCAACCCAACACCCCACTCTCCTCTTCCCGTCCTTCGTCCAGTGGAGAGTGGATGATGGTGCCGACCCCACTCCCCAGCTGACTTGGTTCTCTGCGCGTCCCGGGTCGCTGTCCGGGCTCTGGTTGGTGTGCTTGGACGGCGACCCGGCTGTCCATTCGTTGGGGAGCCGGGAGCCAGTGCATGCCACACACCACTGGCTAGCTGGAATGGAAAGGGAGACGGCATTCCATTCTTCAACCGCCACTTTGTCGAGAATCTCCCCCAATTTCGGGCCGTAGAACTCTGAGGGCAGCTTTGTTGGCCCTCCATGTGCGAACGTCGCATTGACGGTATCCATTATCCCGGACAATCTAGGATGAGAGTCGACAGCAACTGGCCCGTCAGGCATCCACTTGCCGATTTATTTTATTGACGTATTTTATCTCTGTTGATGGCCACGGACTACGGGGACAGAATGGGCTCGCTGTACCCTTTCTGTCTCGAGGAGATATTGTAGTCCGTGGCCATACCGTCTATAAAATCTTTCGACTTGTCACCATCCATCCTTCACCCTTCTTCAAATTCTGTTCAGCTCTGCAACGTCTCTGCTCCAGCCAGTGGGTGGTGGGTTCGCCATGATGGGGACATTGGACAGACTGAGTGGGCCTCCTCCGCTCCTCGAGGCGAGGCACTCGCTGAGTCAAGGCCTTATTCAGGTTCTTGTTCTTGCGGAGTTCGGCGATCACCATAGAAATGGTCTGGCTCGATTGCCGGTACTCCGACAAGTCCTTTCGCATGCCAACGATTTTAGATCGTGGGATCGATATATCGTCGTTTCTCCCTCCATCCTCTGGTTGCCGCTGCCAGATGCGGGGGAAGTCGTGAAATCCCCAGATCGCATCTGGATCAGCGACGAAGGTATTCAAGGGCAGAGGGGCGGAAAGATTGTAAAAACGTGATACCGATAATCATCCAGGGTGGAATGAAGCCAACCACAAACACAGAGCCATCAGCTTCTCTTGGTTTCCTTCGAAGGCACTTGAACTCATGTCGGTGCTTTTCTTCCCATGTCCAGGCGACGTCATGGCACTTTTTGCGATGTTGGTTGAAGCATTCGCAACGATATTTGATCCGCCAGCGTCTTCAAATTCACCACTGGACTGATCGTCAGATCGACCAGCACCGCTGCCAGCTGAATCCATTGCCGGAGCAATGTGGTCGATTGCATACATCCATGCGTCCGCGAGCCCTTGAGCTGTTCCAGGTAGTCCTGAGGAATTGGAGAAGTAGTGTGCTTTGTGGTCAGCATGCAGGTAAATGGGCATGATGACCTCGTAACAGTCGACTCTACGGAGGTCCATCTCGTTCTGGCGGACGAATACGTCGAGGAATTCTGCTGCTTGTCTGTTACGGCTCTGCGCCCATATTGCGCTCCGCGCTTCTTTGAACTGCGCGAAAACCTCGGCTGGGCTCCGTTGCTTCGCCTTTAGCTCTGCTATGGTGTATCGAGCCGCTCCGGCAGGTAGCTGGATGTAAGTAAAGAGTGAGAGGGAAATTGAAAATGAAGGGAGAATGCTCATCACCGAGTGAGATCGTACCGGATGCCGAACCGGTTAATCGCATCGTCGAGAATAGCAATGTATACGGGTAGCTCTCCTACCCCCAACCGCTGGAACTGGGTTGTAATGCTGCCTACCATCCCAGTGAGCGATGATGCACGAGGGGCAAGTCGAGTGGCGATGCACAAGGGGATGGGTGTCCTCTGGCCATTGTGAAAGTCCAGGCAGTTGCCAGTCAGTGGCTCCATGCTGAATCTCAGTGACACCAGTGTTACCTGATTAACTTTGGTTGGGGCAGCCTTTGATCAAGAGACGCATGACAAGATATCCTTCCAAGGTTGAGCTACTGGCGCTTCTCCATGCTCTTCTACATGACAGGAGACAAAACGACCTTGTCGCATGGTGCGGCTTCGCCACCGAATAATGCGTCAAAGCGACATGCCTGGCGTCGTCTTACATGTTCCAGGTTCAGAGATGAACGAGCCTGGGAAACATCTGGCATCGTTGATGTCGCGGAAGCAGAGACGGGGCAAGATGTTCAAACATGAAGCCATCATGGCCTCCCCACCCGCCCATGATGAGGATGAGGAGATATGTCTGCGGCGGGTGGCGCCTCCGAGGAAACCGAGAAGCGAGTAGCCGTCGCCTGTTGTGGGGTTTGGAAGGCTGGATATTCTGGGGATTTGGGACCAAACTGGGGCAGCGGATGAGGATGAGGAGATGTGAGAGGGGCGAGGAGCACTCCCAATCATGGATATGGGAAAGCTGTTGAGATCTGGAAGAGTCTGAAGAGCGGATTGTTAATCTTTGATGCCATCAAAGCGAAGCCGAAACTCACGGACCGTCTCTCAGGCCAGCACATTCCCCTTTTCAACAATGACGGAAAGGTTTCAGATTGGCAATCACAACATTGCACACGTGTAGGTAGCAACTCAAGCCCAGAAATACAATGAACCTGTTGCATTTCATGATTGTAACAGTGAGCATGACTGAGCATAAGTGTATTTTTCAACACAGGAACTGTTATACTTCCGCTTTCCTTTCCTCCCCTGGCTTCCTCCCACCCTGTCCCCGCATTCCGACAAGTTGTGTTGCCTGGCATCAAGCCGATTGGACAGCCTGCACCTCATATGGCATTTTGTCATTCCCCGGGAAGATTCTCTACCGCCACCATGCCCAACATTCCGATGAGGGCAGGGCCTGATATGATCGCACCCCCAAGCGTGAATCTCTGCTCGTCGAGCAACTCCGGGCCGATTGAGGGCCGGAGTAAGCAAGGAGCATGAAAAGGTCTCCTGGTATAATGATCGGAAGTGGAAGATAATAAGAAGTATAAAATCGTGAGAGTGAGAATCCCGCGAAGTTCCCCAAGGTCGTCATCCAAGAATTGTCGTGGGGGACGATCCCCAAGTTCTTGGCGATCCGCTGCCGGCTCGAAACACACTCGACATGGCACCCTTCGACCTTTTTTCTCCTGGGTGAGGAGTTTTGGCAGAGCATGTGCTTCAGTTGATGGAAGTATTTCGAACTCGTATGATCCCCATGAAGTCTGGATAGGGATCCTGTCTCTGTTAGTGGCGGCACAAGCACTGGAATCATCGTCGTCATCTCATTATTACTACTGCCATTCAGGGCTAGGCGCCAGCCCTTCCGTGCGCGTTCGCAATGCTGGCCACATGGCCTCGCATCCCTTGCAATGCGGCTGGTAACGGGAGGTTCCCGAAGTGGTCAAGGAAAAGAAGGATGGAGAGTAGGCTCCCCTCCTGTTCAATAGGGCCATTGGTAGGAGCGAAGGGTGAAAGGCCACTGGTTTCCTGGCGCTCGCTACGTGGCTGGGGACGGCAAGCTCCCGAAGTGATCAAGGAGAAGAGGTAGGGAGAGCAGCCGACCGAAGCCGGAGCCAAGGGTGAAAGGGTTCCAATGCAAAGATGTGCGAACGGAAATGAATATAAATTCCTCAGGTGTGTGGACATGGATGGTTTGAAGCTTTTCCAGAAGAGTTGGGTATAAAGTGATGAGGAAGAAGAAGAAGAGTTGGGAGTGCGCGAAGCTGGTACTTATGTGGCCAGGTAAACAAAACAGACCAGCGCTGGCAAGATAGATTCACCTCTACCAGTGTCTCTCCTGCGAACCCTCTGGAATACGGATTCCTCCATGCCTACCATGCACAAGGACGATTCAGGTGGTGAAGTCACAGTTCCCATGTTTGGGAAGAACGGCTGGGTGTCAACACGACCTCAGATCATAAATATGAGAACCATGATGGATGTTTCTCAACTGATAATGCCGGGATTTGGGCAGGCGTTCGAGGGCGATAGCGGTAAGGGATTACTCACGAACCACCGGCAGAATACCTAGTCACTGAGGCAAGGTCGCGGAGAGAGGGAGATGCGAAGGAGAGCTCATCCGTTATCAGACACCATTCTTTGCGGGCTATCACGATGTACTCTCAAAAGAATCACAGGCGAGAGATGCTTTTACCTAATCCCTGATCTTGAACGCTTGGAAGTGGCCTGTGGATTTGTAAATGCAAGCGCTCTCTCCTGCTCAACCTATTCACGGCGACCGCGTAGCGCGTATCGAAATCCAGGGGTGAAATGACAACTGAATAGAACGTCAGTCGACATCTGAGACCGATGTCCACTTCGAAGGAGCCACCACGGTCCCTACAGCTTCATACGCATAGAGTTATAGCAACAAAGCGAGTACTGGTACAGCCGCAGAGTCAAGACCAGATTAAAATATTCATTAGGTGCCTTGACTGCTTCCTCCTGCTAAGGTCATTATTGGTTATGGACTCCAATTTCCTAAACGTTAGCTATATAGTGCTGCTGTTGCTATATCCCTAGAATCTAGAACACCGAATTATGGATCTCTATCCACCACATATCTCCTCCTTGGGGTGGAGGTATTTATGGTGCGCTCAAGCCAAGGTTGATCGAGGCAGCATCGACCAGCTTAAGGGCGTCCAGAGCATGTCGTATCGGTACAGCCACTGGGGCCGGCAATACAAACTACATGAACGACTGTACGGTAACTCATAATACTAGAAATCCAGAGATAGAGTGCTCGTGGCTTGGATCCAGGAGAGACTCGGCTCTGGGATACACTAGGCATGCGATGTGACCTATGTGCATCTAAACCAGTCACCTGTATGCTACAAGAAGTCGCTGATATGTTCTTTCAGGGGCTCCAGTACCGAGCCCCGCACATCGTCAAGGCGAGGAGAACATCTTAGTAGATAGAGCCAACGGACGGGACAGTGACAGATATTTGGAGAGGCCAGTACTTCGGAATGACCATTAGAACTTACTTTTTAAAGATGCTCTTTGCTTCAAGATCATCGTGCCGACTACTACCTGCGCCAATGACGACGAATTCCCTGCGTCTCAAGGCAGTCTGGTGTCGAACCTACAACGTTCACTCCCGGCAGCTTGCCCTTACTTAGTACTCACTACGTATATGAGGTTACGACCCTATTGTTGTATATCATGGGTCTCTCCGCTCTCAGCATTCAACTAGGCAACCCCAGAGATTCCTCCATGTTCTGGGGCGGACGGACTACAGCTTGGCGAAACCGGCCAGGAAATATGCTATTTCAGGCCCCAATCCGAGTATGACAGTGAGCTAGAAGTGTTGGAGACAGTTCAGCATGGGGATGTTGAGAACAATAACTCATCGGTCATTGGGAAATGGCGACTTCGTCCTCAAAGGTGAGGAACATGTTGCAGATACCGCATAGACAGCGCACTAAATAAATCAGTTTCACGCGTCGACACAACGGCTCATTGAAACAAATAACTTGGACGGACATAAACATTTCCCACCTCTCTACTAGCACCGTCTGTCCGCATTCCCTTGCATGAATTGCTATTGTTACGGTCCCCTTCAATAATCTCCTGACCAACGTCGGGCGCCCCATCCATGCCGTGTAACCACAAGTAAATTGCTTCTGCCATCCCGACCCGTATCTCATCCCACCCTCATCCACCCAGGAATCTCGACTTTGTTCCCTACCTCCCGCAGTGGGGTTATCGGTGGATTCGAAAGCTACAGATCTGCGATCGTGATCCCATGACGCGATGAAGTCCCAGCAGATGCGAGGGGGGCATAAACGAGCTGCAAGGACAAGGAACCCCTAGAAAAATCTCGGATTTGGGACATTTGAGATATGAAAATGACACCAACTTATTGCATCTCCTCCTCGACGCATGTACGGTCGTTCTTGGAGATTTTCTGCGGCGGATGCCGCGCGTGCGGTCCCGTGGGATCGGTAGCCTGTGGTACCACTCTATCTAAGCCCTCGAGAACCGGTGGAAAAGAATGCGGGTACAAGTATGCCATCCCGCCCTTCTCGACCGAACATGGCTGCGCTCGCGTCTCGGAACACTCGAGGGTAAGCGAGGGAGAAGAAAAGGGTGGTGGTATCGCGGGTAGCTGCATCCGTACCTGTATGAACCGTGAGGCGACGGAGGCAACAGGATGGATGGGGGCCGGGTCATTTAGTGGCCGTCGTTACACCCAGATCGCGGGATCGCGGGACGGGAGGGGAGGCGTGACCGTTGGACGGATCAACGGATCTTCTGGAAGGATGTTGAAAGGTACGCAATCTGAAGCCTTCGATTGTCAGATGAGTCGTTCGCGGTTAGATGCGTCATGATAAAGTATTCCGTAAGATCGAAGTCAACTTCGAAAGGTGACAGGTCGAATTTGCCAGAATGTGCAAGGCTGGTAAGATTCGATTCTGGGAACAACAGGAAACCGATGATGGACTTTTTGATAGAAATTATTGAGAATAGAAAGGCCTTGCTCACTTTCCGAAAAGCTCGAGTGCTAATCGATCGATGCTCAGGCAAACGGGCTTCTAGTGTTCCTGCGAATTCCTGGAACGGACAGGCTACGAGAAGGCCAGCCCTATTCCTTGTTTTGTGCGACACAAACGAAAAGGAACCAGACAAATAATTGATATATTGCCAATAACTTGGAGGAAGGGTACTTGCATACCTCTGTATCATGCTGACTCTTACATGCCCTTCCGCTCTTTTTCGGTCGTTTCGAAAGGGGGCATCTCTCTTGCCACACCCTTTGTAAAGTGTGGTTGCGCAAATGCGTTTCAAGTGTCAGATGACGAAAGACTCGCTCCGACACTTTGAAACTGTGCGATATTTCTTTTCTGATCCATAGGACGGATTACCTTATTCCGTACATGAAGCGGGGATGCGAGCCTTCAAAGTACAACTCTTTAATCATGACGCGACTGGTGTGACTGAAAACTCGCCGACGAGGGCAATGAACGGCAGTCCGAGAGTCTATCATTCCCCGACGGGAGCATCCAAAAATGGTAAAGGACAAGTTCAGAATTGAAGTCTACACCATTTTACTTCATCGAGCAGTTAACCCCGACTTCTGATCGACATAATTCCAACCCCCAGTTCGATATGAACTTAAAACGGCGGCGGGTTGCTCCTCCATCTCGGAGACTTTGTGAGACTTTGCGATGGAGGGGGAAAGCCCCGGACATAACGGATTCAACAACATCGCGATCGCATCACAGTCCACACCTCGCTTGTACGGAGATTTCAGACGTGCGGAGTCTAGAACTTAGTAGTCTAAACGAAGGACACATCATCAGGCGGTAAACGCAGAATGAGGGGAGAATGCCATGCTAAGGTGCTTGGTACGGATAGCGCTGTCTCCCTTGCGACACCCCACTGGCTGGAGTTGGTGTTGGGGTGTTTGAGAAGGGGAGTTTGCTTCCATGCTGCACTTTTTCCCGCTTTTCCCGTTAGCAGGTCGACCGTTGGGCCGGGTCGATGTCTCGATCCCAAAGAGGATAACCCTCTTGACATCCTGAGCCTGTTCTTCTCAAAGGGAGTGGCGCTAAAGGAGTACGTGCATTCTGCAAGCGTCCGACTGATCTCAACATGTCTAGGAACCAATGCTAGCTGGCCAAGAAGCCTTTCTGCAGGATGGAAACAACACAGCTGAGAGATGTCGATACACATGTAGATTACGTATCCAATGCAATCGAAGATAGTCCAAAGGAAGCACCGACTGTTTAACATCGATTCGTCACGACTTCGGTGAAGGCTTGGAGGAGGTTGGTCAAACGCTGCTCTGATTGGCTGTAAGCTGCATTAGTGGCAGATCACAGTTGTCGCCAATCTTTCTCCCAAACATCCAGTTCGTCTTGTCCGCCAACAGCCGTCCGACACATCGATCGCTGCAGTGTTTTCTTGTGATATTCCTTGAATACATCATTTGATGTCTCTCAACCAGCCCACAACGGTTGGACGATGGTCTCGACTGCATGTTTTAGGTTGACTCAGGGGAATTTTGTCCGGTCCCGATAAGATCGTTGGAGAGGCGTGGACGTGTGAGCAGAGACCGAAAAGAAGGCACTGATACTTGCCCGCAATACCTGCGAAAAGTCCCCAGGCGAAACCCGGAAGCGGCAAGATCGTCCTTCGCCAGCCGTGGTACATGCACAGTAGTACCAATCGTGGCCATCTTAGTATATCGGATTGCGGAGTTAGGCCATATCGTATCGATTGGACAATGCTTTTCGAACCCTCTGAGAGCTCCATCATAGCTCCAGTTCACTGGATATAGTTCGGAATCGTTCCAGCGCCGGTACACCGCTCTCAAGATTCATCCGGTGCTTGAAATGTAAATCTTGAAAGCGAAAGCGGTTCAGTTCAGGTCCCTTTGTCCGTTGCATCCACTGCGAGCCTCGGGAAAGGTCGTGTTGCCCTCATATCTGGCCTTCCTTAAACAGCAATTCTGATTGCGTTTCGACAATATCAATAGCTTCAAAGCAGATCACGCGAAAAAGCCACGATCTACATGATTTCCATCGCATTCCGTCCGCCGATGTTGACATGGACGTTCGCATTCTGAGCTGCCACAAACCCACAGTGGAGCGCTGGTGGCTGTTGCACAGGCTACCAGTAGGCCAGTGATCTTTGGACCAGCAGTTGTTCGTTTCCTCATGGCTGGAAGTTTTCCAAATACTTGTGCACTGTCCTCGATAAGAGTGGATACACTAACCCAGCGCTTATACGAACTTTATACACAATATTTCATTCCCTGTGATGGTACATACCAACGTACCCTTAGGAGTTAGGATGTATCGTGGTCCTTGGCTGCCAAAGACCTATATCGCCGGCCGCTTACCCCAGTTTTGATATCGTGATAGCCTGGCGCTAAGTAAGATCGGTTATTGCTTCATTTCACTACAAGGTCCGCGAGCCGCTCGATGGTCAATTACTGTCCCTTGGCAAAATGGTTCTCCGGCCTGCCAATTACCATAGCCAAGAGCTCAACTGGGTCGCCGGCCAGAGGCTTTCCGTTGTCGTCCGCCGTTGCCGGAGTTCAAGGCAAAGAAACGTTGGCCGTGAGTCGTGAAGGCTGGGAGATATCCAAGACCTTTGGACTTTGGTGCAATCATGGGAAGTTCCTGGGCGGGGAACATATTGCGGAGAGTTTTTCTTGAGACCAACTAATACCACCGACTCATCCATACCCGGCAAGTCGCAATGCGTCTTCATAGGACTTTGTGACTTCGGAAATCGGAAGATGGTGTTGGGGTGGGGATTGAAGCTACAGTCGTGGTCCATTCCTTCGGACAGGCTGTGGACGGGGGGAGGTGAAGAATATCTTTGCTGTGCCTCACGACAGCCAGATGGTCGTCTCAAGTCTCAACGTCGCAGTCAGCTGTGCAGGCATCCGGTCCTCTCTTTCCTCCATGACGATTGGAGGAAGATGTGCAGATGCTCATCAACTCTGGAGATTCCTAGCCCAACCTCAACCCGAGACACGTTGGACGAATTTTGCTTTCTCGTTGCGTTGGCCGGCGACTTTTGCTAAAGTCTCCGGACCCATGCCGATGGTGTTTTTCTCGTGTCGTCAAGAACCGAGTCTCCCAGGATCCATGTCCGAGAGTTTGCAGCCTTGCCAAACAGGTGTGGAAGAGCCTGGCCGCTCTCGAAGCCCAGGACAAGCCTCTCTTGCAGACGCCACGGCGGATAGTAGCACTGCTTAACAAAATTCACTATTAAGCGCATCGTTTTGTCGCTTCAAGTCCCAACCATGCACAAACGCTACAGATTCAGGGAGCTATTTCAGCCGGTCTTTGCAGAATGCCGATTAGCGGTTGATGACCCCCAGGCACCAGTATGGAATACCCTGGTTGGGGGACCAATCGTTTCTCGACGTCAAAGAAGCGTCTGATGGGATCACATCACTTCTGCACATCAATTGGCAATTAGTAACCTTGCAAATCGCAATGCTTTATGCGACATGAGACCCAAGGGATGTGCGGACTGTTGAGCCAGTCACCTGTCAAAGTCGATCCGATCTCCTTTGCTCAGTGAGGTTCCGCAGATCTCGATAGTCTGTACGGAATAGACTGTACGGAATACCGACCGTTTGTAACTTTCGAGAGGACCCGGGGATGCAGAAGCCATGTAGCATGAAGCCGGAACCTCATTGAATATGTCGCCGAAGCGGTCCCTCTTCGTACGGTGAACTTAGGACCCAAGGGAGTGGTAGATGTGTCGCACAAAAGGGACAGCACACTCATTGGGTGTTGGACCCTCCCATCAATAGCATAAACCTCCTGTGTAACGGTCGTACTGTTCCCTGTGGAAGGCGATGGGAAGAAAATGAATCCACGAGGATGATACCGGCGAAATTTTGAACTCTGAAGCTTAAAGTGTCCTTCGGGAATGTTTTTGGCCCTCTCCTCGTTGATGCGTCACCGTAGAGACTGGGACGTTGCACAGAATGCTACGAATAGCTTCTGTTCCAATTTCCCGGTACGACTGCATCCTGCAAGGAGGGGCTACTGCGAAGTAAATGTATGTAAGCATACCGAACCAAACCTTGGAAAGTCTCCGCCAGCATCCTACTACGTATCACCGGGGCGAATAGGCCTGTTGAACGGATAGTTAGCTTGAATGCCAGCATTCAGCTAAACTGAGGCTCGCGGAGGCGACCGAGACATCTTTGTCGGATCCTAAACCAACTGATAGACACGGTGCAGAAGCTTCGGAAACATTCGAAGTTGTACTTTGAAACTCCAGAAGATGCCATGAGGATACAGGCATTTTGCCCTCGCCAGGCCTGGACGCATGTCCTGATAGTCGCCTATCCATGTTGAGCTGACTGCCACATCGGGTGTGGTGGTCACCGTTGAACCCAGCTGAGATGCCGCGGTCTGACCAGGCGCCACGACCGTTTCGAGTAGGGCAATGCCCGCAATAGATATTGATTACTCGATACGTGCTTTGCGATGCTGCACCTCGGCGGATTAGGGTGGGTTGAAACTTCGCAAGCAAGGTTCAGCCTCTGCGCCATTGGCCTTATCCCGCTTTCGGCAGTATCAGGATCTGGGGGCTCCACTATTGTGGTGAGCCGTGAGAGGCAGGAAGCCCTGAAGGCTGAAAGTCGAAAGACCGTTGGCCCATTCGGCGGCGTCGGAGATCCTTCTCCCGCCCAGATGGAAATCGGACCCTGTACGTAGTAGTGCTGGACTGCTAGTGTTGGGATAACGCTTTCATGAAAACAGGCAAACGTTAAGCGACGATGGTTTGGAAAACCCCCTTGTTCCATACGAATGGTGGGATCGACTGGGGGAACTAAACAGGCGTAGATTACACAACGCCCATCGTGCTTCGATCCTGGGCTCTGGAATCTCTTCAGCCACATGTGGTCCCCCCCGGACGGACTGGGGCTGGCTCGGCGTCCCCGTGAGGCCCAGTTCGCAGCTTGATGTACTCTCATCTAGCGATTTTGGTTCTGCGTGATAGGCAGAAAAGGTAAATGCTTCCGGAGCGATGTCCTTTATCGGGTCTAGAAGAGGAAACTATCGTCGAAACTCGAAATATGTCGAACCACGCTGGTAGGATAATGCCTGCATCCTAAATCTCGTCGTTAATCGTCGACAGCAAATCTCGAGTCTAGAGGGATATCGCCGGGATAGGCGGGCGATCATGAAAAGTCGCTAGCTGAACCACGGGAAACTCCTTGAATACGGGATGTATCAGAGTCTATAACCCGCAAATCGTCCTTGGCGTCTCCAGTTGAAATACGAAAACGCGGCTCGACTGAAGTCATCCCGTGTTTGTGCCGTCCCGAATCCGAAATCAGCATGCGGCTCTGTCTAGCACCACCGGCTCAGCCATAGCTTGCGAATCAACGTAACTTGGTGCCATCCTAGTGACGAACTCTAATTTGAGACCCAACAATGAGTAGCCAGATACCGCTAATTGATCAACATTTTTGCGCGCTCCCCCCACGTCGTGCTTTTACCAACTAGCGAGCTCCGAACTATGACTACCAGAAACATTCAATATCACCATGTTCCTCGGCCTCCAGCATCGGACAGTTTGGCACTTGGCAGTTTAATAGTAGCACGCTGCTGCCACATCAACCGATCAAACGAGCCGGACGATCTTCGGGCCACCATGCCAGTTCGCTCGACATTACTCCATTGGGATAACCCGGCCCACGTCACCCTCGCTCAGACGCTCGCCAGCCAGTCCGGGCTCTCCTGCCCCAACGTCCCCTGCTCCGGTCGAGCTAGTGTTCTCTTGACCATCGAATGGTACGCAGCCTGTAGCTCCGGTTGCTCGAATCGTCGGGCATAGGGGGTCCAAAAACGGCTGGTAAAGCCACAACCGCAGCCCGAATGGGACGGGCGAAGGACCCAGTTTGACAACGATCGGTGGCCCGTCCGCTGGAACCGGCGTCGATGCTAGCGCCGAATGATTTGTATTTCTGATTGGCTTTCTCATTGGCCGGCTTTAGATTTAGGTGTGGTTAACACACACCTCTTTAGGAAATACCCAACACGTTGGCGCCAAGTGTTCGGTGCCTTTGCCCTTCGCTCATCGCTGCCCTACTCTTTGTTTCTGCTTCGCTGTCATTTTTCCTAGAAATTGAAACTCGACAAGGGGATTCAGGGGTAATTGCCAGAAAAGGCGTTGGTCGATCGATTGCTTGCTTGTCACTTGGGCCTCCTGCCAGGCACCCTGGTTAGTGGGAACTCAACGCTCGACACTGTGGACACATGATCGGAGTTTCAGTTCAACCGTCGCTCCGCCGGCCAACTCACCAAACCGCAAAGTGGAAAGTGCGCGCTTACCGTGTGCTTAAGAGATGGCGCGAAATCAGCGATCGAGAGGCAAGAGCCCACTTCGTATGATTCATGTCAGGAAAAAGAATGTCCACGTTGTCAATGGGGATCGGCGCGATTGGTTGACCATGCTGTTATGACGGCATCGAAATTGAGTCGTCCTGGATTTTGCGGCGATTGAACAAAACAATCTGCTCTTGAAACGAGAGATTTGATGTCCTTGTGTGTAAACCACAAGGTTTGTTCAGACTTCAAAACTTCATTCAAGTGCGCCTGTCTGGTTCAATAATTACTACGGTAAGCGACTGACAAAGCTAGTGGAAAGGGGGAGCAGGCCACCAGGCAGCAAAACCCGGAGTCCCGTGCTTCAGGGTGGCCAGTGACTCGTGCGGTGATTGATCTACCGACCGTTGCGCCCCCTTCGCTAAAAAAACGTGGTCTGCCAGATCTCCCTAGACTAAGCCGATATTAGATTTCGGTTCGCCTGACCTGCAAAGCCATCCCATATCATATTGGATCCTGGGACAAAAGAAATTGCGTCCGGCGAATTCCATCGGTCGTCCAATAATCTACGCCATCGCCTTCTGATTTTCCAAGTGACATCGTAACATCGAGCTTGGCCAGAAATTTTCCAGCGATATTGGAAATTGCTTATTTTTGTCTCATTGATTGATGCCGTGGAGCCATCCACATCGCGGCAGGCTTGAGCGGATACACGGGACGGTGGCCTTGCTCGCCAGGAGGTTCGGGGGCGAGGGTGTTCCATCCTGACAAGCGGATTTCCTGCATCCTACGACCCTGTCTCGGGAATGGGAGGCGAAGAAATTGGATGATTCCTCGCATTACAGAATCCCAAACCCTGTCAGGCAGTCCCGTCTTACAGGCGGTCCCGCGTCCAGCTTTAGGGATGGTGGCAAGCCCAGGGACCCGGATCCAGGATGCAGTGGGTGGGCAACGGCCTATATGAAAACCGGAACATGTGGTGTTTCGGCGTGTTGAACAACGAACTGTACGTATCCGCTGTGGCATCAGCTTGCCCAAGTTGCCGGGACACGCTGGGAAACATCGATTGGCAGTCATAATGCTATTCTTGCGAACCTGGAAAACGATGTGGTTGCATTCCTCTTCCAAGTGACAAGTAAATTGATTGCCGGGACTCGATCGCTGTGAATAGGTAGTGCCACCACTGCTGCCTGCTGAGGGAATTGAAGCCAAATCGATACATGAAGGACGACGATCAGAGACTGGTTAAGGTGGCTTTTTGAGATGGGAGATTCTCGCCTCCCCTAGCGCCTAGGGATGGGCCAGGAACAGGGTAAGGCGGCCGTTATGACATTTCATTCCAAAAAGCGGGAGCACACGGCTCAGGTTTTTCCGGGTCGGGAATCCAAGATCGCCCAGGTCAATGTTGTTCTCCCGTGTCTGTTATCATATTTCGGAATTAACCATTGCTAATAGCGCCATATATGATGGGTCCTGGAGATGTCAATGGAGGGGATTATGGTTATTTGGTATCCCACACGGAGTACTCCGTGCAGGGTTTGCGAAGAGTTGTATAGCGGTACACAGTAAAATTTAGACCAGCATAGGGACCTGATATCTTCGCCTACCGCTGTGAACCTGCCTGCGAGCGCCGGGTAGTGGAATTGTTAGAGCAACCTACTAAGCGCTGCAGGACCGAGAGGGGAGGATTGCTTGCCATTTTGATTGATCGAAGAGGTTCCAGGTCTTCTGCGGCTTGGATGTTGGAAGGGATGCTAACCTTGCTTCACGTAGCAGTGGCACAGAATCCAACACTCAGCGACTACACCGTTTGGAGTCACAAGGCCATCGGTTCCGACTATGAGGAATGTATTATTAATATGTAAGGAGCTGCAGCGGCAGAGGATTGAAACGGCGGGTCGGGAATACGAGCGATGTGCAACCAGGGTGAACGCAGCGGCATGGAGAGGTGCCAGAGATCTGGGTCAATGTGCTGCGTTGCGACCCAGGAGGCTTGATGTTGTGTTCCCGTGTGTGGAATGTCAAGAGAGGAAGTTTGGAAAACGATCAGTTAGCCTTGTTGATGGGGTGGTTCGGGGTAAATGAGGAGTCTTTGTCTACGGGTCCGATGAATAGGCCTAACCTGATTACCGCATTACTGATGTCCGAAACCCCACACTCTCTAATTCCGCCTCTAATTCCGCCTCATTCCAGCATTCAACACCCTGATTCTCGGTTCCTCTAACCAATATTGAATATTACCACGTCTTTGTTTTGAGGGCGCTGCGGAATTGACTTAATATTAGAGCCTCTTCGTGCTTGGAGTTCCTTTGATATCATCTCCCCTGCAACTAATAGCGGGAGTGGAATTCCTAGCCCCGACTGGAGGCGAAATCCGTATTGCATGGCTGACTGACTTGACTGACCCTGGTTATTGGGGCGATTCCCCTTAATCAATCTCACTTCTGGTATTGGATCACCTCCACCGCAGCACCGCTCCACCACTCCACCACCATCTGTACCTGGGGTCCTGGGGTGTGGTCCGGCCTTTCTGAGACGGGCTGGAAATCGACGACACAATTCTTTTAGTGAAGATTTGGTTGCGCACGCTTGCACATCATCCAGCCTCATGCTCGACGGGGTTGACCATCGAAAATGGGTCCGTCCCATCGCCTTCACCACTCATCTGTCATCACCATAACCGCCCCCCCTCCCCCCTCTGACCCGCACCCCCTCGTCACCACTCGATCGGAGTGCCCTGGGCATTCCCGCTTCTAGTAACAAGGGCCTACCTAGCCGTACCCATTCAAGCGCCGCCGCATCGTCCAACAGGCCCAATCTGGTCTGGGTGCCTCTTTGACCCTCGATCCAAACTGTTTTTCTACGTCAAGCATGCCACTTAACTAGGCCCCGGATGGGATGTGCTGGTCAAGATTTCCCGTTATGAACTTGCGTCTGGCCTCTTCTCCCTGCCCATTAGCCCATATGCTCCTCCATGCCCACGTTCCCATCGACTTCCTGGCCTGATCCTTATTTCATCTTCAATAAACCAAGCGCTTGAATTGACGCCTCGTTGCGCCGCAAGTCGACAGGACTCAGCGTGTTCCAGTCCCAGAGTTATTTATGAGATATCCTCCTGTTCGATTAATTGGTTCTGTTACCCGACTCTCCTCACCAGTCTCACCTGAACCGTTATATTCCTCACACCGTCCCTTCCGAGACTGAGCATTCAGTCAACGCAACTGAGCGGTTCACCGTTGCGAACCAAACTATCAGTCTTTACCAACTCTCGCAACGAATCCCGTGCTATTTTCAAATTTCAATTGTCCTTACCGTGGAAATTCAAGAAAATATTCGAAAATATTCGCAAATATTCCGTTCTCGAAAGCCGTGGTTACAAGGTTCGTGGGAAATTTGCTTCTCCTCAGTCGTGTCTTTCGTTCTGTAATGAGGGTCGTATGGGCTCCATCATCCCAATTTTCGATTTGAATATTCAGTGGATATTCATAGCCTTCGAACAAAACTTGAAAGTTCCTGTCTATCGTTTATAAATCAACGCCCTCTGCAAGTGTCTGGTGGCTCTTGCCTACCTCACATCCAACTGGCAACTCACCATTCTTTACAACGCACTCACAGGTACTCTTCCAAGTGTTCACTCTGTTGTACGCTATTCTCTTGTCTTATCAGCTTTGCTCGACTATCGGGCCTAATACTTGCGCGATTCTTCCTATTCATATCTCTCTTCGCTCCAACTCAACCCCGCAACAAGGGCGTTTCGTTGCGACAAGATGGAGACGGACACTTATTTCTTTAATTCGCCTACGGTTCTCGAGACGGGGCATGTCAGTAACGACGACCAACTAGCTAACTGCTGTTGCCATATAGCGTTTGCAGACCACATGGCGCCCAACAAACGTGGTCCTTGGACGAGCGAGGAAGACTCCCGTCTCCGCTGCTCTATCCAAAAGCATGTTGGATATCACCCCGGCTATTCCAGCTGGCCAGACTACTACCGGAGACTCCAAATCAAGGATCTCAAATGGACCGAAATTGCGACTCATGTCGTGACGCGGAACGCCAAGCAATGTAGAGAACGATGGTCGCAAAACCTTGATCCTACGCTGAACCACAGCCCTCTCAATCCTGAGGAAGAGATCCGTGTCGATCAGTTGTATCGTCAATATGGAACCGCCTGGGCGAAAATCGCACGGGAACTCGGCAACCGCAGCGACAACCTTGTGAAGAACTACTGGAACGGAAAAGTCAACCGCTACAAGCGCCAAGAGAGCCGTACACACAGCGGCACCGGGCACCGACGATCTGCTTCAGTGGCGCAGTACGAAATGAACCACACTCAGCAACAGCGGCTACCAGCTCAGCTTCCACATGTGGCCTTCGAGCAGCAATTCGAGTCCCAGTACCCAGCAGGTGCGGAACAGCGACCGGCGGTCCCAAACCACACCATGCGCCCGCAAACTCTCCCTTCTATTGTCCCGCAACATTCTCGCGGCTACACCGCGCAGCGGCCACCGCCATTGAACCTCGCGCCCTCGCAAAACTACGTCTCATCCCCATACCCCTCCCCAACCAAGCAATCGGGATCCGACCTCTACACTCCAGCAAACAGTCCCTCATTCCAGGACTACTGGTCCCCGTCCTCACAACTCAGCGACCGCCGCGGCTCGCTCGCCTCCCATGGCTCCCACGGCTCCCACATGTCGCTTCCTTACCCCTCGCACTCGGCACAGCCCTCAAAATCCGAGCCACCGACCCTAACTCCCGAGTCGCTCAAAGAGTGCCTTCATTACCCCGGCCCTCCCACCGAGACGATGCAGCAGCCCGTTTTACCTCCGCCGGTGCCAACCACACAATCTCGGACACCAAATATGCAGTACCAACCTACTCCGACGGCCGTCATGACGGCCTCGCCGCCACTGGATCCGATGCTGAAGTTACCTCCGCTCCTGAATATCCTGAGCGGCGGGAATGACGATCGGCTGAAGCTTTCGCATATCGTTTCATGATCTGTATTAAGTCAGCATCAGCGCCCGCTCATTGAAAAGGTTCCATTTGTTGGATTAATCACCGTCGGTTTTAGCATGGGGTTGGATATGGGCCTGGTTTTTAGTTTCTTGGATTTTCGGTTTCGCGACTTGGATCGCTTCCACTCCTCCGGCGCGGGGAACAACAGTTTTCTTTTAATCATTGATTCGATCATGGGATACCGGAATTTGGGTATGGGGAAAGCGACTTTTGAAGCGATGGAAGTTACTTGGGCATGGGCTGCTTCGGATATGGATATGGGACGCTCCTCGACATGAGGACGGAAGACGGAAGGGTAAATCAATGGGCAAATGGGAGGACGAAACAAGGCGTTCAAAGGGCGGCGTGAGTGATATCCAAGCATTATTTCGGCGGCATTTGTATATACCTATTGACGACGATAATCCGACAATCATTCAACCTCTCCCTCATCTAGAGTTCCTTCCTTCCTCGTGTTATTTCACTATCACCAGCCTTGTATCTCCTGGTATTGCCGAGCTAACAAAGACTTCCCGTCGACTCCCTTCTCACCAGGGTCTCCTTTCCAAGCAAAACTCGCCCAGATCACCGACCAAAGGTTGTGTGAGATGCTATCTTCAATACGGTTCCATCGAAACTTAAGGGAGCTACGAAAATCTGGGAGACTAATGACCCGCGACAGTGGATCTGCATCTCGCGTGGGAGTTTATTCATCGGTAAATCGCAAGATGGAACCTTTGGTCCCGTCGACCTAGAAAACCGCAAGGCTGGGCAACAAGGCCTGGGCTTGGGCTAAGATGAGATGAGATATCAATAAGGCAGTAACGGAACTGGAAGTATCATGAGGCATCAAGATTCCAGCCCGAGAGATCCACGCGATGTGATTGGCCAATTCCACTGATACTGTCATCTCAGGTCGCGATTCCGTCGTCATCCGGCGACAATATTAGGGAATATTTAACAGCGATATGTGAATAGACTATTGTCGCATATTACGGCTCAATGGGGGAAAGAGATAGGCCACTGTTCGAGCCCAGCGATGAGGCATGGTTGCCTTCATCGTGGGCGACAGTGCTTCGGGTGAGTATTTCAAACACAATTCGTGGACGTCATCATACGCGATATTTCTTTTTTGGAGATTATGATATCGGAGTCTTTCCTTCGAACAAAAGATCCTATGTTGTGTGTTTTGTGTGATTCATGGACGATTGTCGATGATTTTGATCGGCGCATTCACATCTCATGCTCAGCCGATACCATACGGACGATCGCGAGCCTTGGCGCCTCACCATCCAACCATACCCAACTCGAAGTGTGAACTTGCCCATTGAGAAATTGTATTAGCTGAAAAGAGAAGGAGAATTCGCTTTACGGTTTCACGAACGCAAAACTAACACACTCCCTCACAGTCCGAACGGGACCTCTCCCTCGACATCCCCATCAACTACCTCACCAAACCTGGCATCTCCCTCGCCGCCGCCTGCTTCCCAGACAACCAATTCCTCCCATCCATCGGCGCGAACTGCCTCTCCAACCTCCTCGCCTCCGGCTTCAGACGCTTCATTATTGATCTCTATTGGGACCCTCCACGCCAGAAATGGAGCCTCTGCCCGGCGCGACTCCCCAGCTGGAAGGTCGATGCGGATGCGGGTGGCCCAACCATGCCGCAGAGCACGGCGCGGCCGTCATTGTCGAGTGTGGTGTTGGATGGATTGATGCCGGAGTCGAGAGAGGGGGTGGAGCGGCGAGGTGCGCGGGGCGGGGAGGATGGCGTGGTGGTGCGTCGTCAAGCGGTTTCCAGTACGTCCGCTGGCAATGGTGATGACGTCCAGAGTCCCACTACCGAGCCATCTAGAGCCTCTTCTGTATCGTCGGTTTCTTCGAATGGCATGGTCGTCGAGGCGTCTGCGCCTCCGGCCAACCCAACACGGCGGCTGGACCCCTTGACGGGCGAGGAGGTCTACCGGCTCGGGCCTTACGATTGTACGGGCGACCTCGACCTTCATTTGATAGGGGAAGTTTTCTCCCAATATCTTTGGAACACCTCCAATACCCTGGATGCCAGCATGTCGTATTTGACACTGAATATACACGCCGCTGCCACTTCGGATGACTTTGAAAGGACCCCGTCGAGCGTAACAGGATCTAACTTACCTCGCGCAAACGAGTCGTTGACAGCGACGTTGAACAACAATCTGTCATCATTCTTGTATACCCCCCAAACCCTGGAACGTGAAAGAAGAAATTTGAATGCCTCGTGGTGGGCGTTACCGTTAGCGAGTCAGCCGAATTGGGAGTACATGACGGTGGAAAAAACACCAACCGGCATCTTTACCACTCCCGATGGCTGGCCCAGCGAAGAAATCATCGTGTTTCAGCGGGCGATCCGACTGCTAGCTGAATTCGGGGAGATCGATCCCGAGATGTCGGACTATGACCCGGCCTTCGACATGGACACCGTCTTCCCTTCGAACTATCTCAAGTCCGGACGGGAAACGAGCTTCGACGCCGCCGGTATGATCTCCAGCGGTTGCTTCTTCGACTCCGAAGACACATCGATCGCCCAAGTCAACAACTCCTGGGCTGTGACCGCCGACTTCCCCACCACGGATCTCGACTCCACCCAAAACACCCCCTACCCCCTCTCCCCCTCCATCTCCAACCTCACCATCTGCGGCATCTCCCCCCTCCTCAACACCGCCCTCACCAACTCCACCACCGCTTCCTCCCCCCTCCCCTACCAACGTCTCGCCCTCAGCGCCTCTTGGTCCTGGGCCCCCGACTCCCTCGACAACGACACCGTCTCCCTCACCGACGACCCTATCCTCCCCCCTTTTGACAACCCCGCCAGCCCCCTCCGCTGTGCCGTCCTCTCCCTCACCCACTCCGGCCACTGGCTCCCCGCCGACTGCGCCACCTCCCATCGCTCCGCCTGCCGCGTCTCCCACGCCCCTTACAACTGGCTCGTCACCTCCTCCCTCGACCCTTTCGACTCCGCCTTCTCCGCCTGCGATGACCTCGACCGCTCTGCCGCCTTCGACGTTCCGCGCACGGGCCTCGAGAACAACTACCTCTATACCGCGGCGGAAGCGGCCACGCGCGCCGCGGACCTGGACGAGGACATCGCGGGAGATGCGCAGGTATGGTTAGCGTTCAACTCCATCGATAGGGCGGATTGCTGGGTGGTCGGAGGGCGGAATGAGACGTGTCCGTATGAGGGGGCGGAGGAGGAGACGTCGCAGGCGGTGATCGTGCCGGTGGTGGCGAGTGTGATTGTGTTTGTAGTGACGGCGTTGACAGTGTTTGTGAAATGTGCGGCGAATCGAAGGATGAAGAGGCGGCGGGGAAAGAGGGATGTTGATGGGTTGGGGGAGTATGAGGGGGTACCGAGTTAAGGAGAGGCGGGATTGTGTATATATTGTAGATAGGGGTTTTGTAAGATAGTTGTGAAGTAGCATTTAGATAGGGCATGAACCAGTATAGATGAGAATTAGGGTATGCTTAAATTTCGTATGAGCTCTCCCGTGGTTGTCTTCTGTACCAATATAATTGCCGTGCCTGGATCCATTGACATTTCAATTATAGGTTTTCCCCACCTCGTGCACTGCCCCACACAATGCACGAAATGATATCGCGATATTCAATATGTAATTAGATACATCTAA